GCCTAGATAATACTATTAATAAGAAATATTAAACTTAAAGCAAGAAAGCTTAAGCCAAAATTTATAAGTCTATTTAGGATTCTTAAATATATTAGTAATTTGGTATATAAGTTAGAATTACTAAGTATATATAATTATTTATATCTAACTTTCTATATTTCCTTTTTTAAAAAATATATAATAAAAAAGAATTAGAAGCTATATTTATATTTCTCTAAAGAACTTCCGGAATTAGTAAATAATAATAAAAAATAAGAATAGGAAATAGAAGCTATTATTAATTACTAATAAGATAATAGAAATAAGAAGTAATAGTATTTAATTAAATAGAAAGCCTAGCCTAAAAATTATAATATCTAATTACCTGCTTTCCCTAATTTTAAAAATTTTAAGGAATTTCTAAAATTATATAACTAAAATTATAGCTTAAAATCCGAAATTATCTTTTAATAATTTCTTAAAATTAAAAAGAATTCTGAACTACTAAGAAAAAGGCTACTTAAAAAAAAAAGAGGACCTAAATAGCTAAGAAAAGGTCCGGAATAATAATAGAGATACTTTTTCTCTAGGTTTTTGTAATAGTGGTCACCAAAAGGGCAGCAAGTCAGGGAGCAATCCAAAGTAGTATTGTGACTGAAACTTGAAGAAGCAAGTGAGTCGTGGGAGGTGCGAAGCCTTATGGGCTTGCGTACGGACCACGCGCACGCACGTGCTCGCTAGGATGCTTGGGCACTCTATGACAGTTTTTTACTTATAAAGGTTTTCTAGGGTTTTATTAAGGCTTATGAGAATTATATTTAAATTATTAGAAAAAGATTTAGGATTAAGAAAGGTTTATTATAAATAAACTAGCTATAGGTATCTCAAATAAATAAATTCTAATTCCTATAAATTCCTAATTCCCAAAGCAAGAATACTAAATACTAGTCCTATTTAGGACTTAGTAAAGAATTAGTTAATACTTTCCGGAATTTGCTTATTTCTTAATGAGATATAGTTATACTATAATAATATTAATATTAAGGATATTAAAAGAAGTAAATAAGGAACTTATAATAGCTATATATACTTTACGGAAGGCCCGAACTTCTAAAGTCAGGTCCCAAATAGCTATAAGTATTATATTATTAGTATTTAAAGTACTAGTAATAGATTACTTAGTAATCTCGGTAATAAGCTTAGTAATAAGATTAATGCCTTAAAGGTAAATATTATGGTATTTCTTTAAGGAATTAATAAATACCTAAGTATATTAGAAAAAACTTATCTTTAGAATACTAACCTAAGTAATATTATTATTTGCCTTATTAAAACAGGAAAAAGAATTCCGAAGCTTATTAGTATTCTTCTAGTCTTTAAAAACCCAATTAATAATATTATTCTTATTAGTATAATACTATTTAGAATATATTTTAAGAAATTTCTTAAAGGTTATAATAATATCTTTCTAGAACTAGTAAGCCTCTAATAAGTAATAAGGAATCTGAAATTATATTAGCTTTAATAGATATTAAAGCTAAAGAACTTACTAATATATAAAACTCAGAACCCTTATTATAATAGTTATAATTCTTCTTACTAGATACTATAGTATATAAGATAAAGGAATTAATAAGCAAATACTTAAAATATTTCAAGTATTTACTAGTAATAAGAAAAAAGGCTATGAGGTTACCTTTATACTTATTATTATAGGAATGGATAATAAAGCCAGAAGAAGATATTATAGAATTGTGAGGTGTTTGTTGGTAGGCAATAAGACAATAGAATGAATTAGTGTGTTGTGAAACCACAGTATTAAATTCAGTACAGAACTAATCTCTGTCCCTCCTGTGAGGTCCAGGGAAGCCCCCTCTAAATAGGAGGCTCCGATGGCATACATACAATTAGTGATTTATAAGCCTAATGCATATGATGTAAACAGTGGTTGGTTGGGATATCGAAGGGCTGCCGAACTCCCTGATCGACACCCGCGATATCCGAGGTTCGTCACATGCCCTTAAGTCACGTGCGACCCTGCACACATCACAAGAATTAATTAAAAATAATTAAAGAAGACTTAAAGAAAGGCAGAAGAAAAGGCTAGAAGGTAATAATAGAAAAAGTTATATGTGTGGTTATTAGAAAGGAAGAAAGTATATAGTAATATAAAGAGGTTCTTTTATAGAAGTAGAGAACTACCTGGATTAACTACTAGTTTTTATACTAGTTCTAATCGGAAACCAGTATAACTAATTAATATATACTCCCAGAAGCCTATAAATAATCTTTAGGACTTTAGAAATATTTATATGGGTTTCTTATATAAATATTTATTAAATACTTTCTATATAGCTATTTAGATTATTCTAATACGAGATCTAATAGGTAATATTAATTTCGTAAAATAGTACCTTAGTACTTAGATCCTAAATAAAATCACAATTACTAGCTAGCCCCTATACCTGAAATATAATTACCCTTCCTTCTCGCTTACTTAGCCCCGATCTAATTAGATAATTTTTATGTCTATTATCCAGATTATATTAGTAAAACCACCTTTCAAGATACTAGAAGTTTATATTAATTAAATAAATAATTAATTAAATATTTACTAAAATAGATTAATGAATCTTGGGAACAAGATCCTAGGAAAAGGATATAGTTATAATATATATAGGGTTATATATAACTTAAGGGCATATAACGAACCTCGGATATTACAAGTATTAATTAGGGAATTCGGTAGTCCTTTAATATCCTAACTAATTACTATTTATATTATATATATTAGGCTTATAAATTACTAATTATATATATGCTATCGGGGCCTCCTATTTAGAGGAGGCTTCCCTAGACCTTATAGGAGGAATAGAAATTAGTTCTATACTAAATTTAATACTATAGTTTTATAATATACTAATTTATTCTATTATCTTATTACTTACTAATAAATACCTTATAGAAATAAAAAAAGAAATTAGAAAAGAACTTAAATAAAATTTAAATAAAGCTTAAATAAAACTTAAATAAAACTTAAAGAAGCTTAAAAAAAAAGAGAAGAAAAAGAAAAAAAAAAGAAAAAAAAAGAAAAAGCTAGATATAATATTATAGTTAAAAAAAGAAAAGATTAGTTAATAGGAAAAGAGAAGCCTTTTTATAATATTTTTTTTCTAAATAATAATTATAAATTTAGAACTAGCTTTATACTAGAAATATCTAGAAAATTCTAAAAAAGAAATTTATAAATAAACTAGAAAATTAGATTAACTTTTCTAAGCTTTTAGGCTTATAAAATAATAATTTATTTATAAATAGAGGCTAAGTTAGAATTTATAAACTAATTAGAAAACCGGAAAAGCTTCCTATCTAATAGTATATATTATACCTATACTATTTTTATAAAAAGAAATTACTAGAAATAATTTATAGGTTAGTTAGGTAGAATTAGTAAACTATATCCTTAAGTTTATTACCTAATATAATAATAGGGCAATTATAAGAAGTTTTTAGAGAGAACTAATAGCCAGAAAGATTTTAGGGAATTATTTATAAAGCTATTTATAGTTCTTTTAGGCCTTTTAGGAATAAGAGCCTAGAAAGGAAATTAATATAATAGATATATATAATAGTATATAAATAGGTATTAGATATTATAGATCTAGTTTCCTATTTTAGGTAAAGCTTATAATCGGAATTATATAGGTAATTAGAATTATACGGATTATATGAGATTATATTTCTTAGTTAAGTAAAATGCTTTATAGGCTTGGCTAAGTATTAGGGAATATATAAGGAAATACTTCTAGCTTTAAAAAAGGGTATTAATTAGTCTTTTATTAGAATTAATTCTTGGAATTAGTTATACTTATAAGTATTACTCTATAGCTTACTTACCTTAACTACTTATATATTACTTTACTATTACATGCCTTATATATAGAGAATACTATTTCTGGATAGAAATAAAGTACTAATTAATATCTATTTCTATATAGCGGAAAACCCTATATACCGGAAAAAATAATAAGTACTTTGTTTTTAAGTATCTTAAAATCTATATATATCTCAATATCTCTTATATTTTCTTATAAGTTATATTCCTTGGCCACTCTTGGATACCCCTAAACCCTTCTTACTAGAAAATCATATTTGCATTATTGCCCTCACACCTACTCTGCAAAGGGTCTGCTTTTATAGCATAATAGGCTTCCTCTGCTATAGCTCTACTACTGAGCTTATCCCATCCCCAATACTTTATAAAGGAGTCTTATCCGAGTTCTGAGGCCTTATTACGATTAGCGAATCGTCATCAGCCTTGTGGCTGCTTTGGCGTGCAGATTCATGCAAGATCGCCAGGCGGGTCGGTACCTCGGATCAAAGCGAGTAACGATTTTGGTTAGTGCGAAACAGCCCCGCACGCTCCATCATATTTACGGTGTAATTTCAATTATGTAATCATTTGCAAAGTGTGTTGCGTGCATCCCGTGTGGGGCTACCCGTCAGCGAGCGAACACCAGATCAGCGCCGGCTTCAGAACAGTCGGCTCGCGGGAGGGGGTGAGCGGTGGGGGAGATAAACTGCCAGTACTGAATGCCGATGGGGAAGCGCTTTTTGATAGATCAATGTTTGAAGGCAAAATAAGGACTTAGCCGGAGCCTTTTGCAGTGTGATACGTTGCGCGGCGTTGTCGTGCTGCATTTCTTCAAACTGGCGAAATGTCAAGAAGAGCAGATTGCGACTTGGAACTAACAATATACACCGACCGGTATCAATTCCCTCTTGGTCTTGTTACAACTCGATATGTCTTCGGTGTAAAGTGAATCGTGCATGAGACTAGGCTTGGAGTCGCAGACATAGCGGTAAGGATGACAGGCTTTCAAGATGGAAGCTCGACGTCAGTGTTGCATTGCCAGGGAAACCTGGGGACACGCGTTCTGTGCCTGAGGCTTGGACGTTTTGCGAGACCGACCACAGAATTGAGCCTCACCCCTCCTGCCGATCTCTCAACGAGAGTTCATCTCTTCACACCTCCCTCAACACCAAATCATCTAACAACCAAACTCAGACAAACAAAGCATACCAGCGTCAGTTATGGCATGCGTTGATCCCTTCCTCCAATTCGATGACGAGAGCTTTGCTCTGCAGCTTCAACTCGAAGAGATCGAAGCTCAGCGTGAGCTTCAATCCGGCAAATGGACTGAAGATAGTCCTCCGGACTTTGCATTAGCATTCGATACCTTCGAGACCGAGTTGAAGAAGGCGCTTCTTCTTGTCGAGGACCCGAAGTTCGCTTACAGCATTTGCTAAAGCTGTTGCTTCTGATGCTGTGGCCATTGAAGAATCAAGAGTCGAGGAGACACAGTCGGGTCAAGATCGAGACTTCGCGCTAAGCTTGAATGTAGATGAAAATCTGCCATCCCAGGATGTCACCAATTTGCCGGCGATGTCTCGCCTCGGGGCGGAGTCAGTTGACTGGGATCATGTCCTGCGAGCTACAGAAGCTTCGACTTTCAGCGACAAGTCCTGTAGCACCGTTGCGGGCCCTTCGACCCATTATACTCTCCGCCAGAAGGCTGTCCTTGAGCACTTGCCCCAACTCAAAGTTGAATGCAGTGTCTGTGGAGAGTCTGTTCATCCTCATTTCACTGTGCGTTTGGTATGCAGTGATGTATTTTGCAAGTCGTGCATCAAGTCCTTCTTCCATCAGCCACGACAGCTCAGATCAACAAACTTTCTGGCTGGCCCTGCAAATCGATGCATCATCGAGTTTACCGATCACAATCGCATGACCTTCTTCGCAACAAGTTGGCGGAAATCACTGGGCGAGACAAAACGAGGCGGTTCGCAATACTGTGATGATAAAAGCAATCCTTAGCCCGTATCTACTGAAATTTACTACGTGGCATTAATCCCCTTCTATCGGAAGTAGCCGATTTATGGGTTGCATGAATGGCTCGGCTCGAGGTGATGCTGCCAAGTCTGGCACACCCCGCTGTCAAAAACATAAAAGCGTTCGCCAGCTTCTTACCCTTGAACCCTTGATACGTTCTCCCACACCGGCCCCGTGCTCAATCAGATAACGCGCAGCTCATACCCATGTATCGGTTCGCCTTCCCATTGTCAAGTCTAGAATCCCATCCTGCTGTCACCCCCGCAAGCGCTCACCGGCATATACCTTTAATATCTGCTCCTGGCCCACACATTCAATTGCTCCCATTCTTATCATGATAGGATATGTTCTGTGTGGTCTGTGGAGGTGTAACTGCGAAGCAGCCAAAGCATTGGTCGATGCAGGAGCTGGACCCTTGTGGCGTCAGCTGAGTCGCCACGATATTTCTTTTTCGTAGCGTTGTATGTGGGCAGCTTTCGGGCAGCAAGCCATGGGTACAGAGCCTCTTGATACGCTGGGTCTGAGTCTTACGGACGGGATGAGACGAGGACGTGAGGGGTACAGATATGGGTGGGTCTTCCCGGTCTGTGAACTCTCCAGAACAAAGCATAGTAAACGAAATGCAGCTCTTTGTTTGAGACGCCTCCATCTGCAAAGCCAGCGCAGCTATTCTCCTCCTCCCCCTCCTCTTAGTTTTCCCTCTTCTATGTTGATCGCCAAGATTCTTGTCCGGTTGCTCACAAAGTTAGCAATATTGTGGTCTCGATTGCTCAATACTGAGCCTCGTCTTGAGTAACGAGAGTTTCTGTCGTATCATACTATACATATCTTTGGACAAGTCGCTCAAAGCACAATTCATCGTTCGGTTCACCTGATGGCTCTCGTTGCCATGAACTCGACCTCAAATATCACCCTTCCTTGCTCGTCCTTTTCTTCACTCACGGACCTGGTTGTCGCTGCCACCCGTGCTCAGATAAACATCACATTGGAGGTGCAAAAGTGCCCCGGGCTGTGCTTGCTAGCTTGGGGCACTGGAAATCCAGACCTCTCTGGAGTCGGTGTAAGTGGACTATTATATATACTCTGGTCTCTCAGCCACGCACCGAGACTAATAGTAAGAACTACTATGGTTCTATAGACAAACATCTCTTGGCTATTTCAGGCTCTTTTGACTGTTTTATTTTGCCCCCTTCTTCGCGTTTATCTTCAGTTGGCTTCTTCGGACAAGGTCAAGAACACGGAAAAGGTCGAGGTACTTCTTCAAGATACCCACAAGGAGTTCCTAGGCGCAACGATCCTCATCGCACTGTCCGTCTTGGTCGCTACGATAGTCTATGTCAGGCATAGCCACCCTATCTTCGAAGTAACATTCCTCTACTATCTCGCTACAATGCAGTTTCTGGCGCTCCTTGGCACCGCACTTTCCGCTCTTCAGTTTTGCGATTGGGACGTAGAGCCGCAGGCAGCCACGTCCACAGACAGTACAGCGCCGGCAAGCGGGCCGGTAGACGGTACACAGCCGGCAAAGGGGCGCAGAAGACCGAATTTGGAAAAGCAGAGAGGGGAAGTAGAAAAAATCTGGGAAAAATGGACCGAGCAACCTGTCATCACCACTGTGGCTTGTATTATAGGCTTTGGCTTGTATCTGGGCTGTTTGAGCTGGATCCGTGGGCAATCGATTTCCCTCTCTTTCCTGCCGGAACTCGCCTCGTCATGCAGCACGTATGGAAGGATAGTGCCTCATATCCCTCCGGCAACTTCCCCTGCTCCAAAGATAAACTGGGGTCTCTTGCACCATATGTGGACTCATATTCGTGCCCCAGGCAATTTCTTTGTCTGCCTCATCTTCGTTCTCATCATCCTCTGTGCCGTGGCCGCCGTCCTTTTCCTAGCCTACTTGGCTTTTGCGACCCTAGTTTTCCTCCTCGTAAACCCTTATTCCAACAGCCTTTTCACCCTCGCTTTTGCGATCGGAGTGCTTTTTTTCACAGGGCAAATGCAAGTCAAGAGAAATAACCTGAAGAAGGTCGTCGGCAAACAGTACACGGATGGCGAGTGGGGTTTCGGGCAGATAGTTGCTATCTTTGTTTGGATGCCTACGACGCTAAGGCTCATTGCCAGATGGGTTGAGATTGCTCCTGCTTGTAGGAGAAGTGAGTTTGCTACGATTTGGAGATAGGTTACCCGATTGCCACCAGCTTCTGATCTCAGTACTAATTATTCGTGCACAAAAGAAAAACCGTCAGATGTAGAGAAGGGGAATGAGCCGGGAGACGAGAAAGGGAAGCCAGCACAAATTGTGTGCAAGGAGTGCGGAAAGAAAGTGGAGGAAATACCCCCGGCAGCTCTTACAGAGAATGAGCCTGGAGCCAAGCGAGGAGACCAGGAAGGAGAGCCAGGGGAGGAGACAAAGGGAGGAATTCAGACGGATTCTCGGGAGATTTCAGAGACGCCCCCAGCAGCTCCTGCGGAGAGTCTAGAGGATAAGCCCCTGGAAAATCTTCAGGAGGAAACCCCCAAAGAAGCTCCTCAGGACGACTCGGAAAGGAGCCAAGAAGCGAAGATAGGCAAGAATCCAAATGAGGAGAGTTATATCTGAAAGTGGAAGAAAGGTATTCTTTTGTCATCTACTAGTTAAGCAGGTAGCAGTGGAATATTTGAGGTTGCGGCCCGCCGTCTTGTTCATGCAATCCCAAGTTCTTCCTCTGCTGACCGAAGATCGAGAAATCGGCCTTCGAAGTCCAATCTAGCTCGAAATCCAATCCACCACACCCATCCTGAGGAGCATGCGGCCATCTCCACGTAGCTAAAGCCCGAACGGCCTTCTCCTTGAAGAATTGAGACCCCGACATGACATAAAGTTCGAGGGCCGGAACTGCTACCGAAGAGATAAGGCGATCCTTTCCAATCGGACTGGGCATTTTTAAGCCAAGGGTGGGGAGGCCGAACATGCGCGAGCCTCAGGCAGAACACTTGCCTTTTTGACGATCCAGTAACAGATGGCGCTGGTCTTTGCAGAATACCTAACGATGTAGGTTGCAGTTACATGTATATCTTGATAACTCTCTGACGAAGAATGGAAGGACCTCAACATCTGACTACATGTCCAACGACAGAGCTTGCTGAGTAGGGTAGATAATCTATCACTTCAAATCATGCAGACTGTTCTAAAGTTCCCAAATAATCTCTTTAGCAATACATTGGGCCTTGATAACTTGGTATCTACCTCATCCTGCGGCTCTGTCTCCTCTCCGGTATGTCCATACCACCCCTGGTCTAATGTTGAAAATCGCTGTCCTCGACCACTATGTGTCACGTGCTACGCACTGGCCATACATAGGCCTATATATAGCTATTTCCCCGCCCTTAGGGCACCATCATTCCTTACTAATATACCAATATACACCCATATTATCCCCACAGCCCCTTCAGGCCTTGACACTGTGCGCCCTTCCACCTTATTTTCTGCGTCGCGAAAGAAATACATAAGTAAGTTAGAATATATCTTGCTTTATTATTACTATTACTCAATCATATGCTCGGTATATGGAACCCATATACTTAGTATATGCTTTACTCTTATTACTAAGAAGCATACAAGTAAGGTAGAATATATCTTGCTTTACTATTACTATTACTCAAGCATATACTCGGTATATGGAACCCATATACTTAGTATATACTTTACTTTATTACTAAGAAGCATATAAGCAAGCTAGAAAACACCCTACTTTATTATTACCCGTAATATATGCTAACCCTAACCCGTAGAGCCTTTACGCTTTAATATATCCCAATACAGGGGACTCTTACCGCCCCCCAACCCCCCGGACTAACCCTGACCCTAACTCCTGACCCTAAGCCCCCTCGCAAGCTCGGGACTAACCCGAACCTTCCTAGCCCGTATAGCTTATATAGCTTATATATATGCAAAGCATATGCAGAGTATAAGAAGAGCATATGCAAAGTATATGCCTAAAATATAACTGGTATAAAGTCTATTCATTTGCTCGGCTAGCTGTCTCGCTTCCTTAAGCGATACTATGGTTCAGCTAAATAAACGAGCATATGCAGAGTTTGATAATATGGTTCAACTAAAACCCCGTTCGGTATCGAGGGGTTCTCCCGTTGCCGACAGTGTGTCAAATGAATAGAATAGAATAGAGTAGTGGCCACTACTCTATTCTATTCATCAAAATTTACCCACTACTCATATTCTATTCATATTCTAATCAAGGTATTCATGAATATTCATGAATACTTTGAGTAGCAAGCACGTGAAAAGCTAGCTATATTAGGTAAAGCTCCCGCCCGCTTCCGCTCTAGCTCCACCTCGCTACCCAATTAGGCGATAGCGAGGCTTGGTAAGCGAACCAAAGCACAAGATTTCGAGGAGGATAATTAGTTTATTATTATAGAAAATTAGTACTTAGCTAGTATTATATAAGTCTTAGCTTAGTTTGGCTAGAGCCACTAACAGGCGCCTTAGTTATTTAATAATTATTAAGTAAAGCTTGATTTTCTATAGTCACGTGACCAAAAATCACCAGTATTCATGAATATTCATGAATATATATTCTACTCTACTCTAATTTTTTGAGAATTACGCTACTCATATTCTATTCAAGATATTCATGAATATTCATGAATACCTTGAATACCTTGAATACCTTGAATACCTTGAATACCTTGAATACCTTGAATACCTTGAATACCTTGAATACCTTGAATACCTTGAATACTTTTTTGACACACTGGTTGCCGAAAATCTTCAACCTCACTTCACCTCTTCTTCGCATCATCTCTTCATTTAATACAAGACTCAACTTCCTCCCAGCATTTAAAGGTCTGAAGGTGCAAATCTTAACGATGGACAGTTGCACGTACGTGAAGGGCTTCGCCCGGAATCCTATGAACATCCGGAATTCTACAAACACACCACCTTCGATTGTCAGCCCCGAGTCCCGACCTTGATCGCATAACGTCTTGATTCGTTCTACCGTCTTTCCCATTTCTTGGTTCTCTTTCAAACTCAATCCCAAGCATGGCAAGAATTTTTTCAAAAGTCTTAAATTTTTGGTTGGGCGGTGTGGGCGGTTGGGCGGTAGCCTAGTCGTCATTAAAAGGTGACCATTTCCAACGCTTGTGCACTACTCCTTCCCTCCAAACGCCAAATAAATTACCATCCAAACCCCGAACTCGCCTTCCACCTCTACATAATCACAACCTATCACACCTTGTAATGGCTTCACTTCCAATCTTCGCCGCAGCTGATGCTGCCATACTCACAGCTCAAAACCTTATCCAGCCAGTCATCCGAAGACGCCGGCAAATATCCAGCTCTCTGATGTTCTCGGAAGCTTCGTCCTCGTCGGATAATTCAGCTGACTCGGGAGTCGGTCTTGTACCCTCGTTCATAGTACCAGAGTTTATCGAGAGTGCAGAAACTTTGGAGTACATTGGCTGGGGAGAGGAGAAGGCTACCGACATATGGGCCCGATGGGAGATCGTCAAGCAGATCGAAAGCAATGAGGCAGCATTTGAGCATCACTTCCTCGAGTATGCTTTGTCTGCTATACCATATCTCAAGCCTGAAGACAGACAGGAGGATTGGGATGCAGAGATGTTGAATTGGGGAGTAGGGGCTGAACTTCGTGCAGCAATTATGGACGAAGGGTACACCAATATTAGGCTCACGGAGTCAGCACAGTATTGGGTCAAGGATACAATGGAAATACGCTATCTCAGTCTGGAGAGATTGCAGCGAGACAGTCAGATGAGGGCACAGACCTCAGCCACCTCCACGAACAACACCATCTCCACGAACAACGCCGCCTCCTCGAACAACGCCGCCTCCTCGAACAACGCCACCGATACTAGGGAGAATCCTGTAGCCGTAACACAGTTCGCGACTTCGTCGACGGTCCCTGGAAGATTAGCTTTGTATAAGGCGATTGCAAAAGACAGAGTTGGACAAGACCCGACGGGAAAGATCTCTATTGAAAGTCTAGTTAGCGGAACTCCATCCGACTTTCGGGGAGTAGGTGGAACGGTACTTTACTTTACGCCTACTCCAGAGGTCGCGGAATACTATCGAGGCTATATCAGAAGACGGTGCAATAGCGCAGCTCCACTCATGCTACAACTATTGGTTCCCAACTCCTTTATCGAAGCACTCCGCCCATTTATTCTGAGATTTGGAGACCTTTGGAAGGAAATTGTGTTTACTAGTCGACGTGGATTGTTACTAAGGGGTGACTTGAAGCGAATCCATCGGCTACCTTTGATCATCGCTCCTATCGCTCGCTCTCACAACAGAACTATCAGCAATCTCGATGACTATCACCAGATATCTTCCGTTCGACATGTTCTTTACGTCAAGGACTCCGAGGCAATTCAGTATGTCTTTCAAGGAGAGGATATGTTGGATGGGTTAGAAGAATGTGGCGAACTGAGGCCAGTCTCTGAAAGCTCTACATCAGCATCCTAACTAGAAAGACACTCGCCTTCAGCACATTGAGGTGCCATTGTTTATACAGACTCTGTAGTAATAGTATTTGCTTATTAAATCTCTAATCGGTAAAACTGAGTGTCCTAGCCATTCCGCTAAGGTAAAAATAGTACTATCCTCTCCCTGCATAACTTCGTCCACGCATGAATTCAAATGCTCAGGAACCACGCCAATTCCAAGGCATCCTAACTAGTACAACTTGTCGTCAAAGTCGACTCTGCTTTGGCTTGCCCTGCGTGCATGAAATTCTCTGCTGCTCCAGCAAACGAAACCCTAATATGGACCTTTCTCTAATACAATTTTCGCATTTGCACAGATCTCGCCATGTCTCATTAAACATACCAGCTGTAGCAACCCTCGAAATAGTGTCGTGTTATGGTGTTGTTCCCTGGTCTTGCATGGATTATACCTGGCGGGCAAAGTCGAACTCACACCTCCCCGTGGTGCCTGCTGGGGACTCTGTATAGAGTATTCTATACGGATAGCAAAGGTCTACTGTAAGCTTAGCTTGCACAACGATCAGAGTCGCAATCGTCGTTACGGAAGGATCTTCGGAGAATTTTTCACGATACAAGCACGATAACTCGACGCGCCCCCCTAACACCGTCGCGCTTTATCGACCACGAGAAGCGATTCAGAATAGTAAATTCAACTTGGTCTTTTGTGCGCTACTCAAGCCTTTTGTCGCTCGATGCCTTACCCCACCGCCGGGTTCTATCCGCGAGATTACAGAGAGAAATCGAGGAGGACACCGTGGCCTTATCGACCCGACGACATACTCTCGATATAGCTATACGATGGAGGAGCCCTTCTGCAGATGCAGGCTCGAGGACGCGATTATACCGGGTATAAAGGAGGAAATTGGAAAGGAGACAGACAGGAGATTCGCTGCCAAGGAGAGGACCTTCTGTTAGGCTTGTCTAGAAAGCTTTTGATTTCGTTCGAGCGATAACTGGAGCCAACCTTTAGGGCCTCTCTGCGGTTAGTATATATGGAATCTGGTGGCCACCCCAACTGGCCGTGGGAGGTTTACAGTCACAAGCTACGGTATACCGGGAACTAGAAGATGCAAAGGGCTAGCCTGCCGGTTTGAAATGCTTTCTAGGGTATACAAGGGCACTGTAAAAGCGCAGAATCAGGGACCCGGGGCTACTTGATAAAGGACGTCGTTTTCCCCTCGTGGTTTAGGCTATTCTATTGAGTAGGACTTTGTAGTAAATCCTTAGCTTAGCACGTCCTCATACCCTATGGGAGGTTTTGAGTATATCGCCTTTCAGGCTACTCTCTCGGACGCAAATAATTATCATTATTATTTTTATCATTTGAATTATACCTTGCCTGAAGAGGCACCAAATGTTGTATTCCTATTTCTTGGCGCTGCCCTGCTGCTAAGAGGATTGCACCTTGCCTTGTATGAGTCGTAACATGCTTATGAGAAATGTTAGACGTTGACACCTCCTTAGATCTACACTGTCGTTGAGAAGAGTCGATTCTCGGATGTGGTATACCCAGAGTCCAGGGTTTTGAGACGTCACGGGACATAAGCGCATTGAATTGATAACGTAGAATGACTCTGCTATCCCCAGTAATCACAAGTATGCGTCTACATAAGCCTACTGCAAGAAGTCATCGTCCAACAGCACTTCCTCATGCGCGGATAGATAACTTTGATCACATCCTCCCTCCATTTTTACCCACAACTTGCAACCATGCAATCACCATACACAGACCCTTTCTATCCTTAGATAGGGCTGACGCTCCGTATCACAGCAACCCAATTAACCCTCAAATCCCGCCTCGCCTCATCTCGCCTGACCAGATACCCTTTCTGTGCTACGTAATCTTACTATCCAGACATGCCGATTTTCTCGGACCTCGCTTTGTATCTAGTATTACATCACTGAAGTACACCGCCTTTCACACGGTAGTTAAAAAGACCGAGTGCAAAGGTGTACGGATCGGTGTGTATATCTCCCGGATACAGGGATAGTAGGAATAAGCGAGGTTTTGAAGGCTGATAAGTAATTCAGGGGGAAGAAAGGGGGGCTGCAAGCGAGGTATGAAGGTGAGAAAAGGGGTAATGTAGTTTTACAGTGCTAAGCGAATAGCCCCTGAATCTAGACTCATCGTATTCGTATTTAGGCATCTCGTACTCGTATTCAGCCCACCTTCCACTGACTCGTGTATCTCCTTCACTGTCAAAGCCGCAGCTGCACCCGTTGAGATCCAGACCTCCTTGCAAATGCCAATGCAGGAACCACAAGGCTGTCGGAAGTCCGATATCTGTATCTTTGAAGTTCGGGGGAGAACCTACCGTATCTGTATCTCCCAACAATCCCACTTCTGTCATACGACGAGGACAAAATTCACAAACTCCACGAAGTCGTGGAGATGATGAGGTTCAAAGTAGGCTTTGCGAAATCTCGACAGATTTCGATGAATTTCAAGTGACTTCTGCATCATATTGTTCGGCTTTACACAGATTCCTTTTATTCTCGATTTCCAAGATGGAGCAACTGGCCAAGATATCGCCGTTTGAGACTGTCCTTGAATTTGGAAGAGGTAGCTCAGTCCTGTCACCTGGGACGATCGGAGTACTTCTGCTTCTCATAATATGGGCTCTCTTTGTAATTCACTTCCTAGCTAACAAAATGCCCAGTCACTGACTTCTCTACAGAAGCAAGCGACACAAACTCAAGTACCAAAAATACCAAAGATACCGGATGCACCAGATGCGCTTCCCTTCGTTGGGAACCTCATGACTCTTGGTGGACGACTGAATGAAAACGACTCCACAATATACTCACGATGGTCCAAGAATCTATCGAGCGACATCTTTCAAATGCGGCTCGGCAGCGAAAGGGCAGTGGTAGCCAACACTTTCTCGACTATTAAGGACCTCTGGGTCGGGCATTCCAACGACCTAATCGACAAGCCGCAACAACATGGCTTTACAGAAAAACTCGAATACGATCTCTCTGGAGCGAATATGACAGAGGCAATTCGAAGATGCAGGAAAGCAGCGACACGAGCATTGGGCAAATCTCTTTGGCCGACATATTATCATTTGCTGGAGCCGGCGTCGGTCTCCCTCACTCGAGAACTTCTCTCCAAAGGTGATGAGTATATGGACATCTATCCATACCTCCGACACATCGTTTTCGATCTCGCGCTTTCTCTGACGTATGGTACCGTGTCCAATGGCGTCGATGACGAATTCACGGATGCGTTGGTCGAGAGCATCAACCAGATCTCATATTTCAGAGCGTCGACGCAAAGACTCAGAGACTACGTACCGATACTGAGATTGCTCATTCCAGACTTTGCTAGTGGGAATGCCGTTGTAGCAGCGGAGAAACGGCGACAAGAGCATCTCGATGTCATCTTCGATGCGTTGAAGAAGAGGATCGCGTCAGGAGAGCAAGTAGACTGTATCGTCAACGGCCTTGTAAAAGACAATCTCTCAGAACCAGAGATCCATGGAACGTGCAAAGCTCTTCTCCAAGCTGCACCTGACTCCACTGCCTCATCTATGTATGTTGTGATTGGCTGGCTCTCAATACCTACAGGCCAAGAATTCCAGTCAGAACTTTATGATGCTATCTTGGCTTCTTATGATGGGGATAGAGATAAAGCGTGGGAGATGGCGTTCCGAGAAGAAAGTGTTGAGCTGCTTGTTTCACTGTACAAGGAGACCCTTCGATTCTGGACAACCACCCCGTACTCCCTTCCACGCACGACGGTCAAGGATATCAGCTACTGGGACACCGTCATTCCCAAGGGCACAACGATGATCATGAATGCTCAACAAGCAAATCATGATACGGCTTGGTACGGAGACGATGCGTTGGAGTTCAAGCCCACGAGGTTTATTGGAAAGACGGATTCCTTACCTCACTTGACGTTTGGGGCTGGGTCAAGAATCTGTCCTGCTGCCGCATTGAGCAATCGAATTATATAGTAAGTCCCATATCTCCCGTTAAACCCTATCACGAGACAATCTTCGAGGATGCTGACGCCAAGACTTTAGTGCTCTGATTGCGAGACTCGTCCTAGCATTCAAGATCAACGAGCCGAAAGATCTCAATGCAAGGAAAGCCAACGCGGATATGCTGGACTTCTCAGCAGAGTACAGGAGCTTGGTGGCTATGCCAAGACGGTTTGATGTCTCATTTTCACCAAGAGATGAGATTTGGATTCGGACGAAGATGCTGTGACGTTCACGTAAGGAGGAAAACTAAGGTTGGAGATCTATGTTGGGTTTAAACCTCGCGTACACATAGACCATACCACGTGACATAACCGAAGTCCCGCGCCAAAACACGTCCCGCACCAAAACACGCGTGTAATAAAAATATTTTAATTTATTAAAATACAACCACCTTATATAAAAGTCTAATTTTTCATATATAAGATCCCCTTAGTATATAAACCTTACTTTTAATAATATATAGTAAAAATACTTAATATTTATTAGTATAATAAACCTTTAATAATTATATTAAATTCTATAAAATTTTAATATAAGTTTTATATTATATATTATTATAAGTTAAAACTATTATAAAATTACTACCTTATTATAATAGTTTTAGGAAATATATTAATATTTTATATAATTTTATCTTTTAAAGTATAATTATAAGTTAAAGATTAAATATTTAAATTTTCTTAACTCTTACTTTTAACTTTAAATAAAGAATACTTACTTTATATAATAATCTAAATTTTTATATATAAGATCTCTTTTATATAGTAAACCCACTTTTAATAATATTTAATAAGAATACTTATTATTTTATAATATAATAAGCTTTTAATAATTCTCTTAAAACTATATAAATATTAATATAACTTTTATATTATATAATATTATAAGATAAAAAAATTATAAAATAACTTTAATACTATTATAATTTAAAAAGATATATTAATAGTTTATATAATTTTAACTTTTAAAAGAAAATTATAATTTAAAGATTTAAATTTTTTTAAATTTTTTAAATTTTTAAATTTTAACTTAAAATTAAAAATTATTTATAATATATAAAAATTATATATTACTTTAAATATATTATATTATATATATATTCGTATTTCAAATATAAAAATACTTAATTTAAGAGCTTTATATTAATAAATATATATTATTTATATATTAATAACTTTATATATTAATAAATATATTAATAAATATATAAAGTTATTAGTTTTTTCTAACTTAGCTATATAATATAGTTTTATTTATATTAAAATATTAAAATTAATATTATAAATCCTTTTAATAATTAATAATAATTAAAAGAATTTATATATTAAAAAATATAATTATTAAATAAAGCTATAATATAAGTATTATTTAAAAAATAGTTAAAAAATAGTTAATAATAGGAGTTTATATATAATATAAGCCTAAAATGGAATAACTATTATATATAATTATAAATAACTTAAACTTTTATTAAATTCTATATTAGAGTAAAAAATATATATTTTAAAAAATTAAAAGATTATATATAAAGGCTTTTATAATAAGAATATAGTTATAAGTTACTTTTATATATATAATATCTATAAAATAATTAATAAGTTTATTTATAAATAGTCTATTTATTTATATTTTATAAATAATAAAAAGTTAATTAATTTTTAAAAAATATTTAATTTAAACTTAAATTTTAATAACAAATAATACTTTTTATTAAAAACTCTTTATATATTATAACTAATATTATTAAATAAAGTACAATTTATATAATTATATAATATTTTATATATTTATTATAAAACTATATCAAAAATTTATAATTTCACAAAAAATTAATATAATAATAATAACTTTTTAATTATAAGAAGATTATTATTATAATTTTAGTAACTTACTCGATTATATTTATAGTCTCTATATTCTAAAAATGAAGTTAAAAGGATTTGTGGTTATTTAATTATTAAGATTTTGAAATATCGCTAGAGCGTGTTTTGGTGCGGGACTTGTTTTGGTGCGGGGAATCGGTTAACCCTTTTGCCCTAATGTTGTCCATCTAGCTCTTCTGCTAATGCACAATCGATACAGCAACCTAGAGCCACATGACTCTAATTCTTACCCTTCCTTCCCCGAAGTGAAGCTACATTATATATCACTCAACTCATCGGTAATGGCTCTGTCCTGCATGCCAGTGCAAGTACAATCCGCATGCAGCTGAAGCCCCAACTGGAGCGCCAACGCGCCTCCTTCCCTCGCATGTTCGCCAAGCCAGCGCTCAAGTGGTGCGAAGCCGTGTCCAGATCCGGACCAGGCAGCTTCACAACCCGAGCCCATCATAGATGCATGGGACTGGCAGGTGGCTGAAGTTTGGGTGCTGTCGTAAGACGGGTATGAGGTGTCAGAAGTCTGATAGTGGGGTGAACTTTGACGAGGATAAGGATGAGTCCAAGCGGAAACCTCTAGGAGATCGGTTTCCGTATGTGTGAACTGGCCGGGCACGTCCGTGGTGAAGCCGGAAGTAGACGTTGCGTTGCTGGGGTATGACATCCTGGATGATGAAGTTTGTGCAGCCGTGGAGTCTGTAGGGCGCCTCAAGGAGGAAGATTCTGCTTGTTGCTTGTGTGAATGAGAGGATCGAGGGCCCGAAACGGATATTTGTTGTTTGGATGAGAGTGAGGCGTTACGTTCGGCGTGCTTTTTGGAATTCTGATGATTGGTTTTACTGTGGAAGACGGTGATCAGTTACTATGCTGCGTGTTGAGGGAGGAAAAATGGGTAGGGGTATTTCAGTGACACTTACGATGCTCTATTTTTCGAGGACATCTTGGTAGAAGGTATGTAGGATTGATTGAGAGGGGCGGACTCTGTGAGACTGTCGTGCTGGTGCAAGTAGAAGCCAACCTAGCCCTCCAATCCTCGATCGAAGTAGAAGTTAGGGAAGAGAAAGATAGTGGATGAGGATGATAGATGAGAAGTCTAATGCGGGAATTGGGGTCCTTATACCTATCTGACTGCAGTACTCCGTTGGCGACCAACAAATCCCTATCACTTCCTATCCAAGGTCATTGGCAGTGACTCTCTGCCTCACCCTTCCGATTCACTTGGGCACATTACGAAGGGAAATGAGCCAGACGGCAGCGCAGTTTGGGACAGGGTTGATACCATCGAAACCCATAGCATTCAAACAACGCAGAATCGTATGTTAGCGCAGATCCCGCTTGCGTCTTGGACATTTCATCCGGGATGTTTGGGGGGCTCTGGTTGGACTGGTGACTTTTGTCTCGCTTGACACCAGGCTCATTTTCCAAGCTTCACAGTCAATTCAGGGAGGCAGACTTATCGACGACCAGGTGGCGCAACACTTGGGAGATCACTTTGGTCCAGGACATCGTCTTGTGCATATTCAGTCCAATTATCGGGACACGGGAGATTGAAAGTGGGCTGGCATACCTCCGCTTCTAACGATGTCCGAACAAATCCCGTCTGAGACGAGGGGATTGTCAAAACCCAGTCGCTCCTCTTATTGGATAGATTACTTTTGTACATCGATGAATGCGAACCGGCTTGCCGGTGGCGTTTTAAGGGGTGTTGGCTGGAGACGCGGGGTTCTCCTCGATTGGTCAGGATACTTTTGTCTGCCCTGGGTCAGCGAGTCTGCTTCGAGTCGCGGTCTAAGTGCTTGTTTGCATCGCCCACCCGTTTCTGCATCCAGTTAGCGTCTGTCGTCGTTGGAACTGTTCTGATTGGTTAGATGACCTTTGTACTCGGTCACGCAGGGTTCGCCCAGGGTATTGGTTGTTCAGGGACGGGGAGGCTTCACGAAGACAGCACATGAAGCAACAGGCTCGCTGCACCATCGATTACAATGCCGTGCCGGCAGCTACCCCGCCGCAAACGAGAGCTTGCTCATGGCCGCAGTGTGGTCTAGATTTGGCGTGACAATCATGAGATCTCCAATCCTGAGCCTCGGATTCACCGCTCAAAATCCACAAGGACAGGAATAGGCGCAAGGCCCTGTACAACAAGTCCTCCGGTCCATGTCATGAGTCGGGAAGTCATCGCAACGCCCGGCTGCTATGCCTCGTCTGCCACATTTCAGCTGCCTAAATATTTGTACAACCTAGAGCCTTATTGTTTTCTGATTTGCTTTTTCAATACTTTCCCTCTCTTTTTCGTCGGCTCAATTTCTCGTCTTCATTGAACGCTTTTCTACGTACAAGTCAAAGTTCACGAACCAAATCACGACCGAATTACATACAAGCTAATTCGTAATGGACGGCGCCCCACTAGTGTCAGCAGACCAACTCAGAGCACCATATTCCGAAAGATGGGAGCTGTTGAAAGATGTCATCGCGTGGCTGTACTTGGAGTACTTGGCAAATGGGAAGAAGTTGAAGTTGAAAGAAATTGTCAAGATAATGGAACAAAACTACAAGTTCTACGCTTCGTCAGTGATGCTCCATCTGCCATCTTCATATATCGATAATGTTGAATGCTGATTATGCTTCGTTCTGACAGTGAAACCCAATACAAACGCCAATTTGGCATCTGGAACCTGAAGAGGGCTCTTTCGACCACGAAAAAGGAGAAGATTACGGCAGCATTGGAAACCCGGGCACAACAAGGGAAGTTATCTGTGGTGAGACACCAGGGCAAAGTCGAAGTTCAGAAGGTTCGGAGGTATATGAAAGAGCAAGCACGGCGGGATATATCGATACGGGCGAGCATAAGCAGTGAGTCTGTCGACGTGGAGAATTTATCTGGACATGCTCTGCAGTGTGGCAACAGAGTGTGAGATCTCTTGGTCTTGAACCACTCCGGTCGTCTCCAAATTTTCTAATATGGATCTCTAGGTTCATGAATTGGAGTATGCCAGCTGCTGTCTGGCGCTTCCTTGAATCCAAATCCAAGGCCACCGACCATGCTTCGCCTTGTATGTACCCTCCCATTGTGTTGTGTCTTCCTCGCTGGCGAGATTAGCGGCTTTCTTAGGCGCTGGCTTTTTTAACACGGTCTAATTTTGAAATATCTTAGATGCTTCTGCCAGAACCCCAATGAGCGATATCCAGGTGGTCACTCCGTCCTCAAATTCCGGACCATCACCTCGAGACCGTCCATCTCCCGGTGACGCCTTGTCACCAAACAACGAACGATCTGCTCTGACCGTCGCAGCGAAAGAGACTCTGAAGATCAGGCGAGCACATCTCTTCGCCCAGAAACACCATACGGATCTGCTTCGGGGCATGAATCTACAAGAGCAAAGGTACATGACTACGTCTAACCATATTTCCTGTCAGCTTGACTTACTTACTAATCTGTGCCCAGCATCACCACCGAGTGGTTGAATCAGTTCTGGCAATATTCCTTTACAACCGCCAGAACCTGGGGCCGCGGACCACGAGTTTGGAACGCATCAAGCCTCAGATTCAATGAATTTTCTAAAGCAAGAACTGAGAGCCACTCTGGTACTCCTGATATGACAGTTAATTCTTCCGAACAACATTCCCGTCATGAAAGAAAGTCGCCTAATAGTTTCAACATCGAGGAACCAAGTCCTCTATGTCGCTGGAGTATACATATTCGCGAAATCGACTGCGATGAAGTCATGTCCCCAAAACAAGCTGAAGACATAGCCAACCCAGATGATGAAAACTCTTGGCGACCGTGGGCGGGAGCAGAGACTATCCACGATTTTGCACAGCGCCTACAGGAAAATCTCGAGAGTAACGACTTCAGCACCGTCGAAATTAGAGACCTCCCACTCTCGTCAGGCCAGATAGCCAGAGCAGCAAAACGGTCTCCAGAACAATTAATGGAAGACGCATTCGGCTTTAGTATCATGGCGCGCAATAGGGATCTTCTCTGCGATATGATGGATTACATTGATGGGGTTGCACACTTCTCGTTGCATGACCTATATCCTTTACATCTAGCCTCGAGCTACTTGGATGGATCGAAGACGTGCTGTGGTGTGTTCGATGATATTGTGGAAAGGATGCCTTCGGGTGAAGCTTCTGTTCGCAAGCTTTACACCAACCATCTCAATCATACGGTTCTCGATAACCTTATGATAGCTATATTGAAGGGACACACCTCATGCACTCCAGTAATGGTTGACGAAGCCTTCAAAAAGGAGCGTCGGTTTGCAGGGGAAGAGGTAGACATCTGCGGAAGATGGGACGCCGACTCTGATTGCATCCGTCACCTCCATGCAAGTGGCAACCCCACAATACCTCAGAACTGGAAGCACATGTTCTGTCACACATCAGCACAAGCCATAACCCACTGTATTGGAACTCTCTTCAGTCCACATTGGGGACCTGACATCAACACATCCAGCGGTCTTTTCCTCAAGCGCTGTCTCAACGAATCGTGTGGACTCAAACTCCAGCTTAAGCCTCTCCACACTCTAGTTATCACCACAGTCTATCTTGCACAGCTAGGAAGTGATGGAGAGAATCTTTTCGGAATGATCGCATGTCTGCTCTGTCTTTTGGGGAAGGGCGCAAATCCTCTACTGAAAGCAGATGTCTCGTTGAACGCTCTCTTGAATAACGATGATAGCCAACACTGTAGCCATTTCGAGCTTGACCCTTTGGAACTTACGCAGAAGGTGCCCCGGACCCTCATTTCAGAATGGCCACAGGAACGCATAACCGGTTGGAGGACATTTTGTACTATCCTTAAGCTCTCACAAAACGAATGGAACCCTCCACCACGACCTGAACCGCCGACGAGGGCTCCAAGTACTTCAGACGATGACTTTCGAAGTATCTACGGTGTTTTTGTCGAAGATGTAGATGAGAACCTGTCAATCGTCGAACCCCCACTCATGGACATAGATGTAGAAGACGGAAACAACGAGGAAGATGAAGACCGTGACGAAGACATGGATGAAGATTACGACAATGACTCAGACGAAGAAGAAGGTGTTCCTGCGTACTGCTGCTATCATGACGTAACCTCCTATCAGCAAAATTTCTTTGGCAAGAACAAGAGTTTGGCGACTCTATGGGCAGCTGTTCAAACAGAGTTGTTGACCTATAGAAGAATTGCTGAGGGTGATCCTTGGATTTCAGCAAACTTCGATATGCAATCTGTACTCGAGAGCTTGGAAAAGGGGAAAGAGCTGTCCATTCGACTTGTGTCTGAGGGCATGATGAAGCCATTTTGTAGTTGTGGCATCATCTGCGATTCAGAGGATCCTGCATGCCTGCGTGTAGAAGAAGCATCTGCTTATTACTTCTCAAATCTTGAGGATTGGAATCGGACAACCTACTTGCACGCGTTTGAAGATCGCACGATGATCTGGGACTGTTAAACTAGGCCTAAGCGATTTGTTTAAGAAAAGTAGGTATTTATTATTAAAATCGCGACTTTGCACTTTCAAAATATTAAAGTTCGTTTGGTATGTTCAATTAGGATGTAAAAGCTCGTAAGCTCGTTCTCGTCATATTTGTGTGCTCTAAACATGTTTTGAGTTTGTTGTGATAGGATAATTTTCGCCCGTCTGCGTTGACGACAGCTGTATCTACGCTATTGGGGGACAATGTAGCAAATCTTGCAATTCTACAAAGCAAATATTATACACCTTATTGTCATCTCATTCCTTCTGGTCCCTTGTTTTACAGCTGCAATTTCTTTACAGACGCCTCTTCTTTATATCCGCATACTGTTTCAAACGAAGTTTAGGTATAATAATTCTATAATCCCAGAATTATCGGCTAACTTATAGCGAAATCGTTAAGACTAAGATAAAGGACATTGGTTGAATTGTTAAAAGATCCTGTAGCGGGTTGGGAAGTGTCAAGTCTTGTTGTTGAATTAGTGGTGCACTCGCCTTGCTAGTCTACCATTCCTTCCAGCACCAGGTTCAACCACTAATTTAGTTGTCCACACTCTCATCTATCATGCGCCACTTGCGAGAGCTTATTGGCTCATTAATATCGTCATTTGTATCGTCATTTATATCGTCACTTAATTCGTCATGTACGAAGGAACACGTGCATTGGAACACACATCGCTGGAGCTAGTGGCTATAAGAACGAGGCTTTGCACCTTCTTTTCTCCTCTTCCTTTCTTCCATCTGCCTGTACTTTGATTATTTAGGCCTGGCCAACCATCAATAATATCATTTTTGCACCTCAAATTGCTCTCAGCGCAATACTTGTAACATCTTCCTCTTACTTCGGGATGAATTACGCCAAGAGGCTATTCGTCCTCTTTCGACAAAGAATAAAACGCTTTTCTCGATATTTCGCAGTCCAGAGGCCAAATTCACTAGAAAACTCGCTATTGGCCAAGCTCCCAACAGAGCTACTGCAACAAATTGCCAACGATCTTCCTGTCGCATCAGCCGCATCATTTTCTCTCTCTTGTCGGCACATTCTCCTCCTGATCGGAACTCAATACCTTGAGAACCTAGCAACCTCGTCACACGAAACACTGGTGTTCTTGAAACTTGTAGAACATGACCTTCAGGATCAGATCGCTTGCAATTCTTGCAGAAAGCTTCATAGGATAAAAAATGCCAGGAAATACATCGGGTATCATCATTTGGTAGAGCCGGATTGTCTCGTCGATGATAGAAAGGCAAGGGTTTATGGGTATATTCACCAGAAGTTCAGCTCCACTGTTTTCAAGATGGCGATGAAGCACCACCACCTCTTTGGTTATGATGCTCGAAGCCGCCAGCTCTTGAATCTTCTGTCAGTTGAATCCTACACACACGGCTGGCGTACCTTGGTCAAGAAACAAGACGCAGAATGTCGAATAAAAAACGGTTCTCTATTCACCTGCAAACGCGTAGCTTTCCATGGCACGTATACAGCTTTCGAGCGAGGGTCAATACGCTTCTTTGAGATATGCCCACATCTTGAACTTGAATCAATAGGGCGGTCTGCCAGTCTCCGCATCACATCATCGTATCATGTCTCACGTAAGAGGAGTTCAAGGCTACTACATTGCGAGAAGAGTAGTAATACAAAGGAGGGAGATCTCTGCTCGGAGCTTCAGCAATGTCGATACTGTCGAACTGAATATACGGCTGGGTTTGAGTACGATGATGGTTGTACTATAAAATTAACAATCACTATCTGGAAAGATCTTGGGCAAGGGCCAGAAGCGGAAGAATGGAAAGCACATTTCCCCCTTCCAGACCGGCGGTCATTTCCACAACCAATTCAGTTCCATGGAGGAGAGATAGCTTCTGTCTTTCAAGAAAAGGGGACCGATCTGTGCCCAAGATGAAGTCTCGTACTTCTCATCAAAAGAAATCTGAATTCTGTAATTCATGAACCTGAGTATTTATGAATAATTAAGTTGGAGAGCACAAAGAAGGTGTGCTTGAGCGAGCAAAAGCCAGGTGCAGCCAATAAATATACATGGAATAACCAAGATACCAACAATGTGTTAGGAATATATTCCACCGGAGCACATCAAGAGCCGTCAAACAGAGTGCCGACTTTTCTCCTCAAAAGAGTATGGCCTTCTCATCAACTATCAACACTGTACATGCAGACACATTCTCATGGCAAAGACAAGGATACATCATCTCGAACCAAGCACAAAACCAAATCCATAACTCTCAACGAAGCTAAATACAAGAAGCGATCGTCTTCACCTACGGCCAGTCTCCCTTATCTCCTTCCTTCCAAATCCGAACTTTTGCCTCCCACCTCGACGACGAGAATCAAAAAGTCTACTATCAAAAACAAGAACACGAAGTCAAAGGTCCGACCGTCTCAAAACCCAAAAAGTACAATTCAAATGCAAATACGCCAACCCCGGCTCCGCTATATACAAAATCAAATCCAAGCTTAGGAGAGAGCTAAAAGCGGACAGGCGAATGATCGGGACTCCTTCCTTCGATCTTCTCCACAATCTCAAGCACCTTGCCTTTGCCCTTCTCTTTCGCTCTCGGCGATTCTCTCATTTCTCTCTCCCTCAGGTCCTCTTTCTCATCCATCTCAAGCAACGGCTCACTCGCCGCCGCCTCCTCCTCCTTCTCATCAATCCTGACCTCCTCATTTATCCCGAAGAGGTCTTTGACGCTCCGCCTCCCACTCCCCTTCTTACTCTTCATCGACCCCCCTCTCAAGCTCCCAACCTCACTCCTCTCCTCCTCAAAATCGTGATTAACTACCCGAAGCTTCTCCTTGGGGACAGTGAACATAACCTGCACGACGCGGTTCTCGACCGCGCGCTCGATGTCCCACTCATCGTCACTCTCGTCCCCTCCATCCGTTGCCGCTGACGGTCCTACGCTGGTGATGCCGAGAGGCAGAGAGCCTGTAATGGTGTTACTCCGCCCGGTGCTCCGCAGTGTATTATTGTTATTATCTGCAGAATCTTCCCAGTCCCCCTTCCCTTGTTTCCGTCTCCATAAGGTCGCGCCAGCGCTGACTGTCCTCCTGGGCCCGGCTCCACCCGAAGACATAGCGGGGTAATTGAAAGGGCGCGTAGGACTGTCGTCTCTGCTGCCATAACTTGGCGAATCTGGACTAGTGTTCCCAGAAGCTCCACCGACGAAGACCCGCCGTAAGCTGCCTAGGAAGCCTTGTGAGCGGCCTTTACCGAGACCGGTAGGTGGTTTACTCTTCGATGGACTGCCAGGCAAAGAGTCGGGCTGGGAACGGGTTGGCGAGTAGTCTCCTATTGAAAGCTCATCACCTGGCCTGGGGAGCAAGGACTCGCCTTGCTCTTGCAAGGCTTGGAAACTTGTATGTGCGGTGTTGAAGCTCGTACCACTCGTACTTCCCGCGCTTCGTGGAGGATTTCTAGGTCCAAGAGGACCAGGACCAGGACCATCGAAAACTGGACTGATGTTTGTGCTTGGTCCTACTGTTGTCGAGAGGATTGTTGATGTGAAGGGATTCATTCCCGTGATGAAGCCGCGAAGCGAGTTCGATCTTGAGCGGCCTTGGGAGCTCGAGCCTGACCGGGAAATGGTGAAGCCGGAGATGGCGACGCTGCGTTCAGAGAGGTTGCTTGCTGTGCGGCCGCTCTCTTCTTCTCCAGAGATGGAAGCTGCGTTGCTAGCTGCGATGAGCTGGGCTCGTCGTGTGGGTGATAGACGACCGGCGTTGGAGTGGGTGCGAATTTGGGAGTTGAGGAGTACGTCTGCTGCTGCCCAATCCGAGACCCACTCCTGGATCTCTCGTTCCCGGGAGTGTGCAATGGATTCTGCGTCTGGGGTGCGTGTTTGGGTACGAATAGCCGTGGGATTGCCAGCTGGGGGGTCTTTAAATGGGTCGGAGTGGCGATTTCTTTCTGGTGAAGGTCCTCTGGATGATGGTTCACCAATGGCAACACCCACGCCTTCAGCTTTATAAAGAGTATGATCTTCTTCGTCTGCTTCGTATATAGGATGTATCGGTCCAGCAGTTCCCAGACCTGCCCCTCGTCCATGGCTACCTGCGGCGTTGAAATCGAAAGTTGGAGTAGGTTGGTATATTCCACGAGCACTTCTTGAATGCAGAGGCTTCCTTGGAATCTGTCTCGGTGGCGGTGGAACCAATGAAGCGTCCCCCAAACTATGGACATCATGAGCATCAGTATGAAGGTTTTCATATCCAGCCACGGCATTGGTCGAGTCAAAGGCTGGTTCGTTGGAATTGCTTCCATTCCAACCGCCATTAGACCATGGGAATCCACTCCGCCTTTCACCCATTTGGGTCCGGGGAGAGTAGAAATTCGAAGCACCGATACTCAGATTTCTAAGATCGTCCTCCCTCGCTTCCTTTCTTTTGCGCTTTAATCGTCGATTGTACCAGAAGTACAATATTAGTGCACCAATGGTAGCAGCGAGACCAAGACCCAATCCAGCTCCCAGACCAGCTTTTGTTGAATTAGATTTCGACGAAGACGAAGCACTAGCTGCATTGCTTGCAATAGCAGCCACATACGATGGATTGGTGTAATTTGACACCCACTGCATGCTCGTTGCGTTGAAGAACATTGCTGGAGTCGAAGAGCCTGTTGCTCTTTTTGAGCTACTCGAGGCAGATATATTATATCCGCCAAGTACCATCATGACATTCCCAGGAAGCATCACAGCCCCATGGCCATAAATTCCATTACCAGACGGCTGATGCGTTGGAACCTCCCACTGCCAATTCCCATTGCCTCCAAATCCTGTTCCAAGGCTCAAGACAGCAAGTTGTGGATCAGCGGCTTGGTTCACATCACCAACCCAGCCACCGAGAACAATGATCTGTGATCCATCCTCGCTCAAAACTGCAGTATGTCCAGATCTACTATCCACACTTGTTACGGTGCTTTTGATAGCAAGTTCTGTATTACCGTTCGAGATGACTGGAGACTCCACCGTCATGAAACTCCAGCTCTCTTCTGGAAGACTCCAGATTGCAACTTGACTCATGTTTATGAATGCTAATTGCGTGTGACCCCCAAGCAAGACGAAGTTCTGCTGTTGTGTCATTACCCCGGAGCCATTCGAGTATGTGGGAGTCAACCCCGTTATCGTGAAGCCTGCTTCGGCGATCGGGGCAGCTCTGCTTGAGGTGATATCAAGAGTATAGGTTGTGCGGGAGGTCGAGGAAGTGGATGAGGTGATGGTCGGGGCGAGGCGGAGCATCTGGTTGGAGTATGATGCTGATGATTGCCATGTTGAGGTCGTGGCTGATGAGGTCGGGCACATGCCTCCGAAGACATAGATGTTGCTCTGAGAAGCATTGGTTTCGACGATGGTGGAGAAGCTGAATGCCTTGGAGAGGAAGTCAGCCCCTGGGAGAGCAGCAGATGTCACATCGCTAGCTGTCTTTATTGCATCTTGTTCCCATGTGCCACTCCCACTAGCACTTGTATTTGACGGCGTATATTTCCATACTGCGGAGTTTTTGGATTCCGAGCAGGAGCCGGAATACATAGATATTTCATCGGCGGAGGAGATTGTTGGTATAAATGCGATGCTATCATCTGTCAAGAAGGGCAGACTCGGAGTAATCGTTACAAGGGATAAATTCGATGCTGATATGGTCGAGGATATATTGAGAGATGCGAGTTGATGTGAACCAGAGCCCTGGAGGAAGACATATGCGAGATCCTGCTGGTGAGATGAGAACCGTGGGCGAAGTATGGTCGTGGGATTATATGGCAGAGATTGGGCATGAGCAATGGCCAGGAGATGGAGTGACAATGTCCATAGGACAATTGTGACATGGTAGCTCATGATGCGTTGTCGATTGGAATTAAGAGCGGCGTTATAGGGTTCGTCGTCCGGTCGATTTCGTATTTGGTCGCATTATCGCCGTCTCTCGTGGCTTGGGTTTCGATATCCAGCTCTCCAAAGCAGAGCACAGCTCTCTCGACAGCTTTCACCTAGACTCGAAGCAATCCAGAGCGTAACAGAACAATCGATTCTTCGGCCGTAGAGATCTTGACAACGTGAAGCTTCGAAAACGCAGAGGCCACGGGGGAGACCTTGAGAGCTCTCGCCCAGGGTAAACAAGCGCCACGCAGATCCCTTCCAGGGTGCTTGGATGCTGTGCGGTCCAATCAAGGAGCTTACCCCCGCCTCTTCTGGGGTCCTTGACGCCACTTCTTGTGGGCGCGACGTTGCCATGGTGATGGCCAGGTTGGCGGGGGATGTAAAATTAGCATGTGAAGCCAAGTCTAGATTTCTGGAACATCGCGAACGAAAACAATCTTTGCTTTCCGAGATGTAAGATTGTGGCTGTGATTGGTGAAGCTATTGATTATGGCGATCAACAGGAGCGCTAAAGTGTGCTGTCTTCAAGCCGTTCTCCCGCGGAATTGACCTCGGTCCGGATTACGCATCACTACGGCTGGTGAAGTGTGGGGTAGTGGGGAAGCTCCAAATGAACCTCAATTGTACTGTAATATCATTTGAGAAGTCTCATAGTCGTCCAGAAGCCCCTTCTCTTTGCATTTCCAAGGCGTTGTCCTCGTTTCTTGCCTCTCTTCACTGCAACCTTCATCCATCAAGATGCCGGTCTGCGCAATCCACCTTTTGTCTCTCCACACCGCAACCAAGACCATCCCCGCCTTCCTCCATACCCTCCATTCTCACTCCTCAACACTCAAACCCCTCGTTGTTTCGCGAGTAATCCGCTGGATCATCCTCCCCACCTCCCTGTCAACCCCAGAGCTCCTAGCACAGAACATCCACTGGGACATCCTGCTCATCGTAGCCTCCACCACTCCTCTCCCCACCTCTCTCCAAAATTTAATCCAACACCAATGGACAGTCTACGCAGGCGTTCCGTCTCGCCTTCTCGCGGACTTCCACTCAAAGAACCACCGTCTCTTGCATCCCGAGAAAGGCGATATCCCGCCTCTCACAGGATCACTGGACAAACCGCGAATTGCAACTTCAGCACAAGGTCTAGAACTAAGTCCCGAGCTGCGAGAATGGATCCAAACTTTCAGTCAATCCTCAGAAGGGCAAGGCGCAGTATCGATGTTGAATCTCCTCGCTTTCCAGCCAGGTAAAAAGGAAGATTATCTCAAGTACGGTGCAGAGTTTTCGAAATCCATCGGCTCGCGTCGCGGTGGAAACGCAAAGATTGTTGGGAGTGTGGTCCACGACGCAGGGGGAGAGGATGGCGAGGCATGGGACGAAGTGGCGCTAGCGCACTACCCTTCTATCCTGCATTTTGCAGATATGCTCGCATCTCAGGACTACCAAGCTGTGAATCAGAAGTATCGAGTGCCTAGTCTGAAAGATACGTTTATTTTGTGCACGTCTGAGATCGGAATAGATGATTTCGGGAGCGGGAGGGAAGGACCGAAATTGTGAGCTTCGGGTGCGGATGAGGGAGGCAGTCTGGATCGCAATGGCACTCAGATTATATCCTCAGTCAACATTTCAATGCCCCATATATTCAATGTCCTTCCACCACCTAGAAGATCCTAAAACGAAATAGATTCTTTTCATCTAGACATGAACTTTCAACCTCAGCAATAATTAATTTTCACATAATATATTTACGATTACGAAAGAGAACAGAGGGGCGACTTCAAGATGGCAGATTTAACGCCACCACCCAGCCCTTGCCGCCTATCCTCACAGAACCCTTGCCGCCTCTCCTCGCCCTGCCCAAATCGTCTTTCCTCACTAAGATATATCTCCCCACCAAATCGCCTCTCCTCTCCAACAAGGGATCTCCATCGCATCCCCGACCGTCACCGCTCTATCACGAAACGAAGACGCAGTGAAACATCCAGATCCCACCTCCTTCTCCTCAAAATCGAGAGTGCTCGGCTCAGGATTGAGAACGAGCGGTTGAAGGAAGAGAATGCACAATTGAAGGAGGAGAGCGCCCGATCAAGCGCAGAGAATGCTTATTGGAGAGAGTGAGTTGACCGTCTGCGCGAGGAGAATGGTCGCTTGAGGGAAGAGAACTTCCATTTGGGGGAGGGGGATGCCAATGCCAATTTGAAAGAAGACAACGCTCGACTACGCCAGAAACTTCGACTCCAAGAGCCGCTCGTGAGAGTAGGAGTCTGCATTAGAAGAAGGTTTCTCGAGAAAGCGCGGCAGGAAAGAATGGGGATTGTTGGAGTTAGAGAGCATGATTTCGCCCGGCAATAACGCTGCGCATGCAGGTGACTTAGTAGCTGATGTAGCGCTGTTTGAGTTGGGGTATATGAAGGGCTTCGACCCATTTCCGAACACTGACTCTGGCTCTGAGACGAAGGAGAAGGAGCAGGAGAGAGCGGAAGTTGGAGAGGGAGATGAAGATGAGGAAATGGAAGACGGGTATGAAATTGGGGAGTACGGGTTTGAATACCATTTCGAGTCGCGGTATAAGAATCTATGCAAGGAATTGTACGGCGATGAGTTTGAGCATTGGCAAGAAGAGAACGTATGGGGAGGAAGAGAAAGAGAGGTGCGTGACATGACTGCTACCATGGCAATCTCCTGTGGGAATTTCTTTGCGGGCGAGACGGAGAGTGGAGACTCGAATTTTGATCGGTTCAATGTGCTCGTTGAAGAGCTGAACAGGTTCAAGTGTTTGATTGATGAGCAGTGTAGCACCCGAGAGGAGAGGGTGAAAATGTTTGAAGAGAGCGAGGAGGTTGGAGCAAGGTTGGGTCAGATGAGAGGTATTGTGAAGGAGACGAGTCACTGGGCCTTCCGTCACAGGACGTGCGGGGGGAAGAAGGTGGAAATGGCTCTTTCAAGCTCCCCACACGCAACGCCCGAATGGTGTGGGGTTCATACGTCTTTGGTGGGGGTGGAAGTGGGAATGGATTCATGATGTATTGATTCAGGAGTAAAAGAAACAATATTTGGAACAAATGTCGTCAATGTCTCTCAACCTTTTTGAATTGCAAAGTTGAAGAACAGAAGGCTGAAAAAAGAATTCGCGAGGCTGAGACCCCACGTTAAAAGGCGACAGGCCCCATTCGCTCATCCAAAAATAGATGCGTACAGGGGACAAAAATCAGTGAAAAAGCTACTGCAGGAACAGAAGCTCAGTTCGTGTTCAACAAAAGAGCAACAAGAACTTGAAATTCAACAGTTCATGTAGAAAACTTTTGAATTTGAGTTCCTTAAGGATCTCGCGGCTCACTTGAAAAATTTGATTTGTGTTTCAAGTCTTTGGAAGGATGGCGGGGAATCCAGCTGCAGACGCCAATCTGCATTCCATCGGATTGTGGCGTGCAGGGGATTGACGTTGTATTCCGAATTCGACTGTACCATGTATTTCAGCGAGAGAAAGCTGAGGAGATATCTTATCGCAAGCCGGTCGTGCAACAGGAGCCATCTCTTTGACGTCAATCAGTATCGTGCAATTAGCAACTTGGAGTGACCTCCATCTGACGATTCCTGCCACTCAGGTTCATCGGCTCACCACGTCTGGTTTGTCGTCGCCGCTTGAAGGGTATGCAGCGAGCATGCACAAGCCGGGATACTTTCAGGATGCCCATCGTTCCGGGTACAAATTTCCTATGGGGAAGAAATAGATAAGAAAGCCTTGATTTCTTGAAACGAAGAGACGAAATACCTGGTACTTATCCTGACTTCCGCCGTCTGTGTGAATTTATCCAGATGGCAAACTCAAAAGTCCATTTGAAGTAATTGCGAAGGACGAGGGAGGAAGTGAGGCGTGAGGAGTGAGGCGTGAGGTCAGTGAAGTGCTACAGCATTGATGGGTGGCGTTCTTACTATCACGGATCCGGCAACCGCTAATCCACGGCACAAAGCAGCGATGGCGGTTTCAACGCACCGCCCACATGCCACACTATGACAAATGGGGGACTTTGAGGCTTTTGAAATTGTCTTTGGGAAATCTCAATTTCCCGAAAAGTGGAAACATTTGCAGCGATGACGATGGATCGCCGGCGGGTGCCCTGCTCTTCGCTTGCGGCGTCAGAGCATCTGAATGGCTGACGGGGGAGTGTTGAAACAACTGCCTGCAACGTCGTATCTGCGGGGAAGGGAAGACGACTCTCGCGATACTTCTCGCGCCGTGGTGTTGCGGACGGCAGAGAAGGCCAGCGGTACGATGTCAGCACTGGCGTATGGCCGCCTTCGCATGATACCAGCTGGGCAAATACGAAGTGTGTGTTCAACTACAGTCTAGCTTGAGAAAAACAAGCATTGCCAGTCCCCACAACACACGATCCCCGGAGCTGCGAATGACGACAACGAACGGAGCGTTGACTCTGAGATAACCTCTTCTTTTCCTAAAGCGGACTGGGAAGCGAATACTTCGTGGCAAAGCAGGCCAATCAGAGAGCACGAAAATGAAGAAATGAGCGAAACGGGCCTTCTGGTTCGGCGCGTGTTGAGGGACAGACTGCAGACTGCGTACAGCAGTGGAAGTTGTCGGCTCTTGCTGTGCCCCCGTCGATGAAGGACAGTGCTGCGCCTTCTGGCAGGGGTGACCATGGGCAAAGTCCAATTTGCATGCCGGCCGGCCAAGGAGGTGCTGGTGCAGCGCCGCCTCAAGGAATAATGCCAAGATTGAACTCCCGACTCCCGAGCTCGCGAGCTCGCTTCTCCCTTTCTTTGTTTCTAGATCTTAGATTTATTCACATTCCATGGTGTTTCTCTCAATGCCCATAACTTTACCGGCCCACCCAGAGAGAAGTCGATCACAGCACTGGAAATTATTCTAGCTGTGCGTCTGCAGGTAGCAAGGGGTGGCCGTCGCTTGCACGCCAGTCGAGAGCACTGAGCACTCGGGTCTTGCGTCTGCCCACCGTCTCCAGCCTCCTGCACACTACGCAGCCCGTCAACGCACCAGAGGAGGACCAGCACGGCTAGGCTAGCCTCGAGGCGCTGAGGCAGATTACTATCTCCTCCACGGCAACCTTCCGCTCCGAGCGAATTATTCTCGAAGTGTTACCTTCTTTCCTCACCTCGCAAGCTTCGAGTCGACGACAAACGAACCGCCGTGGTGACATGTTGGCCGTGATTGCCCTCTGACATTCACCTGCTGATGATTCAATGGGATACCTTGATTGATATCTTGCGTGCGGTTTACCTTCTCCGGCCAACAATCCTGTTGTCCTTCGTCATTTGCGACGACTGAGACACATTCCCTCTACATCTACGATCTGTTCCCCCAGCACGTCGAGACAACACCAGCAAAGATGTCGACACATCGATGGAACGTCCGTATGGCACTCGGTGCGCTCTACGTCTGCCTTCTCGGTCTTTTATCCCATGCCTCTGCACAGACTATTCTTTGCTCCGAGATTAATACTTCGAGCATGAGCAAGAGTAAGCATCATATCACTTCTTCGCAGAGATCCCTACTAACTATATGGCTTCAGATACCACCCAATTCCAATCGCATGGAGCGTGTTCTCTGTTCTGCCAAGGAGTTCAACATCCAGATATCAATAGCATCTCATACGCCTTCGCAATCCTCCAGAATGATGGGTGCTGGTGCTCGAACTACTTTCCCACCGGCGGCAACCTGACGCAAGGCTGCTCAACTCCGTGTCCTGGATGGCCATTTGAATACTGTGGGGCTGGGAATGGACATTTCACTTACGAAGAATTGTCTACAACTCCCTCAGGTACTGCAGGTGCCGGTGGTCCAGATGGCTCTGCAGCTTCTTCGACAACTGCTGCTCCGGTTAGTACAGTCTGTTACCCCGCGCCCCCTTGCTTTGCCTCCGCTCTGTACTGTTACTTCTTGTCGTCATGCTTGCTCTTCCTGCGGCCATGTTGACTTTGAGGAACAGGTAACATCTACTGCCACTCCGAGCCCTTCTTCTAGCGATGATTCTTCTACTTCTTCCTCTTCGTCCGAGACTTCATTATCTGTATGCTCTTCTCATTGGTTCAATATTTATATGGAGGCTTTTGAATCATGTGTTCTATCCAAGCGTTCATTGCTAATCATTTTCAGTCTACCAACAAACAAGCTTCCACATCCGAGACGGCTACACCCATCATTTCTGTCTTCACAACCATTGGTCAAGTCCATACGATCACCATTACACCGACAGCATCTGCAAATTCGCAAACTGGGACAAGTCAGAAGAGCACTAGCGGTAAATTGGGCACGGGAGGTGCAGTGGGTCTGACTATTGGTCTGGTGGCCCTAATTGCCACTGTCACCGCCCTCCTTTGGTTCTATTTCAGGAGGAAGCGCAAGCAGGAAGCTGAAGAATTCAACAACGCCAGCAGGAGAGGAAGCACTGCGGGTCTTGGAGGTCCAATTCCCTCGAGGACCATGAGCGAGAACTCGCGTTATGTTCTTGGTACCGACGGCAGACAAGTGGTAGAAACATGGGAGCCAGGAGACGCTCCTGGCTCGAGAAGAAGCAGATTGATGCCTGTCGATCCACGACTAGATCCATTTGCACCGGTCTATCAACGTAATGGAGACAACAAGAGTCGAGAGAGTATGAACACAATCCGCGACGATCACGATTACTCGAGACGAGTCGTTCATCAAGGACCGATCCTTCGAGCAACCAACCCTGATCACGCTGAAGACTGATCCCCTCATTAGTGATTTCCTTTTTCATCACGAACACGACCGAAACGACACTTTCTTTGCACGTAATTCACATACAGGTTGCATGTCACGCCACTTTTCCGGCGGGCTCTGGCGTTACAATGGACTTGGGGCCTCAAAAGGGCGATGGACGGGATCATTGAGCGAACCTTGGGCATTTGAATTCCAGATTTCCTTGCAACCAGTCTGGCGCCTTTCCCTTTCTATCTTCTTCGGGACTGGAGCCAGCGAATGGAATGGAATTGGGCTTGCGCTTTCGATTCCCTTGTGTATTATAAAACCTTTAGGCGGAGCGGGGACGAGAGTTGGATTGTACAGAGGTCGACGATGATACCTATTTGGCGGAACGAACGAAAAAGGAGCACCAGAACTTGCATGGGATGTGCTTGTTAATGCACGGGTCATAGATAGAGTCCTGTGGCTTGTACATAGATGAGAGAGAAAGAGCCTGGGCAGGCTTTACTTGCTGCTTGACCTGGGACATGAACATACAATACAAGCATGACCTTCCAGCATTCTGCTTACCACACTTTTTTCGCCCTGTAATTCAAGGGTTCGGTCAAGCTCACCTGATGAGATTCATCCTTCATCTATTTCATTTAAGCTCACAACAGCCAAGGTAAGATAGCCAGCTGCAGCTAAAAAACACATCATTTCCATTCACTCCCAGCAATCACGCCAGAGAGCAATCACTCCAAGCCTTCCAATTATCATGTCCATAGCATTCACCCACTTCCTACCCACCTCGTTCTCAACCTCCTTACCTCCCCCTCTCTATGTAAAACCTCTCACGAATTCCTTCGAATCCTTCAGACAGCGCACACTTCACGATCTACAAAGTCCAGAGATCTTCAACTACTCGCCACTGAACTTATTCGGATGCCCATGCGGAAGAGACAGCCCCCCCCCCTCTTCCACCTTCCCCTCCCCGGCCCCCTTTTTTCGAGGTTAGCCACCGTTTACTATTCGCAGATAGCTGAGACGATCCGTGACAGCGGATCAGGCGGCGGCAACAGCTCGGACGGCAGGAAATCAGACGGGCCATTAGATGAAGGGCGTCTTGTTGGCTCTTCGTCTCCGGAACTCCCCCTCCAAGTTCCGAGACCTGTGTATCCATCCGACCACGGTTCCAGGTTGGTGGTCTCTCGCTGGAGAAAAAGTGGCAGGTACCGGCGGTGTAAGGAGCGCGAGCCCCTGAATATCAATCATTCAAGATCAGCCACTGTCTCAGCGCTCCGATGAGAATTTGGCGGAAGGGCGTCAATATATGTCGGTCTCGCCCATCTCTGCTCCTTAAAATTTGAACCCTACTCAATCATCGCTCGCTTTTTTCTTTTTCTTTTCATTTCAAGCGGAACCTGGCCTCTCGCCTCTCGAAAATATAAAGCCTCTTCTCAACGAGAATCCTCAACACAGAGAAGCATATAGAGTGGTGTCTGACTAGTTGTTAGCGCTCTCATGTCTCGGGCCTTCCCCTCGAGATCGTACCCTCCGTTTTCGTTCCGGTTTCCTTTCACGAGGTGCTAGCTCGCAAATAGGGAGATTGGCTTCTGGTTCTTGTTGTTGTCAAGGAACGAGATGACAAGCTTTGCTGTCACGCTTTTCTTGGTGTCAGTTTCCGAAACCTCAATGTAAGTACCACCTTCAACCCATCATTTCGAATCTCGTATCGTTTCCTATCAACACCCCCTTCCAGTTTCCCATGGAGCCCTGGGTAGATGCTCTAGATCTTCGAAATTGCATTGATGACGAAGTTCCGCTTCATGCGGGTGAGTTTATCTTCGCTTGGGTGGGATCTCCAAGACTTTCGAAAGTGTTGGCTTCGACATCCAAGGCTCGCCTGACACAGGTCTATGGGTCAGGATGCAGAAGTTTCGCTGCGTCGGTTAGGAGAAGTGGAGAGGGGAGGTTCTCCTTCCCACCTCTACTCCTACCCTGGTCGCCAGATTAAACCTCACCCACTCATCGTTTTTCATTACTTATCAAACCTTCATTTCGTAGCAAGTTCCAATCTCTCCCTCTAGTATATATACTCCCATTCCTATTCCCCCTCTTCCCTCAACTGCCGAAAATATTCTGGAACTGCGGGTAGAAGAGTTCTGTTGAGGCAAGCTAGTCTTCCGCACTAAAATTCAAGCAATATATAATAGCACCGCTCAGCTCTCGAGGTTTTCTTTCCAGACTTATCCCAATACCTCTGCACCTGGTGAGAAGGTAAGAAGTTAAACTCTTGGTTACTCTGTGGCAAAATATAGCCCCCTGATGAACACTGAAATTTCAATATCCAAAATAAAGCATTAGTAATCTTTGAATTTGGAGGAGCGAACGGTGGGAGGGCTGAGATGGGATGAAGCATTTCTATTACTCACTTTTCACCCGTCTATTAACGTTTGTTATTTGTTTTGCAATTACGTTTTGTCTCACTAGTATCTTTGAGGAGAAAGTGCGTCATGTTATCCTTGAACATTTTTTTATCGTTGTGAGCTATGCTGGATTCGATTGTGGCTGTGGTACGGCGGAGGATCCTTGAGGGGCATGTAAAGTTCCGTGAAAGAGCTGGAAACCACTGCAAAGTAACGGGTGAATTTGGGAAAGGTGTTTATAGAAAGTTATGTAGAGGATGGGTGCAATATCTCAGGAAGAAGGCTCCAGCTTGTCTTTACTTTTGATCACGTTCACTTATATGTGAAGAGCGAGGATATATTGAAATTGACAGCTCATTGTGCCAGGGGTGCTCGCCTCGGAGTTGCCCAGTTAATTGAATAAAGGGAGGCAGATAAGGTGACGCGGAGCTATGTCAAATATAAATCTTATCTTCCTCAAAATCCCTAATGCCAAAACCTCAATCATTCTATCAAACTCAAACCCGTCATCAGATACAACGAGACATTCATCCAAAATGCCGCAACCTCAATTCAACAGCGAGAATCTCTTCGCTTCATCCCCAGATAAACAAACATGTCCTTTTTCGCGCCTTCCACTCGAGATCCGCGAGTTGACTTGTAGCCACCTACTCCCATCCACAGCTACCCTCCACGCCAACGTCGATGAGATCTTCAGAGCGATTGCGGACCATGAACACGGCAGGTCCAGGTTCCAAACACACGAAACAGTCCTTGCACTAGCACGCACTTGCCAAGGCCTTTACGCGGAAGTTGTGCCCTTCTACTATAGGACCAAAGCTTTCTCCTTCAACAACGCATACGATCTCTACCGATACCTTTACATGATTGGATCTTTCCGTCGGCAACAAGTGCAGAGGATCAGCTTTTGGTTGCGAGGAAGTATTTCGAGCCGTTGGACCACGCCGAATCAGAAGGTTTACGAATGGGCTTCTGAAATGTTGAGCCAGTGCCGTTCTTTGCACAGGCTCGGTATTGGCGTAAGTGAGGATACGAAGGATGAGCGGATTGGGAGTGGTCCTGTTAAAGGGCTGGATGCTTTGGCGGGTATGGGATTGACGGATTTGGAAGTTAGGGTGAGAGAGGTTTCTTTGTGGGGATCTCACTGGGTAAGTGTTTGGGATATGCAGCTGGATGATCAGCCGGAAAGCGAGAGGTTTTTTGAGCCGGAATTGGTAAGTGCATTGCAGAAGAGGCTATGTCAGAATATGAGGTCGGAGAAGGGCGACATCAGCGAGAAAGAAAAGACCGAGGAGGCGGGTGGTGCATCAGGAGTCAGTGATGAGGCAGACGAGTCAAGATCTGCTCCTAAGAAGGCTAGAGATAAACGAGGAACCTCAGATGCGACTCCAAACGAAAGAAAGAAGAGAGCGAGAATTGGACTGGTTGAGAAAGGAAGGAGCAAGTAAGAGCAGCAACTGGGAGTGAGAGAAAAAAAGGGGCCGTCAAGGAGAGAAGCTGTGTTTCTAGATGTCAGCTCTAATGGTCAGGAATATACAAGACTTACGCCAAGCAAAAACACCAAGACTCCTAGAATATGTATATTCCCTCAATTTCAATGTCCTATGAGTTGCGGAACATCTAAGCTCGGTCTCTTTAAATAATTCCACGAGTTGTTCCTCTCGAAGGGTTAATTGAACACCTACGATATTACCTCCAAACCACTGCCGAAGTAGATGAAGTGCTTAGGCTACACGAAACGACACAGATGCTACGAAATTTCTTCCCTGCCAATCAAGTATCCGATCGACTGCCACCAGCTTTACACTGGACCGTGCACTTCAAAGCGAGCAAATCGAGCAAATCAGAGAGCCGATATTTGGGTTTGAGCGTTTTGATTTGCTGCGATTTTGCGCGTACAATTGATCATGAAGTATCCCTTCGTCCGGTAGAAACTGTCCACGCTAGCAAGGGGGGCCTGGCTCAGGGCGAAAACGTGTGCCTTTGCTTAGAAACCTATTAGTCATCTATCGCCTTTTCGCCCTGAGCCAGGCCCCCCTGCTAGTGTGGACAGTTTCTACCGGACGAAGGGATAAAGCTGGCGGCAGCCGATCGGTTATCTCAGCAACGCTCTCCCCATCGAGAGCGTTACTGAGCTTGCATTGCAATGCTTCATAGATCTGGGGGACTCGAAAAGCATGGGTACGGCTACTGTCCCTTCTTGTAAACGTTACTAACCACTACTGAGTAGAATATCAACTCAAGTCAAAATCTTCCCCTATTAAACAGGCACAGGTGAAAGGTTCCTTGATTGCCAAGTTTGTTTTGTTGTCATCGACTCGACATTTGTCGGACGATGCGCCGTTGTCATCGGAAATATCAGTGTGAGAAATGAATAGATTAGATTAGATTAATGGCTATTAATCTAATCTATTCATGAAATTTTCTCATTAATCATATTCTATTCACGAATTAATTAAGCTAATCATGAATATTCATGAATAACTTGATTAATGTACACGTGCCCGCAGCACGTGATAGGCTAGCCTAATTAGGTAAGGATCAGGCCCTAGTGCTACCTTGCTTCTAGAGAGAAAAGCTCGCTAAGGCAGTGCTAGAGCGGGAACCTTACTTAATTAGGCTAGACTATCACGTGATGTAGTCACGTGTATATTAATCAAGGTATTCATGAATAATCATGATTAATTATTCTAATCTAATCAAATTACATAAGTATCATGTTAATCAAATTCTATTCACGCTATTCATGAATATTCATGAATTAATCAATTAATCAGATTAATTTTTTCACACACTGGGAAATATTGATTCTCGCCTTGTACCAAGGTAACCAGCACCCAAGTTCTCTTATAGTCTCTGCACTTGTTTTGACACCAAAGCCTCGTGAAGTAAGCTTTGTCATATTTTGACCCATCGATAGCAAATTGGGTCGATAGGTATTCTCTTTCGATCCAGATGACCTTCTCAGACGTTTTTGTTTCTGGTACTCTTTAACTTACAAGACGGAGTACTCAGACCTCGTGTCAAGGTCCCTTACCACAGAGTTTAAGTAGGATCGAGGCTTCCCAAGTGCTGAGACACCGAAGCAGTTGAAGGGTATACACTAAAGCTGTATTCGAGACGATGTAACCATTTGGCTCCACAGAGCCATTGTACCCCCAGAAGCTGTTGAGGTATTGCTGGGGGTGGTGCCTGGGAGTTGATTGAAGTTCTCACCCTGGAAAGGGTTCAATACCTCCTGTGATTCAAGTCAGCCCTTGTACGCCAGGTAGGCCTGGAGTTGGCTTTGGTAAGCCATTGTTCCTAGGGGAATTGGTGGAAATTGAGATGAAAGAAGGAGATCAAGTTATGTTGCGTGATCGATAACGGATTGTGGATGTTGCGAATGGGAAGGGAAATGATGGAATCTTGAAATTCACCAAGTAAACAGTGAATGAGCTTTCTAAGCGAGCCTGCTTTCAATGTACTCTCTTTCGCCGGAACAACGCCAATTTCGAAGACTCCACTGGCAGCACGATATTTTGGAATGCAAAGAATGATACGGCCTCGTGCAATCCCGCTGGTGGAGAAATTCCAAGCATGCTTCCCTACAGTCCAGAAAGGACACCGCTGCTGAATTCCAGGCCAGCAACTGAACACTTCCACACATGGAGCCTCTTGGGGCTGAATCTTCCTATTCAAAATCCCCATCATGCTCCAGTGGTAGTTGTTGAGCTCTTGAAGCAATTCGAGATTTAATTAACAAACAAATTTTCAACTAAAAGGGGTATTGCTTATCACGTGCACCGAGAACAATTTAGCTCAGAACAGGACGCAGGACAACAATTCAGGCTATTCTGGTTTGCTCACCCTGACAGCCCTGGCCTACCGTACACCTCCAATACGCAACCCTCAAAGGGTGATTCGCTAACATCCCACAATCAAATCTCCTATCCCACTCTCCCACGTAAAATTCCAGCTCTTCCAGCTCTACCCCTTCCTTTCCTTCTCTCATATCATCGAAGAGCTTTGTCACCGTATCAAAATTAATCAACGGATCCACTTCATGGTATATATCACTCGATTTATTAGTAATCTGGGACTAAGAATCCTCATACTCGTAGTACGAGATACCCGGCGCGTTAAAATGCTCATCCGGAGTCGGAAATCGCAATGTTAAATGATTGAGTGTTGGCGTTGAGAGGATATCGTTCAGAAGTCCACAGATATTCGGTGACAAGTTGAAGTCCCGAGGGACATTCAGATCCAAGTGCTCGAGTTTTGGACTTTTAGCCAAGAGGAGGGAGAGCTTGCTCTGCTCGAGGAAGAAAATGTTCTCTCCACTAGCGCCGTAGGAGAAATGTCTCAGTTCTTGTGTGAGATTCGGTAAGGATGTAAGGGTTTGGATGAGTTTGTCTCCTGACTCGGCACCCATGTTCTGGAGCGAGAGTGAGTGAAGAAGGTTCGTTGTTCCGTTCGTCACGAAGGAAAGGATCTCGTCTTGTGTGGCAGCCCATCCACTAGCCGCATTGATAGAGAGATGCCTCAGTGCTGGGAGAGCGGGGCCGCGGAGGCGGTTCTGCGTCATCGCCGTCATCGCCCTCGTATTCCTTTAGTTCTACAACATTCCATTCAGCACGGTATTTTCGCCATGCCGAGGCAATTCCCCAATCACACGTCTCATCTAGCTCGTATCCTTGTAGCTTTAGTACTTCTAGTGGTGCAAACCGTGTGGAGGGATTGGTTAAAAAAGGAAATACCCAGGGATTGTCGACGCTCCGATCGCATCCCTCTGCGTGAAGGTAGAGATCGAGCTCCCTGATATTTGATGCATTCGACAAAGCTGCAAAAACAAAATCCAAAGGCTCGTAATTTGCATAGTATTCATAGCTGATATTTCCCTTCGACGAGTACAAGAGCTTAGAGTTGACCAAAGACGAATTTGCCTTGATATACTTATCGAAACTATGGAAGTTGTAGTACAACTTGGATTCTGGGTTATTTTCTTCGAGAGAGTGCAAGATGCTATCGGTCAGAGGCTGGCGAATCTCCCAATGTACTTTCTTCAGACCATGCATTTTGCTGAAAGCATGCTCCACCAGCGGAAGGTTACCAGTCCAGTTGCGACCTTTGAAGGTAATCTTGCGCACGTTGTTGGGGTCTGCTCTTGGACTGATGAGGAAGTTGAGCATTTGCTGGGTAAGGCCTGAGCCATCTTTGCTGAAGTCGAAGGTCAGCTCTGAGATTGGAGAACGGCCGCCATAGTCTCCCATTAATGGGCCTTCAAATCCGCAATCTTCGGATTTGCCGTCGATTAATGGGATGTCCTGACTGCGACTCAAGTCATCGAGACTTGGGCAGCGAATGAGGCAAGAGCCGGGAGCAACCAGGAGGCTCAGAATGCAGAAAAGAGCGTACAATCGGGGAGCAAACATAATTGCTAGACTTTAGATAACTCGAGAGATGATTGAAAGTGCTCTTCTATCACCGTGGACACTTCATCCCAATGATCGCAGGAGTCATAATCCTTTCAATATCTGGCCACAACCCTTCTGCCCTGTTGCCTGGGCTGACGACTTATGTGAAACAATTGTTGTTCATTCGGACCAATAAGGTGAATGTGACTGATTTGGACCCCATCCTATCGCAATAATGGTCAATTGTCGAGACTATTGAATACGTGAACCAACGTGTCAAAGCTGAACATGGAAGGATACGAATTATGAGATGAGGTGAGATTAAGATTTCTTGGTCTGTTTAGCGATCACTTAGCCGGTTCCTAGCGCCTGGGCACCCCTGAAGCCCCTATTGTTCGAAGCGAAGCCAAGTGACTTGGAAAGGCTGACTATTGTCTTTTCCAGATGGAACTACTTTTACGTCGGACTACTGGAAACACGGGTCTCGGAGAACGGAATTCGAACAGGATGTAACAGAGGCGGGAACTGCGTATCGGAGCACTTGCTCTTGATTCACCAGTGATTGTTTCTCCTGGGGGAGGTGAAAAGAAGGCGCTCACGACCACGGCTGGAACTGACCAATATGGGAAGTCATAATAAATATATAAAGAGCGGCTTCAATGGCAGCATGACTCCTACCATAATGCTAAAATCATCCACAGCAATCCTCATCACGGCAGCAGCACAACCTGACTGCCCCAACCAGTCGCCTTGCTCGCTTCCTGCACCGCCTCTCCAATGCTGTCAAGCCCAAACTTCCCCACAGTCTTGAAATTTGTCCCTTTCTCTCCTAATTTCAAATTTCCCTTCTCAACCATTCCAAGTAATCTAACAATCATCTCTCGCTCATACATGAACCTGCCTTGAATCCTTAAGCTCTTCATCATCACCATGCTATAGTCAATCTCCACTCCCCCAATAATGCCACCCATAAACGCTGCTTTCCCCTTCTGCCTCAAAGCACCCAGTGCCGCGTTGATGTGAGATGCCCCCTTGGCTACGGCGGGACTGAAGTCGATAAAAGCATCTGCTCCTTTTCCGTTGTTTCCTGAGGCGGAGACCATGGCTTTGGTATCGATTGCGATATCACCGGTAAGGACTACCGTGGACAGACAGCCAGTGGGTGAGAAGAAGCTGGACATCGTTTCCAATGTTGAAGCATTCCTGCCGCAGGCAACGACACTGGCACCCATCGCGAGGGCAGTCGTGACGGCCGAGCCGCCGAATTTACCGGTTGCGGGGGCAACTATTACGGTGTCTCCTGGACGAACATCGATTTCTGAAAGTCCACCGAACGGGACGAGAAGATCTGGTTCAGAGTTAGTACGAATGTGGAGATGATGAGGAGGAAAGCTTACTGGGTAGAGCACAGAGATCCTCAATGCTGTAGCCGAATTTCCCAAGAAGAACCTCCTCATTGAGGGGGAAGACGTTCTCGGTTGGAAATTTGGCATATTCGGCATATGGGCCGTCTCTCCATTCACCATCCATGAGTTTTGGAGCAGCACCTCCGTGTAGACCCATCAAGATTGCCGCATTGGGATCATCGCGGGCTCGGACCGTCATGTCGCAGTAAACGAGTTGGCCAGGCGTGAGAGAGATTGCGTCGGGGCCGATGGAGTGGATGCGAGCGAGGCAGCTAGAGCCTGGTACCATGGGCATAGAAATGGCGTAGGGTAACGAGCCATCTAAAACTGCGGCAATGTATGGGATGACGGATAGGCCAAGGACTTTGACGATGACACTTCCTGGGACGGCGGTGGGTATGGGACGCACATCGAGGGAGAGAGGCTCCGATGTTGATTTGAGAACCAAGGCGCGGTATGTTGCCATTTTCAGATTTCAATTCTGCTAGTGATCTTAACCAGAAGATCTTATTAAATGCGAATGGAAGAAGTCCTGAGGTGAAGAGATCGAGAATTCCAAAGGCGGTGAAAGGACGAACCACAACGCAATGTAAGGAGGCAGGCGAGGCAGATTGTACTCCAAGGTTGGTAATGGTAAAGACAATGGTGGAAGAGTATGGAGGTTTATATATAGATAAATACCTCGGCTATCTTGAGATCCGGAATTAAGTTTCTCGTTGCATGATGTACGCCTTGGAGAGTGAGGACTTTATCAGCGCGCGGGCCAACCGCCAAGAAAGTTCCCCCATGCAGACGGGACAATCTTTGCCCTTCAACTTGCAAAGAGCCAATCGTTCCGAGGACAATCTGCATGCTTACATCGAGAGGATTCATTGAAAATCTTATTTTTAGCGTCTGCCGCAGATACTCAATTCCACATCAAAAGGTGATAATGGGTGGTGGCCTCTCTGGAGTGTGGAAGAAGATGCGGAAATACCGGAGAGTATCTCCGCTTAGAGTGTTAGTGCGGCTACACGTGACTGTGTACTGGTTGAGGTGGTTGGAGAGAGAAGGAGCTGCAGTACGGCAATATCAGCAGTCATTTGCTAATCCCGAGTTGCAAGACGATGTTGGCTGGAAATAAGAGGCGTTGTCCGAAAATGTCTTTTGAAATACCTCTATTTTGCCTGGACTTTCCAGACTTGGGAATCCTTCTAAACAAAGGGATTGCAATGTATGCAAAGCCAGACTAGAAAAGATCACTACCGCGTGAGTTTGCACATAACATCATCGTGGACCAAGTTGGCGTTCAAATCCAACCATCAAATAAATCTCAGTAAACGAAGACACTCAGAACACCTCCTTGGAACGCCCAAACCATAGAGAAAATACGAATGCATAATAAAAGCTGGAAAGTAGGACCAGAATTCTTACTGCTTGGGAAACTTGCTGCTTTCCTTCAACCACTTGCTGAAATCTTGCAGTCTGGGCTCTTCCTTCCGCAAGGCCTGAATATCAACACCGTAACCTTCGTCCCGGAACCAATTGAACATAGTTCCCACCTCTTTGACCATCCATTTAATGCCCGAGCCCACGAAGCCATAAGTCTGTGGCAGATCAGACCCCATTGTATCCTTGAACACCTTCTTCGTTTGTGCGAGCGTCAATTCGTCACCAGCCAGTCCAATCGCCCTGTTCTTGAACGATGGATCTGTAAAGGCTCTCGCACCGAACAAGCCAATATCATGGACAGAGATAAGCTGGAGAGGTTTATTGCCCAGTCCACCTATCATGCCTGCAAACGCCTTGCCAAAGAAGCTTGGGTTGAGATTGTCCATAAACGCCACAGGTCGTAAAATTGTGTAAGACATCTTGTTTCCATTCCCAGACTTCTCTTTTAGGTATTCCTCAATTCGATGCTTCGAGGCGAAGTGTTCGATGTTTGTAGGGTTTGTCTCGCTCTTGTCTCCTCCTCGGTCCACAGAAGTGAATACGAAATGCTCGACCCCGTTTTTGATCGATTCGTCGATGAGGGGCTTTGCTTGTGCCTCCTCTGCGCCATGCTTGCCCGGGACAGTTACGCAGAGCACGCCGTAGAGGGGTTTGTTGGCTTCGAAGATCGAGGCGGGGTTCGTGATATCACCCTGGACAACGGTGACGTTGGGCTTTGAGGCAAGAGATTGTGCTTTGCTGGCATCGCGAGTGAGGGCGAGGATCTGGAATGGCGCTTTGCTGGCGATTAAAGCTTCGAGTACAGCCCCTCCTTGTTTCCCAGTGGCGCCTGTCACCAAAATCTTCCTGGCATTTGGCACTGGTGGCATCTTGGGTGAAGCTCTGCGTCTGCGAGCTTGGAGCTGTCTGCGATGTTGGTTCTTCTCGAGAGAATCGAATTAGAATGCTCAGATGTTAGGCGAGAGATAGCAGTTGAGTGGTACTGGAATTGCGATTTGGATCTGTCATATATAGCTTGATGAATAATGCAACTGGACTCCGATGGGGCTAAAGAGAGGCACCACGACCTACATGCCGCTTACCAATAATACTGTACCGGACATTTTAAAACGCCGCAGAGAGCGATTATAATAACAGCTCCGGTCGGCCTGCTGCGGTTTGACATCTGATTTGAGACTTCTTCTTTCGAGGTCTCGGACGTCCTGATTTCGCGTTTCGGTATCGCGTCATGCTTGAGCGCGAGGTTTGTTGCGGGACACTGTGGTTGGTAATCCATCTGGAGAATTCCGCTCTACGCTTGAGACCAGGTCTTCTCTCGTGGAATTTCAAATATTGGACAACGGTGTTAATAAGGGAGAAAGGTCACAGAACGATGTTTCCACTTTTCTAGTCCCATTTTAGTGCTTACCTTCGGAAATTGATTGCCTCACGTGATATGGGCTCTGTACTTGACCTCTTTGGAGTGGGAGAAGAGGAGGAAGACCTTCACTGACTTGATACCAAGATATTTGAGGAGGAACTAATAACACGAGTCTCGTTTGGTTCAGTTTAAGTATTGCCCAACACGTGACTGTAATCTTCAAAACTGTGCTCGTCGCTCGGAAACCCAACCGCGATCCTCAACTTCAATCATCAAGAAAGTCGTATCGACATTCCGCGGACAACCTCTTACTGAAATTCTCCTATCTCAAACTGATTCGTGACCTCTTCGATGGTGGACACCTCGGATGACGGGCAGTCCGGCCCAAGAATTATACAATGGATTCTTGATACCCGACCTCTATGGCCAGTACCGGGGAAGCTCAAACCCAAGGAGGAAGTGGAGAAGCTCAAGACGGTGGTACACCGCCATCAAATCTCCCAACATTTTTCGTGATTTGTCACTCACAAATACAGGCTTCACGAGCTCTGTCCTTGCTCTCTGAATCTGAACAAGCTTCGGTGCTGAAGTATTACCACCTGAACGACGCGAAAATGAGCCTAGCTTCCCACTTGCTGAAGCATATGGCCATCACCAAATATTGCAACGTTCCTTGGCCACAAAGCACCATTTCTCGGGATACGAATGGGAAGCCCTGCTTCATCCCCAAGGGTGCGACGAAGCCCGTGACCATGGATTTCAACGTCAGCCATCAAGCTGGGATTGTCAGCTTCATCGCTTCTGTTGGGTTCGATGCCAGAGTGGACGTCGGAACGGATGTCGTGTGTGCCAATGAGCGAGAAAGGCATGATTACGCCCACATTGAGACGAAAGGCTTCTTCGACTGGGTGGACATGCATGGAGATGTTTTTGCGGAGTCCGAGTTGAATCACATGAAATTGTCTCCTGTGCCTATCAATCTTGGCAGGCCCGACGTCAGCATGAGGGGATTTGCAAAGGATGCTCTTTCAAGATGTCAGTGGAGAAATGCGAAGCTCGACCTTAAGGTCACTGCAGTAGATGGCGAGGAATCAGTTGCGCAGGTTGACAGCAATTCTGTGGTCGACAAGAAGCTGAGGAGATTCTATGCCATGTGGTGCTTGAGGGAGGCCTATGTCAAGATGACAGGCGAAGCGCTTCTGGCTCCTTGGCTGAAGGATCTAGAAATTTCAGATGTCCAGGCACCGGATGCAGCAAGTGATATTCAAGAGGCCAATTCATTGGTGGGGGGAGAAGTCGTGAAAGAATTCAACATCTTCTTCAAGGGGAGGAAGGTCACGGATGTGAAAATGGAGCTATCGGCGTTAGGACCTGCGTACATGGTTGCTGGTTCTCTCAGTATGCCGAAAGACAACCCCGATTTGGCTTTGGGACCGTGGCATATATTGAGACTCGAAGAAGATATTCTGTCTGTTGCCGAACGTACTCTTTGAATTAGCCTCGACTCGGAGCGCTGTGTTTAGTTCACATCACCTGGTACGACGTTCAACTCAGCCTGTCTCGACGTTGTCACATAGACTGCAGACGTGGTATATGCGAGAGACACCATAACAACATCAAACTCCCTGGGAGTACGGTCGGGACATTTTGAAAATATGAGGTTTAGGCACGACTCGCGACACGTATTTGACGATGCCAATGGCCATATCAGCCAGGCTAATTGATAGCCTTGTCACTCTTGCTCGTCGCCGAGTCCCCGACGAGAGACCAATTGTTCCGCTCAGCACTTGACCAATCCCAGGAGCATTGCTCAAGCCATGGACATGGATGGTGGGAGTTGTGTTGTAAGAGGCCGAGATGCATCGCCGATCACTGCCGAATCCGCCACCTCCAAGCAGCGACACCTCCAAATCCTTCCCCATTTCCCCATGGCACATCAACGCTAATCGACCATGCTTGCCCATTTTTATCCCAGCTGGGCCAACTTCGAGAAAGTCCAGAACTCACGCCGCCACCGCAGCCTTCTATTCGTCACCTCTAATATCTGGCGTCACAGCGTTTATCGGCACCGCGGAGAGATGCCCCTCTTTGTTCTACACGTTGCGTTATTTACTCAACATTCAAGTTGACCGGTATCAGAAATAACCATCTGCATTTGAGACTGCCAGAGAATTCTCGAAGTATGATAATGCACCGGGACTTTATACACTTTTTCTGAATTTCGATGTCATGGAATCGTTGATCTGAGAAACCCCTCATTAGATTTTTTTGGATTGTGAGCTGCCGATCGATCGTCACCCGGACCAAACTTCCCAATCCTATCATCTGAGGCCCCTCAGCTCTCCAAGTGGTACTTGCCAATGCCCATCCGACTAAATTCTAAATGGTGTTACTGGAGAGCCTCACAGCAGCTCGGGGGCAGCCATGCAAACACCTGCTCTATTCTGGTAAGGCGCTGACGTTGTGCGTTCTGGCATGTGGCCTCAGCAGCACGATGACGCCGGTTTTCTGTGCCGTTGTGCGAGATCACGATGAGAAATCAGATAACGCGGGGCAAACGTAATCTTTACTTGCAGCATTCCTCTGGCTACATCAATCTCATTTTATTTTGTCTTGCGTACTGAATTTAGGTAGTTTCTATCTTTCTACTATACAATTTATATTAGGTCTATACTTTCCCCTTCGCAATGTCTTCAGACAATACAGCATACTCGCCTGATACGAGCCCCAAGACACGGGACTGGGCCAAGATAAATCACGACGAGAAAGGCCAATATGGCACAGGGCCAAGTCTTAAGGATCCAAACGATCCTATTCAGAACTCGGAGAGAGCAAATGAAAATCACCAGGAGAAAGCTGCAAATGCAGTTGGTCCAGGCCCCTCCATCCGAAGACCTTCCAACAACTCACCCAAATACGAACATGTCGAACACCGAGAGGATGCTCAAAGTCCGGTTCCACAAAATTACCACCTCGCGCATGCCCCCACTGCTCAGACGGATAACACAATGGTTGGCTCAACAAAGACCCATGAAGAACTAGAGCACAGCAGCGTCCTCTCGTCGATACGGACAAAGATTGGTTTAGAGGCAGAGCCGCCAATCCTCGAAGGCCATGATGTCCACCATCAGTACGTGGCATTCTAAGCCCAAATCTCCTCTTTCCAATATGCCACGAGGTGTTTCTCCTCTCTAGAGATGTGTTTAGAGCAAAAACGTCGTGAAACACTACGCCAACCCCCAAATTCCTGCCTAATAAAGCAAAACTGACTCCGAGATCGTCTAGCCTGACATGGAGCTCTGTGAGGGTGATATTCCGAGAACCGTTTGCCGAATTCTTTGGGGTTTTCATCATGATCCTGTTTGGTAACGGCAGTGTGGCACAGGTGTTGCTCAGTGGTGGAGAGAAAACAGCCCCTGGCATGAATGGCTTCGGTTCATACCAGAGCATTTCTTGGGGGTAAGTCATCACTTATCATTTACTTCCACCCTGTTTCTAACGTCTGCGTAGGTGGGGTCTTGGGGTTATGCTAGGAATATACGTTGCTGGAGACTCAGGTGGTTTCTTGAACCCAGCAGTAACCTTCTGCTTCTGCCTCTTCCGAAAACTTCCCTGGAAACGCTTCCCAATCTATTTCCTCGCTCAACTCTTAGGTGGTTTCGCCGGATCAGGAGTCGTATACGCAAATTACCTCAACGCAATCAACCAAGTCGAGGGCCATGGGATTCGCACCGTACCGCCTTCACTAACAGCTACAGCTGGCATCTTCTGCACATATCCACAAGCATTTTTGACAAAAGCGAGTCAGTTCTTCAGCGAGTTTATTGCAAGCACGATTTTGATGTTTGTTATCTTTGCGCTGAAGGACGATTCGAACCCAGGAGCTATGGGAAAGTCTGGCGCAGGAATGTTGTTCCCACTTGCGTTGTTTTTCCTGATTTTTGGACTGGGGGCTTGCTTTGGGTACGTTTTACTTCACCTCTCTGCTGCACATCACTAACGCAGGTCTGCAGATGGGAGACCGGCTACGCAATCAACCTGGCCCGAGACTTCGGACCACGTCTAATGAGTTATATTGTAGGCTACGGTCACAAAGTTTGGAGTGCAGGGGGATACTATTTCTGGATTCCTATGGTTGCCCCCTTCCTCGGCTGCTCGTTCGGTGCCTTCCTTTACGATTTCTTCATCTACACGGGCCCTGAAAGTCCAGTCAATACCCCATGGCTGGGTTTGAAGGATCTGTTCACCCAGCCTTGGAGGAGCAAGAAGCAGCCGGAGACATATGAGGTCTAAAATTTCGGATGACGGATGTGATGATTTAGAAAATCGCAGGACCTCGCAAGGGAAGGTCTGTACGAGTATGGATACTGTGTGTACAATATCAATGACTGGGGAGGAGTTTCGGCGTCTATAAGTGGTCCCAGTCATCGAGGGGAGGAACTCGAGCCAGATTGCTCAGTCAGGGACCCAGCCCCATCAATCCAAAAGCGTTTCTTCTTTCTACATCTTTCCATCAATTTCAATACCGTACGTTTGGCGGCGAGTGCCGTCTTCCCATCTCAGATCTTAGACCGAACAGATATCCCGACCCGACGTCGTGGCTGCTAGCCTCTAGGCTCAATTCTCAAATGAAACGCAGGTGAGCGTTACATGTGCATACGAGCTTAGCTGGATTAAGCCTCCAGTCATCCAATTTAAATCCAGTTCCGAGAGCGTTGCCCGTTTCGGGATATTTCTTAATTCTCTTTGTTGGTTTCTACGTCAGAGGGCTTGTTATGGACGAATGAGGGACGGATATTAGGGAGAGATTCTGAGTACAGCACATAGGTACTTAATTGTGGGGCTGCAGTTCTTGTGGGGAAGTGGCTGGGGAAACAGGAGAGTGGGTACAGCTACTTGCTTACTTTCAGGGCCTTGGACGATCTTAGTAGAAACTAAGGAGCCGCAAAGATCGAGATGATTGAACTTTGGAGCTTTTTGAACTCCCAGCTACTTGCAAGGGAACCGTAAGCTCAAGGATCCGGTTTCTGTGGTCTTGATTCCAAGCCATTGATTGGCCTTTAGGTCCACAACCCACTCGATTCCGAGGATTTGTAGCTGTCCAAATCTTCGCGTCACATCAATTTTCTTGTTCTTTGTGGAATTGATGTCTCCCATTTCGTCTCTCCATCCCAGCTCCTCACGCATCGGAAGTATCTTCTTGCTGAGTCTTTCGTGAGCAAGGATGAGAACAAGCACTTGCGCCCTTCAGAAGAAACTCCGTCGAAAGAATTGAGACGAGACGCTGCCAACATTCAGATGAATTCAACACCAACAGCGAAATCAATCCCATCCGGCGACGTTATATTCAAACAACCCTTCCCATCCCCTCCCGACCCACGAGGTGACTCTCCGAGGCGGCAAGTCACACTCTCGAAAACCACCTCATCACCACACGGCAAACGGAAAACGGCAAAACCTCTCACCTGAACCTTTCACCTCGAATTCATTCCCATATTCCGCACCACCAGTGGGTGTCGGAATTTGCGACGCACTGGCTAGGCGCATCGACAAAAGTCACTCTCTTTATAATATTATAAGTACGTAGTATTCTTCTGATACCTTCTCAAATTAGTGGTCGAGCAGTTTCATAAATACTATAGCCTTAATAATTCCTTGAATAATTACAAGAAATCCAAAGTCTATTTAATGAAAATAAATTAATAAGTAAAGTTCTATAACAAGTTTAAGATCTCGGTTCAGATTATACTTTATAATTTTTCAAATTCTGCGAGTTTCGTTGATTTTTGGTCAGGCTTCCTCGCCAAAAAGCCTGGGCAGTACGGTTCCGCTGCGGCCAGGGACGACTTTCGTAAAGCGAATTTTCTCATCAGTTTAATCTGAAATAATTTACCACGAAAAATAATAAAACTTAATTCCTCTTTAGGATTCCTAAAGCACCCTTTTTGAGCTAATTAAATAAAGTTTTCTTTAATTCCTATAAGTATTTAGCCAGGTGAAATGGATTAGCAATGTGAGGCTTTGTGATGTTCTTGACTTTTCGCGAAAGTCGTCCCTGGCCGCATCGGAACGGATAGCGCCCTGAAAAGCCAGCGTGATAGCTAATTTGGCGCCACGCACTCTCAGTTGTTCGCATGCTCTTTCAGACTCGCTTGATTTTGTAAACTTACTTTAATAACTTCTAAACCACGCAATTAAATAGAGTCAAATTTTATATGGTTATAGTAACTATATAGATCTTATGTATTCCTGGTTCTCTTATAGTTTAAATTTATAGTTCAGAAGTTACATATAAATTAGTAAAAAGTAATAATTTTCACGTGTTTTTGCTAGGTATATGCAAACCCTATTAAAAATCATTTAAAATCCGGTTTTCTAGCCTTTAATATACTACCTCTCTATATAAATGACTCCACACCTAATAGAAGCTTATTTATATATCGAAGTAACTTTTTTTTAGATTCGGCAGAGTTTAAATTAAAGGATAGTAGATTAAACGTTAGAAAACCGCATTATTAAGCGTTTTTGGGCGTTTTTGAGGGGCTGCAGGCATTGCGAGCGCAAGAATACTAAAAATTAAAGAAATCTCGATTTCTTAATAACTTAATATCCACGCATTTATAACTTATAAGACTTAAGGTATAGAGTAATTAGAATATGTGCTTTTGCTTTTGAAAGTCGGATTTATACTTAAATACGTTATTATTTAGTAATTAAAGTAAGGAGAGTAAAGCATTTATAGAGGATTAGATATAAACGGCACTGATTGATACTAGTTTTTCACGGCACTATAACTCCCTAAAGTACTAGGAATAGTAAACTTTATACTTTATATACTTTACGTAAAGTAGTCATACTTTATGTTATAAAACATAGTAAATCTCGTATAAAGTAAGTATAAATAGGATATAATTCGTATATAAAGAAGAGTATAATTCAGGATACGTGATCCTAATAATTATTTCTAAATACCTGAAACTCTAGGTCCTAAATGCCCTGAAAATTGGTACTAATATCTTCTTAAAACTCCTATAAGCCCTAAAGTATATCCTGAATCTCTGGAATAGCTTTAATTATAGTATTAGCCCGCCTCTACTTCCTTATAATTAGTTTAATTAATATAAATTTGTCTATTTTAAAGTCTTCCGGAAATATTATTTAAAGTATTATAAAATCGTCTTTCAAATCAAGTTTCTATATCTTAATAGTATCCGGATTAAGTAAATTATTTACTTTAATTCTCTCTAGTTACTTTACTTTTACCTTTGCTTTTCTATTTATATATATATTATTATAATTAGTATATAAAGATTAAGAATTAATATAAATAAAGATAAGTTTATTAAGCTTAGAAAGAGAAAAATGATTTCGTAATTTTATATAGAGAATATTTATAACTAAAAAGGCTTATTTGGATATTACTAAATTTATAGTAGTATTAATAATTTAAAGAGCTAGCTATATAAGTATTTTATTTCTAGATATCTATAAAATATTAGTAAAAATCGAGAATATTAGAATATATTTATAGTAAGATTTTAAAAGAGTTTAGAATTATTTATATATACCTAATATTTCTTTATTAAATAGAAGCCTAGTTCTATTAATATATACTTAAAAAAAGTAATTAAAATATCTGCTTTATTATAAGAGAATATATAATTTATAACTTGCTTTTAATTAGTTTTATTAAATTAGCTTTATTAGTACTAGTTACTTGAATTAAGAATATATATTAAAAGATAAATGTCCTAAACCTGCCTTTTAAGCCTAAACTCAAAGTTATATTTCCTAATTTGCTCTAAATATGCCCTTATATTCTCTATAAAAGCAAACTTTATAGGATTACTAAATTATAGAAAATATATATATAAATTAATCTATTATTAGTATATATAATAGAGGTTTATATAAGTTAATTCTAATGCCTTTTACTAATTATATATAGGCTCTAGTAGCCTTTTTATTTCTTATAACTTATATTAAAAGTTCTTACTTATTATAAGCTATAGGAATTTTAAAGATATATTAATTTAAGAGTCTTTTATATATATTTTTAGATAGGATTTATTTTTTAAAATAGATTTAATAGAATAGTATTAGAAAGTAATATTAGAGGTAAAAATTACTTGAATTAGGAAGCTTATTTAAGTACTCTATTATATTTTTATTACTAGTAGTAAAGTAATCTCTTTACTAATACTATTAAGCTACTTTTAATATAAGATACTAAGTTATAAGGTCTTTTTCTTACTAAACTAAGTAATAATTAATTAAAAATCAAGCTAGAAATCATGAATTTCTAATATAATCTTGATTTCCTTAATTACTTTAGGATTAATTATATCTCTAATAATAAGCTATTAGCTATAAGAATTATATCTAATATTAAATATATAAGCTAGCTCTAAAAGCTTAGTAAATTACTTCTAAATTCTTTATATTATAGGGTATATATCTAAATAGAAAGTAAATAATTAATTAAGATCTTTTTATATAAATTTAAGGGCTTTCTTTTTATAATCCAGAACTATATTTTCTACTAAAGTATTTTTATTTTCTAAGCTCTTATTACTTTAATTATATAATATATCTTTATAAATAATAGAAATATTCTCGATTTAATATCCTTTAATATTTATAGATTTATTAGAAACTATACTAAGAAATAGGGAGAAATTAAAAATATTTAAGATATTACTCTTAATTTTAGTATAGTACTAATCGAGAATTATATTTATAATTATATATTATTTAGGTATTTTAAAGCTTATTATAGTAAAAAAAGCTTCCTATTTAGGTATATTAAATATTAAAAAGGCTATATAAGAAGTAAATATAGCTATTTTAAAGAGGGTATTTAGTATATCTTGTTTTTTCTTATTTAGTTAAGAGGAAAATATAAGCTTTATCTAAAGTAGTTCCCTTAGTATTAATAGCCCTGCTATTCTAGTTTTCTCTATTTAATCCTAATTAACTAAAAATTATTAATATTACTTATATTACTTGAGATACTTGCCTATTATAGTAGTATTTCATATTTACTTAAATAGCTTCTTCTTATTTTTGCAGAATCGGTAATAGGTATAGTCAGAGACTATTCCGTTTTAACTAGCTAGAATTTTATTAAAGGCTTTATAGATCTCTACCTTCTTTTGAATACTTTACTAATTATTAGCTAGTATATTAGCTCGTTAAATGGTAATTAATTTCCTGGTAGTAAGAGTATTAATAATAGAGAGTTTCTTAGCTATAAAGATTTAAACTTACTACCGGAGCATACCGCTTCCGAATTAGGTATAGTATATTCCGTATCGGGCTAGTGCGTCACATAACTGTAATATAACGTGTAAAGTACTTAGGGGCTGTAATTACACACTTTACGTAACGTGCTGGGGCTGTAATATAAAGTACCATCCCTACAAAGCACACTCATATCGAACACCAAGCATCGGCGAAATACACTCCCTATATTCCGCATCTAATCTCCGACTTCTAATTCCCAAATTGCCCCCCCATTATTGGATTAGCGCATCAGTGACGCAGGAACTTATTCCCAAGCCCTGCAAAACCTTCTCAACCCGTCTCATCGTCACACCTCACGACTCCGCTCGTTTATATCCCCTAAACGACAATTTAGAGCACTCGTCTGATTGGTCGGTTAAAGAACAAAACAATAACTCGTAACATAATTATATGCAGGTACCGCAAGACCCGCATAGTAATTGACGCCCTGGGAGACCATGCTCTCGATTGATGCACTAAAGACGAAACCTCTGGGGAAGGGAAGGAGTGCAGCGATTGGCTGGGATGAGTAGGTAGAAACAAGAACCATAGAGAAGGCAATCAAAGAGCGATACTCAGAGTTCGGGATATGAAGTCGGCGGTGACGAAGGACAGGGATTGAAGAGGGACTGTACAACGTACATGGCTGTGTCACCGGCTTACCCCTACGAATAATAAGTTGGGGTGTATAGATGGAGGCGGAGGTAGGCGGTCCAGCGGCATCCCCACCCAGCCCGGGGCATGGACCATCACACACACACACACACATATATATAGAAAACTGCGCTCTGCTGTTGCCAACTTTCTTCCCTATCCTTCTCAATCGATTGTTCCTTAAAACAGGCAAACCCACATTCGTTTTTCCAAGAAACCCACTTTCGTTACCGCTGCAACTCTCACTCGATACCCAATCCTCAACCTATCCCCTTCCTTAAAGAACTTCAGAAAGGATATAAAGAGAAAGAAGGAGGTCACTCGTTCAAAATGCGCACCTCCCTCGCCCTCCTCGCCAGCGCCCTGCTCGCCGCCCCCTCTGTCCTCGCCCTCCCCGAGAAAGAATGGTGGCCCACATTCACCAACCCCTGGGGCTACCCGCACCACACGTCGGGGCCCCCGACGTCCGACTACAGCACCCCAACCCCGTCCTCGACGCCGACCCCATCATCAAGCACGACGTCCTGCTCCAGCTCCAGTGAGGAGACGACCTCCTCCTCGACTCCCTATGAATCCCCGACTCCCTATGAAACCTGGCCGACCACCACCTCCTCGACTACGTCCTCCCCGGGTGGACATGTAGGGAGCTCGTACCCGAGCTACCCTGTTCCTACCTCGATGACCAGCTCCGGAGAGGGGTATGTTTTGACTTCGACTTCGACTCCTCCTCCGAGTTATCCGATTACGACGTCGAGTAGTACCGTGGCGACTTACGCAGGGCAGAATACGACGACGTCGGTTGCGAAGCCGACGTACACGGTGCCGGTTGGCGGGGCAGCTCAGAAGCAGTTCAGCTTCAGTGCGGTTATGGTTGGTGCTGTTGGTGTTTTGTTTGCGATGTTGTAGATGCGAGGTGAGGATAGGGGAAGGGGAAAGAGAGAAGTAGGTAGAAAGGGGCCAGAGGGGAGAGGGGTGTGTGTTAATGTTGTTGGTTATGACTGAGGTGAAATTGATGAGTGCGGAAAATGGTGGAAATATGTTTTTTCGTTTGGATTGTGAGACGCCGACTAGGAGCCTTAGGTAGTAATGTGGAAGATGATAATGAAAACCGCGACCTGAAACCCAGTCTTGGTCTGATGATAAAAGTGAGAAAAAAATTGTGAGGTGGTTGTCCATCAAATTGATCCCACTATTCTATTTGTCTCATGCTCTTGAAGGTGCTCGCTTAAGAAGCATTCCTCTCAGCTGATACCGCACATGGTTCGAGAGCGTGTGCGGAGGCGTCTCTATTATGACTTGTCTGGGAATCCGAAATCAACTCCGAAGGCAGGATAGACGTATCTTGTGAGCTTCCCCTGTTTCGTCAATTCAGCCGTATAGTCATCCAGGATCTTCATGTCGCCCTCGTCCAGCTTCACAATCTGCATGTTGGCCTTTATCCTTTCAGGGGTGATGGATTTGGAAAGCACAGAGTTGCCTCGAGCAACTGTCCCATTGTCGTCAGCAAAATGGACACATGAATATTCAACCCGGTGAGAACTCACTGTGATAGCTTAACAACACACACGCAGGTGTGACTCCCTTATTCTCAGCAACTTTGATGACTGCTGGCTCCTTCATCATTGGGCTGCCAGTGCTTCCAAGTGGGCTGTATGCGGTGACATGGATCCCTTTCTCATGGCAGAAATCCACAATTTCTTGCTGTGGTAGAGAGGGGTGGTTCTCAATCTGATTGACGGCAGGGACGGTCGTTGCTTCGGGCAGAAGCTGCTTCAGGTATCGCAAGGAATAATTCGCAACTCCGATAGCCTTGACCTTGCCTGTGGCCAGCAATTTCTCCATCGACTTCCATGTCTGTATGTGCGAATGCTCTCTGATCAGATCGCGCGACCCGTCCACCAGCTTAGGGAACCTCTCGTCGTTTCCTGATGATTAATCGTTAGTGCATGCGATCTACGGAGCTGAGGAGGAGAAGAGTGGGGTCCAGTCCTCACCGAATGGATTCATGGCCACAGGCCAATGCATCAGATACAGATCCACATAGTCCAATCCCAGGCTCTTCAAGCTCTTATCGAGATTTTCCTCCACTCGGGAGTGGTAAGTACACCACAACTTGGTGGTGACGAAGATGTCCTCGCGCTTGATGCCGCTGTCGAATGCTTCCTTGAGCCCCTCTCCCACCTCGTCTTCGTTTCCGTAACAGTACGCTGCCACCATCAGCTGGGAGTCTCAAGAGGGCCACGATCACGTACCGCAATCAATATGTGTGTATCCAACTGATAAGGCGTACGCAACTGCTTTCTTCGTCTCTCCCTTCGGTGACTGCCATGTCCCAAACCCTAAGGCAGGGATCTCTGCGCCTGTGTTAAGCTTGAAGTGGGTTGCTGCCATGATTGAGAAGGTCAAGAGCTTGAGTGAGAAAAGTGGAAAGAAGGAGATATGCCCAAACCTTATATACCATTGGGATTTGCACGCAGAAATACTCCATCCGCGATGATGCAGGATGTTGTTGAATGGGGAAAGCTGGCCTGCAAAACCCGGTCGCGCTGTCGGGGTAATTTTCCCGAAGCAGAGCAACGTTCGGCGGAGGAGTGGGGTGAGGAGGCTGGTGAGGGCACCAATGAAAGACACGGCTTGGTTTAGTTCAGGCGCGGCCCCTGCTGCGATCAGAGCCTTCAAATGTGAACGACTGGGACGGGGAAACTATATAAGAGATCATTAATGGAGAAGTATAGGATCCGTTTTCTCAGCCGAAGAGTCTTAAATTGCCAGCGGAGTGATTTTCGCAACTTAAGGTACAAAGTTGATAGGGGTAGACAGAAGTCACCACCTTCACCGACTTAAACCCTATAAATTAAGCGAGCGATGTTCAAATTTAGCGGCCGAATGCCTGAAAAACGTGGATGTGCCCCTGAAGCGATAGGTCGTGTGCCAGTATCAGTTCACCTCATCAAAAAGAATTTCTCCCCATCATCAAGATCAACCGTCAACCGCCACGCCTTCTGCGTGGTTCATATCTCACCGGCGATGACAATAAACGAAGGAGAACCGCAGAAGATGGAACCGCCTCTAACAAAGCCGGTCCGAGCCTAGAAATGAAGCCCATAAGTTCTGTGCTTCCAAGTCAAAGATGGCCGTTTCGTGTTGGGCATTTCAGTATATCAAAGATGGGTCCGCTCAGGTCCCAGAGGCCAGTTATCTTCCAATGCCGGCTGCAAACGCCGAAGGTAGTGCCAGTGAGAAGAACCAGGCCGAACTCCCAGAAGATGTTCACACCTTGACCGACAATGTTGAAGAAGCAGAAGCCTACGGGCTATTTGAATACTGCCCTTCTCCACGAAGAAATGCAGACAACTCGTCAAAAGAAAAGCCCGGATTTCAGAATGGCATGTTACGGAGGATGAGATATTAGCGGTGTTGAAATAGAGGAGCAACTTGAACAAGGGATGAAGACTGCACTCTTGGTAAGAATAGAAGATCAATTTTATATCATCTTCAGCCATTTACTGACAACAGCATCTTGAAGAAAACATCAGTCACCCTCAAGAATTATTTAGGAAAATGGCGTGAAGGTGGAGGAGCTCAAGTCGAATCTCAGGAGGAAGATGATGGAAGAGCGGCTAGCCAAGTACGGAACTCCAGCTTTGCGGACGAGGTCGCTGATAGAGAAATCGACAAAGAACTAAACAGTCTTGATGATAGTTCCTAGAAAGCTTTCTAGTCCGCTCAAGCGACGCAGTAGGTCTCTCACCCGATAGATGCCGACCCGATGGATGCCGTGCACCTGGTGGGCGCGCCTCGATTTCGGTTTCTACCGTATGTAAGCCCGATCCAGACCTACATCTGGAATTTTCACCGACCCACCCAGCTCGGACCCTGCGTGATATTGTTTGTAAACTTCACTAGCTGGCGATCGGGCCAGATCAGGGGAAACCACGTTGGGCAACCTTCGAACCAGGGAATGCACTAGTCATGTTCACATGCGCCAGGAAGCCCATGATTATTTGCGCAGGAGTATTCCATACAAGCACCGCATACTGTATTGTCTTTGCTTCTGGAAATAAAGATTGATGATAACATCTTTTCATTGTCCACATTATTCACCGTCCTCGTGGGTTCAGGGGTTCTCCTCGTGGCAGTCCCACTACCTGGAATCCGTTTCTTTAGGGCGACAATGCAATGATTCCGAGTGGACCGAGTGGCCTCGTAGCAGACACGCTATATGGATCGGGGTTGACAAGTGCCAACTAAAAGTCTGCTAGTGCTTCAGATGCCCCTCAAGCCGTCTTCTTCGCAACGCCTCATGCGGGACTCAGCACAAATCTCGAGCTAAAGGCAAGACATCCCAGCCATGCTGGCTCCAATTCATGCACTTGGTGACATAGTCCAGAGAATGGGACCACCGACGGGAAGGGTGACAATCTTGTGGCAGGAGACCGTCAGTAATAGCTTGTTTTCCAGCGCCCTTCGACAGATCTTTCCGATCATATAGAAGCGATGCCCGTATTCTTTCTTTCCTTCTTTTGAAGTTTCCCCCTTTCGAGGCTCGCGAACCCAGATCCCCGCAGGGGTAGCATTATGGCTGACTTCCCAACCGACTACAATGGATACCAACTCGTTGCAGTCGCAATTACCTTCTTGATCCTTACCTACATTTCAGTTGGCCTGCGATGCTTCGTCCGAATCAGAATCACGAGAGTTTTCGCTGTCGATGATTGGATTATGCTAGTTGCACAGATTATCTTTACCCTCTCGTGTGCATTTATACTTCGAGGCATACACTATGGTATTGGGAGACACAATTCGGAACTCTCTGTGAGCGATGAAATCGAGGGCTTAAAGGTAACCTTCTCTAATTCCTTAACTTGAAGATCAGTTCTGACTTGAGAGGTAGTATCAAGGGTTGGCAACCCTTTCCTATGTGGCAAACATGATGTTCATCAAGCTCAGCATCGCCCTGTTCCTCCTTCGAATCGCCGTAAAACGACTATATATCTGGATTCTGCGTATCAGCATGGTAGTCGTGACCATTTGGTCCGTGGCGATCTGGATCTACGAGTTGTTTCAATGCATACCCATCGATGCACAATGGAACTACACTATCAAGAACGCGAAATGCGCCTCCGGGCCTTCTTTCGTAGCAGCAGCATATTCCATCTCTGTCATGACGATCGTTACGGACTGGCTCTACGCACTTTTACCCATTCCGATGATCTGGTCGGTACAGATGAGTGTGCAAACAAAGATGACCGTTGCCTTCATTCTATCTCTAGGAATCTTGTACAACTCACCTGAGTCCTCTTCCCTTAAAGCAAACTGACAAAACTTCAGCGCGAGCGTAGCAACCCTAATCCGACTAAAATACATCATCGAACTAACCAACATCTCCGACGTCCTCCGTTCGTCTCCCCCTTTCCCTCCCCAACTATCCACACTGACCTTTTTCTGTCATCCCAGACTCGGGAACCACAGCCATGATCTGGACGCTCGTCGAGCCCGGCGTAGCGATCACGGCTGCCTGCCTCGTAACCATGCGTCCCCTCCTCCGGGCCCTCAAATTCCGGGGCTTCGAAAGTGACCCCGCGGCCCAACACACGCCGCTCACGCTGCGCAACGACATCTCGGGTGGCCACTGGAGCACGATTTCCTCGCCTGGAAAGGAAAGCCGTAGCCAAAGTGGAAGTGGAGGTGGAGGCCATAAACGCAATTTCTCGCTCACGGCGTTGGATAGGCTGAATGGGCTGGGGAGACTGGAAACTGGGGTTGAGAGGGATGGGGGCTCGGGCGCGGATGAGGGGTCCATGGATGAGAGTGGGATTACGAAGACGGTGCAGGTTAGGGTTGAGCATGACCGTGCTTCGCGGGTGGGACCTGGCTCGTTGTTGATATGATTGTACGATTTTGATAATTGGACACCATTTGAATACAAGGTGACGAAGTGATGATATTTTCTATTTTCAATCATCAGAAGCATTCTTTTCTCGCTGAATTGGGACCTTCTCACCTCATGAGGGGAGGTCATTAACCATATCTTATGCCCATCCCTGCTCTCATTCAACCGCTTCTACCCAAATTCTCTGCCTGACTTCATCACCGTACTTAGCCAAGATCTCTTCGTAACAACCTCGGAGTTGGGCTGATGAAAGCCACTTTCTTTTACCTGCACTTCTTGCCACACTCAACCCGTAGACTTCGCTTAAAGTGCTGCGAACAACTAAAGAGAGTTTCCCCTTTCCTTGCAATTGCGATCTAAGCGAGGTTCCTAGGCGTGCCTTATTTGGAAAGGAGGGGGGGCTCGCTTAGAATTGCAAAGTAAGACGGAAGGAGGGAGGATTGTGTGTTTTACTGAGCGTTGACCAATGCTACAAACACCAAAGATGTAGAAGCCATTTTCTAGATACGACGAGTAGGGACACTCGACGCAAGCCGCTGTGCCCTTTCTGTCGATGTGGAGGCACAGAGACGGCGAGCAGCGTCAGAATCCGAAGGATGATGCACTTTGTAAGAGAAATATTGGGGATTGAATCAATTCGACCAACATACCCTACGTAATTCATAGATAGATCTGGATATAAACGGAAAGATGGATCCCTGTTGAACACGCAAAATATCCCAAGCATGCGCTCCCTGACCTAGAAACCATATCCAACGACCTTACAGCGTCCGTAAGCAACCCTTCAAAAATTCCCAAACCCGCTCGATGTCTTTCAGCTCCGCTATTGTGCCAATATATCCATCTGGTCTCACAACAGCAATCGCTCCTTTCCTCGGATCAACACCATAGATCTTATATGCATTTTCCAATTCCGTTCCGTTGTAAAATCTCATTTCCGAGTGGGTTTTGACAGCTTTGGGAATATCTGACCAGACAAAAGTATTTGATTCCAAAGGATGAAGAACGACCGATTCAATGATACCTGCTGGGAATTGTGTGAGGATAGTTGAGATGTGGGTCAAAGCTGTCGAAGATATGCCCGTAGGAGTGAGGAGGTCGGCCGATGTGAAGCACAGGATACGGAAACGGCCTGTGGATGGGAAATCTAGTTTCATCAGTTACTGCTCTATTCAAGCCACGGGATGGACGAGCTGACCATCTTGGAGATCTCTTCGAGCGCCATCAGTATGTCGCTTGACTTTCACATTTAACAATCTCCGGCCAGGTCTTAAGATGCCGCTCAAATAATCTCTGCCATGAACAATACCTTCAGAACTCGCCTTCTCTACTAGAAGATTTTCCGGGTATTCGATACCACATCCGCTCGTAAAACCGTTTCCGGTGCTGAAGACTTCCAGGAATTGCTCGTGGGTGAGACATTCTTGGCCATCCCCTGCGCCGATTTTCCCAGAGAACATGGACGAGAACTCTTTATCGAATGCAATGAGTTCTTGCGCTATTGTCTGGCGTTCTGTTTCGAAGGTGTCCAAGATTTTGTCTCCGGGTTTGCTAGCGGGCGTAAGGCCGTGGAGGGAGTGAATTAGTTTCCAGGATAGGTTGTACGAGTCCATCCTAGAACTAATTAGCAACATATTTCTTTGCGGAGGGAGCTAGGAGCGAGCAGGGAGAATAGAAGCTCTGGGTTTGGGGCAAAGAAAATAGGTTCTTTACATCGATACGTTCATTCCTTGGCCAGCTTTGGGGCTGTGTGTGTGACATGCTGGAAGCCGTTAGCAAGGCTTCCCGGTTCCTCGATTATCTCTTACCGTCTCCGACGATGAACACTCTATTGACTCCTTTCGAATCCTGCTGAACAAAACGTTCTGATACTCGCTGTCCGATCTGGTATGCAGCCCACCAATCCACAGCATCTGCACTTATTGGTTTGATATAATAGGGTTTGAGGACCTCCTGAGCCTGTTCAAGTATACTCTCCATTGTAATCTTCTCCCGTCTGGCCCTCGCTTCACTCTTTCTCACTCCCTCGATGCCTTCTTCCGCCACGATATCGCTATCCGGCTTCACCTCTTCTTGCACGTGCACATATAGCCTCGTCAGGTATTCGCCAGTGGCTATCCTTTCCCTAGGAATCACCATCACACTCCCATTATCCGAATGAATGGCACATCGTCGTCTAATATCTGGAAAATCCGTGTCAACAATGAGATCAACGACCCCCCAGATAAAATCTGACGTCTCGCCCTGCAACTTCAAGCCCATAGACCTTCGTACCAGGGAATGTGCTCCGTCCGCTCCAACCAGATGTTTCATCCGAACCGTTCGTACGCCCGAGGGACTTTCGATTTCGGCTAGGACAGGGAAATCAGGGTCGCCAGCTTCGTCAATTAAGACTTTAGTAAGACGGCTTGACCGTTGCACACCGCGTGCAGAGTACCTTTTCAGGTCGTCCTCCAGAATTCGCTCGATCCGGCCTTGATGGATTGTGACTTCATGGGGGAACCGCGCAGCGACGGCCACGTCTGGGACAATGGAAGTCCTTTCGATCCCTCGGATTTCACCGTTTGTGTATCCGTTCGAAACGGAAGCTTGCTTTGGATTCCAGAACGCGACCTCCCACATTTGACACCCCTGGGTCAAAATCTCCTCTACAAGCCCCAAGCTCCCGAGCACCTCAAGTGTGCGCGGTTGCAAGCCATCTGCTTGGCCGGATTTCAGCGCGGTGGGTTTGGAGTCGATGCAGAGAAGCGAGGAATCGGTCAGGCCGTATCGAGCGAGCAGGACTTCGAGGAAGAGTCCTGCTGGGCCAGCCTGCCGAAGGATTAGCACTTGTCTGAGAAGGGAGGATGGGAGGTTTACCCCGGCTATGACCACTTCATATTTCTCTTCAGGACCCGCTGGCTCAAATTTTGGGCTGAGACGCGGCAATGGGGTAGCAAACGAGGGAAGGACACGGAGATCTCGCGAACTCTGAGAGTATTCGGTGAAGACTGGCATGTTCTCTTTGTAAATTTTGAGTCTGAGATGTCGACAATGGAAAGGAAAGAATATTGGGTCCGCAAAAACTGCGCCCTCACTTACTGTCTGTTTCTTATCTTAAATAAGGATGTTCCCAATCATTACGGAGGTATGCAGTTGGTCTCGACTCGAGTCCACTTTTACGAGTCGTGCGCGCTTTCTCAGGCTTGCAAATGCTTGCTAAGCGGTAGGGATTCCGCTAGCAGGGAACAACTGCCACAGTACCCCGCGGTGCTACTCGTCCCCACTAAAAAACCTGCAGCTAGACGCCCAAAAGTTTGCGAGCGGCTTGCCGTGCGGAGCAGTCCCGAGAGCAGAGTGACTTCCCCGCCCTAGATGTGTGGTGTTGTACCTATTGCCCCTTTTGACGAGAATGGGAAGTTGACAAGTTCGTTGATGGGAGGGAGTCCGAGGGACCTCGCACTGGGAGATTCCCCCTTCGTCTCCGAGTTGGCGGGAGCGCGTCCTCCCCGAATGTAAGCAACTAAGATAAGGGCTTATCCACGATGAGGCTGGCAAGTCACTTGGCGAAGAACTTTCCTTTCCGAGTACCTTCATCGAAATCGAGCCATTTTGGGGAGGCATCTAATGGGGTTTTCTTGGAGAGCCTCCGCTTCTCTCATTTCATCAACCTTTTCGGCATTTTCATGGAAGAATGTTGGCAGATTTCTCTTTTTTGTTGTCCTTCAAGAAATTTGAGTTTTCTGCAGCCTCCCATTCGCTTTATGGTACTTCCTTTTCATTGAATGTCCCCTTGCCTGTCTTTGCTTGGAAACATAGGTTGAAAAGCATGCTTGGCCATACTCAGGAAAGCCGTCGTGAACACTGGGGAAAGTCTCCCCTGGGAAATCCTTCATACCAAGAACAATATAACAGGCAGTAGCTAGCCTTGCAACCTGTCCATCTAAGCTGTATGTTGATTGCCTAGGCCTAAACCTTCGTATACAACATCGCTTGTTGCAAGAATTTTGCATCCAGGTGGGACCTGCGACCTCTCCTCTCCGGTTCACCGATGGCTAACGATTTCGTCGACGAGAGCCAACAGGCCTCAGTATGCTGGTTCTGCTTCAATTTGGAAGGACGTTGTTGACAGAAGGTTTCTGATGTCGAGCAGGTGTTACTTTAAGGTTACGACAGGGCTTGGGATGTGTTGTCATTGTGCAGTGAGCTGGTCCCAATACGTGATGGACATGAACCTTAAAGCCACCGGACCCTCAAAGTGAAGTTCTCGTGTTTCAAGCGAATACCACCAAACCTCCCTGTAAACACGGTTTCATTGCAAGACAATTGCGCGTACTACTATATTAAAAAAATCGTAATCTAGACTAACTTGAACAATTCTAATTGATCTGTCTCTCTAGAATTCAATTATAAGGGGGGAAATTTAAAGTTTAGTAAAGAGAAAGGTGCGGGGCGCAAAAATTAAGCGAAAATAGGGATAAACTCACGATTCAAACCCTCCCCTCCCCTTTCTAAGATTTACTCCTTAATTAATCGATAACCTAACTACTATAGAGGGTAGAGCGGCGTTATAGAGTGTGGACTGCGGGCACTCTTGCGTACGGTGGCTAGGGAACACCTCTATGGCTCTGGTTTAGGGCAGACTGCGGAGCTTTTGTCAGTTGTAACTACCAAGCGCGTACCTCTCCTCTTAAAAAATATAAAAACAACGATTACCGCAGTTAATTAATCGATAACCTTAGCTTATATATTGAGTAAAGAGACAGAAATACTCGAAATACTCGAGTTAGTTAGGTGCTAGTTGGGCGTTGCGTCAAATTAACGCCTTACCGTAAAACTCGGGAAGTGAATCAGGTGACTTTTGCAGTGAAAACAGTAAAGCAGGAGAACTTGTTGACTCCAGTAGTACCGCTGTAAATGCTCTTGCTTGTTGTTGGTCTTGACCGCGGGACGGCAGTTGAGCGCGCTCCACAACAGGATTGTCTCTTTCGTCGTCTTTTATCGGGTCCATTCCTCCGGCATGGCATTCAGTAGGAAAGGGGGTCTCAGGAAGTCAAGAGCCACCCTTGCAAGGCTGTGAGATGCTTGGGCCAACCAAAACTATAGGATATTGGCCATCGCCCCATAATTTGACTCTTACAGCGACGGCAGAACTAGGGGTGGTTCTTGACTTCTTGAGACCCCCTTTCGTACCAAGCTTCATTTGAATCATTTCACCTTCGTCCTCGTTCATGGAAATGCCGAGCCGAGTCAAAAGTTTGCTAGTTTGCTAGACCAAAGAGAGTAGTCGACGTGCCCCACCAGGACTCCAGGCACGCTCGGATGGGTCAGCAAAGACGCTAGCCACGAAAGAGTGGAGCGCGCCAGCCTGCGGGGAAGCGCATCACCTACTTCTGGGATTTGGGGGTTTCGCGAGCCCATTCTTCATCGAAAAACAATTGTTTTGTGCCTGCCCACGTCAAACAATCCTTTGTAGCGTGCGTATGCTGGGTCGCGGCGACTATCGATGCTGGACAGATCATCAACAATGTCCAGGATGAACATGGACGGCCCCACAACCAAGTCCGTCCAATGGTAAGCCCTAATCACAGCTTCTCAACATCATGTGCTGTTCACTTCTCGGAGAGCCCAAAGCAAAGCAAAGCTTGGGAGCTGGGGTCGGAGCCGTGACGACTCCTGTGTCTTTGTGTCTTCAGTAGCAAGACAACTCCGATCCTCCCAGCTCCTGCTCCACAGCCTCCCCCAGCCTTTTTTGGGTGTCGCAACTAATTTGCTCGCCAGCTCGATCTGCAACAAGAGGTTCTCCAGAACAGACCATTTGAAGCGGCACCAATTGCGGCGTGAGACTCCTTACAAGTTCACTCATGAATACGCGGGTGAGAAGTTATCTTGAATTTCTACTGACAACAAGTCCAGATTCAGGGGTCAAACCGTACTCCTGCATCTTCTGCGGAGATGCGTTTACGCGAAGGTAAGGGTATCTAGAGATCCGCCCACCAGACCCGAGTTTAACCTCAAGTCAAGCGACAACCTGAGGGATCACTACCCAAGCTGCCCTCAACGAAGAAATCGCCAAATACCAGAAGCTGCCAGAGGCGGAAGGCGATCGCATGCTTGTGACTCGGTATGTCATGACGCCACCTTCGGAAATTTGAAAGCGTGGACCTGACTTGTAGCAGTGTACTTTCATGAAGCTTGGTTGCGATGGAAATAATCCATGCAAAACATGCCGACATAAGAAGATCGACTGCAAGTTCGCAAGACTTGAATCGAAAGGGCTTCTTGGAAAGAGTGAACGTGAGAAATCATTCATCACGTGCTCCTGAAGACTGCGGAACTGATCAACACAGATTTGACTAAATCGTCAACTGATGCTGAGAGGGATGCATCATCCGATAGGGGATCTATCAAGTTCCTCCTGAACTCAGGAACAGCGAGCTTTATTGAATGTTTCCGGCTGCCATCTTCCCATGAGAGACGGAATCTGTTCAATTTTCGAAACACTCAAAGGTCCCCGGACTCCTTAACAATTCTAGACGGATTCGCAAATAGCAGTGAGAATGGAAGCACTGCTAGCGCTTTTTCCGACCCTTTCGAGGACGAACCAATCGACTGGTCTCTTTTCGAAGACGAAAATCTTCTCAGATTCCTCAGCAGTCCCTTCAATGAAGTGCAGATGCAGTCAGAGGATTTGTTCGCACCTTTGGGTATAGATCAGAGCTTTGCAGCGGGGCCGAATATGCAGGGAGTACCTCTCCCTGAAGAGTGGGAGTCTCCAAGTGAGGCATCTTCCGCAGCAATACAAGCAATTTCCCAAAAAACGATGACGCTGCAGCTGAGTCCTCCCGAGCAGGCTGATATCTCGCATCACTTGAATTATCTGTTCACTCCATCTCGAATGAGAAGACTTATCAGCCTTTACTTCGAATTCTGGCATCCCCATTGCCCGATAACTCATCAGGGAACGTTTAACATGGAAACAGCACCAACCCCCTTGCTTGTTGCTGTCCTTTTTGTTGGCGCCATGTATTCGCAGGTTGACAGAGATGTCAGCAGTGCGAAGCTTTTACTCGACCTGGCGGAACTCTACGTATTTTCTATCGATGACCTGACGGACGAGTTCGAGATCAGGCGAATGCTCAGAGCTCCCAATAATACGGCACCCGACTCTCTTCCGTTGAGCAACCAGGCTTTTCAGCATTTGCAAGCAGCATATTTAGTGGTTTGTGTACAGTTCTGGGCTGGAAACATGGTCTCGAGGAAACGAGCTATAGACACCAAATTCGGCGTGGTACTGAAGGTAATCGTTCACTGCGCACAAAACGTAGTCCGAATGCTAATCATAAATAGGTGGCTCGACGCATCGGACTTACGAAAGCTAGACACGAATTGGACGACAGTGTCGATGAGGATTTATGGATCAAGAAAGAATCTCAGATTAGGTAATGAGCAGCCACCAGTCGTTTGTTCGATATATCTAACTATGAACAGACTGATGAATATCATCACCCTTCTCGACTGTGCTTTTGCTTTCTTTGCCAACTTCCCCTGTCGACTCATGGTCTCTGAAATGAGATTTGATCTTCCTTGCGAAGAAAGCATATTTTCCTCGCCGCATCCCTTCGCAGAACCGAAGTTCGCCCCAAGCCGCCATCTTACAACTTTCGATGCATTCCAAAGCCTATTTGGACAGCTGAAATCCACCTCTGTGCCAAATCAAGGAAGGAAGGGCAACCCACTGGGACTGAATCCCATGGATATGTTTATTCTCGTTCATAGTAAGCTCCCCTGAGTCTGGTGCAACTGCATTGGCTGACTAATGAAGTACTCTACGTCTATGCTCACACTCACGTAATTCTTTTCTCCCCCTCCCTCCCTCGAACATCAGACGGCTCGGGTGGCTCAACTCCTACCGGGGCACCATGCTCAACATCTGACACCAATCTCGCACTCATCAGAGCAGCTCTTTCTCGCTGGCGATCCCTTTGGACCACAATTCGCTCAAATATACCCAGTCAAGCATGGGCAAGTTTAGGTTTCTTCAGGAACGGATATAATTACTGGCTCGTGACACAGCTCTTGATCAATAATAAGGGGAGTGTAGATGTAATGATGGGTATGGAGGTTGGATGCGAAGATACCCTAAAGCAACTAAAGGGACTACTGAAGGAAAGTGGCAATGACCCCTAGAAACCATGCACTTCTACATCAAGAATCAATTTCAATCATCCTTGCCGTTCTCGTTTCCTTCCTCACACCTAAAGCCACTGAGACAAGCCCCATCTTCAACACAGGTCACCCAACTCCCCTTTCCACGCACGTCCTATCTGATGGCCACCTTATACCCATCTATTTCCTCCGAGTTCTAAGTACCCTATCGCCAAGCACCTCCCTCATATACTTCTCCTCCCTCAAAAAATGTGCGGTAGTCCCCCCTGTCTTTTCCCCGGATCTTCGGCGGAGCGGAAATTCATCCCTTCCTTTAGCCCAGCAAACCCAATCTATCTAATCTCCAAAAATCTCTTTAAATGGACCCCAAGCTTCCAAGCGTATCCCATCTCCCCGCAGGCTTTGACTCATTTGGGACGTGGCCCGGGGTTTCTCCGCGATGTGGGACAGCCTTGTGGGGCTTTTGCTAAGGGATTGATGGGGAGGAGGGGAAGGCTGAAAAAGCGGAAGGAAGAAGCTACGTTGAGGCGGATTTATTATCTAGTGAACGACGTCGTCAGGTATCGCGACTACCTATATGATCGTTTTCCTTCAAAATTGTAAATATATCACAGAAATGACAAACTCATCGAATCTGACAGGCAAGAGCGTCGTTGTCACAGGTACGGTTACCCCACCCACCCCACATACCCCACCAATCCCAGCTTCCCCGCTTCGTTCTGATATCTGGGATAGGAGGTGCATCAGGCATCGGCCTCGCACTCGTTCAATTCTTCGCCAGCTATGGCTGTAAGATAGCTCTTCTTGACATCTCACCTGAATCGGCAGCCCATGTGCAAGCTGTTCTCTCCTCGCTCCGCACACAGTATCCCGCTTCGACATTCATCTACCAGAAGTGCGATGTCTCTTCTTGGAAGGAGCAAGCCGCTGCTTTCAAAACTTTTTATAATGAGATAGGGAGTATCGATATCGTGTGTGCAAATGCTGGGATCGTGGAAGCTGGAAAGTTTCTAGAGAAGGATGAAGGGGAGCCCAGGAAACCGAATCTGAAGACGTTGGACGTGGATTTGAATGGGGTTTTGTTTTGTGAGTCCATTCTTTCCTTCCACCGAGTCAAGATGGCTGGGATCAGGGACTGATACACATGGCAGCGATTAAACTAGCAGCTCATTACATGCATAAAAATTCTTCTCGGGAGAAGGGCTCGATTATTTGCACGGCTTCAAATGCGGGAATCTACCCATTTCCTATGGCGCCTATGTATGCCATTGCCAAGCATGGTATCGTGGGTGCTGTGAGGTCATTTGCCGAAGCTCTGCAATCTGAGGGGATTCAAATCAATGCTTTGTGCCCGAATTGTATAGGTACGATCCTATCTTTCCCCTCCAAACATTTTAATGACGAGAGAATTATCTAGCAACGGGTATCGCAGACGATAAATTAATGTCGAGCATGCAGCTTACACCAATGAGCACACTGTTGAATACTGTGAAGGAGTTTTGTCTGGATCACAGCTTGACGGGCGTTACAGCTGAGATCAGTGGGGAGAAGGGGACACATAGGCGGCCGCCGGAGTATGTGGATGAGATTACAAGGGAGAACCTGGAGATGTTTGTTAAGTTGGGGTATGCGTAAAAGGCACCCGATCCTCTGGTATGCCATGGGTCTTTCATGCAGTGTCTCAGCTTAATGGAACGGTTTAATTCTTTGGTCATTATGCATAGCGAATGGGATTGGCAAAGACTTCACGAATGTTCAATTCCAGTTCATCAATATCAAGAACAAGATATATCCTTTAGACATCTCCCACTTAGTTTGAATCACTGACATGGGGGACAATGATTATCAAATTCGAATATAAAGCTTAAATTAAATAATAAAGAGAGTAAAGGAGAAGATCAAATTTATTTAGCGATGCCGCACGTTTATAGGGTATTCATAGACACCAAAATTTGGTCGCCACCATGAGCAAGTACTAGACTAGTTGAAGCGCCACCAGTGTGACTCGAAGCTGGGAGAGTTCCCGATGTTCTCCACCCAGTTGCCGTATCAAGAACCTCCCAAAAGATCGGAGTATCAAAGAGGTTCATGACAGTAAAAGGCAACAGCATTTGAGGCGCTAACAAAGAGGTTGAAGGCGCTTAACCCTATGGTTGAATAGTATTCTGGCTAGATTGTCCGCAGGCATTGTTGGCAGGACAGCGTGGCCAATCACTCTTTTGCTGGTCGTGTTAAATTCACTAGAACTAGGCCTATCGTGGTTAGATCGAAAATGATAGATGGCGGAAACACTCACGGAAGGGTGATATCTGCGCTCCCTCGCCTGGTAAGAAAATCCAGGCGAGCCTGGCCGAGCGAGTTAACTGTATCCCTTCGTCTGGTGAGACATGTCCAGCGCTAGCAAGGGGTCTGACTCAAACTGTACGCAGGTGCAGGCATACCTGTGCTTATGAACTTATTAGTCATCCATCGCGTTTTTGCCCCGACTCAGGCCTCCTTGCTAGCGCTGGACAAGTCTCACCCGAGTCCAGACGAAGGGATAGACAGACATCTGGCCCGAAGTGGGGCGTCGGAAAACCCCCAACTCCCCCCAGCTGAGCCAGCTCCCGTCTCCAATTGCCGGACCGTCCCTCGAACTCTATTGTCTTTGCCACTTTGGGGGGCCTCCAAGCGTGCCATTCTCGTGTCAAGACAAGGATGTGCTCCCAACCAAAGATCTCCCCGAAACTTACTTTGTATCTTTTAGATTCCGGGTCGGATCTGACTCGGGGACAACTCCGCATCATGCATCCACCCCCGCAATGCCAACTCGGAATACCCCCTGACTCCATCATTTACAATTTAGTTTTCAGAGGCTCGGAAGGATGTGGGGTTTCCCAGCCTCTGTTCTCAATAGATTATACTCTAATTACGAGAGCATATTCGCTAACCCCACCTGCCCAATGATATTTCCTCGGTTAAGCCCCTTCTAGTGCTGGGCATGTCCCACCAGACAAAGGGATATCTACCTCCTGAGAGCACATCACTGCCTCTTCCGTCCTCTAGAACTCATAAACAGCTACCTCCCGATATCCAACAACTCCTTTACACTCTATCTCTTGACCAAGACTCATCATGGGTCTCGGAATTCTCGAAGACAACCAACTCGAGCATGTCCCCGGCACAGCTCCTCTGAATGAACTCGGCCGAGAGATTTACAACCCCAGCGGAGTCGACTTAACAATCCTCAAGCATGACCCCACAGGGCAGATTGTCCTCGTTCCTCAGCCATCGGACTCACCCAACGATCCTTACAATTGGCCCAGATGGAAGAAAGAGAGGTTCACCATTGCCTTTGCTTTCAGTTGTGGAGCTGTTGGTGGTAAGATCCCATACAATCCCCAATTGGGGATCGCAGTCTAATACGTTCCTAGCTGTTGGCCCACTCCTGAGCCCCGCATTCGTTGAACTGGCCGCTGAGTTCAACATCACTCTATCAGCATTCATCCAAGGTGTTCAAGGCGGTGTCATCGTTGCAATCGCCTTCGGCAGCCTGATTTGTAATGCTTTGGCGGTGAAATACGGGAAGCGGCCCGTATATCTTATCACTACGGTTGGCTTGATGGTCACTTGCTTCTGGTGCGCAGCTGCGAAGAGCTTTGGGTCTTTGGTTGCTGCGAGAGTCATCCAAGGCTTCTGCATGGGCCCTCTTGAAGCTTTGATTCCTGCTTCGATCGCCGATGTCTGGGCAAGTTGCGTACACGAAGCTGTACTAAACAGAGCGCTGACGGTGGGATTAGTTCGTACATGAACGCGGATACAGGTCTGCCATCTTCAACCTAGGAGTTCTCGGTGGAATTAATTTGGCAGCACCAATCAGTAAGAAACAACCCTCCCTTGAGAATCAAACGCACTAACACTTTCTCCAGCTGGCGGCATCATCCAAGCTAGCAGCTATAAAGTCGCTTTCTATGCCATGGGTGGTGCATTTGGTCTCGCTCTCATTATGATCTTTTTCTGGATGCCGGAAACAGCATATGTCAGGACAGGTGTGGTGAACCTTGATACTGGAAGCAATAATGTGAGATACTGTCAGCGTTCACGGAACGTTGAGCTCAGTACTAATTATTTTAGTTGATGACTGAACTTACCATGACCCACAAGATTGGCGCTTCTCATCTTGAGAAAGAGGAGAAGGCTGCCTCTGGTCAACCTACTCAGCCTCCCACGCCTCCTGCCTCAGACGAAGAGCCTCACTCCTTTGCCAAAGAGATGCTCCCATATAGCGGATATGTCAACCACGTCTCATTCCTCAACACTGTGTTCCGTCCTTTTGTCATGCTGGCATCTCCGGCAGTGCTGTGGGCAACTCTCCTCTTTACAACGTGCATCTCATGGCTCGTCGGGATCTCCATCACACTTTCGCAGATCTTCTCAGCCCCACCATACAACTTCTCAGTCACAGCAGTCGGGCTGACAAACCTCTCGTCTTTCGTTGCATCTCTTCTTGGAACTGCAATTTCTGGACCCTTGATCGATGGTGTAGTGCGACGGATGTCACTTCGAAACGGAGGAACATTCGGTAAGCATCTCACCACTTTCAATTCACGGCTCTAACACCTCCCCAACAGAACCCGAATTCCGCCTCCCAATCATGGTTACCTACCTTCTCTTCACCGCAACCGGCTTCTTCGCCTGGGGTCAAGCATCCTACGCGCTCGACCCTTGGGAAGTTCCCGTCATCGTTGGTCTCGGCTTTGTTAATTTTGGGGTACAGCTCGGCACCACAGGTATTGTATCATATGTTGTAGACTGCCATCGTGAAAAAGCAGGCGAGGCATTCGCTGTCATGAACTTCATCAAGAATCTCTTTGCTTTCGGGCTCGTAAATTACTTGAACAACTGGCTTGCTACTCAAGGGACGAGGAATGTGTTCTTTACGATCGGTGGAATCACGATCGGCGTTAGCTTGTTCACTATACCGATGTATATTTATGGCAAGAGGGCGAGGAGCTGGGTTTATCGTCATGGCATTGCGGGGAAGGATTGAATAGGGGTTCGGCTGCTCCGGCGGTCAGGCGAGCTTCAGGCAAAGGAAAGTAAGGTGGATGTTATATACTTTCCCTGATATCAGCGAGCGACATGACGTGTAAATTAGAGCCGTAAAAAGCAATAACAAACGCGGGCATAGGTCTATTATTATCATAGATTCCGGGAACCGGACGTGAGATTTGCTAGAAAAGGATTAAGACTTCGGCACATAACCTTTTGCCATTTCTATACTTCGAATTACTACAAGATTATGGTAGCGACTTATCAATTGCTCCCTTGCCTTTTTTGCGATTGATTTTTTTTGGGCTTTTTTGGGATGGTGGTGGTGGTGGAGCCGGCCGGTTGGCTGGTTTAAAGGCCCTAAGAGAGCATATGAAAGGGGTGAATGCTGCTGAGCAACTCGGATTTACGATGCCCTAGTTGTTGTCTGCAAGACAGTAAACAAGGGAAACAGCACTTTATAAACAACCTTACTTGGCAGTACGATTCAATCAATAACATAGAGCTTCCGATAAATTCAACGCTTCGTCGATCCAGGTAAGCAAGCAGTGAAAGGTGAATTCATGGGTGTTGTCAGTATCCTCAACAATAATTCTGAATACAGCTAGCTCATCGTCGATGGGTCTGCTCCCTCCTCGCCTCTCAATATGCAAGCCTACAACTCACCCCAGAATAACACTGCCCCAGCGAAGAGCAGCACAAAACCCAAAAGCGCGTTGCTGTCTCTCAAGGAAGCTCCTTCACTTCCCCCACCTGACCCTCCATGAACGCCTGCCACTCCTGCAACAACAACCGGGACGACCGGCGGCTGCGGGGCAACTACGACGTGTTCGCCGCTGTCTCCTCCTTCATGCCCTCCTCCAAGTATGTCATGCTCTGTACTGTCTAGGGATGACACCAAAGAGCAGTTCGCAGTCGACAGCGCGGTGCTTGGAAAGTTTGCTGTGGATGCGATCGCCAAGAAGAGGCCGGAACCGAGAAGTGCAAGGCTCAATTGCATCTCCTGTGGTTCTTTTGTGTGTACAGGAAACTTGGGATGTGTAAAGTATTTGAAGCAGCTTAGAGATTGGTCTTTGTAACTTGATAAGAAGATTGAAGTTGAAGTATTGAAGTTTATAGAAAACTCCCCTCTCTTATATGCTGTGACCTGCGTGCTTGTCTCATTTACCTGTGCTATAATTGAGAAGCTGAGAATTAATAATGTTATGACATGAGAGTATTTTCAATATACATTATCAATCTTGTGAATCATCTTCAAGTCGTTACCATGACTGAGATTTCACACCTGTTAGGATGAGAAATGAGCTCTGACTCTGGCTGCTGGTGAAACTTTGAAGCAAAAAATGTCACTTGGAAAAATATGATATGATTGATTTTGGTACCGCAATTTAAAGTCTCGCAATGTCCTTTAGGTACAACTGATCCTACCAGCAGGGTCAGCTAACTGGAGCACCTCTGCTCATTCCGCCCAGGAATTGAGTCAAACTTACACTCATGATCATTTTACAGCATCGCCGTGCCAAGGAGTGGCATCACGAGTGTCCCCCCCCCCCCCCCCCCCCCCCCCCAAAAAGCACCAATTCTTGCAAGGAATCCTGGTCATCTAGAGCTCTCGTCTCCATCGTGATCTCCTGAACCGGCGTGCACTGTACTGTCGAGATGAACCACTTTAGGCGTGAAACTGGTTGACAAAGTTGCCAGAGTTGTTGTAGAGAGCTCTGCCGATGCTACAGCGGTAAGAAATAGACCGAATACCAAAATGAGATATGTGGCTTTCATTATTGCTGTTTGTTTCGGAGTCGACCCTGAGTTTCGAAGTTGCGGTTGTCCTGCAAAGAAGTTGAAGTGTTTCTGTTTGGTTGTTAGAGAAAGTTTTTGTCTTTTTTTGGCTCATGTGTGAAATTTATATGCATTGCACCATAAAAGAAAGATTCCAAATGCAGGGTGAATGGAATCTTAGTCTTGCAGGTTATTCTCATCATTTTCAATCAAGTATCACGGAATATTACACGCCGTTCTCATGCAGTACTTCTCTTTCCTGAATCTCTGTCCATCTCTTTCGCAACCTCACCTCCTGATAGTCTAAACCACCACTTTTGAGTTCTCATATTTGTTTTACAAATTCACATAACATATGTCTAGCTTGATGTACATTGACGATGGCCAAAGGCCCTTAAGTTTATGTTTTGATCACGTGATCACGTCCATTCATTATCCTCCCAGCGATTTTTGGAACCGAAAATAGAATACAGCCTTCAACCTGCCACATCCTGGGGATGCACATCAATCCTTACTTTAAAATACCCCTCAATAGAGGCTTCAATGTATTCCCCAATATTCTTGCAGGGCACAACGTGATGGGCCCCTGATTCGATAAGCGAGCGGGAAGCCTAACAGCACTACAAAATTCTTTCGTCCCTCCCTCTTCTTAAGCTTTTCCAGCATTTGCCATTTCGTTCACACCGGTCTCCAACTCGCAGGCCCGGAGCTTCCATATGGCAGTATTGTAGCACCACTACGACCGAAATGGACGTGACTCGGAGAGATTCACGAACGGCAAGCCCAGTTGATTCAATATGGCGCGATTTACCTGAGCATGTCTTCCGCCAGCACTTGGTCAGCCTACAGGAGAGAACTGGGCCAACGCCCATGGATCCTCAAGCCTTCTCGATCGGAGAATGGCTCTCAATATCTCCACCCGTCAACGAGTCCCATGTGTTATCAGTCGATTTAGAGCAGCACCTTGCGGACGATTTTGCTTTCTTGGCCGCTGTTGCTGAAGGTGCGCAGAGCGTTGCAGCAGTCTGCATTGAAGAACATTCTCAGACATCAGGGATGACGCTGAGATTTGCTGCAATGGATATCTCGAAAAATGAGACCGTGAAAAGGGCTTTACAAGGCATGTGCAGTATCTTGTCACGGGCAGCTACTTTGGTGTCTGACGAAAGCCCTTCCGACCAAATTACCCCTCTGTTCCATCATATTATTCAACTGCATTTCTATCGTTTGTTGGCCCGTCTCCGTTCTCCCAAATGGGAGAAGCCAAAGTTTCTTTCAAAAAGCCATAAAAAGCCCTTGTGGAAGGACTTCGCCAATCTGGTTCACCGAGCACAGCACACTTACGCCAAGAAAGAGAAGGTAACAAGGGGGATGGTTGAGAGCCGTGTAAAGGAACTCGCAACAGTCTACAAGCATTTTGAGGCATCTGAGGACCAGATGTCCTCAATGATGGAACTGGTCGATGCCAGCTTCAGATTTTCCTCGGCAGAAGAGATCATGGACTACGCTCAGCGCCTTCAGAATAACACAAAACACACTCATCAGGTTGCATCTGCCATCAAAACGTTACGGCAGATCCAAAAGATTGCTTCCTATCGCCGCATATGCTTGTCATTGGTAAGCGCTGCGAGACAGTATCCAACTTTGTTTCAGCAAGTGACGATCGAGTACCTTGTCCCATACAAGGAAGTTCCAACCTCTATCGGATATCATGAATGGGCAACGACATGTCACGTCCACGCCGAAGTCCAACTGGCAGTTTACTACGATCTGAATCGAAACTATCGACCCAGATGCATCGGAACCTCGAAGTGGCTCTGTTACCTCTGCTACCAGTTTCTGTCGGCACATAATCAGTTCTTCCCATCTAAAACACATGGCCGTATATTCGATCAGTGGACGGTTCCGGACTTGGTGGAATTTAGTGAAGCTCTCGTTCAATATTATCGCCGTATCCTGAAGGAGATGGATGGCGTGGTGTTGCAGCAGATTGAAAGTGAGCCTCAAGTTCGGAGGTTACAGCGAATGACGAGCTGTGACTTTGGGGGATTTGATCAAATCTGAATGACACAAAACGCGCTCATCGGTATTATCTCTATATCAATGCTGGGCAGATCCTGTCGGCAAACGTGATGGTCGATCAGGGCGAAGGACGTGAAAGTGCGGAGCAAGCATCGACCACAAGACTGATTAGACTCGGGGTCTTTTGAACTCAAGCCTGGACCGCTCTGCACAGAAAACTTTGAGCATGATACTATCTATCAGGTTTTATACTGATTAGGTAAAACGATTGTGAGTCCAATTATGAAGCTTATCTGGAAACGCTGTCGAGATCAAACCACCAGATCCGGAGCGGAAACGATTCATCTCAGCATGATTGATCCTACTTTTGGACATCATGGGGGCCTTGGGCACCCTCTTTGGGACATCTTCAGTCTCTCGGAACTCGATCAACAATTATTTGGATCAAGTTCTGTTCTTTCCGCTCAAAAATGACGATGTTCTGGGCATATTCAAGGAGGGGTGCAGAGTAAATGTCTTTCGGCGGGGAAGCACGCAGCCCCTGAATTCAGCATATAGGCAAAGAATTTCAACTGTGTGCACTTCATACCCATGACTTGAACTATGCATACAGTGTATACTAGTTAATTTGACCGGCCCTCTTCAAGTGATAGGAGTTGAGCTCAAATTCAATCTCATTTTGAATATATCGTGCTTTTGATGCCCACATAGGAAAGGCTTTCCCGTCGTCAAGCACGGCGATGAGAGACACGCGTCCCGGTCTGTTAGCACTCCTGCTCACAGTTCATCGTTTCTGTAAGCTTGCATCTCACGCTTTCTTTTCTCAATGAGCAATCTAACACAACTTCGAGTCATGAAAATAGGACAGCAAGGTCATGGTAGAACTGGACAGCCTGAATGCACATCCCTAGCAGTATTGAAGTGTATCCAATGTTAAGGTCTCCGCGATACCAGCCGCGTCAAGTCAATTAGAGAATTAAAGGCTAAGGAGGGGCTTTCGTTGGCGGTTTTGTTTCTCGTTCTTCTTCAAGTATCCTGGGTGACTCTAAACGTGACACTCGAGCAAATTGTGCAAGCACAAAGTCTCCCCTTTCTTCATTGACTTCAAGAACAAAACGCAACGCACACTTTATTTTCGAAAATCCAGAGTATGGTACAAAGTCCATGCCAAGAAAGAGTCCTGCCAATTACCCAAGCTCGAACCAACCTACCATCCCAACGCATAGCATAGCATAGCATTTTTCTGCTCTCCGTTTTCAAAACCCCATAGTACTAGTACAAAGTTCACACCGCATGATGATCCTTTCCAATTCCCGCACCCAAAAGTTATACAAGCTTATCCCTGGCATCTCTGCCCACAACCCTACATCTCTAGCACCCCAACTTTCTAATAGTTATCTCCTTCCTCACGTAGAAGCTTCTTCGTCTTTTGGTGCCTTTGCCAGTAATGTTGAGCCCCACCAGCGAGGCCAAGAAGGAATAAGAGGACCCATGGCGCAATAATGACCCACAATCCTGCACCACTGAAACACATTTGTTGAGGTAAATTGAACGGCAGAGTCATCCGAGCAAAGAGGTTCGCCATTTTGGAGGTGGGTGCGGAAGAAGAAGGGTCAATCAATGAAGAGGTGGCTCCACCAAATGTCGCATTGCCAAGGGAGGTTGGGGTGGCCTTGATGTATGCCACGAGCGTGACAAGGAGAAGGACGGAGAGAAAAGTGGGTTGCATTGTGCTCTTGGACCTTGATTTAAGACTCTTGCTTTGATGTTGCAAACCGAACAATTCACGAGATGTCTGGTTGTTCTTGAAGTTGGAAGTGTGTGTGATCAACCAAAGAGTTTGCAAGACGTCTTGATGTTTGCTCGTCTTAATTGAATTGCTGGTTGAAGACCGAAGAGTATGGGATATGTCTGGCTGTCTTGTGGTTGGGAGTGTCTTGGGGTTGGTGGAAGTGGAAGAAAGCTCATAGGTCGGGAGACTTTATAGGCGTGAGGCGGCCGTCCTCGTATGCACACATTCCCACATGCTCAACCGCAGTGATTCTAAATGTGCGTTCTTGGTCCTGGTCTGATATGGCTCCCCTGGGTCACTCACGAGCGTTGTATATAAAACAGATGAAGTTTTGGGATGAAGCTTTTCAACCGTCTTGACTTGTATCTCACTGGATTACACCAGAATTGCCCTTGATGATTTTGTATCTGACCAAGAGAATACGAAGAAGATCGATAATCGAGTCCACGGAGACTTGAGAGGGAGAGACTGAAATGTTCATCCTCCACTCAATACAGAGAAGGCCGGGAGGTTGCGAGAGGACGAGAAGGAAACTTTGAGGTATGGATATAGGTGTGCGATTCTCAATAATGCTCGCAAAATATGTAATTGACGGTATTGTGTGGGCCTGCATGGTTCTATTGCTTTCTCTAACATTTTCAGGCATACATGGTGGTAAATCTGAAAGAATCATCTCGTGGGTGGGTCGGTCATTCCTTACTTCGTTCCCCAACGTTTCTTATAAGCAGCCCCAACTTTGTTACTCCAACACATCCACGTTATACGCCATACCACGAAGATTCAAAAATGTATCATCCACCCAAGGAAGGCGCCGTATTGTAATCTTACGTTTGTCATCCACGCCGATTGAGTTATCATCTTTTAGCATCCTGAATGGAAAATGTCTGGGTGACTTCGTCAGGTTGGAAGAGCGCTGAAGATGAAATTGACACGAGAGACGTTGACGCGGGGATGAGTGATGGAAATAATGATGCGACCATGGAAGGTGAACGGAGCTTGGCGAAAGGAGCGGGTGCAGAGAGGCTAGTGACGATGAAGAGTGCCAATTTGAAGAGCTGCAGGGTGGCCCCCATCGTCGGCGTGAGGATCAAGAAGAGTCTTCAGGGTTGGGATCAAGCATGCTGAGTACAGATTGAAAGAGAATGGAGAGGTTCAATTCAGAGTATCGATGAAGTGGTCTTTGGTGGATTTCAGTCAAATCCCGGACGAAGTCCGCAGCGCATCATCGTATGGGAAGCCGTTGAGGCTTGGAAGTTGCGAGTACATTCTATGTCCAAATATTTGACTCAAGATCAAATGGCTAGGCAACAAATATTTGAAGTAAGTCTTTCCTTGTTTTATTGATTCACGAGTTGGTATTAAAGAATACCGTGAGAGTGAAATTGGTGAGCAAACTGATGCTGATTTATTCCCACGCTACGCGAGGCAGCCCCTTCATCCAATCTTCTAGTCAACCATATCAGCTCCCATTATCAGTCCCACGATAAGCATAGCGACTGAGCGTTGCATCCATAAGGCTGTTCCCCTCAGTTCTTCATGGTCTGGGCATCCTCTATACTCCACACGCGACGGATCACGTGGGCGGTAGGAGTGACTTGGGGGGTGCTGATGTCTCTGCTGAACCTTTGCCATCTCTATGGATGCGAAGCTCAAGTTGGATGAAGTTGCATTTTCTGGGACATGCTCGTGGACCACTTTGGGAGCATTTTCTTCGGAATGGCGATGGCGATGGCCGTGCAACGAAGCCGCTGAGGCGAAGTTGATATTTGTGAGAGAAAGGAGCAAAAAAGGAAGTCCCAGGTACTTGTTGAGGAACTTCATCTTAAAGAAACGTTTAAGTGGAGTAATGGGGTTAACTTCCAAAGCTCTGAGAGTTGTTTAACGTTTTGGAAGTGCAAAATACTACGATGAACTTCACGAAAGAGGGGATTTATAGCCCAAAATTCTGGGAGCATGAGCATGACTGTTGCTACGAATTCAAGAAGGATAAAGAACGTTGTTTTATGTCCGCTGGTTCATATTTGGATATCTGAACATGAAGTGAACCAAAACATACGTTGTGGGTAGGTGCTGTTCGACCCCTGAATCATCTTCTCGCTAAGCAACAGGCTTTTCAATCACTGGCGCCAAGCTGCCAGACTCATCTGAAACCTTCAAAGTGCCTTGCTTGTCTGACTTGATGTTTCAAACCGAAGAGAAAGTACGGTTCTCTGATCCATGTACGTGAGACCCATCTGTACATCTAAAACTCCCTTGAATATCTTACCAGTCATTCAGTCACGTGAGTGGGGTAGCGGAGAATCTGGATGCCTGGCGCAAGCTCTGTATTGCCTGAATATTTTTGAATGTCTCGAGTCGGTGAGTCCTTCGACATTCTCCCAATTCATTCACTTGCAGCGACACTTGAGAGCCGAAGAATTACCCTTCGGTGTAACCAACTTTTGTTCTTCAGATTGTTATGAGTTCTAAACCCTCTCTGGCGCCTAAATCGGATTCATCATGATTGACCTCGCCCATCTACGTCATTGCTAATTGATTGTTCACGGCCGGTTCGGCTCCATTCTTGCCATTCTCCCAAACACTCTCCTTTGTTGCCACTTTCGATCACAAGTATGGAGAAAAATGAGGAGAGGAAAACCTTGTCGCCTGCCCAGTCGGCCGCCCTTTTTGATCTTCTCTCTCACCACAATGTTTACTCAGAGATCCGCGACTTTAGGATACCCGGAAGCCTCAAGCATTATGGACCCCCTTTTCAAGTCGAGGAGGAAAAGCCGTCAACCTCGCCGGCGCTCCAAGGATTGGTGTCAAAGTTTCTCCTGAACCTACCCGGTCTGAAGGATGTGCCGGAGGAATTCTGGAAAGTTCAACTTCACGACATCATCGAAGGACTGGAGCGTGCCAACCTGAGCGAGAGCTACGATAAGGGCATTATTGGAACTCGAAAAACAGTGGCGACTGCAATATCAGCCTTGATTGAATATCCAGTAAGGGGGACTTCAGGAGGATTTTCAAAGGTTCAGGATCCAGATCCCAAGTACGATCTGTCCAAACCCGAGGATCTCTCAAAAGCTTTCCGGAATCTCATGGACGCCTCAATATATGGTACCGCTCTGGGTGACCTCGTTGCGAAGGTGGCGCAAACTGACAAACTCGCTGATCATGAGCCCCTCATACAAGCCGCTCATGAATTTGTGCTTGTGAAGTGAGCTCCTGTCAGCGTTCTCGTCTGAGGATGTCCCGAAAACGTGCTGATCTGAGCAGTATTGCATCTTTCATGCACTATGCGCTCATATTGTCACCGAAAGGACAATATTTGCTCAAACTTGTGGGCAACGTGAACAGACTCGTTCCGTATGTGGTCATCCGACAGACCCTTAAAATTGGCAATGTTGCAACCATGATCAGCGCGATGATGAAAGTTGTCCTTGCCAAGATGAGTGTTTCGACGATCACGAACTGGATGGGGCTGACTTCGGGCGAAGATCAAGGAATGAATTTGATGCAATCGTAAGTGCTTGGATATCTAGCCCAAGATAACCCGTTAACTATTGCAGAATCATCTCCACAGTATTACATTGGGACAACAGAGACTTGGAGAGCCGGGCGTCGAAGATTGAGAGTGACAAGACCGCGGCTTTGAGCAAGGATCAGCTCCGTTGTCTGAAAGAATATGTGGACAAATCTCGAGAAGAACAAGATGAAATACGCCATCAGAGCCGTGAGTGAATCCTGCTTCATTCCGGTACAACCATTAAAGCCCAGCAGAACAAACCTCTATTTCAATCGTCATTTCCATCCTTGCTTTCTCATCACTACCTACAGACCTCTCTGAAGCAACACACACCCTGGCACTCGAGTATCTCAATGTTCAGCTCTCCATCCGAGACCGAAAGCAGCTCATCCAGTCCCTCTGCCACAGTAGTCCAGACCACGTCACAACTACTGTCCGTGTTGCCGTTTCCGCATACGAGCCCGTGATCCGAAATGTCCACAAAGCTGTGGATCTTTCTGATACGGTGTCCGACTTCGAAGCCTTTCTTGGGGATATGCTGAAAATATCGAAAATTCAAGACGAGACATCAATTCCGACGGTAGGAGATTTTGTGGCGCTGCTAAAGAAGCATCAATATTCTTGCCATAAATTCCTCCACCAGGTTTGCAAGAATGGAAAAGAACTAACAGGATGGTACCTTGAATGGGCAAAGGAGGCAGCTTCACATTTTCGACGGGAAACAGATCATTCCGATGCGAAGATCCGGGACGCAGGCGACTTGACTGCACCCTTGAACGACCTTTTTTCTAAGCTTTCAGCAGAACAGCAAAACAGAATCCTTCCAATACTGGACCGGCAGATTAAATACATAGACGAAATGCACGCATCATCACATAAACGACTAGAAGCCGTTCTCACCTCCCCACCTTCAAAGAATCCAATAATCGCAAAGATCATTGCATCCTCCGCCAACTCAAGATCGTCGAGTCGCTCCTCGTCTCCGGCTCCCAGCGAGAAAGGAACACAAACTCCGAAAATTTCACCATCTAGACCTTCATCAGATCCTGGGCCTGGTGCTTATTTATCACGTTGGCAGGACCTGTTGGATAATACGCCCATTACCCCTCTCTCGCCATCTGGGAAGGTTGAGAAAGCAATTGGCAAGGCGGTGGTGAAAGGTAGCACAAAGGACGTAGATGGCGAGCAATTGGTTGAAGTGCCGGATGGGAAGACTGGCGCTGAGAAAGTTCGAGAGCGGGTGAGTGGAGAAGGGAGCACAGGCGGTAAGCCGGACGTCAGGACTGTAGTTGAGGCAATGGGTCAGGATTTCAGGGCATTGTTGGCAGCCCGAGGAGTTTACTGGTAACGAGTAAGAAAACGAATACAACCGTACGTATATGAGTTTGGAAGGTTTGTACGACCATGTACTCTGCAGTGGCAGATCACAAGAATTCAAGCGAGTACTTGCAACGATAGAACTTGCCACTGGGTGTAAGATGTTCAAACTTTCGAAGGAAAAGGCTCCCGCAATTATGCGGCGGTTAAGGGAATTACCTCCGTCCGCTTCCACCTTCACTTGCGTATGATGGCAACAAAGACAAGAGCATTGTCGCCTCCGCCAGGTCAGTAGTCTAGGTTTTGGTCCTTCATCTTGTTAGTTAGATCCTATCATAGGTTCAATTATGTAGGGGCGTCCTATTAGCAGCTTCTCAAGTGCCGAGACTAGCAAAAGTGACGCAAGCTGGAGGCATTTCTAGGTTGGAGTTTTCACAAGGAGAATCTTTTCCCCAAGAAGGATTCAAATTCCAAAGCCACATTATTGTTCATTTTTCAGCAATTTTAGTCTTCATTTCACACTTCATCGCCAGTCAACATGACAGCCACGAAAAAAAATACCCACCGCCAAGACGGGAGCTCCCATCAACCACCAGCTTCCCTACAGGAGCCATCGCGAAGGACGGAGATATCTCCCCGAACGCCCAAACTCCCTCACCACACCCAAAGAAATACTCGCCAAGCACAAAGGCCCCCTTTGTAGCCATCTCTCAGCGATGTTGAGAAAAGTCCAGGATTACATCCATATGTTGCAGCTTTCCAACTACATCCTCACCACGGTACCTAAATTCAACGAGCCAGAAATGGTCGGTTTGCCGATTAAGGCAATCTTGGATGCACGCATGGGAACCAAGAGCGGGAATACAGCATTTTTGTACCAAAAGGTGAAAACGATATTCAAGAAGATGCTAAATGAATAGGCGCGTTTCCTCCGCTCCTCGGACTCGACGTCTGTCATGAACGACAAGAAAGACGGCTGGTTCAATCCCCACGCTTTAGAAGCGATGAGACATGCCTCTCGTAGATTAGAGAAGTGGAACTTCGGGGACGATTATATCTGTGATCCAAATGCTCCGCATTATGGCTTCACGTCCTGGGATGGCTTCTTCATCCGGCGGTCCAAGGAGGGTATCCGCCATGTTACGTGTCAAGATGATAATGCCATCGTGAATGCGTGTGGAGGTGCTCCCTACGCGATCTCAAATCACGTTAAGGCTCTGGATAAGTTCTGGCTTAAGGAGCAGCCTTACAGTCTCAAGTGTATGTCTAACCACGGCCCCTAGCTATAAATTTCGCCGGTGGGGGTGGTGTATCAGAATTTCCTTTCAGCGACTTCTTATCACCGGTGGCATGCACCAGTCTCTGGGGAGATCGCGAAGACCGCCATTGCACCGGGGACATATTTCTCGGAGAGCCAGGTGTATGATTGGCCACATTTGGATCCAGATGGCCCAGATTCATCGCAGGGATACATAGCTGCTATCGCTACCACAGTAGAGCCGTCGTTTTCATTAACCAGAAGATCGGGTTGATGTGCGTTATGTTTATTGGAAAGCCAGAAATCAGTACGTGTGATATTCGAGTTTATGAGGACAGCACGTCACGAAGGGGGACGAGGTTGGGATGTTTCATTTTGGTGGCTTGACGTGTTGCTTGGTGTTCAGGCAGAGGTGAAATTGGAGTTGATTTGCATGGGCAGGAGAATAAGACTGGCATTAAGGTGGAAAATATTCAGCTGAATAAGAGATTGGCTACTGCCTCTTGGAAGGTAAGGAGAAGGGCGTTTGAAAGATTTTGGGAGTGTTGATGCCAACTTAAAAGTCCTGATCTTCACTGGTACATCCTAGGTGATTTGCATTTGCATTTCCAGATAGGTTTTTGAACATTCAGAACGTCGAGGACTTGAAAGTTCTAGTCTGCATATTTACATTCTTGCTGATGTGCATCTGAATATCCCTGTCCTTTCTTCAACATTCGGAACCTCGAGAACATGAAAGTCCAGAACAGCTCTTGTACATTGAGAGCCCCTAACTATCTCCAGGTTTCGTCTTGATCGCACCCCTGCCGAGGTGGACCCACAATGGATTGAGGACTGCTCGAAGGCGGCCGATCGGGTTGTCAATAGTATTGACGAGATGCAGATACCAAATCCCAAGGTGACCCGTAACTATGACAACATCGACGGCACGGGAGAGCCACAGAGGTTGAAGAGACTGTCCATTCGAAAGCATGCTTTGTCCAACTCCCAAGGAGATCGAGGCCAAGCATGCGAAGAAGTAAAGCTTTGCCTTCTCTGGCTTTCTGTCGGCAGAATGGACGAATGCGATGATCGGGAGGATGAAGATCCAGCTACTCATGGTTGAAACTCCTGGCAAATGACCGCTTGAAGAGCCTTGGTTTGCGAGACCATTGTGGATGAAACACTTGATGGCTATTGCAGCGGGAAGGAATGGAATCAGGACCGCCATAGCCACTTCCAATCCCCAGAAGGCCAGGTTGATGATGACAAACACCCAGAGCATCAGGAGGACTTGGACCAATTTGCTGACGGGAGGCGCAAGGCCACCTCTGCGTGACGTGTTTTCACTCATCTGGCCCCTTGGAAGAGGTTGGAATCTCGGACCTCTATATGCAAGCGCAGTTGGTAGAAGTGAGACGAGCGCTAGAATCAGAACCACCAGCCTGGAGATTGCAAATGCAAATGCCATGGTGGGTAGAGGGGAGGAGGTTGTCGAGTTCGTTGTTCTACAAGAATTGGTCGATTCTGATAGGGGTGGCCTCGAAGCTCTTTTGTTTGTTATTCAGAAGGTGTTCTGTAGAATGTGATTCGGTGTAGAGCGTGTTTTTTGATATTGATCAAGCCATCTCTGAACTTGGATGAGTAACACAGATCGATGAAGGAAAAAAAAAAAAAGCATGACAAATTACCCAGCTCCGTGGTCGGTCATAATTGCTGTCAATCATGCGGGTTATAGCGGTGAATCATTCATGTTGAAGGGAGTGAGCTGTCCGAGCCGGTTTCGACACAACAGTGACTGAAGTGTCCGAGACGGCGTCGACACAATAGGGAGTGAGCTTTTGAGATGGTGTTGACACAAAAGTTAGTGGATTTCCGAGACGGCGTTGACCCAACAAAGATTGGATTGTCCAAGAGGGTGTTGGTACAATAGTGAGTGAGCTTCTGAGACGATGTCGATACAAATTTGAGTGGGTTGTCAAAGACGCTATCGACATAAAAGTACATAATCGTTCATCTTCACAAGAACTCATTGACTGAGTTCCATTTCAATCAGACTGCCATCTCCTCGCTTGATAGTTCTCAATCTCTCAGATAAAGGAGTATCATAATTTCCAAGACAAGTAACCTTGGTCATGCGTGACTGCCAACCCAAGCTCGCACAGGATATATTGGGAGACTCCGATTCAAGGTCTTGCAAACTCCTTCACATGAACACTAGCACCTTTGACCTTGTTTTTATTGTCGATGATAGATTTCTGAGGTTTTGAAAGGCTGAGGTGATGAAAGTCGAGTTTGTTGCCATTCAGACAAGCTGAACATTCAAAAGCTGAAGTCTTTTCTGAATAATGGCTCGGCATGGTTTAAGTGGACCCGGATGCGATTGACAAGTACTCTAAAGTGTTCCTAATGTTGCACCGCACACAGATCAACGCCACCGAGGACCTGCAGATTTCAAGGTATCCTTGGCGACATATACATGGGGGTACATATCGGGCGCTCAAACGAGGTTCGCCAATCTCATTCCAACAGCCATCCCCACCAAGATGAAGAGGGTCGGCATCGAGGAACCCTTGGTAGTACCAGCAGAAATGAGAACAGTGGTACAGTTCCAACATCCTCTTGTGATGTTCTCTGCAACATAGACTTGAGTGGTGTTGAAAAGCCCAAGCGACGGGGAGAGCGTAACTACAGCCACAACAAATCCAAGACCACAGGCTAAAAAGAGGAAGCAAAGGACAAGAACAACGTAATCGCGATTGAGTTTCATTGTGATGGAATTCTTTTGTTTCAAGCATGAGGGAGATTCACAGTATATATAGTTGGCATCGAAGAGCCGAGACATGCAAATTCCAGCTGGCATCATGGCATTGGCCGTCATCACAAACCAAGACTTGGAACTCCCAGAAGATGACACATATGCGGATCTATTGTCTCCACTTGATGCTAAGTGGCATTGTCTGTCATAGTGTGTCGAAACGCATTGCTCCATATCCAGTCTAACCCATTATCAAACCAACGCAGCAAGAGATACGATGAGGGCTCCATAGACCGCCTCCAAGCAGCTTGAGCCTAAGATAGAGCTAGCAGAGTTGTGCGGGCAGCCCTGAGATGGACATCCATGTTTCTCTTCGAAAGTGGAGTTCGACATGGCAACCGAGGGTTCTGCAACTGGTGAGGCTGCGATGAGTGTGGCCAAGAACCAAAGTGAGAGGAGAGTGACCCGAAACTTCATGATGTTGAGAATGAAAGTTTGAAGAAGGAGCTTCTTCTAGGTATTAAGGAAGTAGTTGTGTTTGAAGTGTTGATGAAGTTTGTGATGAAGTTTGTGATGAAGTTTGTGATGAAGTTTGTGATGAAGTTTGTGATGAAGTTTGAAGGGTTTGTGGAGGAAGCTGTAGAAGAAGATTGCGATCAAATCAGAGATTATATGCTTTGAAAGGGGTCGAATGTTTGGCCAACGCTCGAACGCCGCAAGTGCTGCCCAGTATTGAGTCATTCGATCGTGTCAAGTGACGCAATGCCGCTATTCACCAAGGAGATCAGTACCAAGAGAAAAGAGGCAACGGTGATGAAATCATCCCCAGTCGAGGCAAGTGCAACATTCTCAGATCGACCTTCTCTCCCCGAGGGATGCAAAAGCCCAACCATCGTCCCAACCCTCGTCCCAGGCTGGTGCGGATTCCGATAGAAATGCTGCAAAAAGCACTGAGGCAGCCAACACCATCAAAGCTGAGAGCACGACAGCCACGCTCGTTGGGGCGCTTGTTGTTTTGAGGCGTTGTGATGGGTGATCCATGACGAGAAACTTTCCCAGAATGGGAACGGTGAGGCTTGCCGGGTCTTGATGCTTGAGTGCCGGGGCGAATGATGTCTTGAATTGCTTAGAAGTCAATAGCAGAATCATGTAAGGTACAAGAGAGTGGCTGACGATGCAGGGTTGTGGATGTTGATGCCCGAAGGTTTTACTGGAGGGAAGTGGCTCTCGGTTCGTGCCCAAGGCGGCAACTGCTCACCGACTATCTGAGCCTGATAGTTCTATTGAGGGCATCGAGTCATCGCTGTGGAAATTTAAGGTTATTTTTCAGGTAGGAAATGACGGTGAATGGAGCTTGAGTTCGCTCCTTCCCACGTCACTGACAACGTGGCGCCTGCAAACAAGAGCCTGAAGCCGCCAATGGATTTCAGGGCGCATAAACAAATATCCAAGGTTGATTTGGGTTTTTTGGCACGTATGATCAGAAAATTATCTCAAAAAATTGTTTCAATGTGGTATTCGATGTGCTAATCTCACGTAAGTTGTCGCGAATGTTTCCAGGCTGCCCCTGTGGAAGTAAACATCACGTGACAGTGGCGACTTCAAGTAAGTCGCACTTCGCAAGGTCAATAGCAGATATTCATGTCAATGCAAGTATCTCTCATAAGTTTGAACTCCAAAATTGAAGATAGTACTTTGTTAACGCAGTTGAACCCGGTCACGAGTTACCCCGCTAGTTCAGGGGTTCGGTAAAGAGGAAGCCCGAAGCTCGAACGAGTTCGAACGAGAAATATCTCTGTCAGTTACAAGCTCGCGTTCATGTCAACACAACAACATAGAGTGCATGATCTTTTCAAGCATATCTACTTCTGTTTAGAAACATGTGACCGTTGTTGAGAGTCAGCTTGAGGATGATATTCGTCCCACGCCCCTCCCTATTCGAGGCGATTAACCGAAGGTCCCCTGCTGCAGCAATTGCGGTACGGGACACAGGGTTACGGAGCCCAAGATGTCCTTATAACCCATCAAATCTCTGTTCACTTTCGAAATTTATCAATCAGACCTTCGGGGTCTTGAACACCTCAATGGATCTCGTCAGCACCCTCGCCGGCAAGATATGGGTGTCTGCTGGCTGTCTAGCAGCGTACATCGCCTCTATCGCAGTCTAAAGGTTGTACTTGAGCCCGCTCGCTATATTTCCCGGGCCTAGAATTGCAGGTGCCGGTTCTTCTGATGTTATTTCAAATGAATTGCATTGTTAATCTTCCTTCCAGCTATCACTTTGCTGTATCAATTCTATTTCGATGTCATCCGAGGGGAAGAATGTGTTTGGAAGGTTGAGGAGAAGCATAAAAAATATGGCAAGATGGTCCGGGTAGTACGGCATTCAAGAGGTTGGATCGTTAAGTCCAATTATGAGAGGTATTGCACATCAATGGCCCTGAGTGCCTGGACCATGTATTCGGCACAGCAGGAAAGAGACGTGATAAATACAAGCTCACGACAAATGGGCTTGAAGTTCGAGGGGCAGCAATTGGGACGGTTCCCCACGATCTCCGCCGAAGTCGGCGCGCTCCCATGAATCCCTACTTCTCGAAGCAAAGTATCCAACGTTTGAAGCCTATTCTCCAGCGGACTTTGAAGAAAGTTTTGGGTCGCTTGGCACAGAATGCGGGGTCTGCTGGGCCCATTGGGATGCAGCTTTTACATGCTGCGACCACCACCGACATCACTTCCGATCATTGTTTTGGACAGAGTTGAAATAACCTTGACCGGGAGGATCTAAATGCGCCATATTTCGCTGGGTTTACAGAAGGGGCAAAAGTGTATCATCAACTGAGCATAATCTCCTGGTTTCATTCACTCATCAAGTCACTTCCGCTCAGTGTTGCGATGTTCCTGTTTCCAGTGATCAAGGGGGTAGCAAAGCAAATAATAGCCAGTACAGTTTACCCACCGAAAGTTTGGTTAATGCAAAGAAGGAACTATCAGCAGCGATTGAAGAAGTGAACGCGGCAACTGCAGAAAAGACAGAAGGGGAAATGGCACCGACCATCTTCCGTGGTCTCCTCAGCATTGCCAATCTTTCGGAATCAGAAACTACTCCTAGACCTGGTGATGAAACTTGCATTCTGCTTTCAGCGGGAAGTGATACCACGGCCAACACTTCTGCGGCCATCACGTATTGCCTGCTCGCCGCTCCAGAGAGCTTGAAGAGACTGAAGGAAGAGTTGGAGACAGCATACTAGATCCTAAGACCACCATGCCTGAATTATCTCAAATCGAGGGTCTTCCATATCTGACAGCTATTATACAGGAAGGCCTTCGACTTTACCCAAGCGTGAGCTTTCGACAGGATCGAGTGACTCCCGATGAAGACCTCTTTTACCAGGATGCAAGAGTGGGAAAAAATATATTGTTCCGAAAGAGGTATGTCAGACACCAAGATTATGGTGATTGCTGACAGCAAAAGACCCAAATTAGCACGACAGCTCTGCTGTTGAGCAGGAACCAAGAGTTTTATCCATCGCCAATGACTTTCGATCCTAACAGATTTCTCAAGAATCCAAGACTTGACCGATATCGACTTAGCTTCTCACGAGGATCTCGAAGGTGTCTTGGTGTAAATTTTGTGTGGGCCGAAGTTTCATACGCTGATGAATGGTGTAGATAAATTTTACATATTCCGAGCTATACCTCATCCTTGCCTAGATTTTCAAGAAATACAATTTGTACGGTGGAAATGAAAAGCAAAGCAGTCCAAGTTTGGGGTTGTTTGAGGCCGACAGAGAGGATGTGGATATGATTTTCAATATCTTAATCCCTTTTCGGAAGCAAGGGAGTCTGGGAGTTAGACTAAGAGCTAGATGATGTACCAATTAGGGATTGTTTGTAAAGTGGCGGGAACATTGTGATTTGCGGAAAGCCGTTATTCCGGCAGTTCTAGGGACATTGAGCTTGCTACTTGAGGGGTTGCATGGAGTTGCTAGTTGCAAAGGGGAGAGTTCCAGTTGAATGTTCAGACAGTCTCTTCAACTTTGAAACTTGATTGAATGTTCCTCCATACATTCAATTCAGGTTAGTGACTGACGTAATGTTGCAGATAGATGCAGGCCTGCAAAAGCGAAGCTGTTCCTCTCCCTGTGGGATTTAGTGTGGGAAGCTAGGTCGAATTTAAATCATGGAACATTGCTGCAGTAACAAATCGAAATCTAGTTCACAATGCAAACATCCTTGGGAACCACCCCGCTTAATCACCAGTCAGAATTGCAATGAAGTGATCGTGTACGAATTTCTTCTGCAAAATCACAAAAACCTGCCTGTTCTCACCAGGCTCGGCAAAAATTCCTTAATTTCCGGTATCGATAGGTATCGATACCAGAATCGTAAGGTATCGATAGTATCGATAGTAGTATCGATTCCCCGAACCCAATTCCCCCCTTTAATTGCAATTAACTTTAGAACCACTTCTCTTATAAGAAAACTTTTGGTAGCGCAAATATTCTACTTGACTTAGGCTTTCTATTTAGCTACTTATCTTATATTTTAGACCAAAACTTATCTCAATGCGGCTATTTTAAGTAAAAATGAGCTTTTGAGATTTTCGTGAGGCTCGCTTATATATTTAGCGTCTTGATAAGAAATACGAATACGGGGCTTAATTCTCCGAATACGAGGGCTATTTTAAATTTAAGATATTATTAACTTTTATTAATAATAGTAAGTATTTCTTTTAATAGAAAGACTAGAAATCAAAGGAATTATATAATAATACATTATTATATAATTTAAATAATAAAAGAAAGAGTTAATTTTTGGGGTAAGAATCGATTCTGGTATCGATACTATCGATTCCTTGCGATACCTGAAAAATACCTCTACTATCGATACCGGTATCGATGCCTCAGGTATTTTTGCCGAGCCTGGTTCTCACCAGTTCGATAACTTCATCGTCTTTCATTATCACTTCTAGACAAATATCAGCTCTCAGTCACCAAAGCGAACCTCCCATTCGTCGCCTCACAGATATCACCCACCTGCTCATTAGCATCATTCTCGACACAGCTTGCAGACTTCGTTTAACGAACCTCCAGTGGAAAAAAACCAGAATCTGACTTCTCGGTAGGTATTCAAAAATGGTTAGGAAATCAAAAGCGAAGAAGGCATCAAGGAGGCACAAATATCGAAGTCAATGTTAGGACTCTAATAAATATAGATTGAGCCGCAAAGGCCAAAGGGACACGTCCTGAACGCCACCTTTTATCAACCTATTACCCATCAAGATCCGATTCATGATCTTCGATAGGTTAATTGACTCGAAAGTCCAAATTCCTTCAATTTTATGGCTGAAAATCGTTTTTGAGCCATCCACGAAAAACTTGGCCAAAGTCTTCCCACGCGAGCAAGCAGGCGAATCATAGGAAGGAGTAGATAGGCTGGGAGGAGGAGCGGGCCTAAAAACAATGTCATGGTTTTTAGCCTTATTCCTGGGATTCTGTTAGTACGAGAGGGCATACTTTGAGGGGAAACCTATTCTGGGACCAAACATTTCGAGAGCACTACCAGTCCGAATGATAATGAGAGATCATGTATATAATTACCTGTAGAGCAGCCAAATTTATTTTACTCACTAAATGTCACATTCATCCTTCAAGTGTTCATTAATCATAATCACAAGTTCTTGCGAATCACACGCCATTCACAGCCAGGCCACTATCTGACTGTTCGCGAACAGGCTCCTCGAGCCTTTCAAAATCAAACTCGAAAAGCCTCCCAACTTCACGCACACAAGAGTTGATAACTCAAATTTCAAGATGGCAAAAGCATCAAACGTAGTTGGTGAAGCCCAAATCCCTTGCCACACATCGACATCCTTCCTCCTCACTCGTATACCGCCTGAAGTACGATACGATATCTTCGACCGGCTCCTCAACTCACACCACATAATCCTTATCACACCGAACAGCAAGCAACGAGGAGTTCTCAAGCCATTAGTCCAAGTCTGCAAGCAGCTGCGAGACGATATGCAGAAATGGCTCATGGGAAAGAAGGAATCGGCCATTATCATCAGCCCTACGTTTGGCGTCTTTAAAAACGAAGTTACCACTTTCAAGATGTGTTGGGTAGACGAATTCTCACTTCTTTTTCAAAAGGGTTTATATGTTCGCAAGGATGGCTCTTGTACTCTCCAACGGTGCTATATCCCAAGGCATCCAGCACGTGATCTAGAGAGGCTCGAGATGTGGCAACGGGCAATGGATTTGGAAGGCACTAACCGCCGGTCAAGAATCAACTCAGTGCTGCAATATCAACCCCAATTTAAGGGATATATAACGAGTCTTGATGATAGAAAGCTCTTGGGCTGGCAAATCGAAGACTGGTGTGTTCTTGATCCGAAGGAGCACGAGTTTCTACCAATGGTACTGGGCAGGCCGTTGAAACAGTTCGTGTGGTCGAATGATTTTGAGGCACATGCTGAGTATCAGGAGTACACGAGGCAGCATCCCAGGGAGGACGTGATGTTGAGGAGGGTGGAGTGTGGACCTGCGTTTGAGTTTAAGTTTGATGGAGATTTTGATCTGATTGAGGTGGGTTAAATACTTGGTAAAAGGAGAATTTTTGTCCAACTGTAATTCTTCAATAGAAGTTAATAGGAAATGCATCTGTTATGAAGATCAATCGAGGGATGGAGTAAGAACTGGGTTTGAAACTCAACCACGAAGTAACGTGCCTAATCCCACTTTCGCCCTGACATTCTATTAAGTCCAATTTTGGAAGTATTCTGCAAACGATTGAATGCGATTTCTGGGCCTCCTTCTACTTGGAATAAGAAAGTAAGATTTGCTGGGACCGGGTGCAACGCGTCTCCGAGAACAGTCAGTGTGAGCTGCACCAACGAATTTCGATAGAAAAACCGTGTTTGCGGATGCCTATATAATAAAAACTGCGTACGGAGTCTTAGATGCGGAATAGGTAATTGGTAAGTTGAGAAATGACGAAGTATTTCATGTGAGATATATGCACGCTTGAGGCAAGCTGGAGGTTGAGGCGTGATGGAATTCCGTTAGGAAATGCTCAAGAACTCTGAACTCCTTGTGAGTGAACAATCACGAATCAAACAGCGAGCAATCAACAGGCATTGATTAAAAGCGCAGCTTTTTCTTAAGCTCCTACCCCCCCGCGCGACGTGTGGCACATGGGTTCCGTTTCTGTCACGTGTCAAGCAAAAGGCAAATCACGTGTAATTCGAGGTCCGTGCATTCCACATTGTGATCTTCCTCTCGTAACTTCAAGTTAAGCAGGCAAAGCAGAATCTGCAAGCATGTACCTATTTCCCATCTTGGTTGAAAACCTTCATATCCAGCAATACCCTTCAACGCCTACGCATTCAGTCAGGATTAAGCGGAGTTTATACAGGAATCTGCTGCTCCGACTTTATTGACCCTGCCATCCATCCAGTTCCGTACATCGGTGCCGCTCCTCTCCTTCGACGCCTTCTAGCTGTCCAACATCCAACGCAGCATCCCAGGCAGGCCATCATCGGTCCACGGCCACTAAAAAGGGCAGATAACCAGGTGGGAACGATTGAGAGCGTTCGGAGCTCCCGATCCCTCCAATACTGCGATCCTCTATGGTTGATCTCGAGGAACACCGTGTTTAGGACTATTAAAAATTGGTTGATGTCTGTTGGTATCTCTCTCTGGAACACCTCACGAAGTTTCTCATGAGATTCGGAGTCTAGTTGTTGCATGGCTCTCTTGAAAGAGGTTTGAATACCGCGCTCTGCCAGGAGTATATCATTTGAGAGATTATCACCGTCGTCGTTTGAGTTGTTTGCCGCAGTGTTTGGTACATTTTGTAGTACTGAGACCGATGAAGTTACCGATCTTGTAATATCCTCAAGCTTAATGCGGGTTTCCTCGAACCCTTTCGTTATTATTCGTTCTAAATCGTCAATTTTTCTGTGCACTCTCAGTAGGTCCTCAATGACGTCGGTCTTGCCTAACATACCTACAAAGTTTACTCATTTGCATCATACGACGCCTTGATCGAAATTCTTCGACCTCAGCCCTATCCTTTATAATACCAACTCTCCTGTCATCCCACTCCGACATCTTAAGAAGTGTGCTCTGTTTCAAAATCCAACATGTATGCGCAAATGTCTTTAAGTCCAGCAAGTACATTGGGAGCAAGAAATCCTCCCTTACAAAATCAGGTCCCCATCTCGAAGCGTCTAGCGCATCATCCTGCGAGTCGCCCGTTTCGCCAAGGGATCGCGCGCTTGCGAATACGATCTCCTTGATTTCGTCGTCAAGCTTGATCAACCGGTGGACGCCTTGACTCAGTTGAATTACGCGGGCATAGATCCCGAGGAGGATGGCGACTGCGAATGTGAGGATGCCGATGACGCTGGCAGCGATGGAAAGGGGGCTATCTTGAGCCATGGGATCCGCAATAAGAAGATGAAAGTGAAATACCTTATCAAGCTCTGTGGGCACATTTGAGATTTTGTAGGATTCTTTTCAGCCCCCAAAACAGCCAACGAATCAAGACGGAACCAACCGGCATCATTTTCAGCTAATGCCAACCCCCGCCACCCACACTCCAAATCCTATTTCCACCCTCTTGCAAGGGTTTCAACCCGAAAGCAAGCTTTTCTACTGTAGGTTTTACACCCGCGGCTCCTAGTTATTTGTAGAGGTTTCGGTATTTCTCAGAAGAAGATATGGGTGCCGTGTTTCCGTAGGATTGGCAGGAGAAGCGAGGATGATGGTGCTCCAGGATGATGTTAGTGGGGCAAATCACGTGAATTATGGGTCTTTAGCTTTACGGTTTGATAATCTTGAATAAGCAAAATTTCGCCAAATCAGCAACCGGTCTTATGGTGTATGCATGCCCAATCAGTCCCATTTGACTATCACTAACAATTAGAAGCTAGTGGTATGATTCTCGCTTAGGGTTTACTCTGAGTTAATTTGCGAGAGGCCCCGCGTTCGAATGTTAGTTCTGCTTCCTCGAAATTTGTACCCAAAAACTAACAAAATATTAGCGCGGTAAGACCCAGATGTTACAATACATTTTTTTTTGGCTTTCGCTCCTTATGCCATAGTTAGTAAGGGCATAATTTTTTAATAGTAGAGACTTGCGACCCCATGAGGACCTTATAGTCCCTTTTTATACTAATAAATACTCTATTATCTCTCTTGTTCGGGTTTTAAATATCTAATAATATTTATTATATAACAAATACCTTCTTAAATATAACTAATTTCTCTAGGGCCCCAAGCCGAATATTAGTACTTTCTCCTTAAATTCGCGCTTAAAGATTTATAAAATATTAGTATAATATTTAATGTCAGCCCTCTCTACGTCTCTATTATCTAGTGTAGTAGCACGAGGAGCAATTACTAATCTCTAGCTTCTCTAGGCTGGGCTTTCAGTCTTCAAGTATAGCTGAAATCAAACAGTGAGTCTTGATCTTTGTCCTAGCACTTCCCAGCACTTGGTCGACAATATTCGCTGTCCACACGACATGCTGACATTCAAGCCAGCCCCTGTTCGAATTCATGCTCGAAAAGTCCTTCATTATACGGCACCCGCAGTGTGACTAACGCAAAGCTCGACACCTGAGCCTACGCCCTGCAAAAGCTCTGGCCAAGAACACTTGCGGGGTTGCTGACAGCAGGCCAAGGATCATCGAGATGACACATGTCATGGTCAGGAGTGAGACGAACAAGAGTGACCAAAGTCTGGCGCGGAGTTTTGTTAATTGTGGGATATCCCAGAGAAACACGAATAATCGAAATCGAGGCTGTCGATTTCCAAAGTTTCAAACTTGTGGGAGATATTATGGATGAGCTGCGCATGATCTAATAGTTTACTTTGTCATGCTTCACAGTCCTCGTGTATTTGTGTTAATGGAATTTTTGATTTGTCTCTTGCTAGGTGTATGCTTCCCGATATGTTCCAGCTCATATAAACCAGACGGCACATCCGAAGCAAAGACTTCGTGTTCACCGAGAGACAAGCTGCATTTAGATCTCACGAACGTTTGAAAAGCTGAACTTATCCTTTTTTCGTTGGGCGCCGTTCTTCAGGACGAGGATGGGGTATCTTGAGCTCAGGAGAACTAGCCATCGTGCTAATTCTGGGAGCTCTAGGGCTTATCTCTACTAATACCAGGACCTTAATGGGCTAGGGGCACGGCGCGTATACGTGTGTTGTGGATATACTTTTTTAAGCGATTACAAGGGGCAAGAGAGGCACATGCCCACCTTTTGTGCGCGTGCCGGGGGCTAAAGAATAGCCGAAAAAGAAAGCCTTACTTTACGATAAATTTGCAAAAATTAGCTTGCTAAGCGCGGGGGAAGGGGGCCAGAAGGGGATTAAATTTTCAATTTCATAAGCACTCTCTCTGGGCAGACCCTAGAACGGGTGCTTTATGCAATTAAAAGAGAGTCGAGATCAAAAATTACTCCTCTGGGCGTACAACCATGTTTTAGGAATGCTACTCGAGCAAAACAGGGGTGTTGCAGGGGTTGGCAGGGGCACACCGATTTTCTTTTCAACTTCTGACCTCTTTCCTGGCGATTCCCACCTAGCTTAGCGAAGAAGCCCGGCGCGATTCTGAAGATCCGAGGCCGTCTCGTCACATCCCAGCCGTGTTTCCCAACTCTTTCCTCAGCTCAAGAAGCTCCGCTTCCAGCTTCTCAACAAGCGTCAACAGAACCCACTCAGTCAGCGTCTCACTAACGTTCAGCGGATTCTTCCCATGAAGCCAGTCCAAAATCTGGCCGCCCTCCGTCCACTCCTCGAGACCAGTTCGTTGCAATCTCGGCGAACTCTTCTCTCCCCCATTGCCACGATCTCCATTATTGGCATTCTGATAACCTGATGATGGTTCCAAAACACCCATGAGATAGAAGATGTATTCCCAGTCGTCGAAAGTGTATTCATGCTGGGGGTTCTCTTGGTTTTTGATGTGGTCGATGGCTACGTGCTTGATTGCTTGGACTAGAAGGTGGTTTTTGTCATGGATGTTGTTGGGGAGTTGTTCAATTGGGACCAGGCCAGCTATAATTGCGCTGCATGAGTAACGAGAAAGCTCCTGAGGTGCAAGGGTACGTACCAGAGAGATGCTTCCTAGTCTTCGGGGGCTGTGGGTGGAATTTCTGACTGTACCACTTTTTCAATCCTGTCAGGTAGGGTATCCCAACCGCTTCGGTGCCAGTGCTGATCAGCATTGTGAGCGTGGGTACAACTACCAGTGACCATAGAACGAAGAATGCCTTTCCAAGCATGCTTTTGAGGGTAACGTCTCCGTATCCGATGGCCAGAAGTGAGACAAAAGTAAAGTAGACTGCATGGAAATAAGTCCACCTTTGATCCTTCTCCGCTCGATAAAACACAACCGCACCGACGAGCCACAGAAAAAGCGCGAAGAAGAACCACAGACTCATGGAATATAGGATTCGCTTCCTTGCGGCCCTCAATATGATGAACTTCATCGTGCTGAAATCTCGTCTTCTTGCTTCTCGCTCGTTGTGAGCGATTGTCTCTTTTGATCTGGGTACTGAATCGGATGGAGGGTCGTCAGGCTTGGCCTGGGTGCTTTCAGCTGATTGGTCTTTGTTTCGCTTTTGAACATGGTGCCTTCTTTCTTGATCCCGCAGACGAACTTCCCATGCTGACTTGCCCCGCTCGAAGACTACACTTGTAATGGCGTAGATGACGAGAAATAGTATGAAGATTCCAAACGTGGCATAGGGGAACAGTAGAGAGCGTCCAAGATGAGTCTCCGGCTTGAAATCTCCGAATCCGACGGTGAGAATAGTGACATCTGCCCAGAAAACTGCATCGAGATATCCCCATCCCTCGATTTGTGAGAATACGAGGGCGCCGAGCAGTAGATACGCCATGAATAGCATGGTCAGTAACTTCAGGCCGCGGTGGCCCTGCGAAAACTCCTTCCTGATTTGCTCTCTGGTCTGTTGACTGCGTCGTAGCATATGGGCAGTGTATACAATGAATGCCGAGGTGACAGAATATAGGACTGCCGCCATGATGGCGAAATAGTATGCTTGTGTGAAGGTGCGTTTGAGAGGGGACCGTAGTGGGAGGGCAACAGCAGTGGCAATCACCAACGCGATTAGAATGAAAGAAGCCAGGAATCCTCCCACTATGGTGATCCAAACGAGATTTAAACTGTTAAGGCCACGCTTCGTCAGAGAACTCGATCCATCACCCATGACTGGCAATATGGCGAGATTCGCCATCACTCCAAAGAAGATCGAGCAGGCGTTGATGCCGATAAGCCTAGGTCTTAGAGTCAGATAGCAGTCTGGATGAGCTACACTTTGAAAACACACCAAGCTGGATCATCAACATAATTCACAACATCGTTGACAACCTTGCAGCGCCATGGCTCCACCAAGGCACACACATTCAGGGCACTGGCGATTGTACCAAACGTGCCAGCAAATAGAGGGAAAGCGGTTACAGCAAACCATTCCTTTCTATCGATCATCAATAAAATAGTATGAGACTCAGTCAAAGAAGCTTACCCCATAGCCTTCTCTGCCCTCTTCAACGGGTCCTCCGGGCCCTCCTTTGTTCTGCCTGTAGCCCACAATCGACCCCCGAGTTCACTGAAACTCGAACTTCGTGTTTCCATACTGGACTGTACACAGCATCAAAATTCATCAATAATTGCAACATAAGTGAGAGATATCAAAAGGAAATCTAATCCTGGTCTGCGTGCTGCATCTTTAAGTGATCGGTGAATCGCCGGCTCTTTCGGTGGCGGTTTCAATTGGTGGCATGATCTTGAAAACCTCTCATCACCTTTGACGCCACGGTGGCTGAATGTGTGGAGTCGTGATTGATCACGATGCTGGATTGAAGCAAGTTATTTGCTTGACTGGAAGGAATGTAGGAGACCTGGGAACGCCGGTTTGAGTGCCGGATTTGATTTCACAATGTGTGGTCGTTTGGGATGAGCGGCCGTTCGCGACTTGACCGAGCTCTGGAAGCTTGTCAGGTACTCTAGACTCTCTGAGCAAACTTGAGCCAATGAAACAGTTGTCAGGTTGCATCATGGAGCCGGCGTGGCATTCTGCATCGTCTCAGTTGCCTGCCTTTTCATTCCATCACAGTAGGAAAGGAAGGTTTGTGGCTGGATATTCAGGGAGTCGCCAGTGCTGAAATGTACTCTTCAGGTCAGATATAGCGCACTTCTGAGAACAACAGACCCTGACGGGGCCATAAGATCAACCAACAACCACAGTTCAATGTATACACTAAATTTGAAAACGAAATAAATCCGAGGGGCCTGCTATGAATTCTAATCTTAGGATTCACATGAACACCGATCACCACCATTTTAACCAAACCCTAGCTTCGATGGTCGCTGAACCGCAGCATCACCAACCGTCAACAGCCGTAACCTCAACTGGCAAGCCCCCAATAATCCTCACTGTAAGCCCATACATTATCTCAAGATCCTGTGTCTTCCCACCAACGGGCTTGAAGTCAAAACTCCCGATTAATGCCGCAAGAATCGCTTTATTCTCACCAATAGCGAATCCTTCACGAGTCAGAATCGAACAGTTCCTAAAGACGAGGGTAAAACATACCTTTACCAATGCAACCCCGCGTCCCAGTCCCAAACGTACCATAAGCCAGGCTACTTGATGCTCCACCATTCGCTTTATTCTCACCAACGAGCCACCTCTCAGGATTGAATTCCCTGGCGTCATCGCCCCAATGGATCTTTGTTTTGTTCAGCGCCCAGGGCATCACTTGGACAGTCGTGCCTTTTAGAATTGTTACCCCGCAGATCTGCGCATCGTGAAGAGGTATTCGCGAGGTTCTTGTAACAGGAGATCGTACGCGCATGCTTTCTTTGCTCACTGCGTCGAGATAAGGGAGTTTATCGAGTAGCTCGGCATTGACTTCGACTCCTGAGGAGGGGCTTGGAAGGTTTGCGCGGACTTCGTCGCGGAGACGTTGTTGGATGTGAGCGTATTTTGGCTGGCTGAGAAGAGAGATTGCCCAAGTTATGGCAATCGAAGAACTTCAAAATACTAAATTAATGAACCGTAAGATACACGATAGAGACTGACTTACGTATCATGGCCAGCTCCCAACAAAGTTTTAGACTGATCCACAAGGTTCTCCGTGGTGAAAGCATTAGTTTTCATTGCTGAAGATATGATATCTTCGTGGCCCGTCTTGTCAAGGTAGTCCGACTCATCAACATTCATCATCATATCTTTCTTCCGCTGGCTGATGAGATCCTTGAGGTAGTTGTTAACCATGACTAGTCCTTCACGGGTTTGGCGATTCTTCTTGATTGGAAGCAGTCTTATCAGGGCAGGGTACGTGAGTACTGAAAGTAATAAAATTATAGCAGATGACTTTTCTCAAGAAATCGGAGTCAGCATACTTCTTTGATGTAGTTTCAGGAGTAGAATATTTCAGGAGCTGTTGGGCATTGCCACGAGATGGATTGATACTCTGAGAAGTTGGGACTTGCCTTGTCTGGGGTGAAGCCGTCCCGGTATGACGTGTTCAAAGGCGTGTGAGGATTAGAAAGGGCATTGAAATCTGAACCAAACCCAGCTTTTCCGATGATATCAAGTCCTATTCTTCCGCTCCGGTCATCTATATTGACAATTCCAGTTATGGCACTGGAAGAATTTGGCTTAGTATCGATCTCGGCCTTGATGAGGGATACCATTTCGCTGCTCTTTTTCCAAAAGAGAGGGTACAAATTCTTCACAGCCCTGAAGTTAAATACTGGAGCGAGGTGTTTCTTTTGATACTGAAACACTGTCAGAAGTGACCAGAGCACGGAGATTCTCCCAAGTGCCTTACCTTGTGGTCCTGGCCATCGGAAACGATCAAGCCATTACCAAGAAGATGTTTTAAAATATTTTTGATATTCACAGGCTTGACATATTCATAAGAATTTGTCTGAAAAGGCTGCGTGATCGCTTTTGGATCTGTCAGGATCACTATTTCTTTGTTGAAAATGTCCAACATTCGAAAGAAGTATTCATGAGGCACGGTATCCATGAATTCCAAGACCTGTGGAGGGCTTGTTGTGCTGAAAAAGCTTTTCCATCCCCCAATTCGCTAGAGCTATATCAGAATAAATATTTCTTGCGATGATAAGAAATCATACTGGGGCTTGTGGTAACTTCCTCAAAGGGCTGAAGTAGAGAGGCCACAAGAAGCAAGTCCACGTGAACTGGATAGGAACATATATCAAAATGCTCAAGGCGGCTGCTTTCAAATATGAGAACGTTGTCAAAGAATTATCGGTGTGATAAGTTGCAAGATATCCACAGGATATTGCGATAGAAGAGGCTATGATGTTTGACATTTCGACTGAATTTTGAATGCCAAAGAAGCGAAGAATAGAAGGTTGAAGGTGGTATATATATCCAGCTGGGGCAACTAGCATTACTTATCATGGCCGTCTAGCCCAGGCACGTCTCCGCCATGCGAAACTCATCATCTTGCTGAGAAGGGACCCTCTTTCGTAACCTCACGTCAGCTTCCGAGACCCCACTGTATTCACAGGGTACTTTGAATCCTTGAGGGTCTGTTTTCCGGTTCGGCCAGCCGTCTGGAAACGCGAACACGGGCAAACTCAAGCTTCTCCAGAGTCCCAGAAAACGACAGCACGCAGACGATTGGCAGGGTACCCGAATCCAGTTTTCGACTTTTTGTCCGGCTTGTGGCACGTGCGCACCCTATCAAAAATCGCCCACATATTATGCCCCCTCTTCCTGTGCCTCTACTTATTATTACTACTTAAAAATATTACTCTCTCTTTAATTCTTATTTATATATATACAAGAGAGGGGTGAGAGGTGAGGGGTAGATGGGGGTGGGGGGACGGGGGTGAAAGGCGAGTGAAAAGGAAAAGTGGAAAGCGAAAAGCGAAAAGCGAGCTTTAAGGCATGCGACTCGCGAGGAAAAGGAAGCCCTATAATTATAGGCTATAGGTACTAAAAATTTAGTGCTTTGCAACGTAAATTTTTAGTAAGGTCCCCTTGCCTTGCCCTCCCCTTCCCCCCTTTCCCCCTCTCTTACCCTTATACTTATAAAGAGAGCGAGAAGAATTAAAGTGAGGAAATATTTGAAGTAATAATAGAGGCACAGGGAGAGGGGGCATAATATATAGGCATAGTGTGTGGGTGTTTGCGATTTTTGGTAGGGTGAGCACGTGCCACAAGTCGGACATCAAAAGTCGAAAAAACCGGATTTGAAAATCGCTTGGTCTTCTGATCCTTATCGCTTTCCGTAGCAGGGATCCTTTCCACCAGGCCGTGAGGACGTTCTTATGGCTCTCCGTAGGTGCAGTTTTTCGCCTCGGCATAATAAAGCGTGCTAGACCGGTTTCGGCCACCCATTAAAATAATTTCTGAACATGCAGCTCAGCAGGAAGAAGCGGTTCCATAATCTCGCCCATCATGCCTACACACTTAGAAGAGGTAAGATCACGCGTCACACTATTCCAAGTTGTTGCTGATTACATCGTGAAGCTCGTTGACTTCATATCCCATGGCAACACTCAGGTGCGACAGCTCGGTGAGTAACCTTCTCCCTTCGAGGAGACCAGGACTGACCCGCCACAGCTGTCGAAAACCTCGTTCCTTACTCCCTCTCTCAACCCGCAATCTTTAAAGCGAACCAGCTTCAGCCAATAACAGATCTGAAGCTTTTGGTGCGAGATTACAAAGTCAGCCCTTCTGTCAGCCACTTTCCGAATTGCGACTAAGAACCTCCCAGCAAATCGCTAAAGATGTGCTTACGATCCTTATAAACCTCTCCATAGACCGTGAAATACTCGAGAACTTGGCTTCAGACAAAAGTTTTGTAAGGACGATATTGGGTCGCATAACAGTACATCGATCCTCGGTTCGACTTCTCCAGCGGTCGCTGATTTTTGTTGACAGAACCCCGCCGAGTCCAACGCCAACCTAATATCTATGCTTCTCGCGAATCTGGCCAAATATGACGAGTTAAAAGACATATTGGCTGTCGAGCGACCTGCACCGAAAGAGTTAGCTTCCAACAACCGAGCAATCGATCAACTGCTGGATTTATTCGTCAAAGGTGCAGATGGAACATACAACAAAGCGGCAGACTTCGACTACCTCTCCTATCTCTTCGCAGACCTCGCAAAGCACGAAGAAGGACGAACCTACTTCCTCACAAAACAAGAATATGATGGAGTGATCCCCTTGACGAAAATGATCGTCTTCACAGAACATAAATCCGATGTTCGAAGGAGAGGCGTTGCGAGCACAATCAAGAATGTTGCTTTTGAAATCGATTCGCATTCTGAGTTGATGGCTGAAGATGAGATTAACATTCTGCCGTATTTACTGCTACCGATCACAGGCAATGAGGAATATGACGAAGAGGATACGCAGTCCATGCTGCCCGACCTACAATTGCTTCCACCAGACAAGAGACGAGATTCTGACCCTACGATTATACAAACACATGTCGAGACACTCATGCTTCTCACCACAACGAGACATGGAAGGGACACACTGAGGGAAATCAAAGTGTACCCAATCATCAGAGAAACCCATTTACAAATCGAGGATGAAGGTGTCCGAGAAGCATGCGAGAGATTGGTGCAAGTTCTGATGAGAGATGAAGAAGGTGAGGAGAAGGTGGACGGGGGAATGAAGGCTTTGGAACATAGGCCGAATAAGAGTTCTGAGCGTCCGAAAGCTATGCCCGGTGGTGGCAGTTGGGCGAAGATAGAACAAGAGGATGAGGAAGACGAGGATGATGACATGATAGTTGAGGTGTAATGTCACTGCGTGAGAAATCACATTGCGAGTTTGGCAGAGCTCAGGGTGGACTGAAGTCTCAGTTGTATTGATGTGAAGTGTGGAGCGCAAGTGCGTTTCTCTGCGGTTTTCGTCTGATGTGTATGTTCCCTTCGTCCGAAGTTACTAGCTCTTTCCCTGAGGCTTTCATCCGAAGTTCTTTGTCTTGCATTTGAAGTCACCATCTTTCTCATTTGTCGCTGTTCACAGCCAGGAGAAATGGAGCCGAATTGATTATTTCTGGCCCGTATGGGAGGACCGAGAAATGAACTCTGCCGACCCATGGCTGACCTAACCGGCAATTGTGGCAGGAAGAGTGCCTCCCATCTCCCGACCGAGTGGCGTGTGGAGGAAATAGGGCTGTGCTACCCAAGGACACTATTCTCTTGTCTCCGACCAGAAAGGTCCATCTTTAGAGGAAAGGAAGTCTTCAGCCTTTTGAACTCGCGTCAAAAGTTGCCAACACAGACATTCAGCTGAGGTCCTCAACACACGGAAAGATGGCGTTTCCGGAGTGGGTCTGTCCCCACACCCAAGATAACACAACGGCGGGACCGATAAGATCTTGTCACGCCACAGCGGTGAAAAGCTGATGGGGTGCAGCACCGGCAGTCTGAGGCTCAGCCGTATTGACATCTTGGGACCAGCGCCAACATACTGAGCGGACGCTTGAGATCCGATTGGACAAAGACCGCTGAATCTTGGCTCGTAGCGCTTGGGAGAGGCTTGGATGCTGATACCATCGTACTACCTCTTGAAAGTGCAAGAAGCTCCACTCTATGCAATATATGCAATCTATGTGGCTTCGATAGAATGGATAAGCAGCGGAGTACAGACTGGGAACGACGAATGATGCAGAAGGTGGATGCAGCAATGCTGCACGTCTCGACGCGGGGCAACACGTGCAGGGGACGGCTGTTCCTGAATCTGGTTGGAATCTGGTTGCCGCTAAACCCTTTCCAGCACCACCGCGTCTTTCAGCTGCAATTCGACAACACATCCTCGGCCGAATCTCTCCTCCTGCGCCGACACTTTCGCTGGCCGGCGTTCTTGCCGGTCCATTGGCCAAATGCCGCAAGCGTGTTCTGCATCAGGGTTACACCTCTCCGCCATGCTTTACCCGCCGATTCGATCGGTGTGGCTCAGTGGCAGGCCCAAAGGCCCCCTCCCATTTGCGTGTCCTGCGTTCTGTCCGGCTGATTGGTCTCAAACGAGAAATGATCACCGTGAAGTCCCTTAGCTATCTAGACTTTTTCTAGAATTAAGTGTGACCTACCACCGCCGGTCACCTAATTTCTCCGCATGCTACGTAGTAGATTGCGGTGATCGCAATAGGCAATGCCGTATGCGCTTGGTCAAGAGATCGATTAGATTCGGTCCTACGCTCAGGATGTCTCTGCCACGGCATGGATGTTGTTTCCCAAGTTATGACTTTATAGCAAGCAAAGCTGCACCCTTGGTTCTTGTCCAAGAACCCCAATCCGAATTCATAATTTTGATATTCAGAAGACGAGCTTCTGAAAGTCGAAAGTATGGCATGCCAACAATTTCATGGCGCGCCGAGGCGCCCTTTTCTCTCATTGTTTTTCTCATTTTTGTTCTTGACTTCGTTGTTAGGAAGCGCGACAGCATTGACTCCGGCGCGAAGGGTTGCAGATGCGGAGTTGGATAAAGATGTAGAAGCAATGATTGCGCGGGCAACAACAGGCGATCAATATTTGTTGGGTGTTGGAAAGGCAGATATCACTGGGTACAGACACTTGATTTTGCCCCTTACTAGATTTGACTAAGGTTTCTAGACCTGTTGTTGAGCTCAACTTCATGGGTTATGCATCCCTTGGTCAGATTGGGACAGGCCTTAGACAGAGGTGAGAGCGCCGATATGACGTCTTCGAGGCCCAGGTCTAATATCTCCAGAATCTACTCCCGTGCTTTCATCATTGGGAGCGTAACAAATCCCGAAGACCGTTTTGTATACCTTGTTATCGACACTGCAATGGGAGACACAGCAATCCGCTACGGCATTCTTCAAGGTCTTGCAAATCTTGGATCCGGGTATTTGATGTACAACCAAAGCAACGTTGCTGTGACTGGAACCCACCAACATTCCGGGCCTGGAGCTTGGTTGAACTATCTTTTGCCCCAAGTTACGAGTCTTGGGTTTTCGAAACAGAGTTATCAGGCAATTGTTGATGGATCGGTTCTTTCGATTCAACGGGCCCACCAAAGTCTTGCACCTGGCACTTTGAGTTACGCAGATACGAATATCACGGACGCGAACATCAACAGAAGTCTTTATGCCTATCTCCAGAACCCGGCGGATGAACGAGCTAAATATGATGCTACTGTGGACACGACTCTCACCATGTTGCGATTCAAGAGAGCTTCAGATGGCCTGAATACTGGAGTTTTGTGCTGGCATAGGTAAGAAACATGCAACGCCCAAGACTGGTAGCCAAATATTCTGCTTTTCAGAACTTCAAGTTGACCTCTTCTGAAGCGTTCACGGAACCTCTATGCTTGAGAACAACACCCATGTGACAGGAGGTGAGCATCTAGAATCAACAGCTTGCAATCAAGTACTAATCCAAATATCAGACAACAAGGGTGTGTCCAGTTACTTGTTTGAGGAAGCAATGAAAAGTGATCAGTCTGCTGCTCCAGGATTCGTGGCAGCTTTCAGCCAAAGCAGCGTCGGTGACACTTCACCCAACGTTCTTGGAACTTGGTGTGATGCTACTGGAGAGCAATGTGATTTCGAGCACAGTACATGCGGTGGTACTACCCAGGACTGCCACGGACATGGACCGGAATACCAGAAGCTTGACTTGGGCGTAGCGAGCTGCTACGAAATTGGCAGACGGGTGTATGCTGGAGCCAAGACACTCTATGTGAGTATCTCAGAACCGAACCTTTTTTTGAGGGGAAAGAGACTCATTTGATAGGATAATTTCGATAGCCAGGCGACAGCTGTAACAGACCCCAGCGTCAGATTTTACCATGTGAGTCTGAGCCTCTCCGATGAAGCTTGCAAGTCATACTAACGTTTATAGTTCTTCAACGACATGCAATGGTACAGCTTCCCTCTTCCCAATGGAACAGTTGTCCAAACCTGCCCCGCCGCCATGGGACGATCCTTCGCAGGTGGAACCACCGACGGACCTGGAGCCTTCGACTTCGTGCAAGGCGACAACTCCTCCATGGCACAGAATCCCTTCTGGACCGTTGTGTCCGACCTCCTCACCACTCCCACGCAAGAGCAAGTCGACTGCCAATACCCCAAGCCAATCCTCCTCGACGTTGGACAGATGCACGAACCATACGACTGGAGTCCCAATATCGTCGACATCCAAAGCTTCCGCGTTGGCCAGCTAATCATGATCATCTCCCCTTCCGAAGCGACGACTATGACAGGCCGCCGCTGGAAAGCCGCCGTCGCAGAAGCGGCAACCAGTAAATCCATCGTGACCAGCACGCCTAAGGTCGTTCTCGGTGGACCAGCAAACACTTACGCCCATTACGCCACTACACCGGAGGAATACAACGTCCAACGATATGAAGGAGCATCTACTTTGTATGGGCAATGGGAGTCCTACGCCTATATCCACCTTTCAACTTCCAGCATCGGATACCTCGCAGCAGGCGCCGGCCAGCCCGCACAAGGCACCCTCCCACCAAATAATGTCAACAACTCCCTCAGCTTTATCTCCGGCGTCGTCTATGACAACCCCCACCTCTTCACCTCCTTTGGCGACGTCCTCACGCAGCCAAAAGCCAGTTACAGCATAGGAGACGTCGTAAACGCCTCTTTCGTTGGCGCCAACCCACGCAACAATCTCCGCTTGGAGGGCACATTCGCCACGGTCCAGCAGCAGGTAAACGGCAACTGGACGACGGTGCGAGACGACCATGATTGGCATCTCGAGTATACGTGGGTTAGAGATGATAGCTTGTTAGGGAGTAGCCATGTGGTGATTAGTTGGGAAACGGAGTCTTATACGACCGCGGGCACATACAGGATTGTGTATAATGGGGATGCAAAGGCGCCGGTTACGGGGAAGATTAGTGCGTTTACGGGGACGAGTAGTACGTTTACTGTATCCTAGTCTGGCTGATTGGGAGGGAATGGGACGGCTTGTAATTAGGTTTTTGATTGTCATAAGGGTAATGAATATTGTTAATGTCCTAAGGGGTTTGGTTCATGTTTAACGAATTATTAGTCTACTCCAAATCCTGCCGGCGCACATAGAAGTCTCTATAAATTCCCCAAGTTGGAAAGCACATTCATATCCACTGGACCACTGCGAATATTCAGCGCACCAGGCGTTTAGGGAAACAACCAAATTACAAACTGCGAAAGTTCGATCTTTTGTAGACCATTGGAAGAAGATTTCCCCATCAAACTTTCAAATTGGAATGTAATCTTACATTGGTACCAGAGAATTGCCAACACCAACTCCTGCCGTGCCAGAAGCCTCCGCATGACCTTTACACACAAGTATCCACTCAGAGACCAGGGGCCAAGGACTTTTTCTCATTTAAAACAATTCGCGCACTTTTACGTCGCCTTTGCACTTTAAGCTTTGTTTGAAACATGAATTGTTCAAAGCTGAATATCGCTTCTGAAGTCAATACCATTTCTCTGGTTCCCCCGCGTTTCAAGTTTCACTCCAGCACACGGTAAAACTACCACCCAAATTTCGCCATTTCATAACCAACATCTACAAGTTCAACTGTCCCGAACGATTTCCTTCCGGAACAATACAACGCCCAACCCACCTCCGCTAACAGCCCGTCACGAACCCGAAACGGCGGAGTAAGTGATCCGTTCTCCTACCTTTGCTAACGCCTCTCCAAAGATATCGATGCGGTAGGCACGTGATCGTAAAGGATCAGAAGAAGTATGCAATCTGCTACCGCTATGATTCCGTCAGAATCAAGTTCGCAACGGATCGTAATGGATCAGCAATCCCATCGTCGGCTGTTATTGGAGAGAGTGGGGCAGATTCGATCATTTGGTTAGATAGGCTCAAGGCGAATGGGCAGAGTATTTGGATGACAGGACCAAGACCTGGCGGAAACGGCAAGAAAGGGAAAGGTTAGTGACTACAATCGGAATGTCTTCTCGATCATTGGCTGTTCCGGCGGGGAAGAAGACCAAGAAAGCAGGCAAAGGCGAGGCGAACGACAGACCGCCAACCAATAAATCAAGCTCAGTCGAACCGAAGCAGACTCTGAAGCGTAAGGCATCCTGGTGATCAGAAGTATTGCAACGACCAGCCCAGCGTTGAGAGAAGAGATCGGATGTTAACAATTTCTCGAATCAAGTTACGTCCTTCTCTGCCCCTCCGAAGAGCCTAACGGATCCCACCCGGTCTTCTCCAGCAAAAAGTATTCCTAGCCTGAGAGTGTTGAATGTAAGGAGGAATGGATGAAAGGTCGCCAGATGTGGCTGGCGAAGTGGCTAGAAAGATCGGAGGAGATTGCGTCGACATCTTGCTTCATTGGACAACGACGAGAACTCGCCTGTGTTGGATATTGCGAAGGGCAAGATGAGGGTCTCTTTTGGCCCTGGCGGCATTTATACTAGAGACAGCGTCAAGAACCGAATCTGAGGAGTCGTGTGGCTGGCAAGGGGGTGGCGGTGCATAACGTGACTGATTCACATCTCGTTCCTATATCAAAATAGAAAGTCCTATAATTTGGCATCGCAAATGCAACCCTTTTAAACTTTCATCCATCTGACAACGAGAACTTCCACCTTGAATCGTTTTATGGCTATCAGGAGAGCTTTATCAGCCTCAAATACCAACCAACCCCCACCTTCTCCATCGGGTCTAGCTCCGAAACTGTGCTCAAGCTCTCCCGGGCTCAATTTCAAGCTTCGTTCATTTGTTCCTCTATCTCGAGTCATCTACGCCAATATATATATCAAATATGGCGGAGGGTAATGACCCTCACCCAAAGTTTCACGACCCTCTCCTCTCCACCCAATCATCTCCTCACCATGGCCGTCGGTATCGTCCTAAAGCACCGATTACTGTCGTCACCCTCATCTTACTGGTACTGGGACTTCAATTCATAGTCCTCCCACGATATGTTTATCAAATCTCTCCGAGCGAGGTCAAATTGTCACAATTTCACCTCGATCGTCTCGAGGCTAGGCTTCAAAAATGTGCCGAGATCACCACCCCACCGGTTCGATATCCCGTGACCAGCGCTGGATCACGAATCAATCCAAGGTGGAACCCGTTCACCGGACAGAATGAGACAGTTGTATTTAAGAATGTGAAGCTGTTCGATGGGGAAACAGTTCTGGACAAGAAGGTTGATATCGTGTTCAAGAAGGGGATCATCGAATCTGTGGACACAGCCGGAAAATCAGTCACCTTTGACCGCCATGCCAAAGTCCTTGATTTGGAAGGGAAGTTTGTCACACCAGGTCTAGTTGACCTGCATTCTCACCATCTTGCTTTTGCTTGGCCTCTCCTCCGCGATACCGACGATTCAAATGAAGTCAACCCTGAAATGGGTCCAGTAACGCCCCAAGTCCGGATCGTCGATTCTATCAAAGCCTATGATTTTGCAACCACCGTCATTGCCTCTGGTGGTGTCACAACATCCCTCATTCTCCCCGGTTCGGCGAACATCATGGGTGGCGAAGCTGTGCTTGTCAAGAATGCATTGAGGTCTGGAGAAAATTCAGAAGAAGTTGTGGAAGAGATCCTGCTCGAGCACGGAATTCCAGTCTCTCAAAGAAGAAGGTTCATGAAAATGGCCTGTGGTGAGAATCCAAGACGAGTGTACAAGCACACTCGAATGGGGAATGCTTGGTACTTCAGGAAACACATGGAGAGAGCCAAAGAGTTGATGGGAAAGCAGGATGCGTGGTGTCTCCAAGCTGAGGCTCTGAAAGAAGCTGGCAATGTTGCTGCCATTTCCAGCTTCATGGAATCCACATTGAAGGATGGCGGTGCTACTGATTATCTTGAATACGATTCGAGTATTGGCATGCTTCGTGGAAAGGTTGGGGTCAACATTCATTGCTACGAGACGGAAGACTTTTGGGACATGATTCATCATAGTAAGGAGTTTGGCTTCAGGATTCAGGCTTTTCACCATGCTTTGGAAGCCTGGAAAGTACCTGAGATGATCAAGGACAGTGGCGAGTTAGTGAAAGCCTTACATGAAGACATCCCGAAAGCTCACATTCTACAAGTAACATCACGATTGCAACTTTTGCTGAATTTGGTCTTTACAAGAAGGAAGCTTACGAAGCAAATCTGTGGGCTGGCAAAATCCTGGCCGAACACGGGGTGCCAGTGGCGTACAAATCAGTAAGCTCTGCCAGTATCAAGAAGGGTCAGGTTGCTAATGATATGTCAGGACCACGTTGAATCAGAGACAAATGCAAAATATCTACTGTGAGTTTTCGAGTACTGCCGTTCACTTGAACCCAATTAACCACGATTTTAGTTACCAAGCCGCAACCGCTCATTCTTTCCACCTCTCTGAAGATCTAGCACTTCAATCAGTAACCAGTGTGCCAGCTCGATCTTTAGAGATTGACCACAGAGTTGGGTATGCGCGTGAGGGATACGACGCCGACCTTGTTGTATGGGATTCTCATCCCCTCTCTATTGGAGCAACGGCTTTGAACGTCTTTATCGATGGAAAGGATGTTTTAGATGCCAAAATGACTGAAGACAGTTTGTCAAAGGTCGCGTCTGGGGGTCCTCACGAATTGAAGAGTCCGGACATGCGACCCACCGTTGCGGCTGACATCAAAGAAAAGAGCTGCAGCGCAATTGAGAAAACTGGAGCCAAGATTGCGATCACTGGAATTCAACGATCTTATCTGGATGTTGGCTTGGGACCAACAGCGAAATCTGGTAGTCTCACATTGGTCGTTGACCATGGCACGATCACTTGCTTCGACTCTGAACCTCAATGTGCTAGCGCAAGCACAGAAAGCACAACGATCAGTCTTAAAAATGGACATGTTCTCCCTGGGCTCACCGCAGTCTCCGTTAGTCTCGGTCTCATGGAGATTTCATCGGATTCATCAACTGGCGATGGTGAAATCAGGAAAGGGAGCTTAAATCCGAACGATACCGTTTATGCCAAATACGGGGTTCATCTCAATGGAAAAGCTTTTGCTAGAGCTAGAATTGGAGGTGTCACTCGAGCTGTCACTGCACCTTTATATCAAGGATTCGTCGACGGCGTGAGCACCGGTATCAAGACGAGTGGGAAGAAGACAATTCTGGATGGTGGGATATTCCAAGACGATGTGGCTTTGCATTTTGCTATCGGACAGGCGGCGAAAAGTATGAACATTTGATTTCTGCTGTTTTTAGAGACAAATGCTAACCGTTTAGGTGAATCTTTATCAACGATCTCATCTGAAATCTCGAAGCTCCGCCAGATCCTGTCCGAAAATGCCGGTAAAGATAACATCTACGGCAAAGCAGCAGACGGCGCATTTCCGCTTGTCGTTCATGTCCAGAATGAGGTATACACCACACTCCCTCCGCTGTCTCCTTGATGTTAATACAAGTCAGTACGACATAATGCAACTCATTAAGATTAAGCAAGAGCTTCCGGTCATCAATCTGATCCTCCTTGGGGGAGCCGGAGCCCCTCTCGTTCGTTCATTGGCCCCCTTCCTCCTATCTTCTAATCCTCTTCGCAGGTAGCAAAGGAGCTAGCTGCAGCAAACATTTCTGTCATTCTCACCGCAAATCGAGGCGCTCAAGACACTTTCGAAAAGCTCAACTCGCTCCCGGGCCCACCACTCTCCAAGTCTCCCGCTGCTGTCCTTGAAGAAGCAGGGGTCTTATTTGGCCTTGCGATTAGTGGTGAGGGTAAATCTATGCTTTCTCTCCTTCGACCCCCAAATCTTCCCTCTGAAATCTATGTCGGCAGCGTGAGAAATCTTGACCACTAATTGGGAGGCAGGCGATTCGCACCTCCACAATCTCCCTCTCGAAGCCAGCTGGGCCGCCAAATATGCAGGTCTCTCTTCAAAGGAAGCCGTGAATCTCGTCTCTCGGAACATTGAGCAGATTTTGGGACTCAATGTCAAGGAAGAGAGTAGAGATTTCGTAGTGTTTGAGGGAGATCCGTTGCAGTTTGGAGCCAGTGTGGTGGTTGCTTTCGATGGGCAGGATGGCAGTGTGAGCTTATGCTGGCCTGAATCCAACTAATGATGTGTAAGGTGAGAGAGCGGCGGGGAGATGCAATGAGTTACACAGGTCCTCGCATGTGAAGTTTCGAACGTCTCAGTGTGAAGGGCTCAGGAAGTCTTGAGCTATTTATCCATTTTCAACTTCTTTTGTATTTTTGCAAAACCTTTCTATGACTCCATATTTAGCAACTCCCATTGCAAGCAACTACTGTCTAGCTCTCGTCCTCTTGAGCAGAGCCAGGTCAGTCTTGATCGAAGACTCTTCGTTGTTGTTCAACTGGGTTGCTCTTGCCTCGAGTCTGCCCTTGCCCCGAGTCTGCCCTTGCCCCGAGTCTGCCCTTGCCCCGAGTCTGCTCCTTCCTTTCTCTTGACCTCTCTCCCTAACAACTTAGTGCTGCAGCCCACCTTATAGTGTCCCATCACCCACCTTTTTTCTTGCTTTCTTCTTCTTCTTAAGCTTGCGAATCATGTCTTCTTGCCGTGCATCCAAGCCCACCCGAGCACTGTTTGGCCTCGCCACCCTAGCAGCTGTTCAAATGTCCATTCCAGCTCGTTCTGCCTCGAGCAACACCCGTTCTCGTATTCCTATGCGCTCCCAGCACTTTGTTTCCTCTGTTTCGACTGTCGCCATCCCAGCGCAGTCTGCCACTCCTTCGGTCTCTCGACGACCACCTGTTCCCACCACCGTCTCTGCCTCTTCTATGCCCAAGAAGACAGCGGACTCAATTCTCAAGCATGTAGAGCGTGTAAGTATTGCTCTGATTTCTTTTCGTGTTCCTGTGCAATTGGGGTCGTCGTTACTGACCCAGATTGCGACCGGCAGCTTCGTAAGACTCGTACCGCCACTACGACTTACAAGGTCGCTTCTGCATTTGCTACCACGAAGCCGGCAGTGCTTCCTCCTGCCAAACCTCAGCCTGTTCCTGTCCCTCGACTTGCTTCTGTACCACCGTCTCGCGTTCCTTCGACCACGTCGGCGACGTCATCGTCGGCGTCGTCTGCCCGCACCGAGCGGTCGATCGATGCGCACATTGAGCGAGTAAGTTTATATCACCCCAGCTCCATACCTAGCCCCTCGGTTTTTCATCTTCACTGTCTCTCCTACGTGTTCTGTCCCTGCGCATTTTTGATGAATTTGCATACATCGTGCACAGTACATTCATTGTCGTCTTACCTGCAAGTGTACGCATCGCCCTCAACACATCCATTCTCTTGCTTCCTGCAATGTACACATCTTGGACAGTACATCCATAGCCTTCCTTCCTCAATGTACATATTGGGATAATGCATCCCTTGTCGTCGACGACTGCAATATACAAATCGTGCGCAGTATCTCCTTTGTCATTCTTGCAATGCACCTACCGTGCACAGTATATCCATCATCCTTCACTCTTATACTGACTTATTCGCCTGCAGGTTACTAGAGCCAGAAGGAAGGCCACGCCAGCGGTTTCCATTCGCCCATCGCCAGTGACGTCCCGGAAGGTCAGCCCAGCGCAGCCACTTCGAGTGGTCAAGAAGTCGCCCGCCGGTAAGCCTTAGCCCTACTTTCAATGCCCCAAAGACTCCATGAACATTCCATGCTAACAGTTTGATGGAAGTTGACCTTGCCGTGGTCGATGACCGACTCGCTCGCCTGTCCGTGGCGCCGCTCGTGGTCGTCAAGGCCAAGCCCAAGGCTTCGAAATCTGTCCGATTTGTAGAGTATGGTGGATGGAACATCCACAGCATCAAGGTAAGCACCAACTTCTTGTAACATCAATCCCCCTCGTAGCAATGCCCAACATTTATTGGGACATTCTACTCGCAACGTCCAACACCTCCTGGGATATTCCATTCCCCAATGCTGACTCTTGTTTCTTGGAAATAGGCTTTTGAGGCAGACTCGCCTCCGAATACTTTCCTTTCCCTCGACGAAGCGAAGCTTCTTCAGCCAACAGCCAACAACGGCCGTGGGAAAGGTCCTGTCTACGATGGCAGCTATTCCTTGGTTCAATCCAAGAGAGAAATTCGGTGGCCGCCACCAGACCATGATGGGCCGATCATCGATGGATCGACTACCGCGCCGTCGGGCTGCCGCTCTTGTGCCGAAGTAAGTGTTTCCATTGTTCCAACTTCCTGGAACATTCTGTATTGAGCAACTGCTGACTTGTATCTAGGCCGCAGCCAGGGGGACGCCTGTCATTCGATATCGTCCTGTACTAGTGAGCGTCTGGTGTTCCGCATGTTTGTCCGATCCGGCCAGACGGCCGTTTTATGTTCCACCACTTGATGACAACGGCGAGGATGATTACTTGGACCAGTGCCAAGGCCCTCATCATCATTCTCCTGATGACTGCCAGTACTATCGATGCGCCTTCAAAGCCAATGTCCGTTGGCTTTATGACAAGTTTCCGGATCGATATGGCTTTTGCGATACTATTCTGAATGCTTGATTTCATTCTTCTTCCGCACTCTTCAAGACTTTCGTTGGACGCTTGAGAGAGTGTCTGCGTGCGGCCATTTCACTCTTTCTAGTCTCTAGGCGGAGAGCTAGCTCGCTTCGGCAAATTCCCAGTTCATTAAATCAACAATCCTTTTCAGCTTCTTTGGGCAAAGAGCTGATGACTGCTTCGGCAACATTACATTCTCTTACTTCGACACAAATCACTTTCTTTCGAAGACGGACTGGGAACCCGTTCTTCTCCTCGTGTCTGGATGGTGATGCTTGTACCATCAATCACTCCAAACCTTCTTCTGCCGGCCACTGGAGAGCTGGCTACTCTACCATCTTGTGCCTTGGGGAAGGAGAATCTTGGGGGGGTTGGGGGTAGCTGCTTGCTTTGGTCGGGGTCTGGTTTCTGCTGGGTGACAGGCAAGATGTGTGTGCCGCTCATTGAGCATAGGGCCATCTCTTCGTCTGAACATCACCTGTAGCGCAGTCCTGAACCAGGTAACGTGGCCTCGCAAGCTGACCTGTTCGCTAACATCTACAGGCTCTTTTGGTATTGCTAACATTTAGTGCCCCAGTGTTTTTGCCAACTGTTAACTTCTAGTGCTTTCGTTATTTCTGCTAATTGTTTATAGGTAACCTTCCATTGAGAGCTGCCTTCACGGGGCGGAAGGTGTCAGTACCCAGGCTTATTTAGTCTGGCGAAGCCAAAGCTCTCATCAACTATTGATCTGTCGAATTGTGACCTCCGCGGGTGTGCTTGCATCGCAAGAAGAAGTGGGCTCATTGAATTTGGTGCTTGTTGCAGGTGTTTCGTTGTATTGTATGTAGTCAATCAGATCCTGCATGGTAAATTCAACTTCCACTCTCACTCCCAAGAAAACTGTTATCCCATCAACTGATACGCCGTGGCAATATCAACATAGAGATCGAGTCGATTCTCAGTGTTAATGAACTTGAGATTCGTAGTTCCAAACCTCTTCCCTGTGTTTATACTATCCTCTTTTGAAGCTTCAGCTTTGTATCGATTCTCTGCCGCTGCACCAGTTCCAATCACCCTGACCTTCCCTTCCTCCTTTCGGACCACGATGGCTTTCTGAGTTCCGTGAACCAAGCAGATATAATCTCCAACCCGGCTTTTGTGTGGAGCAAGACCGACCTTCCCGGATGACTCGTCGCCATAATCTGGAACTCCACCAAGCAAAAACAATCTTGGATCTGTGGAGGTCGGCTCTGGCTCCACAAATTTGTCGCTCTGCATCTCGTCAAAATTTCGAACGTTCTGATCAGCAAAGAGCAAGCAATCCGGCGTCTGAGGCTTAGGGACCGAAATGTCTCTGTCGAACGATTCCACAATTCTCAAGTCCTCGACCTCAACGTCCTCCAACAGCTCTAAGAACTGATCACTCTCCTCCCTTGCCGAAGGTTGCTCGTTGGGGAAAAGATGGCGATTCATGCTGGCTTTCCAAGTCGCCACAGCTTTAAAATTGGACATGATTTCTTGGTAGGTAGGACCCAAGTGAACGATCCGCGCAGAAACACGTGCCGTAACCAGAATTTTGGCAGTTTTCTCGTCTTCGTCGAGCTCCAAGTCGACTAGGGTGGATTGAAAGATATCTCGAGCAAGGTCTTCTGCAGTCGCGATTCCCTGGCCTCCCAGTAAATCTTGGACCACTTTTCCGAAACAAAGTGTGTCAATTTCAGGCTCGGAAAATGGTGGGTTATTCTTAGGTTGATTGGCATTCTTGAAGCGAATAACATCCTTCCAAACCTCATACGGACTTTTCCCTAACCCCAGAATGTCGAATTAGCATTGCCTTGAAAGGTGTGATTTGGAGTTGAGACAGTGCCTTATAAGAAATTCGGACTTACCATAATCCATAGGAAAGCCGTCCTGACAATCCACCCCCAATCCGACGAAGCCATAAATATGATCCCTTGGTTCCTTGCAGAGGGAATCTCGATGATTCTCAATCAAAGCCTGAAGTTTATGGCCATCTTCATATTTCTCATCGATCTGTTTCTGCAGCTTGACCGGCAAACTATCCCGAGTTTCTGAATTGGACCGAAAGTTTTTGATCAATGCCGACCACTCTCTCTGAACAGTACCATAGTGGACGAGAATTTTCCTCGCGAGACCGACTTCTTGAATAATCCAGACTCTTCTCCAGTATGGATTTTCTGCCAAAGTTCGCAGGACCGGGTCTGGTTCGATGGATCTCCATGCAACCGGGCTTGCCTTAGCGCCGCTCTCCTGCTCAGAAGGTGCATTGACAATACCTAGCCAGACTAAGACACACTTCGCCCTCGTGTAGATAAACGGCATAAAGCTAATCTGCGAGTTCTTCTCGGAAATGTCGGACTGGTTGATACAGATTGCATCGATCCAAAGAACCCTCTCTTCAGAGCGGTGTTGCAGGTGTACCAAGGCATCAAAGAGATTCTGAGCAACTGTGAAGTCATACCCATCAATTGTAATTTTTCGACGGATGGTCTCGTCGCCCCATGTGTAAGAAAGTGCTTCATACTTCGGTTTCTGTGCAAATGTGACCTGGATCAATCTGCAATTGATCAAGGTGGTAGAATCTTGAGCTGGTTCGAGGATGAGCAGTCGAATGCCATCGACTGTGGTTTTGATTGGAGTATACTCGAATGGAGAAGTTGTTGGAGGCTCTTCGATGGAAGCAGGGTTGAGGATTGGGACTATCCGCTCGATTTTAGCCATTGCAACTAACTGGAACTGGACAGTAGAAAGGAAAAAGCCGTGAAAGAAATTCTGAAATGATGCGACTGAGCTGCTATTAATGCAAGACCATGCAAGCGACTGCCAGGGGTTCACAGGGCAATTCCAGGGGAAACTGGGGTAAGACCGCCACTGAAGCGGACGAATATAACGCCGGAAGAGTTTGTTCAGTGAACCGAGGCTCAAGGGAAGGTTGCTGTTCAAATAATTCCCATTATGAAATTATTGGAACTGTACAGAGTATCATAAAACTCCAACTGTTGCGGATCATTGTCTTTGATATGCCACGAACGCCCCGGATATACTTCCCAAAGCATTACTCCAGTGATCAAAGCCTATTTCTAACTCATCTTCATCTTCCTTGTCGTCTTGTTCCTAATCTTCGCCTTCACCTTCGTCCTCCACGGGTGTATCCTCTGCCTCTTGGCTCGATTCCTCCTCCACGGGTCTCCTCCTATTCCTTCTCCTATTACTGCTCTCGGCTTCGGCTTCTTCCTGGGCCTCCTCTTCTTCCACAGCATCATTCTTTCTTTTTCCACCACTCCTTCTCTTGCCCTTCAAGTATTCCTCAGTACTAGTGATCGCCTTCTGCCCAACGTACGCTTTCCCAAGCCACGGAGTCTCACACGTCGGACACTTCTTCCCCGGCCTCGAGTTCCAGAATGCAGCTGTGCAAATATTGTGCAACCGGACATTGCATTCTCTCTCCGTGCATCTCTGCCCAATCGTCACAATCTCCTTACACGCCTGACAGAACTTGATTCTCTGCCACGATTCCGGGTCATCGGAATCATTATACGCTTCAACCAGCCAACTCCTCAATTCCAATAACGCACGTGGAGAGAGCGTGTAAAAACCTTCCGCGCTCCTCTCAAGCCAAGTCTCTTTTACCAGATTTGCCAGCAGCTTCTCAGTTTCGTTTTGTGTCAGGCCTCTATCGGATGATTGTGTAGCTTGTGCAGGCTCGCCTCCTCCGCTTTGCCTACCGCCGCCTTTCCGGACTTTGATCTCCATTGCTTGCATACTTGTGACCGCCATGACTTCTCTACGTTTCGTATTGTGGGTCTCGAACATCGCATCTAGGAGCCGCTTGATGTAAGATATCTCGTCCGCTGTTCGAGTAGTCGCGAGTTGGGTAAGGGGATCGCTGACGCTGTTTACGAGGGCGTATATTCGCTCTTTGGTGGTTTGATGCTGGGTGCTGCGGATTTCGTAGTCGTAAGGAGAGATGGCGTCTGCGGCAGCGGATATGTATGAATCGAAATCTGCCTGGGTTACATCTTTTGGATCCGTTTTCCTTTCTAGGAAGTGTGAGCCATGTCTTGACGAGGCTGAGGGATTTGCTCACCTTCTTGTACGGTGAAGATGGCTGCGAGAACTTTTTGGCCATCTTCGAATTTCATAGCCCCGCGAGCAAGGAAGGATTGAAGAAACGCGCGGTTTCCATCGTTGTAATGGGCTGGAATATCTTCGGCATCCGACATCTTTGCTGTTAAATTGAGGTTGTTGAAGTTCTGTAGACTCTTCAGGTGTGGGAGACGCGATTTGGTGGGACGTGTTTTTAGCGTGTTTTTGGGATGCCTGGTAATATATTTGGCCCCCAGTTCGAACTTTTCATCACCTCCTGCTTATAAAATCATTGTTCATCATTCTTTTTATTTTTTATTTTTTAAAAAGCAAAACCCCCGCAGGTACGATTCAGAAGCTAAAGACTGAGTTCTCTTTTTCATGCCTGGTCATCGAAGCTAAGTGCCCCCCTGGAATAAGTGTTGCTCTGAGCCACCCACCTCATTTGAATGCAAAGTACTTTGTTTCCGCCTCCCCTCCGTAGGACATCATGTAGAGATTGAGTTTCGACCAAGCGATTTCTAGATTGTATCTCAGGGACAGATGAGGACATCAAGTTGGAGTGGAGAAAGTTTTTCGATTGATGTTCAAGAACTCAGGCCTGCAACTTTTGGCTAAAATAACCCTAAAGAATATCTGGGCAAAGAGAAAGCCTCCAAGCACCTGTCTTACGCCGCACTTTCTTATCTTTACTCGGTGGTCACAGTGACGATATTCTTGTCTAGAGATCCGGATCATCAGCTCTGGTCAACACAACACTTTCTGAGTCCCTTGAATCCCTGCCCAGCGGGCTCGAGAGATCAGACAAGAGTATCCATACGCCGGATCTTTGGGAACACCTAGAATCTAGGCACGAGGGGGTAGCAGTCAAAGGAAGATGAGTTAGTACTCACAGAAAGCAACATGGTCCTTGATATTCTTCGCCTTTTCAAAGGGTTCTGGATAGTACCACGCCGCATTCTTGAACTCAGTTTCTACAATCTCATGAGCTCCATCACTTTCAACTCCTCCAAAGCACACTTACTATCAAGATTGATCGTATAATACGAAGCAGCTCCCTTCCATGGGCAATGGGTTATGTGATCAGTCTTGGTCATCATCTCCATCTTGATCGACCTGAAGAACGAAGTCAAGCCACGTCTCACAATCATCCACACCAGAACTTACGAAGGTGGGAACTGAAATTAAATCAGTAAGCGTCAATTGGAAGGCCAATGGGCAACGTACGTAGATATTTCCTTCAACAACCTCGTACTCATCAGTCTCCGCGATAGTCCGGCCAGAGACCGTTGCAATTGCTTTTCCGTGAGTCATTGTGGGTACGTAGTGTTTGGATAGACGGGAATTGAAGGTTGTATTCCTGGATAGAGAGCTTGCTTTAAGTAAAGAAAAGCTCATGAGGATGTGGAATCATATGCATTGATTACAGATCCATGACGAGGAGGGGTAAGCGGGCGGGTCACGTGCAGCTCTACTACCGTTTATGGTGAGACCTGGCTCAAACTTCAAGTGCAACGCCCTGTTTTTTACATTTCGTTGTCTCAACGGAGTCAAGCTGTAATAATCGTGTCCAGCTCATATGTCATCAAAGACACTCCCCGGTCCTCTCTTAGACATGATCTCCAGGCCTCCCGTTCCAGGAACAAACTTCTTCATCCCAAACATCTTCTCATAGAACTTCATTGCACGCTCTCCATCATGACCTCCTGTGTACAAAATGGCACCCCTGAGGTCCGGCCACGAGTCTAGCGTCTCGTTGATACACTCCATCAGCCATTTTCCGATACCCTTGCCTTGGTACTCAGGGATGATGAAGACGTCGGTCAGGTAGGCGAAGGTGGATTCGTCTGTGATGACTCGAGCAAGGCCGATCTGTGTTGGTGGGGTTCGACCTGAGTCTGTTAATTGAGTGTTTGGAGTAGGTTGGAGGGGGCTGACAGGCGATTTCAGTTGATGATTCCGGGAGTGCGTAGACTCCAAAACAGAGTGAGTGGGAGAGCATGTGCTTCATCGCCTCGTCTGAAATTCGCTTCGTCCAGTACATATATTCCGAGTCAAATACCGCGTTGATGACATCATGTTGCAGTAGAGCTTGTGAGGTAGAAATCAGGAATTGGTCTCTATACCATTGAGATGTAGTTGGACTGGGCATATTGAATTGGATGGGGATTTATAAGGCATGGAAAAGATTTTTTGGTTGATCAAGGAAGTTGATATGGAGTTTTTAAATTGGACATTGACTCATAGAGTTTTGAGGGCAATTGAGCTTGATCAGCTGTGGTGAGTCATGATTCCCCCACTTTGGACCATCGAAGGGCGTATCTGATGTTGGCCTTCTGCATTGCGGAATTGATTTTATATTCGGAGTATACAGAGTTGCTCAGGGTATACTAAACCCCGAATCGGGTGGGACCGTTTTTGATTTGAAGTTCAATATAAAGATAAGTTCGGACGATAAGTAGGAAGTGCAAGGCTACCCACGTCCTTTGATCCGGACTTACCGAGTTTGACGGCAAGAGAGACTTTGGCAACAGGACTTAATGGCCCGCCATCTTATTCTAGAAAACACGGCTTCCGACAATGCTCTCTCAGGGACGTTCACCAATTCTGGGATCCAGAATTCTCTACATCTTCCACTCTCTTGCACCTCCCGGGCTTGATGGCAATGTACCTGCGTCAAATGTTGTTGCCTAACCGAACAGCAGAGTTGTGAATAGAACAACGGTGACAGAAATGAATCGCTTGGGCAGAAACCAAGAGTCCATTAACTCCAATCATTCTGGTAAGCTCCCTCTGGTGAGCTGGATCGTTCTTCGACTTGTCGTTGGTTGATCCCTCCGTACCGCCCCCACAGTCTAGGAACTTGAGACAATTTGAATATTAAGAAAAAGACGAGAGCATGAAGTGAACTTCGTGAAGATCCAGAACGATGCAAGGTCAACGTGGTACTTGCCTCAATCCATCCAACTTGACAGAAAAGTCGCGGCGCAATTTCTAAACAAAGGAAGCCACCACCCGGTGTAGCATGTTGAGAGAGATAGCGAAAAATGAGGCACCGGCAAATCAAATAGATCAATTTAATCTTTGGACCTTTGAAGGCTCCATTAGGTTCCAATTGGCACTAACCAAGACATTGGTCACGTGGATATTTGTGCCTTAAAAGCCAGGGGTGCTGATACTTCGCGTCAACTTCAAGTCAACGTAAAACTCGCGTCTGTCACAGCGACAGTACTTCACCAGCCACCACTAATTCAGTAAGACGAGGCTCCCACTTCAGCCCTATTACCACCGCAGTCGAAAGATTCGGCCCAGCCCAAATCAACATGCCTCCCTTTCGAGATGAGCACATCTTGATCATTGCGCCAGGATCGCAAACGACTTTGGCGCAACTCGGCCTTCCAGAATCGTTCACTCCTGCGTCGCATAGATTCCCCACTCGCATGTTTCCGGCCCCTGATGGGAAAACATATGAGCCGTACAAAATTCGATCCAGGAAGAAGGAGGTCGTGATCAATGGCGGGGATGTCGAGATGGGCGGAACTGTAGAACCGAAGATGGCGGAGGAAGGTGATGAAGAACTGATTGAGCTACCCGAAGACGACGAAGGCGCGATATACCCGCTTAAAGGTAGGCAATTGCCGCGTGAACTCTTCAAGCTTAACAACTAATATTGATTGCAGAGGGCCGGATCGATAACATGCCAGCTTTCTGGGCTTTTCTTCAGCATGTTCACAACACACTGTCGCCAACCTTGCACACCCCTATAATGCTGATCGCACAACCATCTTGGACCGCAAAGAACCATGAAGATCTCACAGCATTCTTATTCGAGCAGTTTAAGACACCCGCACTTTGCATTATGGACAGCGCTTTGGCGACGTCGTATGCGTTTGGAATTGCGAATGCCACTATTATTGATGTTGGATTTGGGAAAATTGATGTGACGGCTGTCACAGACTTCCAAATCTCCGGTAGAGGAACAGTTCCTCATTCCGGAGGGGAGGCTATGACACAGCGACTGATGAAGCTGCTCAAGGCCAAGAATTTCACAAGAGACATGGCAGAGCAATTGAAGCGGAGCCCGGTCTGCGAGATCCTACCTCCAGGAACTCCACTTCCAGGTACTGATGTTAAAGAAGAGGCCGCCGTCATCAGCAATCCAGCAGCTGCAGCATCCACAGGTGCGACCTCGTCGGGACCAAGCGTTCGGATTACGGAGGTGCCTCATGTCCCAGTACTTGATATGGAAGTTGGAGAAGACGACGATGCTTTTGATGATAAACAAATAGAGGATGATGGCGTATTAGACGTTGCCAGTATTGTGACGAGTGGCAAGATTCAAGAGGTTTTGGCGAGGAGAGAGAAGGAGAAAGCAGAGAAAGAAAAGCTGAAGCAAGCACGAAAAGAGAAGAGAGACGCTGAGAAGGCTGAGGCGGCAGCGGCGGCTGCAAGGCCTGCAAGACTTCCCAACTCAAAGAGACCTCGTGCGATCTTCCACTACGAGGAGATCATCAAGGATACTCCGGATGCAAAGAGACAAAAGACCCCTGAACCTACACCCGCCGCGCCTGCAGCCAGTGAGACGGCTGTCGCTAGCGAAGCTAATCCTGCAGACAGTGCCGCTGCTGCTGCCGTTCCCGAATCTGAACCGGCACCTATTGAGGATGAAGCTGCACGTCGAGAACAGCAGAAAGCTGCACGCAAAGAAGAGAGACGAAAGAACCGGGAAGAAGAGAACCCGGAGCGAATCCGTCGGGACATCGAGATTGGTATCGAACGCTTCCAAGCTGCAGATGAGGGCTATCTAGATGCGGTTGCTGATACTATTTATCGCACAATCCTGTCTGTGGACGATATCTCAAAGAGACAAGATGCTTGGGATGCATTGGTAATCTGTGGATCAGGGTCGAAAGTTCGAGGTTTCAAGGAGGCGCTGTTGACCACCCTCAACAATCGATATCTTGTATCTCCCAGCTCCGCTACGATGTTTATGAGCGAATTGCCGTCCAACCTCGCCACGCCGAGCGGTACTGGTTCACAGACACCCAACGCATCATTCACGCCCCATGCTCCTCCTACCGCCAGCGCAGTCAATCCTCTCTTGCTTGCCGCCACGACTGCGTCAAATCCTGCTCTGAATCCCAACCTGTCGGTCACATCGTACAATGGCACGCATAGCCACTCTTCTCACTCACAATCACCAACAAGCATTAAGGTGGCAAGTCCTCCAGGCTACTTCCCAGAATTGAAGCTGTACGAGGAAGCGGTTTTCTTGGGATCTCAGGTGGCGGCAAAGGTTATCTTCGTTGTCGACCAGGGATTGTCAAAGGGATTTCTTTCAAGAGTGGAGTTCAACGAAGAAGGCCCGACCGCTATCCATCAAGTGTAAGTTCAGTCCCTTGACACCCAAAGACTGTTCGCTGACCCTTCTTCAGGGGACTTGTATTCTAGATGTAATCCTTGGAGTTTGGGTGTAGGATATGAACCCTAGCTAGAGACTGCTAGGAGAACAAAAGTATACCCTTTTTACTAGATCCGTAATGATTTCAATCAGTCTTCTGAAGTTGTGCACATTGACTATTATCTTTCCGAGATAACTGCATTTAATTTGGTGCTGCAATAATGCAGTTGCAGCTTCATTCTCCCATGGAAAGCAGGCAGTACATCCACGCTCATCCCTGAATTGGCCCTGGGCCTTCAATTAACAGGTCTCGACGAGCATTTTTGCATTACAGTTAATGCTATATCATCAGGGAAAATATTCTCCCAAGTCACATGATTCTATATTCTCTCGAGAATCATCTTCAAATCCATTCTTAAAAGTGAGGCAAACGTGAATCCGAACATTCGTGTCACTTGCCGCTTTTTCAAGTTTATATCGCGCTTTCCCTTTCGCTTAGCGAGTCGACCATAACAGGACTCCTGCCCTTCCTTCTCCAAAAATATCTCCCATCCACCAACCTCGTCCGTCCAGAACGAAACGCGACGAACTCCATTGTACTTCATTCAGTAGTAGATTGTGTTTAGGGCTCTTCTCCGAGGTATGCTCAAATCCTGATTCATAGTTCCGGTTGTTTTTGAAAGCGAACCGATACTGACTTCCTTCAGGTCATTCAGCAGGATGCGTGCCACGAAGGGGAGCTTGACCATCGGTCGAGTCGGTGCATCCAAGGCCAAGAACGAAACTCCGTACAGATCTTCCTCAAAGAGGGTCGCAAAGGAGATCATCGAAATCAAGAAACTCCCAGCTCGCGCATCCAGAAAGCAGGTGAATTACAAGGAAGAGAGCGAAAAGGAATCCGAAGTGGAATCCGAAGAGGACGATGAAGGTGATTATGGTTTCGGAGTTGTCGAGGTTGTCGAGGAGGTGAAGAAGGAAGTCTTTGCCACTTTTGAGGCAGGTACAGAACTCGAGGAAGGTCTTTGCATCGTACGCAGCCTTGGCGGCGGAAAGTACGAGCTTGTCAACTTGAACACTGTTCCCCGTGGCCTTATTGCCTCAGAGGATACCGGCAACATTCTCAAGGGCGATCCAGAGCGGCGTGGGATGTTCGCAATCAATAAGGAACAATGGGACGAGGCGATATTGAAGACAGAGTTGGCTGCTAAGAGCGCTGGTGAGCAATCCAGTTTCGATTTGAACGTACGAACACATGCTGATTCAAGCAGATGGCCATATCTTTCGGCTCATGAAATTGCCTCTTGAATTACGGTTCAAGATCTACGAGTATGCCATCATTGCCAATGTCCCAATTCGACCCACTACAGCGCCTTCTAAGATTCTCGGCTTAGCTTTACTGAGAGCAAGTCGCCAAATCTACCGTGAATGTCGACCCTTCTTCTATCAGAATAATTTCAAGATCAATAGCATCGTAAAGAATTTCATGCCGTATAGAGAATCAGTCACCAAGAATGTCCAGGAGATTACATTCGATTGGTGGGGCTTCTCGCAAAAGGATATCGCAACGTAGGTCTTGGACCCTTTCAGAGCAATGTCCCTGAACTCGTGGGTCAATCATAATCGAGCAAATGCTAACTCTCCTACATAGGCTGACCTTCTTCGCACAGTGCAAGAAGCTCAAAGTTCTCCATATAATGATCACCAAATGGTCTGTCGACGCGGCGCCATATCATAGACGTCAACATACGTTCCAGAATGAAGACAGCGTTAAGCGATTCAGAAAGACCAATGGTTTCGACAAGCTCGTAGCTATTCGAGGTCTCCAGAAGGTCACTGTCCAAAATTGTGCTGGGCTATATGGAGCATCGGATGTGACACAGGAGGAGCTAGTTGCTCTCGAGGCGTTTTTGATGAGAGAACTGACTAAGCCAAGACCGGATGGAGCGGAAGTATGTGGCTACCCTTCCCATATAACTTGTATGCTAACTCTTGCCCAGACCAAAGCTTCGAAGAAACGCAAAGACAGATATTAGTGGGTTCTGCGCCACGCCTGGCCTATAGTTCCATTGATTCCAGGGACTTTTGGCTGTGGCACGATTGTTGGCAGGTATTCTCATGTGGTTTCTTTCACTTGCACAATTGGGTTGCCTGGGGTCGATCTTCGGGTTTGCATTGATCTTTGGCCTGCAAGAGAGTATGCTTCCCACGGTTTCGTGCGCTGGTTTGAGATACTTCGACTCTCTCAAATACTGGGCTGAAGGTTTTGCTTGCTCTACATGTATCACATTAGCTTATATGGGGAAGATGCTGCGTTGTTTTCACGGTTTTTGCTACGTAGCACAGAATAATAATTCACTTGTAGCAAGAGGTCCTACCATTTTTGGCCATGTCTTCTTCATTGTGCTCTGAGTCTCGACCGCTCAGCTGGACGTACGGTAGAGTTCAAAGGTTTCACCTGACGCAAATGGGATTCGCAGAGATTATCCTTTTATTTTCCTATTCTAACGCCCCAATTTCTCAACCATCACCCACCATTATGTTCTCAATTACCTGGCGCCCGCATCCAAATTTCTGGCCGCTGCAAATCACTCATACAATTCGTAAGGGTATCTCATTCTCAATCGCAGCATCATATCTTCGACACTCGTCCTATCTTCTCTCCTCCCTGACTGTCAGAGCTCTTGCGGTGCTTATCCGAACTCTTCTTCCTCGAACTCGTCGGTCTCTCAGAATGCTCCCTACTCGAAGCCGAACGACGTTCACGCTCTGTGCTTCTCTGGGACGAGTTTGGACGTCGGTGTGAGGCCGAAGGGTCATCGACCATGGGGTCGTCGTCCAGTTCAATGATTCGGCCCTCGCTGTTGACTTTTGCTTCACGCTCGAGACGGGTCTCGCGGCCGCGTTTATGGCAGTACCAGAAGACGAAGAGGAGGACTGTTCCCAAGGTTAGTACGATTTCAGTTAATATGATTGGGCAAAGGTAAAGGGTGAATACCGAACAGCCCCAAGCTCAACAAGACATTCGTGCCCATGAACGCAGGCCATCTAAGCTTCAGAGCATTCATAATAGTCTTCAGTAATCCAACAACAGCTCCCGGCTTCGTAACCAAATCCTTCAAACTTGTCGGCTTAAGGAAGCTCTTGGCAGCTGCTCCAAATCCTCCACCACTCGCACTCGCACCCGCTGTATTAAGCGCCTGTGCCTCCGTCGCCACAGCCAGCAATTCCGGCGCCAGACTACCCGTCAGCTTCGTCGGCAGCTGTGTAATCAACTTCTGCAAGAAGCTGGGTAAATGATCGTAGCTCTTGGCCAAGGTGCCTTGTGAGTCGTCAAGCAGGTGGACGAGATCGTCGTATGCGGTTGGTACGCCATTGACAAGGTCTTTGAGGATCACTGTGAATTTTTGGACGAGCTCTTGGGATTCTTTGGACATGGAAAAGGCGTTGTTGTTAACAGCGGCCAGGTTGAGGTCGTTGAGAACGCGGATTATGTCGTCTTCTTCTTTCGTGGTTTCGTCGGGTGTTACGACTGGTTTGGGGTTGGGGTCTTCTTTTTTCTGGGGCTGTTAGTTTGAATTGAGAAGTTGGGACCGGGGCAAGAACTTACCTTCTTCGTGAGACTTCGGGCCAGGAACGAGAATCGAGATGCCTTCTTGTCATCGTGCTTCTCGTTCTCCTTTCCTTTGCCTTTGTCTTTCTGTTTGGTCTCCTGCTGCTCGACAGCTAATTTAGTTGTGCCATCCCCAGCTGGTTCAGTCATGCCATTGCCATCGTGAACTACCATCTGCGCCAGATTGTTCATCGAGTCTCCAGCTTCGGGGCCGAATCGAGGTCGTTCAGGCAGAGGTGGCGGTGTGCCCTCCGTAGAGATGACACGGGTGAGAAAGTGCTCATCTTCTTCGCTGATGATGGGCGTTTGTTCTCCATCTTTGGCCTTCTTCTCAGCTTGGTGCTTCTTCACTTTCTTGTAGGTGAAGTATTCCATCATCTTGGCGGTGTTGCTTCGTTATGATCGAGGGGAGAAAGTTGGCGAGAAAGACATTAAGAGGAAATTACTCAGGTCGAGATTTCTTGGACAGGTTTCATTGAATGGGCTGCCAGTGACGCCCCATTGTTCAGCTTTTGTTCGTCTGCATAAGCCACACGTCATTTTTGATACCCCTGCAAAGCAAGATCTCGGCTCCTGTGTCGATCCCTGGAGCGCCACATTCTTATTCAACCTCAGGTTGTTGTTTACTTTCTCTCCACATTCGTCGACTGCCCCTCCGCAACCCCACGTTGTCTCGCATGGGCTGATGTCCACAAAAGCCATGGCCCTGCCCTCAATCAGCATCGCATCCATCGTTATCGGCTTCATATCATTCTCTTTTACACTTGCGATTGTAAGTCCTACGCAAATAACTCTTTTTTTTTTGGCAATCCCGGTAGTGCCGAGCGCAATTCTGTTCAGTCTCTTGGGCGGAAAACTCTCAGAAAGAAATTCTTGCTAGTCGATCGGTTTCAGGGGGTATTTTTACTGGCAATAGCTGACCCAGTTCTTCTCCAGTGGCTTCACGCATTCTGGGACGCCTTCCTAACCCTCGGTTCCGCTCCCAACCAAATCCAAGACGCCCTGTCCGTCCTCCGACAAGGCTTGTACGAAGAACGAGAACACCTCAAACGGAAACGGCGACGAGGAGAGGGTGACCACCCAGGTTCTAAATTGAAGAGTCTATACTACGAAGGCGGACCTACCAGAGTCATAAACGATGCAGTTAAAGACTTGATAAAAGAGTTCAAGAACTATGAGAGGCCTTTTTTAGTGACTCCGCACGAGGGAAGGGAGAAAGAATTGGAGTGGTCGTTTGATGCTACGCAGCAGTATTATAAAAGCGATTTTTGGCACCGGCTGCTTTGGCTAAGAGCGAGGGGACATATTTATAATATTGCCAACCGGCTGGAGAAGGCGCAGATCAGGCGGATTGCGCAGGAAACCACCGAGACCCAATTTATGTTGAGGGATACGATGGGCATGGTGAGAGAGTATGAGAACAGGCTTCGGGCTATTGAGGAGAGACTCCAGATGTCGAGGATTGGGTACTGAGTTGGGAGTTCTAAAACAGGACAATTGGGATTTATTGAGGATTAAGACATGCTGGTTGGGACGCAGTTCACAGGGAAAAACTGGGAAGTCTAGAGGGATACCGTTTTTACGTTATATGAGTACAAAGGGGGTTGTTCTCTCTATGCTAGAGAAACACCTTCCCACGCGGCCGGAAAAGACCGGAAAACTGGGACATTTGGAGGTATCTTCAGAAAACTCCGATCGCGATCGCCTGCTCACTCATCATCCTGCACCAACTCCTTGATCTCCTCAGATCCCAGAACACCACCAGCAAGCATCCCATCCTGCACCGAGACGCCCGCTGAAGAACGCATGCCATTCGTGGCCCCTTTTCCGCTTACGCCACCATCCTGCATCCAGAAATCAACTTCGTCCACTATATCATACACTATATCTTCTACTATCTGCTCATCATATCGTTCACCCACTGCTCGCAGTTTTTGCAGCTTCGAGGTTGTGGGCTGGTCACTTCCAATCATGTCAACCTCGTCGTCTTGGTCCTCGAATCCAGGTGGTGGATACCAGAAGTGTGGACCGAAGTTCACTTCTGCTGCTCCGCCTCGGAATACCGAAACTGCTGGGTAATATCCTAGCATACCATCATCCAACCCCTCTCGGGCTCCAACTTGGGCAAGTGGTTTCGATGCCGGTGGCAGGAAGGCGAAGAGGTTGGTGAATGGTGTGCCAATGAGCTCTCCGTTCTTATAAATCTTAATACTCGAATGCGGCAGTGTTCTCAGAGACGGGCATGGATGTGTTGGTCCTGGATCCTGAGTGTGCCCTGAACTAATTCCTCCGCTCGAAGAGATGACTGGTGAAGGATTCATGAGTTCCTCCAGCTCTTTGACAGCTTGGTACTCAATCTGTTCGAAATAAAGGTGTGCCTTGAATCTGATGGGGACCCGGTCTCGGATAATGTCCGCTCTCTCGATTCCAGGGTTCTCGTCGTCTGTAAGATCGACCGCAGGGTTGTAATTGCCCTCCACAACCTTCCGATGTAATGTTTCTGATGGCAGGTTGATCTCCAGTCCAATCACATCTCCTTCTCTGATATCCTCTCCTGGCGGGAAGAAATCCTTCGGCCGCGACATGTACACTTTCTGGCCTGCCACATCTCGAAGTCCGTAGCTGTAGGCATCAAACCCTACTGGCGCATCTAGCGTAGCTTCTCTTCTTGCCCACCCCATCCGCACATGCCCATTTGCGCTCTCCTCCTGAATATGGCCCCCGCCATCACTTCGTTTCCGCTTTGGTATTCCGCTGGTAATCTTACACTCCCAATACCATCTCCCCTCTCGTACACCCACGTTCGCCTTCGCCATTCTGAACCCTTTATCCGTAGTGACATGCTTTCCAGATTCATCCAAGAACATGTGTGTCGAAGTATCCTCGAAATTCAGTCGTGGCTCGAAGGGCTCGGTTTCTGATTGCCTGTAATAGAGAGAAGCTGGGAAAGCTGGATCAGCAATACAATGCGTGTAATGGAAAGCTTTCTTGTTATACACACTACATTGGTCAGCAATGCCTCTCTAAATCCTTGCAAAACTTACTGGTCCGTCGTCTCATTAAACTGTATCTCCGACCCATCGGGTGCAGTTTTCGCATGACTCGGGATGAAAATCGGACCTCTTGGGGGCTCAAAATCTGTCAACTTGGGCGGAGGCAGCTTATATCGCATAGGAGCCGGCGGCGCCTCATTCTTCTTGCTCTTCTTCTCAGTCCCTGCTTTCGGATCTGGAGTAGCTCTCGCGCTGGTATCTGGCGCAAGGGATCCAGCTTTCGATTCGCGCTTTTTCAGGGACTCCTTTTTGGCTCGAGGTGCCCGTTCTCGTGCCAGAGCTGCTTCATCTTGGGGTTTTGAGGGCTTGAAGTCTGGGTTCAAGGGGGAAGAGACAGTAGGTTGGTGGTCGTCTTCTAGAGCGCGTTTTTGTGGGATGGAGGTGATGGTAGGGGTCGTTGTAGGGGTTGCTTCGCGTTGGGGAGAGCCGGTGCCCTCGGTGGACATATTTGAGAAGCTGTTTGAACGAGTGTGGTCGCCGCTAGGGATGAGGGACGTCGCCTTGGGGCGGTTTCCTACATTTTTGATCTTCATGGCGACCCGATGCGGAAGGGCGCACGGACCAGTGCCCGAGTTGCAGGGATGTGTTTGAGGGTGCTCTCGATGTTCTGTGGAAAAGACTCCATAGAATCCAGACAAGGTTGAAGATTGGAGGATCAAATCGGGATTTTTTGCATCTTGTGGAATTTTGAGTCTGGTCTGAACTGGTGAATATTCTTCAAAGTGGAGGCTGCCAACAGAGCTTAATTCACTTTCACGCGATAAAGTGAGGAGTCAAAGGCGACATGGAAGCCAAACTGGTTAAAGAAATGAACAAGCATCAATTTTACGAAGACCTGACGTTCCTGAAGTCTCTGGAAGAGCTATTGTCGATTGATTGAGAATACAAGGTCTTTCATGCGTATAGCCTCCCTCTTCACCGAGTTGGTGACTTCGAAGCCTGATAGCCCCCAAGTACCAACCAAGCCTTCGAAGCTTCTTCCCTACCTCTTCCTTACAAGGGGGCAATTACTGTGGGTCGCTCAAGTTCTTCAATCTCTCCAATTTCGAAACTGCTCTCAAGACATAACGTAGCAAATATTATTACGAGTTCCGAGGCTCCTCTCGCCTCCTAACAATATATCCACTTCCATTTCATGAGAGTAGTCACGAGTTCACCTGCATAAAACAATGCATTTGTTGCATATCGCAGTGACCATTCACTCGGAGTTGTGGGGAAGCGGAGTGGATCTGGATTGCTGGGACGCCTCTAATTTGCTCGTTTGTGTTGCTGAAGCAGCTGCAGGATCAAATTCATGCAACATGTCAGCATGAACCACAACCTGACTCGAGCCCCCCTATATCATTGCCGACGGATGACATCCAGACAAATGTCCCAAAAACCACTCGAGCATATATCATTTCTATTTCTCCCCTATGTTAAAAGAACGTTGAAGCTGTTGCATCACTCAACCCCAAGTTTCCTAGATTCCAGTTGTTCTCGACCGTGGCCATTTGCGAGTAATGGTTATACGCTTTAGTATCAGTAGTCCCGTGGGACGAAGCAGGGACGGCGTCTCCAAGAAGAACGGAGAAAACTTGATTGTTGTTTGCATAGTTTTCCGATTCATCGAAAGCTAGGCTGTTAGTCGGGGTCGTCGAAGGAGGTCAGGGAACTTACTCAGAAGAACCAAGGTCTTCTTCGTGAAGTTTGCATTACTCAATAGAGGAGTGAGGAAAGATCTTGCCCACTTTCCTGCCGTAGTGACGGAAGTATCGTGGCCATCGTTTGCTGCAGATATTAGCATTTGAAATGGAGTTTCGGAAGACGACTTACTCATATTGGGAGTTATGAATATCCATTGCGGGAGTTGGTTATTGTTCAGATCAGTGTAGAACATAGTGAAATTCTTGATCTTGGCAAGGCGATCCAAGTTGGATGTGACGGAGTCGTAGCTCATGAGTGGACTGTTCATCAATGGGTTAGCTCTCATTCCTACTCAAAATCAGGAAACATACTTATGTTTCCGAACATAGTCATTAGCGCCAGTCTTCTGGTTGACGTAGTCGCCTTCAAAGCCACTGTAGGGCGAGTCTTCTTCATACTCGCTCCAGCTGACTCCTTTAGCTTCAAGCAGGTCAACGATCGTCTTACTAGCTGAACTGATGCGAGTAAAGCTGTCGCCAGTAACGCCGTGAGTAGAGCCTCCCACCGCAGCAACGTAGTTTGGCTGAGATGGATGAGTAATGGCAAGGTAATTGTTGAGCAGGATGCCTTGAGATGCGATCCATTGGAGATTTGCTATCTGGCTGTCAGTACATTCCTCAAAGAGGTACGGCAATTCAACTCACCATCCGCAGCAGCCATCGAGTAATCGGTATTTTCCAGCCCTGGTTCAAAGTCAGTATCTTTTCCCGAATAAGGTCTGGAAGTACCTACAAATCGTCACAAAACGATCAAACGTCTTCCCAGCAATATTGCTCGTCGGACTCTCCGTCAACGCCGTAGCTCTCGCCTTTGCAATTGCGGCCGTCCCAGTCGAAGTATACTGCGTCTGCGCCAACGCAGTTCCAAGCCAAAATGAAAGACAAACCATTGACCACATGTTGAATTACGAATTATTCTCGTTGATCAACAAAAATAAATGTGAAGGGAGAACCTCCGTCTCCACGGACGATGTTGAAGTCATTTATGCTTAAAAATTACGCCATCACCCTTTTCCAACCCGCTCCACCACTTAGCCCATCATCACTTTCTCCTGCCGACGACTCAAGTATTTGCACTTGGAGAGTCATTCCCCAGCTCCTTGATTGGCCCTCCTATTTGAAAGTTTTATGTATACCCATGCTCTATCCGTTTGAGTTGACAACAAGAATTCGGTTCGGCGACGTGGGCGATCACTATCACAGAAGCGCGGGGGTGGATATTCAGGGGCGTGGAGCTCGGATTGGTTGGGGTGCGTTAAAGTGCCGCCGGCTCTGCCCTTGTGCTGAACATGTTGTGCATTGCATAAGTGGCCCACCTTCCGTTTTTGATGGTAGCGCAGGAGAGGAGGGGTACAGTCGGGTGGGAAGGCCCTGAAGGGAAGGACGAGATGAGAAGATCTACGGGAGGGGCACCAATGAGAGAATTGGTCAATTCTCTGTGCTGATAGAAAGTTATCTTCTACTCGAGTGCAAAAAGTCACTTCTAGAACCGACTTCCTCGAGCCTCGGATCAGCAGATGGGTGGGCGTGACGAAGGCGGAGGTCATCCGCAACGGGACCCCTGGTTTGGAATTGTTGTCATTTCTATACATTAGATGGTATTCTATGTTATACGTCATATTACACAACATCTCTCTTCGGATCAGACCGAGCAAATCACTTCTTTCTATACATGGCTCTCGCTTTGAGCACCGCTTCTTCCAATAACCCATCCTTTGCTGCCAGCTTCGCCAAAATAGGTCTCAATATGGAGCCTTCACATTCCCCCACTTCAATCACGCCCTGAGATCTTTCAATAACCTCGTCTCGTTTGCGGAAGTTGATTCCAGGCGTGATAGTTGCACAATTGTATTGTGATTCCGCAGCTCGAATCGCGCAGATTTCTTGAGTTTGGCAGGTGCCTGTGCAGGTGGTAGGGAAGTAGCCCCTTGTTTGTCGGTTTTTATAGTCTTGGAATGCGGTGGGGCTGGTCTCGAAGACGGTGGTGAGGTTGTGCCAGAAAGCTGGGGTCAGCTCCGCAGCTGGATCCGTGAGAGGTGGTGTGACGAGGGGGCCGTACGCGTCTTTTGCGGAATAGTATTTTGTCCAGACTGGACCTGTGGTTTGGTAGTTGGGGTCAGAGAGATTGGCGATGTAGGTTGTCACGTCGAGAACACCGTAGGTGACGGGATCCTGTGGTCCCAAGTCAGCTTTACTATCATGAAGCTTGCAAAATGGAAGCCAACTTACAATTGAGTAGACGCGGAATGCTGGATGTCCGGAAGTTGGCGTCATTGACGGACAGATGTAGGAGGTCTCGAGAGCATTTGAGTAGGACTGTGCTGTGTAGTTGCTGTAAGCAATCTGAAATTGATCTGTATGAGTGTGTCCTATCTCAAGTTAGTATTGTCAAAAAGTCTAAAGAGTGGAAGCAACATACCCCAAAATTCAGCAGCGATAGTAGCTGAATAGCGATTCACGATCTGGCTGTAATAATTCGAGGCATCTCTAAATGCATCTCCCATACCCATTGGCATGTGTCCAATAATGTATGCTCGTTGGCCAGAATTCTCGGCCGCTTGCAATTCGCTGACGAGCCAGGCAAATTGGCCACTTGGATCGGCCTCCATGGTTTTCTCATACAACCAGTAATTTCCCCCATAGTACAGATTCGTGTTGATTGAGATCACGCGCAGATTTCCGTTGATCACAGAATAAGCACCAAATTTATCCGCTGCTGAAGCAGAAGTAGAACCAATCCATTGACTCCAGTCAGCGGACAGCGTGTCATAAACCCATTGCTCAACATTGTTTTTAAGGGCCGTTGGAGGGAACGCATTAGTAGGTGATGATTCATGATTCCCCACAACGCCGTAAACTGGGGGAAGGCCGGACATTCTCGTATAGGCGTCGTTGATGTCCTTGATATTCTGAGTTTGGTTCGTCAACCAAACCGCGTGGTCCACAATGTCTCCAGTGAAGAGTGTAAACGCGGCATTAGGAGCAATTTGCTTTATCGCGGCATACATGCTATCCTCCAGGCTGACTGGAGCATCGCATTTCGTGTTGCCGTATGGTCCAGCTGGATATTTGTTGTTACCTGGCGCTTCAGCAGAAGTGTATGGTCTGCAGCAAATTGGTTTTGTACAGTTATAGCTGGCTCCAGTCTCATAGAACGGATCAACGTGAATGTCGCTGAAATGCACCACTTGGATTGGAAGTTGTCTGCTCACGACTGGCCTACTGGTTGGAGGCTTTGGTGAGGGAAATGGAACGGTATATGGAGTAACAGGCGGGTAGGGACAGAGACCAAAGAATGTGATGCAGAATAACTGGGAGGTATGAGACGGTATCGACATCGCTCGCAAATCTTGTGCAATGATGGGTCCCTCCAACCCAACGGCTCCCGTGCAAACATCCTTGTCATCAGCCTGGTCTATCGTCAGAATTCTTCAGTTTGATATTGGGATGATGTTACTGACCTTTGCCAGAATACAAATTTCCGTCAGCGTTTTGACAAAAATTGTGTTGCCTAGCGCAGCAAGAAGTTTGAGAATATCTAGCACTGCCTGTGACAACCCTGGTGTTAGAAGAAATTCAAGATCGTCTCTCCACTTCCCTGTGACAAAACATTTCCTTTTTTGGTTGGACAGGTTTTCTGACACTTGATAAAAAGGGCCTCGGAGCATATTTGAACGCCAATATAAAGAATGTACAAAGGTTATAACAAGCTGAATTGACGTACATCACATCCCGCACAACTTGCTGCGGATTCGATCTCTCCCAAAATTGTACTTGCAAGGTCCCTGTTCTCTATTGCAGCCGCAGACGTTAAAGTCAACGCCTGGAGGCACCAAAGGAATGCGTATGATAACTTCATCTTGAGCAGCTGGGCTGAAACGTGCCGTTCTTGGATAGAGAAACGCGAACAACAGGGAAAAGTCCACGTTCGACTTACTTATATACTACTACCTACATTCTGCCGTCTAGATTCTCAATCTCGGGCGTGACAAGCATCAGTCGAGTTTAGTTTGCAGGTGATGTGGGGAGTCCTTGTCCATGTGGTCCTTTGGTTTCGGGTATTGGCTGCAGGCGCTGAACCAACCGACCACAATCTCAGGGACCTACCCCGCGGCCCAATAAGGAAGCTGAACAGCCATCACAAGAAGCCTTCATCTATACTCCTGTTAATACCCACAGTGATTCGATCGGAGCTTGAGCAGGCTAATGGGGCATTGGCCTCGGCGGCTTCGGCGCATGTCATGCAGGGGGCGGGAGTGATCCTCAGGGTGGGGAACAGCCAGCTGTTCAGGAACACAGGTGTGGGTGGCGACCAAACGAAGAGTCTTTACACGTTGAAAGGTGTTGAGAAAAGGTCCTTCGCGTTTCTGAAGTCGTGTATTCTCATCGACTGCAGCTTCTGCGTCCATGGGGCTCGTTGAGGAAACTGCAAGCTGGTCTTTACTCCTTTTCGAAGGCAGGAGGGGCAGCCTCGTGCGGAATACGAGATGTCTCGGTCAGCCGGGGTCGAAGCATGTCGCCACAAAAGCTAGGGAGCCCCTTAAGACTTGATGGGGGCGGGGAGAGCTGTTCGATGGGTTTCACGCGCCTGGTAAAGTTCTTGGTGGTTGAGAGGAGGGTGTGATGGTTTTGTGTGACCAATGTTTCTGGGGGACGTTTTCCGAATTTGGGCCATGCGGCCGCTAACTCGGCACGGAACACTCGCCTAATCTTAGGGGTTCAGGGGGGCCAACAAATCACAATCAAGAATCATGGGGGAGAATTAAGGAGAGGCTCGAGTGGACCAACTTCTTGGAAATATAAAAAAGAAAGGCGAGTGGCTCTCTTCGGAGTGGTCCTCTCTCCGTCTTTAATTTCACCCATTTAGCTTGCCGTTCTTCCCCTTGTTTAGCTCTTCCAATGTTTGGTTTCCCAGGCAAGTGATCTCGGGCCACTGGTCCGAGACTCAATTTCCAGCACTAGAAGTTGAAGTGATTCAAGTTGCGGATCTTGGATTTAGATTTCATAGGCGGAGCCGCTTGGGCTATGTAGAGCTTGGGAAAGGGGAATTGTATGACCTCTCGCACGCGATAGATTTTCTGGGATCACCAAATTATCTTTGGGCCGGTTTGGAATGGACTCTGCCTGTATGGTGATCTCTCTTGCCCCGCTCTTACCTTTTTCCAGAGGTGCGAGTTTCCAACGAGGATTATGTGGCTCCGGAAAGTCCGGATGCAAAATCTTACATACCGAAACACCCATCCTCGCTCCTTCTTCGGAATCCAAACCTTCTCAAGCGCTTCTCTAAAAACATCTTGGAAGTACACATCCAGGCGAAACCACCAAGCTTAACGATCCCGCGGTCGATCCAGAACATGCACCTGTACTTCATCCACACGAACCCAGTGGGTTACTGTTAATCCAAAGATGATTGCCATTGGGCTTTGGGAAATCTCCCAGCGTGATGACACCATCCACCAAGTCAATCTCCAAAAATCCTACGAGCTTCTGCCCTTTTGCCCGATCCGTTTACATCACCTGGTCGAACACAGATTCTGCGCCTCGCCCTTTCATCTCTTCCGTCTCAGATGCCTTCACATCCCAAATGTGATCCAAGCACATCTTCAGGAAGACTTCCTCATTCCCATCTACTTGGTAGCCGCCATAGATAGTTTTATGGTCCTCCTTGGCCTCCCATAATTTGGCTTTGGCATGCTCTCCAACCACACATGTTCGTTCTGCTCAAGCTCAAAATAATCCTTGCGTCTGCGTATTTTCTGCTCATTCCGGTATAGACTTGTGGGAGACACCATGGAAAATTCTCAAAGGCCATATACTCTTCGGACATTGGGGTAAGGGAGCGAAGATTTGGTGTGGGTAACAGGGCCTGGCGAGACAAGTATTGAGACCATATACCAAGCCACCCAGAGCGAATGTAGTTGACAAATTCCAAGGTATCACCCAAGGAGGTTGTACCTGGTTTTGAAAGACCTGTGACGAAAATCTCTGCTTTAGAAGATGTGGTGTGGTCGGCTGGAGGAGCGCCCATAGCCGCGAAGCACAGCCCATGGATCGGGAATAAATGAATTATGATACGCATTGGAAACGTCGTGGAAATGATAGATTTCCTTTGAAACCTCTTCCTGGATGTTCGGCGGGCTGACCGTATAACCCAACTTTTGTGATATACTTGTCCAGCGTCTGGGGAGGTCTGTTCTTCATTACGTCGGCATCACTTCTCTACCCATCCTTGCGGAACGTCGTAACCCCCTCACCAATCAAGGATATATTCTACGCTAACGCATCTGGCTACCACGGAATTTTGCTTGGCCTCCTCGTCGAATCGCGTCCCAAAGTGGAAAGCGTGTCTTAGAATACACTCACCCGGGCCTGCTCTTGCTGCTTTAGTCTGGTCGATCAATGTGGCATACGGAGAGGCTTTCCATTCCTGCAACCTTCTGCTGTCTTTCTCGCTTCAGAACTCCGTGCAAGAGAATATTTGTCCTCGGCTTTCTTGCACTTGCGCTTGTTTTGATTTCTTTGGAGTTCGGCACAGCGTGCAAAGAAAATTCTTTTAACAAAACCCTATCTTCGACAAATTCTTGAATATCTTTACTTTCCGCGGTGTTTGAAACGTTTTCTTACTCGCTCTTTGCTTTTGGGTGTTGTTGAATCACCGTACCATTGAAAGGACGTATCATCTACATCACTATGAAAGACGTAACCCGCAAAGGAATCTCGAAACCATTATTCTCATACTACTCCTTATTAATCCACATATCTATTATCATCTCCTCCCTTCGCGCTTGTTAGGCTATATTGGAATTCACGAAAAATCTTTAGCAAACTGCGCTCAAAGCATGGAAGACTCCCATCTCAATCATACCATGCCCCAAATTCAAGGTCTCTTCTTCAATCTCACTTACAAGCACTGCCTCCTCAGTCTCCTAAACATCGCTTTCAAGGACATCTAGCGAGAAAGGGATTATTGGGACTTTGCCACTGAAAGTCAGGGTGGTTTGGAGCCGGAGTCCAAGCGATACTCATTCCGAACTGCAAGGAAAGGGTCAACGGACTCTGTGAAACTCTGGATGTTCTAGCTTGCCACCCTCAAGCGAAATACTCCTACCATGTAAGTTCATATTACTCGCTGGAGACTGGTGCGAAAATATTTAAATTGACGCTCCATAGATATATCTCGCCATGGAGAAGCGCGAGGTCAGAGCCGAGATCAAGGCTACCCACCGGATCAGCAAATTTCAAAATAGCTTCATTGCATTACGGCAGCCTACCAACCGAGTGGAGTTTCTGGAGAGAGTCCCGGTAAGAGTCGCAATTTGAGCTGGGCAACTCGAGCCCCAAGTTGCAAGTACCCTGCAGAAACAAGAGCGAATGTGATCATCACCAGCATGATGGTAAGTCTCCCTTACTCTCGTCAATTGGAGAGTCTCTGCGACACCCCCCCGTGCAACCCTGAAGATAAATTTATCAGATTGCTCAACCCGCGGTTAAGGCCTTGTTTCATTGCTCTTGTGCTTCTTCCCTTACCAGAAGTACCGCCGGATTTGCGTCAAAACGCGTCAAAGTGAGATGTAGGCCGCTAGTTTTGCTGATAGGATGCGAGGGAGTTTTAACAAGAGATCCTGGAAAATGTTGTGGAGTTATCTGGATTCCATTCGTTGCAACGTTCTATCGCTCGATCCCGGCGATTCATGCTCAGCTGTCGCATTTTTGGCATCTGGATCTCCTTCACGTTGTTAGCAATAAGCCGGTGAGCAACAAGGCCGAAGCGTGATGATTATGGCCGCAGGTCTTCCGAGGCTACTGGGTATATATTCCTGCGACTCTGGTCTTCATGCCTTTCTGCTGAGTTTAATGGTGTTGTTTAAACTTCTACGAATTAACGGAGGGTGATACTTTAATCCTGGAGCAGCATTAAGTGGGCAGCAATATGATACACCATAACATATTTGCTTTTGTTTCCGAGTCGTTGTTCGGCTGCCCCCTTATTGCTCGCTTAGCAAAAATCATGAATCATTATTCTCCTCAAATGATATTACTTGCCATTGCATCTATGTACTGTCCTGACGAATGTTTGGATCTTGGTAAGTTGGTTTCATTGCATGTTCGTTTGCGAGGTCACTAAATAGCATTGCGTGGTTGGTTTATAGCACAAGCCAGAAATGTGGTTGATGGAGTGAAATTCATTCATCCCAAATGGGACGGTAGATTGGTTGAGAACTGTATTTTCGATATGCTTCACCGGAATTTCCTGTCACGCCAATACCGCAGCCTAGTAAGTGTGTCGAATGTCGTATGCCTCCCTTTTGTTTATCAAATTTACAGCTCCTTCTTCGTCTCTTTCGTCTCGTTGGGGGCGGCCTGCTTGAGTAAGTTTTACTCTTCAACCAGCAAGGAGAACTTACCTTGGCGATATACTGCTTTCCAACCGCAATCGTCTCGGCTTGGCTTGGTTGACGCTGCCAGAATTTCTGCTCAGCAGTGCCATGTACTTTGAGAGGTCTAGCCTCTTCTTCCAGTGTGTTTCTGCTGATCTTTTCTCCGGCTGCAATTCCACCCGCCGCCGCCTTCCCAGCGGCTTCCTCGCCAATGCTTTCTTGAATATATTGCCTTCCAAAGTTAGCACCTGCAAGGTTCAAACACAAATTTCTAACTTACTTCCTGACGATAAACCTCTCCGCTCTCTCCTTCTGCAAGCCTGGGCTATCAATCTTGCTCAATATCGTTCTCACAGCTATTTTCACGCCAAGATAGATATGTTCTGAAAAGAACATAGTCAGAAGCAGACCCCATGCTTTGATGTTCCATGGCGCCCCGTCAGGCCCCAGCCCATCTCCACTGAAAAGGTAGACGAGTGCAGAGGAAGTCAAGCTGCCGAGCCACGACAGAAAAGCTAGGGAATCTAGCCACGGGCCGATTGAATCTGCTCTCCAAGGAACAGGTCTCTGGGTCTCCAGGGCTATTTTGAGGGCGTCACCACGAAGTTCAATCCAGTTATTGATGAAAAAGGAAACTCCCGTTAGCGGCCAGACGACGGAGAACAGGGAAAGATAGCCTGGTAATCATTAACACTCCTCGACAGCCTTGAGATCTACTACTTACCAAACTGAACAATCATCTCCCGGAAGTCCGAGGTAACGTCATAGGCACCGAGCTCGGCTTCATTCCTGACTCGGACAAGGAAGGCGGATTCCTCGGGGTGGTCATCGGCTGTAGGGCTAGCTGGGCTCCCTCCTTTCTTTGCAGCTCTGTCGGCTTGAACCTCTTTCACCTTGCGGAACACACTTCGCTTAACATATGGCATAATGACTTCGAGAGCGAAATTGACTATCTGTGCGGTGACTGTGAAGTAGATGATCTGCTTCTTCAATCTGTCTGGATTGATTTGGAATCCAATCTTGGGCGCCGTCATCTGTTTCTCGTTCTCCGCGAATGGCTTCACAGCTAATTGAAAGACATCTAAATGAGGCACGATAACTTGTGCGAACGGCACGTAGACGAATGCCGTGAGGAATATCGGAAGGTAAGAGGTGATGAAGTTGAGCACAAAGATTTTCTGGACCATCGCAGCTTCATATGCTATACAAAGTTAGGAGTTTCGCAGGCAGCCCCAGGTTATAACTCACAATCTTGAGTTTCGTAGTTCTCCAGATCTGTTAATTTGCGTGCGAATCCCGTGAGAAGTGCAGATAGCGTTGGCATCACAGTAGTGAGAATGACGGTTGGGAGGAAAGTCTACATATATCAGTAAGTACCTCAAAATTCCATTGGCTTGACTTACCAGATATCCTTTGAAAGGACCGTCATAAACTTCTGAGATGAAGATTTCTATGGCGAAGCAGCCTGCAATTAAACTGCCAAGAACAGTTGCCGCTGCGATCGCAAATGGAACTTGCAATAACTGTCTGGCCAGTCTCTTTACGGGAGAGTAGACTTTGATCTCTTCTCCAGTGATTGGATCGTTCACCACGTTCTCGTGCTGGAACTCTGGTCGCTTGTGTTGAATTTTCGATACACCTCGAACTCCCCATTGAACTGCCAGATCAGTCTCTTGCTTCTTCCAATATTCAATGAAGATTATCCCCCAGAGTGCATTGATAATAGCGTATAGGGCGGAGAATTGTCCCAGAAGAATCCAAGCACAGAACCCAAATCCTGCCGGGAAGATGAGGAACAAGAAATAGGACTGCAAGAAAGCAAAGTAAAATGCAATCTTCTCCCCAAATCTGTCCCTAATCTCAACCAAATCTTTGGAATTGAGAAGGTACTTTGACGTTAACTCCTTGATCCATCTCTTGTTAAAAGTATGGTCATGTAGAGCAAATATCGACTCGACCCCTTTCCACTCCCCCGTTCTCGGTGTGATCCCAGCGCCGCCTTCGTTCTTTGGCTTCGTGATCAAGAGATATGCGAGTCTCAGTCGTTCTGCTTCGGTGACTGGCTCGTCGGTGAGGGCCTTCTGCATCTCCTTCTCTGGGGCAGCCGTCCGGACTCCATATAACCAGTCTTGTACCCTCGACCTGTAAACCTCTGCTTCCAAGTGCCTGTCCGAAGCCACCTTGACGAATACTAACACCGCACAATTGTCTCCATTTCGAACTTCGGTAGTTAGCCCAACGTCGTTGAGGGCCTGGATAAGCTTCACGAATTGAGCCTCGGCTTGGGGTTTGGCTGTGGAAAATAAGTAGACGCCTTGCAAGACAAAGGCTCTGGAGCTTACGAGTAGTTGCAAAGCGGTAGTCAATCACATAGTCAACACTTGTAACAAGTCAGCACATGTCTCACGCAAGCTTTTGGAGGGGCCTACTCGAAATTTGTGTGCAACGCGTTCCCTAAATCTGTGTTTGGGTCATAAAGAGTCTTCAAGGATGCCATGGTGAAGTATGCGATGCTCCCAAGTTAATCGAATCACCTTCAGAAGTGAAGATGACCAGAGTGAAGAGGAAGAAAGAAAAGCAAAAGTTGGCATGCAGGCTACATGCTTTTGATATGCGTGACAGCTATCAGGATTGTCTCAGTTCGTCATGACGTCGCTTAGAGGGATTTTGACCAGGAAGCTGATCCCTGCTGCAGATCCCCGCTAATGTCTCCAACAGCAGCAATCAACCCCTCCATACTTTGCAAACAGCTTTGCCTGCCTCGCCGGCGTTTGCTGACCTGTCTGCAAGGCTGACGCTGGTCAGACTCTGCAAAGCCAATGCCAGCGTGTTTATTTCTTCCTCTGGAAGGATTTTGATAATTTACTACCACAATCTTTGACAGATCCTTCCCAATCTACGCTCAGTACATGAACAGCGTGTCCAATTTGAGTCAAGACTATGCCGCCCAACCAAAGCAAGCCGTGGCCTTGGTCTCGTCGGAAAGTGATCTGGGACCCTCCCACCGCCTTCGACCTGTTCCTCGACTCCCCTTTACGAGCTCTCATCCATTTCATCTACGCCATCTTCCTCGGCCTTCGTGGCGCACCATTCAAACCTCCTCGAAACAAGCCCAAGGTCAAGGTTGTCTGCATCTCTGACACACATACCAATACCCTCTCTGTGCCCAATGGCGACGTGTTGATTCATGCCGGAGACTTGACGAATAATGGTACTGTTGAGGAGATACAAAAGCAGATCGACTGGCTCGCCTCTCTTCCTCACCGCGAGAAGATCGTTATTGCAGGTAACCACGACAGCTACTTTGATCCCAAGTCCCGGTTTCCACAAGATAATGGCAAGAAATTGAACCTCAGGACTCTGCATTACCTCGAGAACAAGGCTATCACGTTGAAATTCAAAGGTGGTCGGAAGTTGAATTTCTATGGCGCTCCTGCTATTCCGAAGTGTGGAGGGTCTAACTTTGCGTGAGTTTTCTGCTTTGTATTTGATTCAAGCTCTAACGTAGCTGCAGGTTCCAGTATGAGCGGACAGAGGCACCATGGCAGAACCGCATTCCACTCGAAACCGACGTCTTGATCACCCATACTCCTCCTCGATACCATTTGGATATCAATCTCGGCTGCGCAGCTCTGCTCGAAGAGATATGGCTTGTCAAATCCCGGCTTCACGTCTTTGGACACATTCATTCTGGTCACGGCCGCGAAGCAGTATTTTGGGATGAAGGCCAGCGTGCATATGAGAGACTTATGAACAGGAAGAGGGGAGGCATCCTATTGGATATCCTTCCTAGCATGGCTTGGATCGATGCGATGAAAGTACTTTGGCATGGCATAAAAGGAATCCTTTGGCAACGACTGATGGTCGGTCCCGCCGGTGGAAATGGTGGGATGATGATCAATGCCGCAGTGGTCTACCAGAGTACCACTGAGGTGGGCAATCCTGTGGAGGTGATCGAACTATGAGGGTTGGGGGACCAGAAATTATGACTGAAGATACTAATGTAAAAGGTCAAGATTTTACACCTCCAAGCTGCTCCGGTGCTGGCCTACTGGCAGTCGATGGTGCTGGCGATAGAATAGTCCTTCAACTCCATCCATTCGGAGAAACCTCATGACGACCAATTATTCGACTTCATTTAAAAATTGCCAATATGTACCAAGTGGCAGACTAACTCTTCATGGCAGGCAAGGTCATTTTCAAAATTTGGTACCGCCGAGAGGACTTTTCTCATAATTGCCTAGTCCTCCCGCCAAAATAGGGACCATCTACTCTAATATATTTTCTTTGCTTTTGCATATTCTCTATCATTGTCCGACTTTTCCGTTCATAATTTACTTGCTCAACTTCGAAAATGGATAAGAGTCGTCTCGACCTAATCTCTGGCTCGCCACTGCCTGACTTTATCCTGGATCGTCTCCTTTCTAGCAATGCAGGCAACGTTGAGAAAACGCACGAGGACAAAGGTGCGTCTTAAATATATGTTAGGCTTGAGAATAATACTGACTGACGTCAAGAAATGATCCCTTTCCATCCATCGTCTGCCGATTCCGTGCAATTCTGCAGGTTTCTTGACCTTCCCATCGAACTCCGCCTGATGATCTGGCGATATCTGCTTCCGGATGGATGCTATGTGCAGCTTCGTGCACCCTGTCATTGTACTTCGTGCCCATCCCAGCGTACCTGGGGGGTGGATCGCCAATGGCGTCTCCCAAACCCTGGCGGCCTTCTCGGACTGGGGAAGACCCGTCGTGACAAGCAGCCCGGCCCGTCAACATTGAGAGTCTGCAGAGAGGCCCGAAAAGAGACACTTCAGCACTACATCGCTCTGTTTGAAGACGATTGTACATTCACGACGGTATATTTCTCACCGAAATGGGATATCCTAAGCTTAGAAAACTGCATCGGGCCTTTTGTCAAAGAACTGCACGGCTTTGCTCCTAAATTGAAGGAGCAACTAAACATAGTAAAACGAATCTCCTTTGGAGTGGGGGACAGCTCTCGTCGGAATAAACGTGATGGAGTCGTCGAGTTCTGGTTTTGTTTTAAAGGTGTTGAAGAGGTTATTTTGAACCGTTACCAGCATCATCCGATCGATACAGTTGGCATCCAAAAAAAGCTTCAAAGATATAGAGACCGCTTGGCGGAATGGCAGAACTCGCCAAAGTGCCCCAAGAATGCAATTAAGACGATTAAGGTCCTCACTTTCGATCACGTGTTGCACGAATTGCAACCCACCGCCGCGTCTTGATGGTCGTTTGGAGTTCAGGGTGTTCTCGGAGACAATATCACTGGAACCAGAATAGATGTTTGTAGGGGGTCTGAGGAATGGCTGGTGAACATGTTGGGGCGAGTGGGAGGAGAGAGATTGGCGCGGAATATAGTTCAATCTGAGCAGGATATAGAGAGAATCAGACTGTAATTCATACAAACCCCGAGAGTGCTCTCTGTACCGTGGAAATGGCGGCCAGATTATTACATGATATTTTTGGAAGGTGCCAAGTGGCAGATATGACGCCTAGTTGCGATGAAGATTGCCGTATCTTCAAAGTTTGGGACCAGTGAGAAGAGATTTTTCTGTTTTGTGCTTAGTACTCCCATAACAGCGGTGCACGATAAATATGTCCTCATTTCAATTCTCCTTTTCTTGACCTCCTTGTGCTGTGCTGCATGAAGAGGCGATTATGAGCTTTTCGTTGCTTAAATTGAAGTGGCGGCGGTAGAGGCGAAGGAGGCGAAGGAGAGGATAAGCCATGCAGCGACAAAGTTGACGCAATGCTCGTCCAAGCAGTGCAAGCAGTGCAAGATGAAAGAGTTCAGGTAAAGCAAAACGATGGAGGCGAGTTTTCAACGTTAAAATTTGAGCCAACACTGAGAAAACAGTTAGTGATTGGCTCATTGACTCCTCCAACAGCTCCAGTACAATTTCATAAATTCCCGAGCTTCCTTGAAATTCATCAAATAATCCAGCAATATCTGCTTCCAGATGAAGGCTACGTACGACTCCAACCACCTCCACTTTGCACGCCGCCCTGTTCCCCGATTTGTGCTCCCGAGGGGATGAATGGCGCCTGTACGAGTATAGGGAACAGGGGCACAAATCCAAGCAACTCTCGCACCAGACACATTTGCAAACAGCCGGGGGCAGAAACATTGAGAGTGTGCAGTGAATCGCGCGAGGAGACCCTTCGACATTATTTTCCTCTTTTTCAAGTGGATTCGCAATTCGTCCCAACATACTTCTCACCAGCTCGAAATGTTCTAAACTTAGCAGCGTCCGTTCGGAAGTTTATTAAAGTTTGCCTAGATTATTATCTCCTGAGACGCAAGAGCAGCTCCATCTCGTAAAGCGATTCTGAATATATACTACACACTGGCTGTTCGAGTGCTGTTGCCGCCCACACATCGGAGTCTCTTATCTCAAAAAGGGCTTCTGGGACAGTTTCAAGGGCGCTGAAGAGCTTATTCTCTTTGGCCTGCATCACAATGAAGCTAAAGTCGATACAAAACTTCAAAAGTCCAGGGCGATCTTGGCACGTTTGTACAAGGAGGCATCTTTCCTCGTTCCAGTCAAGACATTCAAGCTGCTCTGCCACTTCAGAATATATATGTGGCACACAATCAGAGCCCGTGCTTTCTTGGCGGCGTTGGCGGCGTTGGCGCTTAAATAATACAATTACTTGGAGGTATTATTCATCGGACAAGGAAGATAGCTTCAGCAGATTCGATAAAATTGGGCGACGGGGAGGGATTGGATGGAAGGATAGAAGTCGCCGCCAAATCCAATCAACCTCGAGCATCCTTCTGAAGCAAGGTTCGAAGCTTGGTACACTAAACTTAGATTCAGCCGAGCCATTTTTAGCACCTCGGATTTCGAATAGCTATAGCCTGTGGGGACGACGGATTTTCTCTCCCTGGATTTAGTTGATCGGAAGATTGTTGTCGGGACCCAAAATAATGTGCTTAGCTAGGCTGAAGGTTAATCGAGCAGCCTCTGATGAGGCATGTAGGACTGGCTGATGCTGTTGATTATCAAAAGGACTACCTGGTCAACGCTAACCTAAGAAAAAATAGGGGCAAGGCGGGAGCCGAGTTCGAGAAGCGAGGGTGGGGCTTTACGGGAGTAAAGGGGCGGAGCTGGGGAGGATGCACCAGACACCATTGACCTCTCCTCGATATTTCAAGCTTCAATTAATGGCTCAGATTGCTGGGATACTTGGTGGTAAAGCTTTGATCACTCCCTAATCTTGTGAGAACTTCACCACTGGAAGGCTTGGCTTGATTGTTGGAACCGACAGGCGGATTCGGCTTCTTCTGAAGAAGTCTATCGCAGATCAGGGTTACTTGAAAAAACCGATTCATTCACTATGCAAGGAGCTGTTTTTGATTGATGTGGCGAATTTGATCAGTGGCTTTTCCAATGCCCCACGATCTCAAACGGATGCCGGCTGTGGCATTCCTGGCTTCATGTTGTAGCTACGGATGAGCTTAATGTCAGCACTTCCTAACAGCCAAGATGTTTAAGAGTTGGTAGAGATGTTCACGAATTCCTTATTCAAGAGGCATACTTCGAGTCAAGGCACAGCTCGACGAGCTTGTAAAAGCAGACAATAGGGGAGAGAGAATGTCCTTACGCAATTCGACCAGCAGGCAAAAAGAACATGGCGACGAGGGCTCCTCCGCGAACCTGCGGATACTAGAATCACGAGTCAGTCTTTGATTGGAAATGCATAACTGCAGAGATATTCGAAAAGGAGAGAAATAGAGAAAATAGCGCCGCATACATGATGTGTTCCCGGACCAGGACTCGTCCATCCTGCCCCCTGCCAACCCGACATGCCTTTCAACTCAGCCGTCTTATCAAGCTGCACAACGCAGTTGATCTCTCCATACGGATGCACGTGATACTGTCCCGAATACTCCTCCTCACTATCCATATACACAGTCGTGATGCTGAAATATCGATTTTCCGGAGAAGGGAGACAGATCTTGCTGCGGCGATACTTGGGCCCGTCGACTTCGATGTTGGCGACCCAACCTTCGGAGAGACCTTGCCGGATGCAGGAGCACATTTCTTCGTAGTAGAGGCTTCCGGGTCCGTATTCGGTGTTGAGCTTTGCTTCGAGTGCTTTACCGGGTGTGCTGTACATGTAAGATAGGGCTATGTATGGGGGAGAGAGGGACGTACAGGTTGTCAATTTCGCTGAAGAATTTTCTACATGTTGATAAAAGTTTCTTGGCCGTGGGGTGAACCTCGACATCGACTTCGGTATCCAGCCCGCCACTATAAGCGTCCATGCTGTCGTTCTGGTTCAAGTGTTGAGGAATGAAGGTTTTTGTGTGTGATATTTGAATCGATTCAAAGCCCAAATTCTGAGATATGTCAACCTTTGAAGTGCGTCCCTGTGATATTTCTAAAATTTGTAGCCAAGTAGCTTACTGCGGAGGTGCTTTAGCAGCTATTTTCGGGATGCTACACGGCATTTAGCTGCAGCACTAGCTTGGCGGACCCCGCCATTGAGAAGCCGGCAGGGACTTTAGAGATCAACATGCCTCGCATGTGGCTCACTTCGCATAGACATGGTGCCAAAATGGATACACTTTGATGTCTTGCAAGGAATCAATGAAGCTTGAATGGGAAGACAAGGGATACATTTCGTGCCACGTAGTTCAAGTGTCTATAGAGTTTGTAAGCACATTTTATGGAGTAAATAGGTCAGTCTCCGAGCTGATTCTACGCCAGTGCGTAAGGCTTATTTCATGGAAACGTCCAACCGGACCATTCCTTCGAGCTCTGGTACTACATGGGCGGAATGATTGCAGTGGAGCAAAGCACAGAATCCAGCTAGTATTTTACGTGTGACATGTTTGTCAATATTGCCAGTGTTTCCTCGACCTTCTCCTCTTCAAGGCTGCGAGACATCACCGTGGCTAGCCTTTCCACAGTTTGTGTTTGAAGCTATGAACTTGCTGACGGAAAACCAAGTTCAAGTCGGGTTTCCAAGATCTCCCCTGATCGATTTCATTTCACACCCCCAGCCAGCAGGCACTCACCCATATCCCTCCTATTCTCCTGAAATTTAGCTCTGCAATAAATTGGATAAAGCTGGCAAAATTTGTGCTCGCACTCAAGGAAACTCTGGGAATGCTACATACAGTACATACTATGAGAATAAGACAAGACGTGCCTAAATTTGCCAAACTCAACACAGATGAGTTAACATTTAGCAAGAGAGTATTTAAAATTTGGGCCACTTAACAGGATTCCGATAACTAGATAAGGTAGTGGTGGTGGGCTAGCAACATGAGTTCACATGTCTCCCACGCGTTCGTCAAGCCTTGCTCGTACTAAGCCATATATCTATCCAGGAAAGCTAAATCGCGAGGAACACGCCGACTTTGACCTACTGTGCCCACTAAGGAGGCTTGCCTTGGAGAAGAAAGAAGTTTGCGTTCCCTCTTTGCATTTTCTGCGTGCTTCGTCCTTGCGTCTTATGTTCTCCCTCCACCTTGGAGTGGGAGAATTCGACGATCAACCATTAGTAGATCAGAAATCTGGCACAAAAACGAGATGGAGCAAAGTTGGCCCGTTTCTACAACATCTTCTTGCATCTCTGATGACTTCATGTTGTCTCCCTGATGTTGCGAGGTCCAGTCGGATTGCCACCAGATCACTGCGACCACGTTGGTTGTTGTAGCATGTTGTGAGTTTGGTTTGGTTTAAATGATGATGACGATGATGAGGCATTCGAGAATAGTTATTTTAGCTCCATTCTAGGTGCGAAAACACAGAAGTGCCTGGAAACAACAAGGGGATTCTTTGGCGTGCAAGGTCGTCAACGCTATCAGATCATGTCAGGCCCAAAGCCATTGCTGATTGGAGATGGCCAAGCAGCCAGAAAAAACTTGTCTATTAGCGTATCGCATGCAGTGTCTGATGCAGCTATTGACTTCGAGGACGGGTTGTCAAGTCTAAATTGGGGGCCTTGGTCTGGTTGACCACAACGACCAAAAGACTCAATGCCTGATTTCAAAACCTGCAGCCTAGATTTTCAGGCTCATTATCCCCCTTCTCTATAAAGTATAGAAAGTATAGGCTCATATACGCCATAAGACAGGTGCGCAGTATGGGTACGCTGTGAGCGCTGTGAGCGCTCGCTTTTGTAGCGAGGCTGGAATGGGTTTTCACCTTCTGCAAGCCTTAGATATAAGGCTATAAGATTGTCACATAGTTCTAATCTAGGAAGGCAATTTCTAACTCAATAATACTAGCTAGAATAGGCTATTTGCTTTTGTATAACTTATCTATTATATATATTAGCCTGAAGGAAGTATATTAAGTACTATAGAGTACGTGCGATGTGTGAAATAAGGAGAAATAGTGAAGCTGGTAGGAGAGCAAAAAGCGATGTTGCAAAAATGGCCACTGAGCCTTTTGGTCGATACGGTCACCCATACTTGGGAACTGTATCCTACCTACGGTCCTGGCTCTGGCAGTGGGAGGCTCCGCAGCGCAGCTGCAGCCTCTGCCCCCTGCAAAATAAACACGAATAAGACATGTGGTCCCCCACATAGGCTCGAGCTGCCAGCCTCGAGATGGCCTGCAGCGTATGATTGAATGCTCTATTGACGGAAAGGAAGTGTCGTCGAGATCAGAGAGTGATGTGCGAGGGAGATGGGGACCATACATGCCCAATTTTGGGTCGGAGCTCAGGAGCTCTAAAGTTCCGATTTTCTGGACGAGATTTGTTGAGGGCTTCATGTACTAATATAAGCGAGTTTGCAGCATCCAAAACAAATCCCCGGTGGCGCAATTGGCTAGCGCGGTAAGCATTCACGAGTACCTGCTCATCAGCACGTTCTAATTCATAATAGTTCGACTGTTAAACAGCAGATCATCGAGAGGTTGGTGGTTCAAGCCCACCCCGTAAGCACTCCTTCAATACTACAAATTGTGAAATATGTACTAATATCACTTTCAGGGGGAGATTCCAAACGTTGCATACATTGCACAATTTTTTTGCATTGATTTTTTGCATCTTTCTTGGACTGCTGTGCTGCATGAACTTTTGACACTTTTTTTTGGTGGCCAGCCTGGAAGCGAGACCGACTAAAATTTGGTACCCCTATTACCCCTGTTCTTCACTTTCTGGTTTGCGGTCTGGCCCGTGGGTCTTGTCTTTCGAGGTGGTAAACGCACTCCGTTTCCTGGATGTTCTTTTTTCATACTTCCTGTATTGAGTTTCAGATTGGACAACTGATTGAACTCCCGTCTATTTCCCACCTGGATCAAAATAGTAATTACAGATCTAATCTATTCTGTAAGTAGAGTCGAGAACTCAATCTTTTCACTTTTCAACCACTTGAGCATTTTATTCTCCAGTATATATTTCAATAGCAGGCAGCAAACGAATAAGGAGGCATTCAGAGTCATGCACGTGATATGATACCGTCTGTGTTACACCCGAATTGAGCAAGGCTAGACTCCCGTTTGTTTTGGACCCCAAAGAGTCGCCACCGCTGATCGACGGTCAAGGCTACGTTCTATCTTTGTTGCATACCGCACGCTTGAGGCTGCTAGGGGCTCTTCAATTCTGTGGCTATTAGTTCAGTCTCCGCATTGTCTTTGTCGGCTCTTAACCCGGGGGAAGGAGACTTCGATGTGGTGATGCCATGCATGTACTGTCTCACTCATATTCAACACTCACGATTTTAATAGTAAGGAAACTTGTAGTGAAACAAATCCAAATTGAAGCTTTTTACATGCTGAAGGGTGGATCTGGCCCAGATTTGGTGCCTACTTATCACATAGAGAGCTGAAAGCCAAAGTTTATCCCGTCTAAAGTCTCTCGACTTGGCATGCATCGTTGGTGTTCACACGCTCTGCCATTTCTTCAACCCGAGTACATGCTCCGTGTTTTCCAAACCAAATCGTTGAGCAGCGTTCAGAACCTGCACTCGAAGACCCAGCAGAAGATACCCCAACTCTGGTAAATCCAATAGCCAGTCAGCCTTGGAAGAATGCAAAAGGCTTCGCAGGTAATCGCGCGGACACACAATTCCTTGGACCCCTCGAACGAGGGGTCGATCCGGGCAACCGATCCCCACCCCTTATCAGGGCCCTTACTGTGTGCTCTGTGTTGCCCGAGGGGGGAGTTCACAGCAGGCAACAAGTACACAGCCTCGCTAACTGACGTCGAATTCTGATCACAGCGTCATCGAAGGATCACAGCCGCAGATCACCAATTATTTGTGCCAGCCTCTCGAGCACTTGGAGGTCGTTAATCGGCAGGGGCGAGGATAACTCCCGAGGGGTTGATTCCTGGTAACGTGCCGGCTCCGGGTTGACACACACCAGTTCCCTCCAGGGTCGCGGGATCCTGCTGGGAGCTGGCTTCCACGCCCGACTGGCTGGCCCTGATTGCGGGGAGACCTGTCAAAACTTCCAGAGAGCCTCGCCCGAGTTGTGGAAGATCTGTACTCTTCTCTTGAAAAGGAGAGCTTCTCTGCATACTTCTAGAATAGCTCAAACGTCCTGCTCTCCAAGCCGACTGAGTTGCCAAGTTCCACCAAACAGTCTCCGCGTGCAGCATCTCGCCTGGAGACAAGAGCCCATTCGTTCCTCAACGCTGTGGGAACGCCACGCCCGCAACACAGCCCAGAACCAGCCTCGCGAGATCCCCCAAAATGCAGTCTAGGCTGTTTACAGCAATATCGGAGAGGCGCAATCGATGGAAATGGTAAGGCAGTAGTTGCACCTGTGCTCGTGGGGGGTGCGCCGATTAGGCCGATAATCTGGACAGCCTTGGAGCCACTGCACACCTCAGACCGCAGTCACACACTGCACTGCACTGCACCGTCTCATGTACGTGGGCACACCTGTCACCCACCATCGCACCTTGCTCTTATTCTGCTTTGTCCTTTCGCTGCATCTCTCCTTTAACATTGATCGACAGCAGGAACGAAGCTTCGACGATAGAACGCCCGAAGATTGCGAGGCGACAGCCGGCACCCCGCCGGCCTTGCTCAACGAAATGGCCGACTTCGTAGCTCCCGTGAAAGCCATCCTCAAGGCTCTGGAAACAGGAATCAAGTTAACGAAAAAGGTATCCGAGTCCGCAGAGCTCGCAGTCTCCGAGTATGCGAGCTCTGCAACCGAAGCAAAAGCGCAGCAGATTTCCGAGTTGGCACCCGGTTTGCAGAGGTCGTTGGAGCAAACTTGTCAGGCTATTCGGGACGCCTATCAGCAGGAGGTTGAAGCATGCGGCAAGCCGTTCACAAAGGCTCTGGTCGAGGACAGTGGGTTGGTCTGATATTGCGAGTGTTCCCCAGCTGATCGTCTTGCAGAAACCATTCAAGCCCGGCTGAAGGACCTCAAAAACGACGTTCGTGATAGCATAGACGAATGCCAAGATTTCGAGGATGACCCAGAATCTTTCGATCAGACAACATTTATGGCCATCGAGCAACAAGCTAACAAATGCTCTGCGGATTGCGTTTCTATATTCCGGGATCTGCGAGATCAATTGACCCAAGGCCGGGTTCCCACATATATGCTCGGAAAGGAACCCAAGGACGATACCACACAGTCTACAAGTACAAGAGTGGACACAAAGCATAGTCAGAGCAATCCCGTGGCCAACCTCCAAACATTCATGTTGGGAAACCAACCAAAAGACGACAGGATACAATTGTCAAGCATGAGACATCCCAGCGCAACCAATTCAATGCCACCTCCCTACATATCACCAGCAACTCCAACTGAACCGATCCGAATCACTACTCCTTCTGTTCCAGCTCCCCAATTCGAGCCAGTGAGGCCGAAGGGTCCTTGGGGAATCGGGGATCCTTTAAATTATGACATGAGTCCAACTCTCGGTGGCTCTCTTGGGGCCTCAGCGAGCTTATTACGGCGGAAACCCGTTGGGGAAGGGTCTCCTGCGGAGCAATCAGATGCCCCCCCATTGATACCTAAGGAGATTGTCCACTCTCGGATTAACGCAAACGAAGAGTTTCTCGAACGACGACGGCAGTCACGTATCATGTTCAACAATGAGCTGCGTTACTCTGCTGTATCCTCCATTGATGAAAACCGGGCCAGCGAGACTTTCAGTGATGGGCCATTCTCACCGCTTAGTCCAAGCCCTGCGACGTCTACAAGTCCAGTAGAAGGGCGTGGCTTCAGAGCAAGTTTGAACACATACGATATGACCAGGCAAAGAAGCCAAGGACATGCTTCACAGGGAACACGCAGCTCAAGAACGAGCTCCGTTCTCCCTGACCGTCATCCAGTTCAAAGACGTGATAGTGAAGATTCGATATTCGGTCTTCGTGGTGCAGCACCAGCGAGTCCCTCTATTAGTGAAAACCAGACTGTTGGGACTTCGGGGAATATCGAGCTTTGGTCGCCAATTACTACGACTGCGAGCCCAGCAGTCATCGACAACCCCTATACCTGGGATCCAGTGCCAGTGCCAACGAAGTTGCAAATGCCATCGCCTTCATTTGGGAATGAAGTCCCAGCTGGACTTGAACCAGTGAACGTCGCGTACGATGACGGAATGATTGTAGTGAACGCCCCCGAACAAAATGCTCAGCGCGGACCAACGTTTACAGTGAGGAAAATGGACTACCCTATACGACCCGATAGCTCCTTCACCAAGTTTGGGGGGTTCTGCGACGGCGCCAAAGCATTAACAAGAGGGGAGACGGGGTTTAAAATAGCGAAAAGGCCATCAGTATGTTCGATCTCTGTAAATGATATGGCGAACCAGCTAACCGTCTATCCCAGGGCCATTATAGCGCAACTGTTTCGGCCAGGTGTATCACTTGTTCTTATGAAGTGGGCTGGAATGATGTTGAGAAAGACAAAATGCTTGACAGTAGGGAGTTCAGTCGTGGTGAGAAACAGTTGCTAATACCTGTTCAGGATCCGGTATATATGGTAACAGTGGAATACGATTTCGGCAACGATTTGTGTCAAAGTGCCATCTGAAGGCAAACTCAATCGAAACTCCCAAATATGCTGTAAGAATCTTCAAGGTTTTAGTCGTCGCATAATCTAACCTTTAATAGTGTTTATTCTGCATCGAAGTACACAAGACCGTCGAAGAGCACGATGCAACAATATTCTTCTCAGTCGCCCAACTATTTAAGCACATCGCCAAACATCCACAACCTGTACCTCACGTCCACGGCATTACAGTCCTTTATGGCCAACAACCCCCAAATGTATTGGACTTTGACATTCATTTCACAACATCACAACCTCTGGTTCCCGAATTTGCGTACGCTGCAATTGCCCAAAAGGTGGCAATTCGACCCTCAGCACAGGCCATTTCTTCCAATAATCCAAAAAATGGTCGCACCGATTCTCGTGACCCTGATGGCAATCCTGTACTACATTTCGCTGTCGGAGCTCGGATCATTGGAATAACGTTCCCGGACAGGTTCAATGGTCTATGGTCTATTGGCTATCACGATGGCCTGCGTGGGTCATTTCCAACCTCTACAATTACGATCGATCAGCCCGGAAGAGATGAGGAGGTCATGAATTCCAATAGCAATCTAGTTGCCTTCGCGAAGTGGGACTTCAAACTAAAGAAATCAAAAGACGACCCCTGGCTCAAGTTCAGCAAAGGAGAGACAATTACCCATATTGGATTCAAATATCAAGATCAGTGGTGTTGGACCGGACAGAATGAAAAAGGACAATGGGGCTTGTTTCCAAATGCGTTTGTGGACAGTCTGCACGATCGTGGAGTCTTCGGTACGAGTCCAGGAAGCGTTAAGAAAGGTAGCTTGTCGTCGAAAATGCCCAGCTTCTCACTCAAGAAACATAGGAGTCCGAATAAGCCTGTAAGGAAAACAAGCATCATGAGTACGAGCAGCGGTGGGAGTATGAACAGTGTTCAGCCTGGATTAGAGGTGGTTCAGACACCGTCGCCTATTCATGCTTCGAGTTCGAGATTCCCTTCTTCGAGTCCCTTCCGAGTTCCCGGGACCTGAGGAGTATTTTGAGGAGAGTTGTTAGATGTGACTGATGATATCTGGGCATTTTTTTGCGAATGGTAGGGAATGAAGGAGTACTTGACGCCGTATTTAGCATGGCTTACGGTCTTTTGAGGCGCAATTTTGTATATGGAGCTTCTCTACGATACCCTTTATTTTTTGTTTTTATATGATATCTCATATCCAAAAAAAAAAAAAAAACTTATCTTTCTTTCATCTACTGGATCTCATTCTTGTGTCAGAGAGCATTTCCGCTTAAGCGAAGTCGTCGCTCCACTCTTGCTCGAAGATTCTCTCTTCTCCAAGTGGAAGAAGGACGGCAGCTAGTATCAAGATCGTGGGCTCGGATGTCCCCCGCCAACAGGCTGTGTGGGATTCTTTCCTCCCCGGGCTGCATCTCCACCTCCACCTCCACATGGGGCTTTAGCCACCACTGGATGCTTATAATACCTGACCTCTCAATCCATCATCTGTATATCAAAGCCCCTCACTTACCCTGCAATCTACTTTTCAACTACATGATTCACACCCATAGCCTTACCTCCAAACTTCATCCAAACACGATGTCACAGCCAGTCGGTATCGTCACAGGAGGGGCATCAGGAATCGGCCTAGCAGTCACAAAACACCTTCTAACCCGCGGCTACAAAGTCGTAATCGCAGACGTAAATGATTCCGAAGGAGAACGCCTCGCCTCCAGCCTGGGCTCCAACGCGATATTCCAACATACAGACGTCTCATCCTTCGAGCAGCAGAGCGCGCTCTTCGACCGTGCCTTCAAATGGGGCGGAAACAGACTTGATTTCCTCGCTGCGAATGCGGGCGTTGATGATCGTCAGAGCTTGTATGAGACGGAGGAGAAGGTCGATGAGAAAGGGCTGCCGTTGGAGCTGAACCTGAAGACTGTGAAGGTTTGTCTAGATGCTGCGTTTCAGGGGATTTGGCTTTTCAAGTGGTATGCGAGGAGGAATAAAGTTCCTGGTGGGAAGGTGGTGATTACTGCGAGCGCGGCTGGGCTTTAGTAAGTCTTCTCCTATAGGATTCAAGATGTGCCAAAAGCTGGTGTGTTCTCTCGACTGATGTTTTTTCAAGTCCGATGACCACCAATCCGCAATATGCGGCAGCAAAGCACGGCCTAGTCGGCCTCACAAGATCTTGCGGCCCAGTGTTCTTGAAAGAGAACATCACCGTTAATTGCATCTGTCCCGCGTTCGTGGTCACGGGTCTCTGTCCACCAAATATTCGGGATATCTTTCCCAAGGAGCATATCACACCCATGGAGACTGTTATCAAGGCTTTTGATACGTTCTTGGATGATGATAAGATGACGGGACAGACAGTGGAGTTGTCGCTCGATGAGCTGCATTTCAGGAAGCAGGTGGATTATCCGAATGAGAGTCAGAGGTGGATTGGTACGCAGTCTGCGGCGTTGTGGGATCAGGCTTATGAGAAGCCGCCTGCGAGGCCACAGTCGTAATACGCTTCTTCTATACTATGTTTAACAATGTTTTCCACTTTTAACTAAGAGAGACTCCTTCCCACTAGATAGTGAATGTCCCTATAAGTAAACGGGTCGGGAAAGGGCGTGGTATCCCGTGCCTGGGATACGATTCGCCCCCAATTTTCTGTGTATTAATCTTATTGTATAAAATTATTAATTGCCTTACAATTCATCCTCAGACACAAGTCCAGGCATCAGGTGATGTATAATTCGCCGGATTCGTGCAAACGTTTCTCTTCGGATACTTGCAATGGTTCCTCGTGAACTCAACCCCCTGAGTCGGATCATCCTACACTGTCATCAGCAACTTCCCACTCATCTCTCAGCCTTTCATAAACTCACATTAACAAACTTCGTCCCTGTCACCGTCTCCGGCGCATTCCCATTCTCAACCCAATCCACGATTCTCAATAACACATTATTCTGCGGATCCATCGTTGACACGCTCGCAAGTTGGTTCCCGATGAAGTGAGCCCCATCACCTCCTTGACAATGTCCCATCCCGCTGATTCGGAAGAAGCGGTAGAAGCTATCCGAGGCTGAAGAGTTGAGACCCATTGTTCGAGAGACGAGGTTGTAGTATACCGGGCTGTTCTCTGAGGTTATGATTGCGTCCATTTGACCATGGTAATGGACTGGATTTGGTCAGTATATTGTATCTCAGGGAAAAGGAGAGCACTGACGTATTTTCCCGCCATTGTTCTGGAAAGCGGAGATATTTCCATTCCACGTAGCGATGTCAAAGGGATTCTGATCTTCAGCCTCCTTCGCATCTGCGATAGTGAAGGTGGCAGGATCCCAATTCGAGTTATCTGCCAATTTGAGCAAGTTTCTCATAAGTGAAGAGAAAGGAGAACCAACTGTAAACGGCATATTTAAACCAATCGCTCGAAAACGAGAAAGCTCCGTTAGCATAATACACCAAACTGGCAATGACCTCTGAACCAGGCTGCATCCTGGGATAAATCAACTTCCCATCAACACCATAGAGATCCGTGAACGCATCCCTCACAGCACCAACCTGAGCGCTCGTCAAGCAAGTACTTGAATTCGTCACCCCAGGAGCACACTGCAGCGCCTCAGGTCTAAATCTGCACAATTCAGGATCTTCAATAATTCCATCGACGACTCCGTCAATACCATCACATTGACTCAGAATCTCTCGATGAACGGCTGCCCAAAGCGGAATCGGGATATAAGTAGCGTGCCCTGGGTCCCCGAAAATAGGATAGAAGTGATTGCTCCAGGAATTCAGGTTCGGGTAGTTGAGCGCTGGGGCGCCAGCGAGAACACCGTCGAAGTCGAGGGGATAGGATTGTACTGATTTAAAGCCTTGACGACCGCCTGTGGAACACCCGAGGTAGTAGGATTTCTTGTGTGCAGTGCCGTAGAACTGTTTGGTCAATTCTTTGCCGACTACTACGCCTGTATGGAGGGAGCGGATGGCGAAGTCTTCGACGACGTCGGAGTTGTTTGCAAATGCCTGGGAAAATTAGATACTATTCTTCTCTTGAACGAGATAGTACTTACTACTCCTGTCGTTCCATTATGTCCGTTGTTCGCCCCTGGAATATGTCAATTTCTGTTGTACCTTCACCGAGCTAGATTGACGAACCAACAGTAGCAAACCCTAAACCTGCAGTGTACGCCAGGTCCGTATACTGAATACACCCACTCTCCCCTCCATTGCCGGTACTCAAGAACCTTCCCGTCCAATTTATCGGCAGCCACGCTTCCAGCGTAATGCTGTTTCGATAACTCGTTGCCACATACATCGCGACTCGACACATATCGCTCGTCACCAAGGCACTTGGATACCCACAATCAGCCAATCCAAAATCTTGCGTAAAAGACAAGTTCGTGCCTGCGGGGACGAAGTTTGCAAAGTTCACAGTGACGTTCTCGATGGCGATTGAGGCGCCGAGTTGCGAACATGCTGAAGATGGGTCGGAGAAGATGAAGTCTCTTTTCTCGTAAAGTATACCATCTGCAAAGCACAATGGAAGAATAGCAGGTAGAAGAACAGAAGAGAAGAGACGCATCTTGACGCCTGTCGCTGTAAATCAAGAAGAATGGATCCAAATTGAAAAATGTGTGAAAGACAAAAAGTGGACACCAAGTCCTATTTAATCCCACCCATCCAAGATCACCATGTCCACCACGCTCCTGACCGAAGGTTCAAATGCGAGTCTATCCCATGTTATTTCAGAGGGGAGGCTCCCTTGGCGAACAAGGAAAGTGCGAGCCCTCATATGAACGCATGCAACCCACTTCATCCCAGTCCCTACTTTCCTCGACCTGCGTCGGCAGTGACTTCGGCTCCATCCCCGACCGTCAACCCCTTGCAACTTTCCCCATATTCGTGCACTAATCCCTGGCTCCCTCTGAGAAAAGAGAAACTTGCGAAAATAAGCGTCGGAGGTTGGGAGATCTCTTGCCTCCCAAGTCCTGATTCAGTCTCAGCCGCGGCGGAATGTGGAGTTGGAAGTGGACGGAAAATCCCTGACTATGCGTTGTTGCATTCATCTCATCCCATCAAGGCTCAAAAGAACCGAGTTTTGCAAATCTGGCCCATGGGTGATGATGCACATTATGGACCTGCAGGGCCCTCTTCGATGTGATGATATCGAAGGAGAGATTTTGGTTCGGCGCATAGAAAACTCCCCACTTTGCGGGGCACGTAACCTTACTATATTTACCATCAAAGTCTAGGGTCCGGCCCGAGTGCTCCCAATCTGCGAGTGCGAGCTCGCGATTTGTGTATACCTCTAGAGACCCACAGATTCCTCTCTTCCGCTGATCGATTTCAGGGCATAGGAGAGAGTGATTCGGAGAGAGAACACAGCGCAGTGCAGCGGACGGGTGGGTGGAGAATCCGCATCACCTCCGGCGGGGTGACCCTATCCATCACGAACATGATATCCAGACATGTATGTATGTAAACAAGCCATTTCCCTCTTCGATTCGGAGAGTGTCCGCCATCGCATCTACTGTGCCTCTTCGTTAGCCTTTCTAGGTCGCACAGTCGAGGTGATTGCAGACAAAGGTGTCGAGAATTGCGACGAGACTCACAATACCATCGATCATCCCATTTCCTCCTCGTAAGAGCCATCCAGCTCAAGCACCAACAACCTCGGGGCCCTGCTTCCGGATCGATATGTTGATCAAGGACGCGGCGCCTATGAGGACGATGGCCAGGATCAGGACGCCGAGGACAATGGGTAGGGTGTCCATCTTTGCTTCTTCTCTTCTCCCGCTTTATCACTCTTCTCGTCTCTCAACTTGGTTCGTAGATCGTCACTTGCGAAGATTCTAAAGGTCTTTGTCGTTGTCGATGGATATAGTTATTGACGTTAATCGTACTTGTTAAGGTGGAGGGATAAATGACAATTTGCAACGGCGTGGCAATGCAGCACAAGATTTATTACCTATTCACGGTGACTGCCTGTTTGCTGGGCGGCTCTCGGATCACGCATCATGAGGGGTAGGTGTGGGTGCCCAAAAAACCTCATTGGTCCTAATCGTTATTCACGCAATCAGATCAGGTTGTTCTGCAGTCCTAAAACATGACGCTGTTGCAGAAAATGCATGCTTTCGCATTGCGTTATACAAGATGCGCTTTCGGAGGATAGAACGCGGAAGGATGCAGATGCAGGAAGTTTTCCTTGTAGTGCTAGTGCCGTTTTTTTTTAATGGGGATGTGTCCCCGGGTTCAGTCCAGGGGTTCGGATTCGGCTCCGAAAGGGAGCCTGCCACGGCAATCCAGATAGCGAATTGCAGATTAAAGGTAATGACTCTATTTGTCTCTCTTTTGAATGTACAGTGGAATGGAAATCTCGACAGCGTAACTAACTACAAGCACAGACTCTGCTGAATTTCAAAACTCATGCCATGCAAATAGGCTCTCTTTGTAAATGATCCCAGACGCCCCTCTCAACATGAATCTACTTCCACTACGCATGCGTGCCATTCATGCCATTGACACCATTTGTACCATTAACCCCGTTGGTATACGGCTCCTCATATTTGTCCCAGTTCGCCAACACCGCGCCAATCTTCGGTGAGTTGGTCAGTCTGTAGACATCCTCGAAGTACTCCTTGGTCAACTCGAAGGGTCGTGCAGTGACGTTGGGGATGTATTTCCCAATCAGCTTGCTTGGATCGATGGTGGTCTTGTTAATTTTCTTGAGCAAGAAAGAACGGAAGGGCTTGACACCTGAGCGCAAGAAGGTCGAATGGAAAGGCACATCAATGCCCTTGAGCGGGATGGTAGCAAAGCCTCGTTGAAGATCAAGGGGCTTGGGTTTAGTCTCAGTCTGTTTGGCGCACTCTTGAATGATTTCAACAAGATGAGCCTTGACATCCTCGAGCGACAGAGTCTGCATTAATTGTTGAATGTCGATCTTCTGAGCTTTGAGGTAGTTGGTCACACCAGTCAGGGTGTCCAGCGCACGAAGGTCACCGGCGCAGACGTATTGCATGTTGGCGATGTTGTAGTTGACAATTTCCAACAGCCATCCAGTCTCCTCAGCAATGTTCTCAACAACGTATTGGAGAGCCTGCTCGTTGAAGGTCTTGGAGATCCTGCTTGGGTTGACGGCACACATGGAATAATTCGATCGGCCGGTCTCATCACGCTCGACGGCGACTTGCATGGTGAGCCCTCGGTAGAAGACAACGGAAACCAAACTCTCAATGGGCATAACGTCAGCCAGTGCGGCAAGGGCAGAGTATTCTCCGAGTGAGTGTCCAGCGAAACTGCTGTCACGCTGGACAAGGCCCTTTGAACGCATGTCCTCGAAACTGGCCTTCTCCATGAGTGTCAAGGCGGGCTGAGTGAACTGTGTCGCCGAAAGTAGACCAGTTGGTGATCGATAGGTGTATGACGTTGTATGTTCATTGATCTCCTTGAAAATCTTCTCTGACTTGATGGCTCCATCAGAACCAACAGTCTCGAAAGTCATAGACATGTAGTTTTGACGAATGGCCTTTCCTCGAGGTCCACCAAAGTAGATGGTCAACTCCTTAGGATTGTTCTTGACAATGTTCGTGATCGCGAAGCCTGGATAATATTAGTATGTTTTTAATAGTGCGAGGAGGAGTTGCTTACCATAGTTGTCCATGAAGTGCTTATCAGCTCTGTCCCAAACCTCTTTGGCCACCGGGCTGCTGGCATAGAGCTCCATGCCCATACCTTGCTCCTGAGAGCCTTGTCCAGTGAAGACGTATGCTGAAACTGGCTGTTCAACCTCAGCCTCACCAATCAAGACCTTGTCCTCGGTCTCCTTATTGCTTGCTTCGACCTTGATGATCTTGCGACCAGCAACCATACCAACATGTGTTAACTTGACTTCAATGTCATCGTTTGGAAGAACCATGCCGGTGAGAGAGGCATGGAAACTTCGAACACGGCCTACGTTGTTTTCTGCCGCCCAAGTCTCGACTAGACTTCGAACAGCGGCACTCGAGTACATTCCATGAGTGATTGTACCAGGCAAGCTTGCATAACTTGAGAAGACCCGCGACACGTGAATGGGATTGTAATCCCCGGAAACACGAGCATAAGTCTCGTTGGAAGCTGGTGCCCTCAAAAGGAGAGGAGTCTTGCCACTCAGAGGAATGACGTTCTCAAAGTTGACAGGTTGCTCAATCGACGATCCGCGTCTCTCAAGATAATCAATGACTGGGTTACCGTGAGACACTCCAGCTTCGTACTCAACACTCGCCACTTGAATGATCTCCTTCGTAGGCAGCTCGAGAAGCACTTGGCCTCTGGTCTCAACACTGCTGAAAACAGTCTTGTTCTTGAAGCGAACCAAACTTTGAAGGCGGAAAGTTAATGTCTGACCAAGAAGTTCTTGGTCCGGCTCATCGAGGCTGAACCATTCCTTCGATCTCAGGACAGCAACATCTTTCGAGGTCGCGAGATGGATTTGCATTGGAGTTTCCTGCTTGCGCTGGAAAGTGTTCTCGAAATCAGTGTAAGAACCGCGATACAGAAACTGAGATGTCACTTCCATAACCGGCTTGCCTTCGCGAGTAATTGTTCCGCAGACCTCGACCATCTTGCCCGAATCCTGGTTGATGACGGCGTTGATCTGAGCGGTGGCTTCAACCTCGTCACCTTTCTTCAATGGCTCCGCCCCAGGTAGCATGCGGAAGCCATTCGAAAGATGAACAAGCCTGAGAAGGTCGCCGTCAATGGTTCTTGGGAATATTGGCTTCGTGATGGCTTTCCAGCCAACGACAATGGCAAAGTCCATGGGAGCAAAGACCTCCTTCCCTGGTCTGTCAACGAACGCCTCACCGGTATTGCCGACAGCGTGAATGAAATCGTTGATTGCTTCCGCAGTAATCTTAGCCTTGCCACCGTCGAAAGTTCCGGTGACTGGAGCGTCGAGATTAAGCGGTTCATTGCCAAACCACGCACGCCAGTAGAACTCTTTGATGCGGTCGTTTCGGCCTTCCATCACTTCCCGAATGGGCGCATATCCGGTCTCGGGATGGTAGGTGAAGACAAGTGGAAGGGGGACTGGCTTTCCGAGAGCTGTGGTATCTTTGATCATGTTGATCAAGATCTTGTTCTTGTTTGTGAGTTTGACATCGATTACTTGAACGTAGTGATTAGGTCTTGGTTGTTCCTTGACGGTGATGACAGTCTTTGAAGGCTCATTAGGATGGAGAATTTCGACGAAGAGGCCGCGGACTGGGGCAAAAATTCGCTTTATTGGGTTCGTCTGGAACTTTTGACCCTGCACGAACACCTCAGAGGTGAAAAGTGCATGCCTCCATGACCGCTTGCCACCGGCCAAGAGAGTTAGCCATGACTCGAGAGACGGCAGAGCAGCTGTAGCGGATGACGAAAGACGATAGGTAGTCTTGTGGGTGTCTTGGGAAATGGTAAGACCCTCAACATCCAGTTCCGGCTCTGTGTCAATGAGGATACCGCCAAAGTACTCGGTGATGGGGATAGTAGATTCTTGTCCACCATAGACATCCTGGACGAGGCCTTTGATATGAGCGTGGTGAATGCCGTCCAGAATATCCTTGATGGGCTCGTCCACAACCTTGGAGTATTTGACTGCGGTGGGGCCCTGCAAGATACAGGTTCTCCCAACATCCTGGTCAATGACAGCTTCCAGATCCTCAGACTGCCACAACGAATCCTTCTTGAAGTAGAATTCAAAGTTGTCATCAAGAGCTGGGACGAAGGTTGTTGGCTTTTGACCCCGGCGTTGGCAGAGAAGGAGGAAGTGCTGGACATCTTGGGCATTGATCAGCTGCGTCTCGGCTTCTGGATACGCGGCCAGGATTCTCTCGACAGTTGGGTACGGGTCGGCGAGTTCGGAGTAACTTTGAAGCAAGGACGGCTTTCCTTGGCTTGGTGTGAAACGTTCTTCGACACGGCGAATGAAATCTCCAGTGAGTTTTTCGTAGGATTTATCGATCCAGCGAGATTCGTGTTTGACAAACATCAAGTCCACCATTCGACGCACAACTTCGCCATAAGTCATATCCTCGAGGTCAACGGTCTCACCAGCCTTATTGCGTCCGAACCAAACCTTCTGGAAATCATCGTTGAGCTTCTTGATGATATATTCCCGGTTCTTCTTCAGTTCTGGCACACGCTTCTCTTTCGGCAAGCTGAAGATCTTAGCGTCCATCTCCGCCCAAAATTTGACACCTCGAGTTGCAAGCTTATGGATTGGCTCGCCCATCTCCGATCGGACGGTGATAACACCGCCCGCAGGTCCTTTGTAGGTCTTCTCCCAGTGGGAGTCATCGAGGCCCTCCGCCTCTGTGATGGCCTTTTTGGCATTCTTGCTAGTGTGCGCTTCTTTGGCAGTCATCATACGGCTGCCGAAAAGACAACCATCAAAAGGCATTGGAGGATATCCATACTTGGCAGACCAGGCACCGGTGAGGTAGGGGTAAGTATCTTCGGCACCACCGAAACCACTACCGGCAACGAGAACGATATTCTCGCTTCTCCGGATGCGACCATACATTTGAAGGATAGGTTGATGGAAATCTTCGAATGAGTGATGGCCACCGCCACGACCCCCGGTCCATTGAAGGATGACTGGGAAGGTAGGGTTTGCCTTTGCAATGTTGATCACAGCTTGAATCGCGTCCACGGATCCTGGCTTGAAGGAGATATGTTTCAGACCGAGGGTTTCAATATATTCTTGAGCGACCTCGATAGATGGCACACCGGCTCCAATAGTGAGGCCTTCAATCGGAACACCCTCCGCACGCAATTGGCCGAGAAGGGGAATTTGCCATTGCATAGCACGTGGGTTGACATAAATGAGGTTGACGGTGATACCACGTCCGGGAGGGATGGCATTCTCAATCTTTCTCAGGGCCTCAGTCATGGTCCTGGCATTATAGTAACCACCACCCGCCAATTCAATTTGATAGCCGGCGTTCATAGTCGCTGCCACGAAATCCCAGGGCACGGTACATGGTGTCATACCGGCGACCATAACTGGAGGGACACCCAAAAGTCGGCTCATCTTGGTATCGACGTAAGTCTGACCAGTCGATGTCTTGATGAGACGTGGGCCATGTTCCTTAACCCAATCGATGGCGTATTTCACGGCGTGCTCCTCGTCGCGATCGAAAAGTTCGGGCTTGTAGCCAACTTCGGGTATCGTCCCGTCGATGGCACCCGCCAAGATAACTCGAACGCCGGTTCCATCCTTGTTGCGACTGGTCAAAACACCAAGGCCAGAAATCCCACCAGGACCAAAGTCAAGGACATGGGTGGCGTTGGGGAAGACAGTAGCTTTCTCCCAGTTGACTGGGTCGTGTGTGATCAAGCGCACCAGGGTTGGCACGATATCACCGTTGACCTCATCTCGAAGGTCTTTGCCAGTGTTTGTATCATATACAGGTATTCCTAGTAGTTTGCTATTGATTTTGATGTCTTTGAGATCCTCATCAATATGTGAGGTGGCATCGGACAAGTATTTGCTGTGGAAGGGGGATGTGATTGGGAGAAATCTGCTGGAAAATCGGACCTTTCGTTCAGTGAAAGGAATACGGGTCTGATCAAGACCTGTGGGAGCCTTCACTTTTCGGAGCTGAAGATTAAGACCGTACAGAGAGATGGGTGGACCGGTGACAACCATATTTCGAGCGCTGTTCACCAAGGATATGGCGATGTGTCTGTCTTCTGGCAGATATTGATTTGTTGCATCAATGTGCTCCTGGACTTGTGCTCGAGACAGGTCTCGGATGCTCAACATGGGCGTTGGGGTACCTTCGCCGTGGTCGACTGAATCTTGCAAAATTGAGGGTGCAAGTGAGGTTCTTGGGTAGGTTTGTTGACTGCGGGATCCAATCCAGAAGAGTATGGTAAGTGAAGAAATCGCAATTTCGTCAAATGACTCCCACGAATCTGCGGCCGAGGTGGCAGCGGCAAGAACGATACCTTGGGAATGGCCAGTGGTCCCGCTGATTTTTTCTCTGAACTGACCTGGTGTAAGGCCTAGGACTTTGCAGGTGACCGTGTAATGTGCAAGCTGCACAAGCCCAATCAATGGGAAGCTGACCGGCGCAGAAACCATATAATCAACATCTGGAGTAGCTTCAGGATCGTGGAGCCATGCCATCACATCCAGGCCTTTCGAGTAGAGCTTTTCCGCTCTTGGGTCCCTGGAGAGATTCTGCAACAGTTCCGCGGCAGAGACGACCAATTCTTCGACGAATGACGGATATGTCGTGTAAAGTTCTCGTAGTTCCTCGAAATACTCCTCGATGTTTCCCTGCCCGCCAAAGACACTGTAGACCTTGGCGAACTCGTCGCCAACTGCTCGGAATAGCGCGGACTCATGGCGTTTGATTGCTCGGCTTGTGGCAGCACGAGCGGCGTAGTATGCTCTGACGACCTCGAGCTTTTTGGCATCGATTCCAGGAAGAGTTGCAGTTATGGCATGGACCTCATTGCCTCTTAAAAATGCTCGCTCAAACTCGTTCAACACAAGTTTCAGCACCTCTTCGTATGAGCCCTGCGCATCGTCCTCACCCTCATCAACATCTTGCGCAACAAACCCGAGGTATCGCGCAACAAGCTCTGCCACAGACGACGGCTCGTCGTCTTGTGCTAGTTCGTCTGTTGGGGCGGGGAGTGACGCTAGGAAGCGGTCTTTGATTTGGGCGGCGTGGAAATGGAGGTTTGTCGGTATTAAGAAGGAGTGCTCGAGTGAGCCGTGGGTAAGAACAAGAGGTCGCAGAGATGCGGAGGATCGAGGTGTAGAGACGCCCGTCTGGGGGCCTGTGGATGTTCCGTACATGTTGGGAGGTTGATGTCAGGTTATTAGGGAGATTCTGACATTTGAAGTGTTAGCAAAAAGCTCTCTTAAAGTGCAGAGCAGAAAGTAAACTTCGCAAAGCACTCGAAACATCACACTAACCTAGATTTTCAACTCCGTTTACTCAGCGAAGAGCAGGAGCGAAGTAAAGCAGAAAATTGAAGCTGCAAAAAGCAGCGGCGGCGTCGTCTCCTTGCCAACAAAGTCTTTCTATGGCCGTCTGAAAAGGAAAAGGAGGGTCGTTCTATGATGTGGCAAGAGTTTGAATACGGGAGGATGGAGAGCAGAGAAGGAGGGGCTGCTTCTCTTGTGTGGAGGTTCAATTGGGGGGTATTTGCAAGAAGCGGTGGTTTCCTCGCAGCTCGAGATCAATTATTGAGCTGTCGGTCTCAACGGAACCTCGCCAAATTCTGTCTCCAAGCACTAGCGCAGTGTTGGGCGCACTTCCCGGCACCCCCTGCAGCCTGGCCGCCACGCTTGCTGATTGGCACACAGCGGCACGGCTGTTGGTGGCAGCCTGCAGGTGAGCGGGCTTGAACTTTGGAGGCTTTGGTCTTGACGGGGACGGGGTCTAGAGTGCGGGAATCGTGCGGACAATGAGGGGCTGAGGTGCGATACTCGATGTTGCTGCAGGACAGTTATCATCATTCCTGGCATGGCATAGTCACAGGACGAGGCAGCAATCTGAGAGGTCCCCGCCAGACTGAGTAAGTGAGACGTGGAAGAGCGCTGCTGGGCGATGTCTTCTTCGCCTTCTGTTTAGTAAACACCTCGGCAGATCAAAGCATACATATTGTTGAGGAGCAGAAAACAGCTGCCTGGGTCCAGCGTGATTTACAACGTGTCAAGAACGGTACATCTATTTCGCCGTTCCTTTGGTCCATCTGCGAGGCTGACGAGGTGAAGGCTGTCCAGGGCAATATAATTTTCTGATAGCCGATATTTGCCCACCCTGCAAATTAGCAACAAGCGAAAAGGGGAAGGGGGAGGCGAGGGGGGGAGGCGAAGGGAAGGGAATCGAGAACACAATGGCATAACTGTACAACTCCAAGCCGTCGGATTCTCGTGCGATAAGAGCCTGCATAAGGGTGAGCTGCGATCTTGCCCTTGTCGTCCCAATATCTGGCTCGCATTACGTAGGGCCGTTAGCCCGGGCGAGAGATGTACCACTGTGACCACGGCGGTGACGGGGCCGGCGACTGAGGCGAGGCAGGCAGGGTGAGGTCGGAGGACGGCGCGGGAACTGGGGACCGCGGCCCCCACTAGTCCCGATGTGGCCATAGCGTCTGCAATCGTTGGGAGAGCTGCCGTGACGCCCGTCAACTTTTTGGTTCAACACAACGCCAAAGCCAGACTCGACTCTCGAGCCTCAATCAAGGGCGCGGATCAATGCGGTGCAAGCTCTTCTTCTCCGCACCTAATACCCGCTCCTGATCCTCATCACTCTCTTGGTGACCCTCTGACCCTCGATCAAATATTGCCCACCATTTCTGCTTCCAATCATTCCTCAGCGACATTCTTTTTCACCCTTTCCTCGCTGCCAGCTTCTTGTTCTTCTAAACTGCCTTTCTTCGCTACTCGCGAAGCTACAACAAGTGAGACTGGAATTACATCAATCCCCTCAAGCACAGAACAACTTTGGTTGCAAGCCCACCACCCTCACGACCCTCTGTCTGGATACCCTCTCAAACCCCTAATAAACGTCCTCGGACACAAAATACACTCAAGATGCGCCCCGAAGTCGAGCAGGAGCTCGCCCATACGCTCCTCATCGAGCTGCTGGCATATCAATTCGCCTCGCCCGTGAGGTGGATCGAGACACAAGATGTCATTCTCGCAGAAAAGACGACGGAGCGGATTGTCGAAATCGGCCCTGCGGATACACTTGGGGTCATGGCCAAGAGAACTCTGGCCTCCAAGTACGAAGCTTACGATGCTGCAAAATCGGTTCAAAGACAAATTCTCTGCTACAACAAGGATGCAAAGGAGATCTACTACGATGTGGATCCCGTTGAAGACGAACCTGAGCCCTCAGCTGCTGGCCCAAGTACCTCTGCACCAGCTTCCGCACCATCCTCGACTTCAGCACCAGTAGCGGCCGCCCCTCCTCCACCCAGCGCTGGACCTGCAGCACAGCTTCCAGATGCCCCAGTCGGCGCAGTAGATATTGTGCGAGCACTCATCGCTCAAAAACTCAAGAAGCCCCTCTTGGAGATCCCTCTGAGCAAAGCAATCAAGGATCTTGTCGGTGGTAAGTAGAGAAAATTTCCAAATTGAGGCGAGGTCTGAGGCTAACGATTCCGCTCCGTAGGCAAATCTACCCTCCAGAACGAAATATTAGGAGATTTGGGCAAGGAATTTGGTTCCACACCCGAGAAACCAGAAGATACCCCCCTCGATGAGCTAGGAGCATCGATGCAGGCCACGTTCAATGGCCAACTTGGAAAGCAATCCTCCTCTCTCGTCGCAAGATTAATCTCCTCGAAAATGCCAGGAGGCTTCAACATTACAGCAGCGCGAAAATACCTTGAGACTAGATGGGGCCTGGCTTCAGGGAGACAAGACGGAGTTTTGTTGTTGGCTTTGACCATGGAGCCAGCAGCACGTCTTGGTTCAGAAAATGATGCCAAGGCATATCTCGACGACGTTTCCCAGAAATATGCCACGAATGTTGGCATCAGTCTATCTGCACCAGTCGCCGGTGGTGATGGAGGTGCTGGAGGAGGAGGGATGATGATGGATCCGGCCGCCATTGATGCTTTGACCAAGGATCAAAGGGCCCTTTTCAAGCAGCAGTTGGAGCTCTTCGCAAGGTATTTGAAGATGGACCTTCGCGCTGGCGACAAAGCCTTCATTGGATCGCAAGAGTCATCAAAAGCCCTGCAAGCGCAATTAGATCTTTGGAACGTAGAACATGGAGAAGTTTACGCTGCTGGTATCGAGCCGAGTTTCAGCGCACTCAAGGCTCGAGTCTACGATTCGTCCTGGAATTGGGCTCGCCAAGATGCTTTGACAATGTACTACGACATCATTTTCGGCCGTTTGAAGGCTGTTGATCGAGAAATTGTAAGCCAGTGTATTCGAATCATGAATCGATCGAATCCTACACTCCTCGACTTCATGCAGTACCATATCGACAACTGCCCAACTGAGCGAGGTGAGACCTATGCTCTCGCCAAGGAGCTCGGTCAACAGCTCATCGAGAACTGCAAAGAAGTCTTGGGGACAGCGCCTGCCTACAAGGATGTTTCGATACCAACCGGACCTCATACCAGCATCGATGCACGCGGAAACTTGGACTATGCTGAAGTTCCAAGAACTAGCGTCCGAAAACTCGAGCATTATGTTCGGGAAATGGCTGATGGCGGCAAGATTTCTGAATACGGCAACCGCACGAAGGTCCAGAATGACCTGAGCCGCATCTACAAACTCATTAAGCAACAACATAAGCTTTCGAAGTCTTCTCAACTGCAGATCAAGGCACTCTATGGCGATGTCATCCGATCACTCGCAATGAGCGAAGGCCAGATCATTCCAAAGGAGAACGGTAATGGAAAGCTTAACGGCGCTGCCAAGAAGAGTGCCGTTCGCACCGGACCTGTGAAGACTGGCAAGGTCGAGACGATCCCTTTCTTGCACTTGAAGAGAAAGGATGAGCACGGTTGGGAATACAGCAAAAAGCTCACTGGTATCTACCTCGATGGTCTAGAGCAGGCTGCCAAATCCGGCGTCACGTTCCAGGGCAAGAATGCTTTGATGACCGGTGCGGGTGCTGGCTCAATTGGCGCGGAAGTTCTTCAAGGCCTGATCAGTGGTGGTGCAAAGGTGGTTGTTACCACCAGCCGTTTCTCACGCGAGGTTACCGAGTACTACCAATCAATGTACTCTCGCTACGGTTCTCGAGGCTCTCAACTCATTGTCGTTCCCTTCAATCAAGGTAGTAAACAGGATGTTGAGGCTTTGATCAACTATATCTACGATCCCAAGAAGGGTCTTGGGTGGGATCTTGACTTCGTTGTCCCTTTTGCTGCTATCCCTGAAAATGGTCGCGAGATCGACAGCATAGATTCTAAATCCGAACTTGCTCATCGCATCATGTTGACCAACCTTCTGCGTCTCCTTGGTTGCATCAAAACACAAAAGGCTGAACGAGGCTTCGAAACTCGACCTGCACAAGTCGTTCTACCTCTGTCGCCCAATCACGGTACTTTCGGAAATGACGGTCTCTATTCCGAGTCCAAGCTGGCTCTCGAGACCTTGTTCAATCGATGGCACTCAGAAAGCTGGGGCAATTTCCTCACTATCTGCGGTGCTGTCATTGGTTGGACTCGTGGTACTGGTCTCATGTCTGGCAATAACATTGTTGCTGAAGGTGTCGAGGCTTATGGTGTGCGTACATTCTCTCAGACAGAGATGGCTTTCAACTTGCTTGGGCTCATGTCACCAACCATCGTCGACCTTTGCCAATCCGAGCCTGTGTTTGCCGATCTTAACGGTGGACTTCAATTCATCCCAGACCTCAACAATTTGATGTGGAAGCTCAGAAAGGACATCATGGAGACCAGTGAGGTCAGACAGGCCGTCACGAAGGAGACCGCAATTGAGAACAAGATTGTCAATGGTGAGGATAGCGAGGCACTCTACAAGAAGGTCACAATCGAGCCTCGTGCCAACATCAAGTTCGAGTTCCCTCCGCTTCCAAACTGGAAGAAAGAGGTCGAGCCTCTCAACGAAAACCTCAAGGGTATGGTTGATCTCGAGAAGGTGGTCGTCGTGACCGGTTTCGCTGAAGTTGGGCCTTGGGGTAACTCTCGTACTCGATGGGAAATGGAAGCATACGGCAAGTTCTCACTTGAGGGTTGTGTCGAGATGGCCTGGATCATGGGTCTCATCAAGAATCACAATGGACCTATCAAGGGGAAGCAATACGCCGGTTGGGTGGATGCCAAATCCGGAGAACCTGTCGATGACAAGGACATCAAAGCCAAGTATGAAAAGCACGTTCTTGAGCACTCTGGTATTCGTCTCATCGAGCCTGAGCTCTTCAAGGGCTACGACCCCAACAAGAAGCAGATGCTTCAAGAGGTCGTGATCGAAGAAGATCTCGAGCCATTCGAGACCTCAAAAGAGACCGCCGAGGAGTTCAGACGCGAGCATGGCGACAAAGCAGAGATCTTCGAGATTCCAGAATCCGGCGAATACATTGTGAGAATGAAGAAGGGAGCCACACTTATGATCCCCAAAGCACTTCGATTCGATCGTCTCGTTGCCGGACAAATTCCAACTGGTTGGAATGCTAAGCACTACGGTATTCCTGACGATATTATCTCGCAAGTGGATCCAGTCACACTGTTCGTTCTTGTCTGCACTGTTGAATCATTATTGGCGTCTGGTATCACAGATCCATATGAGTTTTACAAGTATGTCCACATCTCCGAAGTCGGTAACTGCATTGGTTCCGGTATTGGCGGTACTTCGGCTTTGAGAGGCATGTACAAGGATCGCTTCTTGGATAAGCCTCTTCAGAAGGATATTCTCCAAGAGTCCTTCATCAACACCATGAGCGCTTGGGTTAACATGCTACTTCTCTCGTCGACTGGTCCAATCAAGACTCCTGTTGGTGCCTGCGCAACTGCAGTTGAGTCCGCTGACATTGGCTATGAAACCATTATGGAGGGCAAGGCTCGTGTCTGCTTTATTGGTGGTTTCGACGACTTCCAAGAAGAAGGGTCATACGAATTTGCCAACATGAAGGCAACCAGCAACGCTGTCGATGAGTTTGCCCACGGGCGCACGCCTAAGGAAATGTCACGACCGACTACCACAACCAGAAGTGGGTTTATGGAGTCGCAAGGGTGTGGTATTCAAGTCATTATGACTGCCAGACTTGCTCTTGATATGGGCGTTCCCATCTACGGTATCCTCGGTTTGACGTCGACTGCTACCGATAAGATTGGCCGATCCGTACCCGCACCTGGTCAAGGTGTTCTCACGACTGCTCGTGAGAATGCTGGCAAGTTCCCATCGCCTCTTCTCGACATCAAGTACCGTCGCCGACAAATTGAACTCCGAAAGAAGAACATCAAGCAATGGCAAGAGTCAGAGCTGGAGTATCTTCACGAAGAGATTGCCGCCATGAAGGCTCAGGGCCAACAATTCAACGAATCAGAGTATGCTCAAGATCGTGCCATGCACATTGAGCGTGAGGCTGCACGCCAAGAGAGTGATGCTCTGAATAGCCTAGGCAACAACTTCTGGAAGAAAGATTCAACTATTGCACCTCTTCGTGGAGCTCTTGCCACTTGGGGCCTTACAATCGATGACCTTGATGTTGCGTCGTTCCACGGCACTTCTACAGTGGCCAACGACAAGAATGAGTCTTCCGTCGTTTGCCAACAACTAAAACATCTCGGCCGAAAGAAGGGTAACGCTGTTATGGGTATCTTCCAGAAATACCTTACAGGTCATCCAAAGGGTGCTGCGGGTGCCTGGATGATGAACGGCTGCTTGCAAGTCCTCAACACTGGCTTGGTGCCGGGCAACAGAAATGCCGACAATGTCGATCAAGTCATGGAGCAATTCGACTACATTGTGTACCCAAGTCGAAGCATCCAAACCGACGGCGTCAAAGCTTTCTCTGTTACGTCGTTCGGTTTCGGTCAAAAGGGTACTCAGGCAATTGGTATTCACCCCAAGTACCTCTTTGCCACTCTTGATGAAGCTACCTATGCTTCTTACTGCGCCAAGGTTGAGTCACGACAAAAGAAGGCATACAGATATTTCCATAATGGATTGATCACAAACACCTTGTTCGTCGCAAAGACTCACGCACCGTACTCTGACGAGCAGCAAGGAGCAGTCTTCCTCAACCCAGATGCTCGTGTCTCCATCGACAAGAAGTCTTCAGCTCTTACCTATGCCCCCAACTTCTCAAAGAAAGCCAGCAATAAGGAGAAGACCGATAGCACCAAGCAAATGGTGGAGTCCTTGGCCAAGGGGGCTGCCACAGCCAACAACAAGGTCGGAGTTGATGTTGAGGACATCTCTGCCATCAACATTGAAAACGACACCTTCTTGGAACGCAACTTCACCGACAAAGAACGGGCGTACTGCCTCAAGGCACCACATCCGCATGCTTCCTTTGCTGGGAAGTGGAGTGCTAAGGAAGCTGTGTTCAAGTCACTTGGTGTGGGAAGTAAGGGAGCCGGTGCACCATTGAAGGAGATTGAAATCACCAACAACGAGAAGGGTGCACCAATTGTCACTGTAAGTCATCGCAATTCTTCCCCTCCTCATCCACTAACGAGGTCCAGCTCCACGGTGAAGCCGCAGCAACAGCAAAGAAAGCCGGCGTAAAGGAAATCAGTATTTCGATCTCACATTCCGATTCCCAGGCTATTGCTATCGCTGTTTCTACTTTTTAGACTTCTTGTCTTCTTGTACAATGACGGGGGTTTGCATTACCTTGCACCGCCCCGATGGGGATATACCGGCGCTTCTCGCATGAAGATTCTTGTTTGTGATTTGTTAATGGAAAGATTAGAAGGTGCTTATTTATGTTTGTACGAATGTTACAGAGACTGAATAAGCGTGAAAGTCTGTTGCTCCTCGAGTCGAGGCAAAGTAAATAGGTGAAAATGGCATTTGTTAGACTAGATCATTCTGTTCCATTCCCATCTTAAGTCTTCACCTTTCCCCTCTGACAAACCTCACCAAGAAATGGAGGGGTCACGGGGCGTTGTTGTATTTCTATGCACAGCATGATTGTATTGGACAACCCAGCTTAAAATAGTGACCGATATCAATGAGACCTCTGAGATAATTCAAAGCGCACGAAAAAGACGAGAGCATGATGTCAAGACCCGGCGACACAACGATGACCCCTTTCTCTAATGCCCCTTTCCTGATTGGCCGATCTTCCTACCCCGAGCTTTCCCCGCAAATGTAGTCTCGAGCTCCTGCCGAGATCGGCTGGGGAGAAAGACCAACTCTTTGCAACTCTAGAATAGCTCCAACGCCACCATGTATTGCTGATCTTGAACTTCTAGACTCAATTGAAAACTCTTTGCTTTAGCATTTCTTAACTGAACCGCCGAAGATTTATGTTTCCTTGCTGTAAACAAAAATAAAAACGTTTTCAGGCTCGGTAGCCATTTGACCGAATTTGCGTTGGAATAGCCGACACCCGACCAAATCGTCTTGAGCAACATCCGCGCTCTATTCCCGCGATTCATTCTCCAGAGCTAACCAGCACTATCCGCCCTCGGTGCATTATTAAGATCTCGTGCCTAGATCTTTCTTTTGAATTTATATCTCTCTTTCCTTTCGGGCTATTTTCTTTTCTCATCTCACCTTCAACGATTTGCAAGATACCCGACTTCGATCATACGACCCCGAATCCCTTGATAGACCGGACCATAACGAAACGCCGACAGGATGCCTTTGACCGGAGCAGAAGTGGCAAAGCACAACTCTAGAGAGAGCTGCTGGGTGATTGTACATGTAGGTCTTGGCTGTGGCCAATCATTGACAGTGGCTGATCTTTGCAGGGCAAAGCATATGATGTTACGGAATTCCTTCCTGGTATGCCAACATATTGTCCCGCCTTCTCCTAGGGATTCAAGCGAGTTAACAAGATTCTCAGAACACCCCGGGGGCCCGAAGATAATACTCAAGTACGCTGTAAGTATCAATTAAAAGTACTAGGTGCTTCAGGACAAGACAGCCCCCAGTACCATCAAGGCCAGGCCATTAACATTGCGCAGGGCAAAGATGCTACCGAAGAATTTGAACCCATACATCCTCCCGACACCCTTGACAAGTTTCTCGATCACGCGAAGCACCTGGGAGAGGTTGACATGAACACGGTGGAGAAGGAGGCGAAGGAGGAATCGGCGGAAGAGAAAGAAAGACAAGAGCGAATTAAACGCATGCCAATTTTGGAACAATGCTACAATCTCATGGACTTCGAAGCGGTGGCGAGAGGGGTTATGAAGAAGACAGCATGGGCATATTATTCAAGCGGTGCTGATGATGAGATTGTATACTTCCTCTCTGGTATAGAGGAATTTGGCTGACATCTGCAGACTATGAGAGAAAACCACTCCGCCTTCCACAAGATCTGGTTCCGGCCCCGGATTCTCGTTGATGTCGAAAAGATTGATTTCACCACTTCGATGCTTGGGACGAAAGTTGATATTCCCTTCTATGTTACCGCTACTGCGTTAGGGAAGTTGGGTCACCACGAAGGAGAAGTCGTTCTCACCAGGTCTGCAAAGAAGCACAATGTTGTTCAGATGATACCCACTCTCGCCTCATGTTCGTTCGACGAAATCATGGATGCCGCTGAAGGAGACCAAGTTCAATGGATGCAACTCTACGTGAACAAGGACCGAGAAATCACAAAGAAGATCGTCCAGCACGCCGAGAAACGTGGGTGTAAGGGTCTTTTCATCACAGTCGATGCACCTCAACTCGGTCGTCGAGAAAAGGACATGCGATCAAAGTTCACAGATACTGGATCGAATGTTCAAGCAGGGTCTCAAACCGACAACTCTCAGGGTGCGGCAAGAGCTATCTCCAGTTTCATCGATCCTGCTTTGAGCTGGAAGGATATTCTATGGTTTCAATCCATTACCAAGATGCCAATCATTCTCAAGGGCGTTCAGAGGGTAGAAGATGTCATTCGAGCTATCGAAAGCGGTGTTCAAGGTGTCGTTCTTTCCAACCACGGAGGCCGCCAACTTGACTTCGCTCGTTCTGGTATCGAGGTTCTTGCTGAAGTCATGCCTGTTCTTCGTGAGCGCGGCTGGGAGGACCGAATCGAGATCTATGTCGACGGTGGCGTGAGGAGAGCTACCGATATTATCAAGGCTCTTTGCCTTGGTGCTAAGGGTGTTGGCATTGGAAGACCGTTCTTGTATGCCATGAGTGCTTATGGACAGCCTGGTGTTGATCGCGCTATACAATTGTTGAAGGATGAAATGGAGATGGGTATGAGATTGATTGGATGCTCGAGCGTCGACCAGTTGAATCCTACGCTGGTGGATACCAGGGGCTTGAGCATGCACACGACAAGCGTGCCCTCTGATACTTTGGTGAGTCCTCCTTCCTGCTTTCGATTTCGCAAGGCTTACTGTCACAGGGACTTTCCATTTACGATCCTCTGGTAAGTCCCAAGGAGAAGGCGAAGTTATAGTTCTATTTGCATTCACCCGCCATATCATGACCACGTAAGATCTTACATCTAGAATCTGTACATATTCAATATTTGCAACGTAAACATCATGTTGACCTCTCGATATCAATCACCCTTGAACTTTTCTCTATTGAATGAATATAGATTCTTCTCTCTATTAAATCATTACACTTTACCGCGACGGAAGGGGTACGAGGGAATACTCGCTAAAGCATTTCCATTTTCAACGACACCACATCTCCACAAGAACATCCTGAAGATCCGACAGAACTCCAAAGTCCATTTCGACTTGCTTGGAGAAGAGGGAAAGTGCTATTAGACAGCAAGTAATATGGATTGATGGGAATGCAATGGCCTCCAACGCCTAAGCTGGGTGCGAACGGTGCATATCCGAATGGTTTGGTTGCGGCCGAGGAGACTTCGAAGGGGTCGACGCCGTGCGGAATGCACGCGTCCGCCATTTCATTCGCATATGCGATCATCGCCATACGCTGGTAGTTCTCGTACAGCTTCGTCATTTCCGCTACCTCGGGCCTGGATACAGGCACGATCGATTCGAAGACTGTGGAATAAGGCTTGGAGATACTCTCGAGGGACCCGGGAACAATATCGTCCAGACTGAAATAATTTTGGGGATGATTCTCGCTGGAGGCTCCGTCCGTCCAGGATCCACACGCTGGAAATTCCGGATCAGCGTTGATTTTCACTCTGGCTAAGGTTTGGGTGTCTTAACTCTGGAGACATGCCAGCGACGAGACGTCTTGTCGCTGCCAACGGCCCAAGAAGCTGTCTCGTCATCCCCACAGCGACAGAACTCTCGCCTGCTCGTTGTGAAACGAACTGTTTCCCTTTCTCTGTACTCCTCTGAGATCGCTTTGATGCATTTTTCGGAGATGTCGAATCCGAGAACCTTGTAATGAGTCGAACACGTGTCGATGAGATGAGATGAGATCCTACATAGTCGACTCCTATAGCCACTACCAACGGCTCGGAATCTTGATCGACTGCGGTGAAGATCTGAGGAGACTCTGTCCAAGCATTCTCTTCTAATTCTTCGGTCGGTGGAGTTACCGGAGAGTGTTCTTCGTCGAACTGGCTCCGGGAACTGGATTGCTTTGAGGATCGAGAGAAGTACGAGTCCTCTTGCACATGGAGAACTTTTTCGGTATTCATTTGAGCGGAGTTCAACATTACTCACGAGTACAGCGAATAGTGAATAAGTAGGAGATTTTTAGGGGCACTCTTAGAGCCTTTCCTGTACAGCCACGAGCATGGTTTGACTTTCGTCTATCCCATCTATTCTTGCCTGTTATGTTCACCATCCGATGGGGCAGTCGACCGAACTGTACGCGCTGGGACTTTCCTTCCGCCTATTCTTGAGTCTCGCCGCGCTCAGATCGGACCATCCTACAGAGCGTATCCATTATTGATTGTGAGGCTGATCTTCTAGTATCAAGCAGCTACCGCAGGTGTGATATTTGACATATTCAATATGGGAGGGGCCATCAGATCACCATTCCCTCTGCAGCTCTCAATCTTCTTTCTCACCAAGTTTGCTTCTGAATTCACGTATTTCGTTAGCTCCATGAATTTCAGCAACCGGGCTAGGCTGTTAATCGCAATTGCTTTTTAAAAGAACACCAAACCAGCTTCTTTCGAGATCGAATCTGATGTTAAGAAACGATTGGAAGTCTCAGCTCCCTCGACCATGTCTCTCACCCAAGTGGGATCGAAGCATCATACGAAAAGCCATGGCTGTTCAAGAAGTCACTCCACTAATTACCAAGAGCCGCTTACTCCTCCAGATTTGGCGCTTTTCTAATCTTGTCTCGACAATTCATGCCCAAGTTATTTTGCTCCTGTATCGTGGTCACATCCCAGTATGCCACGCAAGCAGTGGTAATGAAGTCAATGAAGTCAATGAACGAAACACTCGTCCTAGTGCGCCACAAGGTGACGAATCACTCCCGTTCCAGGAGAAGAAGTATCCTTACTGGACTACTAACCTATTTCGCTAATACTCCAAAAATAACCGCGCATTGCGGGCGCACCAATACATATTTTGTCCACAAGGAGATCTGTTTTCGAGTATTAGACGGTGACTTCGTGGACTACTTTGTGTACTGTACTTTCTTTACGTCGCCCTTTATGAATGTCATTCTTCTTGTCTATTCTTTGTTCCACTCAGACAACTTTAAGTGGTGCAAAACTCGCGAGGTTGTCCGGAGTGAAGGAGAGAAGTCTGAAGATAGTGCATATGGAAGGTAGATGCTACCTTGATCTCACTCGCTAATAACGAATAAGATAGATCTTCTACTCCTTTTATATATTCTATTCTATATAATGTGTAGCGTTATTATTGGGGGTTTGATTTAGGAGTCTTAGCGTCATAGCCAATGAAAAGTAGATTGGAAAAGGGGGTGATTAGAACTTAATAGATTCTCAGAAAATATACTTTCATAATTGGTTTGCCACATCTTCATCTGATGATTTATCATTGAATTCCTTTTTGATTTAAAGTCGTAAGTAATCTCAGTTATAGTGTTTGCCCTCCCGGGTTTGGCGCCCGCCGCATCGGGCAAGGCGAGCGTACGGGCCGGCCGCCGCTTTCGACGTCTATAAAGACCGCGCGCCCGTCCACCCCCCCTCTCTTTTTAACCATCGTCCTCATCCATCCTTCCCCAACAACACTCCCGTCGCTCGGTCGCTTCGTCTCGTCATGCGCCATCCTCCCCCTACCCTACCCCACCGCTACCACCTCCGTTGACCTCACCCAGCTGAAGAAACCCTTTCGACACGCGGTTTGAAGCCAAAATTCTCGATCTTCCACTACGACTTCGATGCTCGTAAGCGTCCGCGACGGCGATCGACCCTCTGAACCACGTCTCGTTGGCCGAGATACGAGCATGAGCTGGATCTCGTACACCTCCTGCTCGTCGTCGCACCATCATGACCCTCGCGGCAGTGCTGGTCGGTGATTGCGATTGCGTATGCTCTGCCTTGGCCATGCCTCGGCGTTAAGACATGGCCAATCGAGAAAATTCTGCACGACGACGTGGCTGGCTTCTGCCTAGCTACGCCGCAGATTGATTGTGTGTCGGCGGCGGCGGCGGCGTTTCGGTGAGCTCCTTTGACCCAGCGGAGGAGGTGGATTGCGTCTGTGTGCCTGGACCTGGGCTGACCCGCAACGAGAAGGGCCGATCTCTGCGTACGTAGCAGGAGGATATTAGATAGTTGGAGTTCCGGCTCCAGCATCCTGCAATCCGAAATTCGACATACCCTCTTTTCGAAAACTGTCACACGACCCCGCCCGTCCACACAGCCGCTGCGAGTTCACCTTCTCCCGAGTTACTAATACAGGGATGGAGAGGTGAGGAAGTCCGTTCCAAGTTCGAAATGGGCAGGGCGGAGGAGCAAGAATTGCAGATCCTAGCACAATCTCTCGATCGGCGGCGACGCTATCGGATACACGGATTAGACGGGCGGGTGGCGAAGTGCAGGCAGATGGACTCTGCAACATCCAGCCCTCGCATTCCTGGCAGAATGAGTTGGCCGCCTGGGGTCTGTTTTGGGATCATTTTCTCTGCATGCTGGCGCCGAGGAGTGCGTCACCCGATGGTCTTCTGTTCAGGAAGGTCGCATGGGCTCAGCTCTGCATGGGATGGCGGGTTGAATCCCTTAGAGTGTCGAGCACTGCCTCGCGGGCGGACTTCTCCAACCCTGGCAAAACAAGGCGCATCTCACAGAGTGCAGGAGTAGAAGGGGGAGGGGTAATTTTCATGCGCAGTACCGTTTCTTGTGGTGTTTGGGCGGATGGGGAACGGGCTGGCGATGATGGCATGGCAGTTGTGAGCGGCAAATGGACACAGATAGCGAGGTAGGAGGACGGACCCATCTTCGTTTAGCGTTACTTGTGGGCTGGCCATATAAACCTTCTATATCTCCTACTTTAAAAAAATCTCAGGTTATGAAATCAGCAATTTTGCAGGACCAACTTCTATCCACTTCAAATTCTTTCGCAATGGCAACAGTCAATTTGAGTCATGTCCAATTTTGGCAGGCCCCTTTGAATCTATTATCCTCCAAACGTGCTTCACCGCACACACGCGAGAATGGCAGATCTGGCTTAGCAACCAGCCAGCGTCACTAGACAACAAATCAGACGAAATACTCAGGCACGACAACCAGTCAAAGTCTGCAGTCGCACTGGCTTAGTACCACGCTCAGAAGCGGGTTTAAGGAGACTCAAGAACGGGCTGTACTACTTCCAGAGGTGGACGCCGAGACTTTTCGGGTTTTCGAAAGATGGCTATCCAATTATAGGGTATCTGGATTCGAATATTTGGACTGGACACTGCTCTGCAAGTTCTATGTTCTCGCGGACTATCTTCAAATATCGTCTGTTCAAAATCGAATTCTTCACGCTCTAGCCTTGAAACTCGAGAAGGTCAACAAGCGCCTACCACTTTCGGTCATACTATTTATATACGAAAACAAGATGCCCCGCTTACCTCTGCGAAAATTATGGGTCGATTGGGTTGTAAGGTGTGCCAATCCTGAGGTTTTTGATGATGACTAGGGGTTTCCTGAGGAGTTCCGGGCTCACCAATAGACAGTATCCACCAGGGTCCGTTTTAGCAATGTTAGGTTGCATCACACTCGAAGACGGTACACCGCCAAAGTCGCCAAAAAGTCAAATGCTCGCGCTGTGTCTGGCTCCCACACAAGATCCAGCAAGTCCTTTTCAGAGGATCGAGACAGATGTGGTTCATTATATAAATGCAGAAAATGTCCCTCGGACTAAAAGACGAACAATATACCTCCAAAAGTCACATAGCTATCAGTCACTATGCCTTATTTCACTCAGATACCATTATTTCTGGATCAGAGTAGCAGATTCTCAAGGACAACGACGAAGGTCAAGCTCACTTCAAGCTTATCCGCTCGAATATGGGCCCACAGCCACCAGGTCTAACTTGAGTGAGAATTTCGGGGTTCCCCCAATACTTGGATTCAGATTAAGCTGGACGAATGGTGTTAGCTTTGATGTGATCATAAGGATTATAGACAACACCTTTCGAGGCGACATCATCGTTGCCACTACTGTCGAAATCCCGAGTGCCAAACAGAGTTTGAGAAGCGTTGTTGAATCTTTCACCACAAATTTCGATCGCGAAGATACTCCTCAAGACGTCAATTTCAAACAGCGGCCTGCTGTTTCTGATAAAATAATCCAGGAGATTGCCGCTCTGGGAGTCGTCACTGAGAATCAAAAGGTTAAGTGAAGTTTGGAAGTCAACTTCATGTACACAAGGTGGCTTGAAATATAGCATGATCAAACTATTTCGCTTACAACACGAAAATTTAGAGGAGAAATCGGTAGCAGATGTCGAAGATTCAAGAATGGGAGTTGTTAGGTATATGGTAGATGTGAAATAAAGTTGGACACACCTTTGGAGCAAGACACGTTCAACGAAGCTTAGGAAGATTCTTCGTTTGTCTTCCTTACACAAACCTTCTTAGCAGCTTAATAACTTCGCATACTATAACCAATAATAGAGAAGATTACAAAGCCTCGTGTATCAGCGTTGGGAAAGAACTGTCTGATTCTTGGCAGCGTCATTTTGTCGCCGGGAGCGGGGGTTAGAAATACGAGGCCTCCCAGCAAGTACGCGATGTGCAACAAAACTGCCGTCTTAGTTGACGTCCAACGGCGTGATGCATTTCAAGAATCACGTGGCCACGGTCAATAAGATCGACCTCAGATTATCTCATAAATCAGACCCTATAAGGTGCCTAATTATGCGAAATAAATTAAGGAAATATAAGCACGAACTCCTGGCCAATTAGAGGGCGGGAAGGGGATAACACCTTATAGGGTCTGAGGACTTTTGGTCGCACCTTTGGTGGTTCGCGCCTAAAATTTATATAGGAGGGCTATTTTACTTTAAATATATACTTTTACTCGATCCTCACGACTTATAATAATAATAAAAACGTGTAATTAAAGCTCTTATAATTCCCTATTATTTAAGGTGTCCTTTAAGTATATTAGGCGTGGTGAGGTGTGGGTTTTTAAAGGCTAAAGATAGTGAGTTATATTTACGACTAAGGCAAATCGCGAGTTTTCACGGGGTTTCAACCTTTAAAAAATTATAAAATCACAACGAACCGTCCAAATCATATGTACGTTAGGCCAAATTAAAGATCTCGATTTCTTTTATAAATTCTATTAAATAGATTTTTAAGTGTCCGCTTATTAATTAAATGCGACCGTGGAAAAGGTAGAAAATCAATGAAAAAATGGCCAAATAGCACCTCCCCCTCTAATTTTCAATAAAAACAATACTTAATAAGAAGAAAGACACTTGTCTAACGTTCTTATAAGCTATAAGACCCTCAAGAAAGCTTTAATAAGCTCGTACGAGTACGTGGTTATGTCGTGAGAAGGGGCGTTCTAGTTACCGTGTAATCTCACGAGAGGAGACCTGATTTTTGACCATATACTTGGTATTAAAGGAATTAGCTAGAGTACGTATAAATTTGGGAGGGCTTATATATTTAGTATAAAATTTAATTAAGGTAGTCACGAAGAGGAGAAACGTAGAGTTGAGAGTAGTATCAAGGAGAGAAGAAGAAAGGTAGAGAAATTTTCAGGCTCGAATCATACAAACTAGAACCAAAAGTCCTCAGACGCTCCGCAGTGCATTCCTCAAAATCCTGACTAATTATGCTAAGTAAGCAGGATTTATAATGCTGGTGACCTTACTGGTCTGTGCTGTTGTCCACTGCGAGCGTCTGATTTATGAGATAAGACCTCAGACCGAGGGCCTTTCCCTTATTGATTTTTCATCTAGCGACTTCCTTGCTTAGACACGTGTTACCTGGAGTTATATGGACTCCAATTCAGCTCAAGTTAGGCGCGGTCTGTGATCTTCGCCCCAGATCCCTAGCCCATTTCCTTGTTTTCGCCAATATATGGGCACTCGGTAGGCTCCCTGGTAGTGTCCACGTTCCATACGTTTACAAAGAAGCCGGTCCTTCTGCTCAAATATATGCTTGCTGATCGTGAAATCAAAATGTCAACATCCAAAATATATAAACAAGTTTGCAACTAGGTCCTACATAAACATCTTCCAAGCGTATGCCCTCTCCTGAGGCTGCTGTCCATAAAATCGTATAATGGAGAAAGTCGATACCCAATTATTTATTCCCACCACTATTTCGCATTCCCAGACCATAACACAACTCCAGTTGCCCTCATTGCTGGCTGTAAACAATTCTGTACTTATCTCCTCGCCCTCGTTCTCGGCATATGGCATCGGTCAGGGACGCGAGGAGTTCGTCGATTGTGTCGTTGGCGGTGGTTGTGGGCGTGGGAGCGGTAACGGTAGCTGTATTGAACGTGGTAACTTTCGAGGTCCGAAATCTTTACTGTTTATTAATTAGCTGAACTGTTTGCCCAACTTAAATGGTATAGCAGCTCACCTCGATTGCTATTAATACACATCTTGATGAGGCAAATGCTTATCATTACGACGATGCCTGCCATTCCGACGACGAGAGTCATGGTTGCTCCCTGAGGAACTGAGAGCGAATTAGCAAACATGAACAAGAGATAATGGTACTAGTAGACCTTACGCATTCTTTGCTTCCGTTGAGGATATTGTTGAAGATTCTGTGCAAGGCTGCTAGGAATGTAGATTTCTGAGGAAGTTGAAGGTCGAGTGATGGGTTTCTTGCATTTATGTCCTGGTTTGTTTACTTTCCAACCTCTTTATTTCGAGCCAGATTGGCCAACCACACGACGCTTGCGACTCCTTTGCAGCGACTCCTGTACCATTTGCAACCCAATTCGAACGGAGAAAAGGGGTCCATGATGAGCTGCAGATGAAGGAGAGCTCTCGAGGGCACTGATCGATAAAAACGAGTCGGGAATGCGCTTCAAGGAGCGCTTATCGAGCAATGATTGCGAGGACCTCGAGACCTCGAAAGATTGTCTGAGCAACGCGGTGAGGCTAAGCTTGGTTGTCGGAAGAGGCCATGCATGCTGCAGCTTCGGTGCTCCTCAAAGGAAGTCTGACCAGAAAGTATTGTGATACTTCCGACCCGTAATGTGCACTACAACGAACTCGTTACTAAAAAGCTTCCAAATTGTGAAAGGAGAAAGGACCCGCCGAGTATATCATATCGTGACTCTCTAGTCACCCGAGACCACTATTATAGCAAGTATCGAGATTGAAAGACGCTCGAGAAGTTGGAACTCAGAGGTTCTCACCACCTCGCTTAGCCCATGTTGCCGAGAACTTCCCCTTTCCGCGCGACGGCAACCTGAGAACAAGCTCAACCCCTCCTAAACTCAGTTCCGACCGCATGAATAAACGCTCAGTATGTTTTACTCAAGCTGGGCAAAGTAGAACTTGCATCACGCGACTTGTGTTGCCGAAATTGTCAAAGGACGAGCCGGGCCTTAGCAGCAAACATGATTTATGGACAGAGCTCTCTTGGCCACAACCGTAATTCATGCTCCAGACAGACCCCAACGTTGATAGCCCCTAGCTCCCAGCCCCAGGGCTTAAGAGTGGATGGACTAACGAGGTCAGTCCCAGCCTCCTCAATTTTGTAATTGGAGTTCGACTCGATGAATGCTTTGAGATTATGCACACCGAGAGCAATGCCATACACAAAGACGCGTTCTGCAAGCATGAAACCGTAACGCCACAGGGGCTTTTCTGCGGTTGAAAACGCAATGTAAAGAAGCGCGTAGATTCCAGAAGAGAGTTATCAAGCTGTAGCCAACAATAAAGGATGAATAAACGCGTGCATCGAGCGGAGTACATCAACAACAATCAAAAACAGCCTGCCTCATGGAAGCCTGCGGGCAACTCTACGTGTGACTTCACATCTGCTTGAATCTCTTGAGTATTCAAGCATATCGATCAGAGCGAAAAGAGAAAAAGGTTGCACGGATCCCGAAGAAGCAGAGGATGAAGAAGAACTACCGCGTACGTGTTGACATCGCGATCCCGTTGCCGTGTTTTGACGCCCAGGGCGTGTTCTTAACTCCGAACTCTCCAGCCCAGCCAATTATCCGTTCAGCTGCGGCCAGAAACGCACTGGACCGTGCACGTTTTAAGCGAACTTGATCAGCAAATCATACTGTCCAAATTCTTGATTCTACCCATCTGATTCGCTACAATTTTGTGGTATATTTGATCACGGAAGTGCGTTCCTGGCCGCAGCTGAACGGATAAGCCATCAGAAATATCACTACTAGAAGCACAGGCCCGACGTCGGCACTCTTTCACGCTATGGTAATCGCCGCAAAAACGCAATTCTTTCACGAGCTTCATGAATGATCACAAGTGTTCGAATCAAATTCTACTTTTCGTTTTCTTTCCGCGCGGCAAGCATAATATAATCGGTCAAGCCAGAAAAGGGATAGAACGGCGAACAAAGAGCTGCGCCTCCCCACGTTCTTGTGCCAACTATTTGTTTGCACCAATCATTTCTTAGTATCTTTGGTTTTGTTTTTTTGGTGGCCAACAAATTATTTGCACCAGTAATTTGATAGTACCAATAATCTCTTGGCACCACTTATTTCTTTATACTAACCATTTTTTAGTACAATTATTTTTATGGTACTAGCAAATTATTTGTACTAGTAATTTTATAATACCAATAGCTTCTTAGTACCAATATTTTCATGGCACTAACTATGCGTTTATACTAACAGTATTTTGGTGCCAACCCAACTTTTGTGCCAACCATTTCCTCGTACCAATGGTTTTCCGGTACTAACGCATTTTTTTGTACCATTATGTCTCCATAGTCCGGATCCAGCGAGCTCCTTCTCTCCTTAGCTTTAGATTTTAATATACACCTTGATCTTTGATCTTTAAGCATTCGTCTATTGCATTGATCCTGCCGTCACAAGAAGAGGAGGGCGACAGAGGACGACTGACTGGACCTCGCGAGCTGAGATCTGCTCTGCCCATTTGAGATCGGAGAGTAACGAACGACTGCGAGAGTCATCCAGGCGACGGCCATGGCGATGGGGATGGAGGCCCTCCATATTTGGCTGCCCCTAACGATGCTCGCTTAATTTTGGTGTTCCGACCCCCCTAAAACAGCGATATAACTATCCCGGATTTAGGGATTAAAACACTACTACCTTGATTAGAAAAGTAAAATTATGAATGGTAAGAGTAAAGTGCGAATCTCACTTGCCTTCTGACTTGATCTCCCGGATTTATTATTAGTCCTGTGACCTGCTTCCCTCTAAACACACGTGCACATCCTCAAATTCCTCTCACACCGAATTCTCGCTCATCTTCTCACCACCTTAGGTTCTCTCCTATGATTCGAAATCAGTCACAAGACAAACCTCGCCCACTTTCTCACGGGTTCCCTCCACGTGATTGGCTACGGGCTTGCCGCCTTCGCCTCAGCATCAGCGCTCCTCCAACCCACAGCCTCGCAGCAACAGGGATCGCCACAGCCCACTCACCCACAGCCGGGCCATGCGCCTGAAATATGTGCGTCATCTCTAATTTCGCTGTGCTCCGCAGGCGTCCAGTCCCCACATCGGCTCGACTCCAAATCAAGTGCTCCGATCAAAAATTAAAATAACCCTCTATTTGTTTACGTTCACGTCCACGACACGTCTCCGTACTCCTTTATTTCACTTCGAAAATTAAACTCGAAAGAGGAAAAAAAAAATCCGAGAGAGGAGAAAGGGGGCGAAAAAAGAAAGAGGGCAAAGGAAGAATCTCAAGGCTGAAACGTGAGGAAGCAAAAAAGACGCAGATGAAGAGACGCGAGAGATGAGACATCATCCGAGGGAAAGGAAACGGAAAGGAAAGCAGGTTTGGATTGCGTGCGAGGCAGTGAATGAGCGAGTGCTGAACGGTCACTCCGATTGATCTGATCCATTCGGTGATTTTGGGCAGGCCACGCATTAATCGATCGCATTCCTCTCGATCTGTATTTGCTTTTACCGTTGGAGAAGTGAAGGCTGCCGGTTGGTTTAGCTTGTGATCGAGGCGAGCTGCTCTACATTACGGCTCCGCGGATCCGATTACGATACCCGGAAAGGAAGGCGTGGTCTCTGGGGTTCGTGCGAGGAAGAGATGGCTCAGTCTCTTGAGGCCAAGATTGTGGTTCTGGGGTCGCAGGGCGTGGGGAAGACGTCGCTGGTTCATCGGTTCGTACTGCTTGTTGATTGCATGTGAGGGGAGAGAATGGTGCTGATGAGAGGAGCAGATATGTGAAGAATCAATTCCAGCCCGCGAGCACGATGTCGACGGTAGGAGCGAGCTTTCTCACGAAACGCGTGGTGGATGATGAGAGTGATACGGTCGTGCGATTGCAGATTTGGGATACGGCTGGACAGGAGAGATTTAGGTTTGTTGCTTTCTTTCTCTCTATCCCAAACTCTAACCTCGGCCTCCGAACGCAAGGTTTTCCTCAGCTGTGACGATTGGAAGGAACAATGCTGATTGGAGATGCAATGGGTAGGAGTATCTCGAGACTTTATTACAGAGGTGCAAACGCTTGTATACTCTGCTACAGCATTACCGACACGACGAGTTTCGAAGAAATGGGTGTTTGGTTGACCGAACTCCGCCGCAACCTCCCCCCGGATATCATACTGCATGTCGTGGGCACGAAAGCGGATTTAGTTACAAGAGACCCGTCGATAAGACAGGTGCCGTTTGAACGCTGCATTGCGTATGTTGCGGACAATCTCGCGCCTGGCATGTCGTCGACTCCGCCTGCTACTGCTACGCCTGGTGGGGTTCTTGATACTGGCGGAGGGGGGAGTGCATACCGTGGATTCCTTGGGCAAGGAGGAGGCCAAGCTGCTGCGTTGGATGGCGCGAGGAGTCCGAGTTCGAAGAGGAGTAGTGGCTTCTGGGGTCAAGAGGTTGGATGGGATTGTTGCCATGAAGTCAGTGCTGAGAGTGGGGAGGGCGTGGAGGAAGTGTTTAGGGTTATTACGAGGAAGCTGGTCGAGCAGAATAGGAAGATTCAGGAGCAGTTGATGAATGCTACGCAGTCGCCGTCTCCAGGGGAGCAGAGTGGAGGGGATTACTTTGATCGGATGAGACCTGGTGGGAGTTTCAGGGTGGGAAGAGATAGGAGAAGCTGGTTTGGCGTTCCGGTTGAGACTTATATTGAGGAGGCGAGTCCGGATGGGCAGCCGCCGCAGGTGAAGACGAGGAGGAAGTGTTGTTAGTTTTGTTGGATGGATACCCTGGTTGGATTTGGATTTGCACGGCGGGGTAACGGCTGCATTTGAACGGGCGTGGAATTGGTGGCATTAGCATCTGGCGTTCCGGTCGATTGGCATAATGAAGGATGGATATCATGCATAGTCGAAGAATGAAATCTCACGCATTCTCCCTCTCACACTTGTTTCTCAGTCGAGCCCTCTTGATATTGTAGTAGAAACCCAATTTGCCATCTCACTCGCAGAACTGCTATGCACCAAGTATTACGCACTGTATCGTCAAAGAAAAGAACGCCGTCCTTGCCCCCAGTCCAACCCATTCTCCCCCGTGCCAACCTTCACATAACTACACAACAAGAATTCTGCTTCTTGGCCTGCGTATAAAACATTTTACTCTGCGCACTCAGCCCATCGCTCTTCGCCACCAGATCATCGATCTTCTCTCCCCTCTGCAACACACTCTCAATCGTCTTATGCAGCACGATCTTCGTCTCATCCAATTCCTTCTGGATCTTCATAATGCTATCCGCCTGCTGCGGATCCTGGTACTTCACGATATATTCCTTTAGTTCCGGGAAGGAGAGAGTTGGGGAGGAGTTCGCCCACGAGGAGCGTGGGTACTTGGCTAGGAACTCGTCGACGACTTTGGAGAGCAGTTGGTGAGCGACAAGCGCGGGGTAGTCGTGGTCGGAGATGATGATGCCGGCGACGCCTTCGGTGCGGCCGTAGGCGTGGAAGGTGTAGTCTGTTTTCTTTGTTAGAAGGCCTTCCGTGTCATACCATCCTTCAATAGAATTGAGGGGGACGTGCCTTGCTCCTCGACATCTTGCCGTTGCCCGGGTCGAGTCCGCTCTGCGACTGTCTTGCTGAATAGGGTCATGAACTCGCCATAGCTAGCCTCACGTCAGTATACACCGTCTCCTGGTTCAGCGGCGATAGGCGTACTTGTTGCGTGTGAAGCGCGAGTAAGCGCTCAGGTCCTTCTCAGCGCAGAGCTCGTGTGAGGGCTTATTCTCGTTCTTGATTATCTGTAGATAGCGGTCAGTCGTTGTCCCGTACATTGGCAGATGGAAGGGGAGGCGCACTCCGATGTAATGCAACTTCATGACTGCGGTATTGGTGTGAAAGGAGGAATTGTGAGGGAGGATGATGTAGTGAGGTTGCCTTTCTTCTTTTGAAACTCTTTTGCAAGCTGCCTTGCTCCGGCGTCACAGGACTGCGGTCAGACGCGGCGACGGCAAAACGTAGATCCGTTCACTCATGACTCCCCTGAACTTTATTTATTTTTATTTTGATCAACATTATGGTATTTTGTGACTTTATATTTGCTATTATTAGTGCGTGAAGGTTTTCTTCAGCTGAGTATTCTGAATTCCAGCTCTTGAAAATGGGTTTTAAATAGAGGTTGAGATACGGTACAGAAACCTGCTGTGTCTATCAAGGCCAAGGAGACAACATTACCTTCTTCATCGCATCTTTCGTTATCCGACTGTTTGCAGGTTGGCTGGTACCAAATCTATCTGCCTGGAGGTCCGCGCCACCACCAATTTACCACATGAGCTGCACTTCTTCAAATCGTTGAACAGAAGCACGTGAAAGTCCCCAAAATAATTTACTTTCCGAGATCATAATTGGATCTTTGACTTTTGAGGGTCCAAAACTGGAGTCTGCTCTCATGCTTCCGAAAGATGCCGCCCTTCAAAATCAGCCCCGTTGCGAATTGGCTTCCTTTTTTTGTGGCTCTCGTTTTGTTCGGAGCTTTGAAGTAAAGAGGGTGGAAAGTATAGAATTCCTCTACCTCTAAAGAGGTCCGCAGGCTTCCATCGGCAGCCACGAACTCCTATGAGCTTTCCTCAGATCGTTCCCAGGATCCCAGAGTAATTCTCTACACCTTTTCCTCCAAGAAGGACCCCCAAAGGGCCACCCCCAGCAACCACCAGCCCAATCTTGGCTCTGCAGACTCTCCTTTGTCCCCTAGAGGTAGTATAATACTAGGGACGCAGGGCATGAGCTGCAGGTTCGTAGGGGACACCACGAACAGGTGTTGAGCAAGTCCCCCTAAATAAACAATCAACAAACCTCGCACTTTCGTCTGGTGGCCAAATCGATCAATTTCACTTACTTTTCCATTACTTTCCCCTTATTCTAGCCAATCAAATAATCCCATTTCACTTTTGCAAGGCTTTACTATGCCACGCACCTTACCTTAGAAAGCTTCTACTCTAATTACCCCCTCTCAACCTTAGCCTCAAGCTCCTGGTACGGAAATACTAGGCCTTCCACCCTTTATACCACTTCGTCAAGTACCTCTTTTTCCTCTGAGACTACCACCTCTACTGAGGCTACTGAGGCTAGTGCTTAGGAGAACCTTATCTGGCAAGATGAAACTGGCCTAGTTCCTCCTCCCAATAGGCTCCCTACCACTGATCCAGCCAATCAAGGCCCTGACCGTCCTTCTACTAGCCCCTCTGGCTTCCAATAGGCTAAATATGTGAGTCGTGAAACTTGTATAGATCTTGGCTAGATTAGTAAAGAGAGCCAAGCCAGAGGGGCTAGTAGAAGGACGGTCAGGGCCTTGATTGGCTGGATCAGTGGTAGGGAGCCTATTGGGAGGAGGAACTAGGCCAGTTTCATCTTGCCAGATAAGGTTCTCCTAAGCACTAGCCTCAGTAGCCTCAGTAGAGGTGGTAGTCTCAGAGGAAAAAGAGGTACTTGACGAAGTGGTATAAAGGGTGGAAGGCCTAGTATTTCCGTACCAGGAGCTTGAGGCTAAGGTTGAGAGGGGGTAATTAGAGTAGAAGCTTTCTAAGGTAAGGTGCGTGGCATAGTAAAGCCTTGCAAAAGTGAAATGGGATTATTTGATTGGCTAGAATAAGGGGAAAGTAATGGAAAAGTAAGTGAAATTGATCGATTTGGCCACCAGACGAAAGTGCGAGGTGTGTTGATCATGTATTTATTTACTAGTAAAATTAGTGCTTATGCGTATACTAAAATTAGGGTTACGTGGCTATAGACCATTTAAAATTAATATAGGCATTATTACAGGCATCCAAGCCGATGCTTCCACCTTCTTTATATTAAATTGGCGAAAGTGTTTCACTTCGTAACTTTACCCTTTCCTCTCTATATCGAAGGAAATCTAGATATATCAGTGAGACGTTCTGAGAAGTGACATGCCACTGACAAACTCCTCTAATAACCGCATATGAGGGTGTTCCAACTCCCTCGAGACGTCAGAAAGTTGATAGATTTCAATGATGCATGAAATTTCTGCCAATTCTGCCCCAGTAGGTAGCACTCGCATGCTTCCCTTTTCTGAGAGTGAGAGCTTCTTGCGCGGTTCTGGCCTTGGTGCTAGAGCAGACTTCAAGCAGTGACAAGTCCAAAAAGGACAGGGCGCTTGCACAGGTAAAGGGATCACCTGCAAAAAGTAACTTCGCCTTCTTCCAGGCGGTTGCTATTGAGACGGATGTATTCGAAGCAGACTTTTGGGCTTTGCCACGTTGAGCAACGTTGCGGCTCTCAGTTCATGACAGGAACCAAGATTCACTACCAGCACACTTGCAAATATTGAAATGAACACTGTGAAGGACAAATCGGTGGAATGGGAAACGTGAAGCCACCGAAAGAATATTACAGGACGGCATCATGGTTTACCCTCAGCTTCCAGGGCTCCCCGACTCGCCTCCGCGCAGGTCTTTTCCAACATCCTTTAAAGATTCAAACAACCATCACCAAGGGACGCCTTCAGACAAAAGAAAGCCCCGGCATGGGGTAATTCAACTCCCGGGAATCCGGTATCTACCCCCGGGATAGCCGCTGATACGGCGATTCCAGATATTCGGCCGGGTATGCATACTGACCGATATCTGCGATTTAGGTCTTGTCCCAACCAATGAGGGCTCACCATGTAATTTATAGGGCGTGATTATTGATGTCAAAAATGGCACCCTGCATTTGATGACGAACAAAGAAGTTTTGCGAAGAGGATCGAAGCAGAATCTGGAGGCGAAGGACGGTTCTCCCACTATCACACAAGCAGATTGGTTCCGCACTTCGGACGCGGCCGCACTTGGCATCGACATAAATCTCTTCATGACAACACGGGCACTGTGGACTTGGTTTGGAGTAAGCTTATAGTGGATATGCTGCGCCGTGAATATAATAATACATAAAGGTGAAGAGTGTCCCTTCTTGTCTCTTTCTTTTCATCTTCCTTTGTTTCTACTTCCTTGCATACCCCTCAACCCCACTTGACCCGTGAAAAATGGACTCGAAACAGTTCAAGGAGGCCGCCACATCAGCAATTGATGAGAGTATGTATTCCCGGCCCAGTGGGTGCCAGATTGGTGCTAATTGGCCTAGTTGTGAGCTACTACGACACGATTCAAGACCGCCGAGTGGTCAGCAATGTCCAGCCAGGATATCTCAAAAAGCTCCTCCCTGATGGACCCCCCCAAGATGGAGAGGCCTGGGCAGATATTCAGAAGGATATCGAGTCGAAGATAATGCCAGGCCTTACCCATTGGTAAGAACTCACCTTCCGACTTTGCTCTCGACTAACTATCAACAGGCAGTCTCCCAATTTCATGGCCTTCTTCCCTGCCTCGTCCTCCTTCCCCGGCATGCTAGGTGAACTGTACTCTGCCGCATTCACCGCCCCATCATTCAATTGGATATGCTCTCCTGCTGTCACCGAACTTGAAACCATTGTCTTGGATTGGCTTGCGAAGCTCTTAAACCTTCCGGATTGTTACCTATCGACTTCACATGGAGGAGGCGTCATTCAAGGCTCTGCATCTGAAGCCATTGTATGCTGTATGGTCGCTGCGCGCGACAAGTACCTTCGAGAGACCACCTCCCATTTATCCGGTATAGAATTGGAAGACGCAATTGCATACAAAAGAAGCAGAATGGTGGCATTGGGAAGCGACGCGGCCCACAGTTCAACACAAAAGGCGGCACAGATAGCTGGAGTTCGATACCGCTCCATTCCAGTTACTAAGGAGACCGACTTTGCCTTGACAGGTGTAGCACTAGCGGAGGCCCTCGAACAGTTTAAAGCAGAAGGACTTGAGCCCTTCTATTTGACCACGACTCTTGGAACTACCTCGACCTGCGCTGTCGATGATTTCGAATCGATCGCTTCAATCCTTTCAAAATACGCACCTCCAGATGTTCCCGGTGAAATCTGGGTGCACGTAGATGGAGCGTATGCTGGAGCAGCTCTCGTTTGCCCTGAATACCACCACCTCACAACGGCTTTCAAGCATTTCCATTCCTTCGACATGAATATGCACAAGTGGCTTCTCACAAACTTCGATGCCTCCTGTCTTTATGTAAAGAAACGGAAGGATCTCATCGATGCGTTATCCATTATGCCAAGTTATCTTCGCAACGAGTTCTCCGAAAGTGGTCTTGTAACAGACTATCGAGACTGGCAGATTCCACTCGGAAGAAGATTCAGGAGCTTGAAGATATGGTTTGTCCTGCGGACCTATGGTGTCAAGGGATTGCAGGCCCATATCAGAAAGACCGTCAAGCTTGGAGAAACTTTCGCTGGGCTGATCGAGACGAGGAAAGATCTTTTCGAAATTGTTACTGGGCCAAGCTTTGCCCTTACTGTCTTCACCATTGTACCGAAAGTTGCGGGCAAAGGAGAGCAAGACAGGATCACTAAGGATGTTTACGAGACGGTTAATAAAAGGGGCGAGGTTTATATAACATCAAGTGTTGTTGGCGGTGTCTACGTGATACGGGTGGTAAGCGCCAATCCTCTGGCAGAAGAAAAGTACCTCAGGAAAGCATTCAGGATCTTAGTGGAGACAACTGAGGAGCTTCGGGATGGCAGAGTTCCCCGAGAGGAGTCCTCGAAAGGCGTTATCGTAGATGTCAAGGGTGTTGGTATCGAAAAAGTGGCTGCATTGAATGGCAACGGAGTGGCGAAATAGATGCAGCTCATGATTATCGAAAATGTGGCTGCATTGAATGGCAATGGAGTGGCGAAATAGATGCAGCACATGATGTTTCTCAATAATGTCCCGTGCCGTCGTTTCGAATAAGCGCAGAGAGCTGATTCGGGGACGTTCAGGACGCAGTTCAGGCGCATGCATAGATAGCTCTGTTTTTGAATATGTTCTTGAAGAAATGATAGACGGCGGTTGAGTCTCCGCATCCTTCTAGTCTGATTTTGGTGTAAGACTGTGAATCACCTGACTGTTTGAGAGCCTCAGTTTATTACTTGTCGTTCCGATCTGTAATTATCCCGACCTTATCTCAAGCTCGAATCTCGGGCAGATCCTTTTCGATGGGGGTCCGGGATTCCCGAGTTGGGGGTCTGGTTTCCGGCGGCTCTTCCGAAATCTTCTTGAGTCTTGCCAGATGCATTTTTCCACTTTGATGGCAGCTCGTTGAGCGCGTCAACTTGTCAAGCTGTGTATGGAGCAAGTGCTGCATCCTTCGTGGCCAACCCGTGTCGTCTATTTTTCCCTTCCTTGGCGTCTGCAAATACGAATGAGTAAAATTCTGCCCTGGGCTGGCGAGATGTGCTGATTATGCCTGGAGATACACATCTGCCCCTGCGACCGAGTTCGTGGCGCTCGCTGGCGCCCGCTCGCGCTCCGCAATTGGCATTTTGCTAGGAAGAGCTCAGCTCAACGGCACAGGGGTCTTGATAAGCATTTTCTACCCCACATCCTCCACTTTCCACTTAAAATACAAGCCTTGACGAGCCTTGACAAGCCTTTGCCAAGTTGGCCCAATGCGCGGTCCCCGTTGAGCCTAGCTGGGGGCCCGCAGAAGAAATAATCCGTATGCATTTCCAGTCTGCGCAGTGCGCTTGGCTGCATGCCACCGCAAAGTCCCACCCTCAAGAACAAAGGCCTGATAAGATCACTCTCTCTGCCTTTTTCTCTATGTCATGACGAATCGAGTTCAACGCATGCGAGGCCACCACGCCGTTCCGCCCTTCCGCCCAAGCTCGCCGGGGCCAGGCGCGGTGCTGCAGGCTCCCTGGACCCTTAGGACCCTTAGGACCCCCTGCCTGTCGCCCGGTTGCACCTCATTGCAGCCTCGCCTCCAGGATGGCTGTGGCGTGCCGACGCTGAAAGGCCAGAGATAAGTAAAGACGCGCTGTGATTTGCTTGCTGCCACCGCAATCACCCTCGGTCGCCAGGTCGAGGCTGGTCTTTCAGTCAAATTTCGAAATTCTCGAACCGTGGCTTTTGGAGGTGCTGAGAGGAATGCCAGCTGCGATAAGGCTCGACGAGCTCATTTGCCTGCCGCTCGGAGTTCTCTCCCCGCCGCGTGGGAAAGGCTCCCCGACGAACCACCCGATTTGATACCAAGCTGGAGCGGCACATCTGATCTTGCATTCGAGGCTAGGCCCCGCGGGATAGCTTGGCATTTCTTGGGACAATGCAGGGAAAAGAAAGAAAAGGGAGAGCACAGTCCGGTGCACGGGGAGGCACCCCAAGGCAAGTGATATATGAAGCCCGGACGCCGCGGTATCTGTGCATTTGTTGTCCAGCTTTGTACCTCTGTGCCTCGAAGCTCCCCTCCATTCCCACCTCTGTTCATCTTCGACCGCCAAGATGAGTTACAACTCAACGTTACTCATAGCTCCCGAATGGCTCGACAGTGGTGACAATGCCTGGCAACTGACGGCCGGCTCTTTCGTCGCCCTCCAGAGTGTCCCCGGTTTGGTGGTTCTCTACGCTGGCTGGGTGAAGCACAAATGGGCCATCAACTCGGCCTTCATGGCATTCTATGCCTTCGGCATGGTACTGCTGTGCTGGATGCTCTGGGGCTACAAGGCCGCATTTGGTGAACAATTGCTGCCATTTGTAGGACATCCTGGACCCGCTGTTCGAATGGATTATATGCTGGGCCAGTCGACGCTCCCGACAGCCGGTGTCTCGCAGAACTTTCCTCAATCGACGATGATCTATTTCCAGTTCGTCTTCGCGGCTATCACCCTCGTCCTCATTGCTGGCTCATTCCTCTGCCGCATGAATTTCTTCGCCTGGATGCTCTTTGTACCTCTCTGGTTGAGCTTCTCCTACACCGTTGGCGCTTTCTCCCTGTGGGGAGGCGGCTTCCTCTTCAAATACGGTGTCCTTGACTACTCCGGAGGATACGTCATTCATCTTTCTGCGGGAACTGCAGGCTTTGTTGGTGCATGGTGGATTGGTCCACGGATCGACGAGGATCTAGAGGACAACCAGCCAAACAACATCTTGATGATGCTGGTCGGTGCTGGTATTTTGTGGATCGGCTGGAACGGGTTCAACGGAGGTGATCCATATGCTGCCAGCCCTGATGCTGGTGTAGCTGTTTTGAACACCAACTTGTGCACTGCCGTGAGCTCTCTTGTCTGGGTTGGTAAGTAAAACCTACCTCTATTCTGTGATCAAGAAATCGAGAGCTAATTATCCACAAGCCATGGATCTCATCTATTTCCGCAAGCCTTCAGTCATTGGTGCGATTCAGGGCATGATCACGGGTCTCGTTGCCATCACACCTGCTGCTGGTTTTGTCGCAGGCTGGGGAGCCATTGCTCTCGGTTTCGGCTCTGGAATCATCCCATGGGCCAGCATGAACATTGCCGGCCGCAGAATGTCTCTCTTTGCCCACGTCGATGACACCCTCGAAGTCTTCCATACACATTTTGTCGGTGCTCTCGTTGGCGGTATTGGGACGGGTATCTTTGCTACCGTTGAAGGCTGCGCCGCTTTCGGTGTCACCAACCCAGGTGGAGCTGTTGACGGAAACGGCAGACAAGTCGGCCTCCAGATCGTCGGAGCCCTCTTCATCATCGGGTGGAACATCGTCTGGACATCGCTCATCATGTGCTTCATCAAGTACGTATGCCGCATCCCACTACGCATGACCCAAGAGCAGATGGAGATCGGCGATTACGCCGTGCACGGCGAGGAACCATACACTTTCGCACACTACAACATCAAGCACCCAACACCGCCTCTCATGCGCCGCCGAACCACCAAGAAGGGCGACGAGGAGGGCCAAAAGGGAGGTGTATTGATGGGCAAGGACCCTGCGGTGACTGTCGAGAAGGCCCCTTCTTCAGGCGACTCCATCAAGGAAATGCCTGAAAAGGGAGTTACCACTGGTGCTCACACGCAGTAAATGGGTCGGTTTCGGGCGGATAGACTGGTTTACGATTTAGTGTTGCTTCGTGTGCTTCCTGCTTTACAATAGACACCCATTGCCTGGCAAGGGTATGTTACGTTTGCGCCAATATAACTGCATATACTATTTTGCCTCTTTTCCACTTTACACTTCTCATCAAAAGTTTCACAACTATTCCCTCCCAGATTACACCAGTCAAAGAGATCCTCACTTGAAACGAAACACTATTTTTGCTTTTTATGATCGGAAATTACCCACCTATGATAGAGGCTCGGAGTGACCGCGGCCAACGGACGTGGGGTAGTTATGCTTGGTCCCGTGAACGTGGGATGAAGGAACCCTGAACCCGACTACGCATGGAATCTTCGAAAGAATGTCTCACCCGCGCGCTTCAGCTAGCCACCATTCATTCTGTCCCTTTCGGATTTTGGCATGGGCGACTTGAGAGCCTAATGCGGCAGAAGGGACTCAGCCTCGCCTCGCACCGCGGCGCCTGGGTGGGGCTCCTTGCGCAGGGAGACCCAGAGCGTCGAGTAGAAGACCACGCTGTGTCTTTTGTCAGCGCTATAGGTGCAGTACATTTATTGCATTTCCGTGCAGTTTGATTTTTCAGCTCGAACTTGGAAGTGTAAAAACCCGGGAAAATAAAACAAATGCTGCAGGGGCGAGGAAGGGACGCTGAAAAGAGAAGGTACACAGACCAGACAAAGAGGAACGAGAGCACGATGGTCGCGAGGTGGTAGTAGGGGTCCCAATGCCATCTGATGATGCTGGAGATAAGGAGCCAGACCCAGAAGATGGACACGATGAGGCTTTTTAGGAGCTCGAAGCGGAGGGTTTGTTTTCGTGTGGGGCTGGGGGTTTTGATCTGCACAAGGATTGTGAAGAGGAGGAGGAGTGCGAGAAGCGGGCCGAGGGAGTGGACGCTGGGTGGTGTTAGTCGGGCTTGAAGGGGGGCGAGAGAAGGGAAGTGGGAGGGGAGGTACATGTAGGAGTAGACGTTGGGAGAGTAAGGAGCGTAGCCCCAGTAGAAGAGCGAGGAGATTTGGAGCACTTCGATTGCTGCGAGGAAAGCTTGGAGGAGGTAGGCACCTTCTAAAAGTGGAGAAGGCATTTTGCAGGATCTTTTTCTTCTTCTCTTTCCCTCAAGAATTATTCTTTCTATTGAGCTTGATGGATAACTTCAATTGAGGCAATTGAGGGGGTTGAGTCAAGGTTAAAGATGTTGGACAGGTCGGTGCCTGAAGAGGGGTGACGCGGTTAAAATCCCGACTCGCTGCCAACTTCCAAGCTTCCCCGCTTCTTCATATCCAATTATCGCTGATCTCTGTTCTCATGTGTTATTCTGCTTGAAAAGTACCGACCAATGGATCTCTAATCGATTCAATACTGTGCTGAACGCCGGGACTTTAGGGTTTCATGTATCAATTTTGACCTGCTAGCATGTGACCTTGCTGCGAGGCGGGAAGTTTGTCCTCTCCAATAAGTTTCTGGACAATAAATACAATTCTCTGCGACAAACGACCATTGTGGCAGTCTCATCGCATTTGCAAATTCTCTCACAATATGCAGTACTGGTATACGTTTCGTCGATGATCTCTTTGGACTTGAACGCAGTCAAACCTCCTGGATCTTGCTTAATGATGGTAGCGATTCCTATTCCGAAACAGCGGGGCATTTCTTCTCCACTGGCAAAAGACTATTCTAGAGGAATAAGAAGACTGAGGGCCCATTCCTGATTTGTTTCAGGCGAAATTCATCTCTGTGATCTTCAGATATTGAGAAGTTGATAACCTTAAATGAGGCGAGGTTCCGAAGTTAATAAAATCCCTTTCGCGAGGTGCGCAAAAAAAGTTACAAATCACGACACACAACCAAAAATTCCCCAAAAACGTCAAAACAAGGACAGCAGAAGCAAAAGAAATTCTTACGGACCCAGAGACTCAGCTTGCGCTTGGTTATATGTGGCAGAGCATACCTCTTAACCGTCACAATTCGTATGGCACATTGGATCTTGTACAAGTGGAGGAAACTTAACGGGTAAAGGCCTCTAAATGTTGAAAGCAATATCACTCATTTGATATAGGAGACCTGCTGTATCGTGCAACTGCATTACGGCCTTTTGAAGTCTGAGGGCATGGACCCACGGTACTAAATAGAGGAGTAAATAAACCTCTTTTCAGGGGCCCAGGGGCTGATTTGACAGTACAGTGCGTCGTATAAGCAACGAGTTGTCGTCCTTATTCAACTTATCGGCGTTTCTTGTCCGAATCAGATGCATTAGATCGTATGGAAATTGAAGTTACTGGTGTGGGACGCAATCGCAATACGAGACACAACCCGCGAGAATCACTTTCGCGCCAGAGTCACCAAGGGCTAATCCCATACTCACCACAAACTCTCCCAACATCCGCATCCCTATCACCCCTCACTACACTCGCAACCCTCTCACCGCCAACCCACTCCTCCACTGCCCCTCTCTTCTTAACCTGCTCCCGATCCAAGAAATCCGTAGCAACCAGCCCCGGATCCGAACCGTGGACCAAAAACCCCTCGCCCTTCAATCGAACCCAATACTGCACCATCAGCATATTCAGAGCCGCCTTGCTCGCGCGATACTCGTTCGCACCCGGGTGGTGATACTTCGAATTCGGATCCGCGGCCTGACTCAACGAGCCGACTGAGCTGGACACAAACACTATCCTTGGTGTACGTGGAGGGGAAAGAGACTTTGAGTTATTGAGGAGAGGGAGGAACGTCTCTGTCATCACCAGGGCGGAAACCACGTTTGTGGAAAGGATGGTGGCGAAGTTTGCGCGTAGACTAGAAGGGGTGGCTGTCCCTGGGTGCAGACCGAAGATCCCGGCATTGAGGACCAGGATGTCGAGGTGCCCGTGGATGGTTTTGATGAATTCGAATGCGTCACTTATAGAAGAGTCAGATGTTATGTCCAGTTGGAGGGATGTGACGGTCCCGAGGACTCCGGGTGTGGATTGTAGGTCGCTGGCTGCAGAAGCCCCGCGGGATAGGGAGCGGGATCCGAGGAGGATGTGGTATTTGGCAGAGTGGAGGAGGAGGTTCTTGGCGGTTTCGTAGCCGATGCCGCGATTTGCGCCTGGGTATTGTTAGATTTGTTGTGGAAAAGTTAAATGCTGTATACCGGTGATGAGAACAATGGTCTGCTTCGAAGACATGATTGGTGGTGGAGTTAGCTCGGTAAGAGAAAGGGGTAAGTAGGCGAGTGCCGACCATGGAAAGATGAATTTCTTTACCGCAGAGGTATAGCTTTAGGAGCTAAGATGTGAATGCGAAAAGAAGCTTGGGATCTTGTTTATACAATCCTCTCCCTTTGGGGGCTTTCGGAGCTTCGCCTGTCGAGGTACTGACGGGGAGCACAGCAGTGGAGATAAATTCGTTAATTCCGGTTGGCCCACTCTTTGCATCAGCCCTGGGCTAGACCAACACTCGTAATTGTACCGTACCAGCCAACAAGATTGGGAGAGGAGAGTGCACTTCCAATGCAACCCGTATCTCAGTGCCCAAAACTCCAGGGTGAGATTATCAGTAGAATCAAACACATCTGACATAGTAGTTGTAGGTCAATTGAGTGGTTAAGTAGGTTATTTACATGTAAACAGAGAGCTACGCTGGTGCAGGCCCTAATGTTTGTCACACCCCCTTCGCAAGGGTTGCACTGAAATGCGCTGTAGCAATGCGCTGTAGCCGACTTTTGCTTGGCAGAACTCAAGGCGGTGTAACAAACATTAGGGCCTGCACCTATGTAGAGTTTTGGTGTTGCACCAGAAAAACGTTAATCCGGCCGGAAAAAAAGCGGTCCACTGCCACAGTGGAACGGATAAGGCTCAAAGTTAATCTTTGGAATTATTTTAAGTACTACGTAGTATGTGTAATATATTAAAAGTGGGATAATAGGAGTAAGTGGTAGTAGAAGTAAAAAAACAACATTGCAAAAATTGCCACTGACCCTTTTGGACCACCCCTTGTACCCTCAGACTTTTGATGAACCTTTGTAGAAAAAACATTTGCAGAAGGTCGAGGTCGAACCACTTAATCTGCGAGATTCGAGGGAGCAAAAGGAATAGAGTTCTCTACAACTTCTTTAAATAACTAAATATCTTGAACTGAATGTGCAGCATCACAATTTGGCGCCCAGATCCCGTAACATCCGCGATTAACAGAAGTTCTGTCAAAGCCACAAATGTTCACAGAAATCCAGCATTACTTGATTACTACCAACCAATAGTTTGAAAGAACCCAAAAGTTCCATAGTACATGAGCAAAAGGTCCCAAGGTCACTTTCAAAATACCAGTTCACGACCGATTGAAGATATAATTCATACATCTAAAGCGACGACGAATGTCAAAACGCATTACTCGTCTTGCTGAAACGTTATATTTGAAGTTTCCATGTATCAGAACTTGCTTCCACTCACCTCACATACATAGCAATAAATCATACCAAAATTCCACCTAACCACTCCAAGTAGTCCTCTAACAACCAACCAACGCACCTTACAGAAGCGATTTCCATAACAGAAAAGAGCGGAGACACAAAGCATCAAGACTCCTGCAGGAACGGGCTCGGTTGGTTCTTCACCTAGATCATACTCAACATTTCTCAGTCGTTTATAGGATGGCGTAGAGAACCAGCATATGTCCCAAACAAGCAGTACCGCCTTGGCGTAGATTCCTGTCACACGAACCTGGACGCATGGTGTTTCCGAAGATACGATTGCACTGTTCGCGAATGACTGTTCCACACACAGTGGCTCTTCTGGCAGCTATCATCGGCCTGCAAACATTTCGTTCCGAGCTTCTGATGGAAATCATCACACCCCCAGTCCATATCCAGCAAGACTATAACCCTATGCAGGTATGGTTAAACACAGCAACGGACCAGCAGCCATATCGCAATGTTGGCTCACTTGTGGGGTTAGGCACAAGAGAAGGATTCGGCGATATCGAGTTAGAAGTTGGAAAGGGGACCGGAGATTGGTGGAGCACAGCGTACTTCGATATGGGAAACTAAATGGGGACATGGTCGCTTCGAGATAACCTCTCAGATGAGACAGACGGGCGGTCCCCGCAATTTTTTGCAATGTGGGAAGGGTTGTGTCTGGGTATCATCGTTTTGCTTCGTCTTTTTAGGGAGTTGTGTTGTGCTTGAGAGATGAGTTTTGTTGGGTGACGTGTGGGGGTGGTGACGCCACCAGGGAAGGAACCAGCTAGCCGTTAGTCAGCCAAGCCATTTAGGGCTTCGAGCTTAGATACCAATAGAGTCGTCTTGCCTCTGTCTGCCTTCTCCTTACATCTGGTAGCAATGCGAGAATAAATTCTGTCGAACAATTGACAAGACCCAAGGACCTCCAACCCCAATTTTCCGTCCCCCAACCGCTTCCGCTGCGCTGCAATTGTCGTCGAGGCTACCACCAGTGAGGCTATCAGTGGTGCCCCACCACACTTCACCTCACTCTCTTTTAACCCTAACATCTTCTCCTCTCCCTCGTCGAAAATCGCCGGACCGCACCCGCGACCGCAACCGTTAACCCCCCAAGGGTCCCGTTTTCATCTGCCAACTTATTTATGCCCAAGAAGCAGGGAAAAGACCGACCCAGAGGACCGGACGGACGATTTATTAAGAAGGAGACTGACCAAGCCAAACCCATCGATTTGAAACCCGCCGAATCCAGCAAGGATCCGGAATCCCTGTTACCACCTGATGGTAACCAACCCGAATCCCCGACCCAGCCGCAGGGTATATTACTAATCGCGGTATCGTTAGCTCTTATCCGAGATCTAATAAATAATAACGAACCTTAACTTAACGAACCTAATAACCATAGTACGAACCTAACTATATCGTATTCCCCTACTACCAAAGCCTCTAGACGCCGACGAATAATGTCTCTACCATTAATCATACGAGCTATTTGAGCCGAAGCTTTCCCAGAATTAATCTACGAGCCATAATACCGAGGTTACGGATATATATTACCGTATTACCGCATGCCACCAGAACCTCAGGCCAAGTTCTCAAAGGATTTCCTGCTATTATATAATCTATCTATATTAATTCCCGAATATAGGAGATATTTCTTATTTAGAAGGGAAGATTACCGAAACTAGCAGGAATAACTAAGAGAAGAGAAGCGATCTAGTAAAGCATTATATGAATCGGGAAAATAACCCGACCTATCTCCTGAGCCCGAATAGTAATTCTCCCCAGAGGAAAAGCTATATAAGAAATATTAGCCGGAACTATATTTAGCTAGTTTACTATATTATAATTATATCCGTTTCTCTAATTACCCTAAATTACTATAATCTTCTCGGAGCCCTTAGTTACCTAGCTATCCTATAATTATAATTAAGATAGTAGTATAACTAGTAAAACCGAAGAAGAAAATTCCGGCTATATTATATTAATTTTTTTTATCTAACTTCTTTCTTTAAAAAGAAATTAATAATTAACTAATACTAATTTCTTAGTAGTAATAAGGAAATAAAAGCAGGGAAATATAGAAGTAATATAACCCGGTTACTATATTATAACCTACTATAAGACTAATAGCTACCTAATCCCCTAATACTAATATTTATTATACTAAGAATACCTGAAAGTAAAATACTACTATAATTACCTGATTCTATAATAAGATCTAGTATAATAGCTTCTTATATCTTTAAATATATCTTACTAATACCGATTTTAGAGAAGCTTATAATATCCTATAAAAAATAAATACTAATAGATATTAGGTTACTAATAATTATATTCTAGAGATTATTTATTCCCAGAACTCCTTAATAAACTAGATAAATAGCTTTCTTTAATTCCTTTTATATTTTTATAATAAATTATCCGAAAAGATACTAATACTAGTACCTATTTCTAATAGTATTAATAACTAGTAATATCCTAAACTATCTTATTAGAGACTATTTCTATTATATTACTCTAAACCTGGAGCTTCTAAATCCGCTAACCGGAACTAATTTAATAATAATAAGAAATATAATTATAGAGAATATTCTTGCTATAGTACTAACCGGTATTCTTATAACCGACCGAGATATACTAATTATTCTTCTAAAAAAGAATATTATAACTAATATTAGGATATTTCTAGGCTAGTCAAATATTATAGATATTATAGACTAATTAAAAAAGAACCCAGATATTATTACTAGAATAATTTCAGGAACCAAAATTACTAACTCTCTTAATTTATAAATAATAACTATAGCTAGCCCCGTTAGAATAATATATAAAATAAGATCTATAATTATAGCTAATTATAAGACTATTATTATAATCGCCAGGTATTTCCTAAATAATATTTAGGACCCCGGTATAAATATAGCTATAGTTATTCTAATAATAATAATAATAACTTTTTAGAAAATAGTTATTACTATAACTAGGAATATAATCTAAATAAGAGAGTTTACTATTACTATAATATATATTATAATAATAATTATAATTATAAGTTCTATTTCCGAGATATTTATAATAATATAAAAAGATTATAGATTAACGAAATTAGTTAATTTAATAAGATACTAATTACTATATTCATAACTATTTATTATAAATAACTCGAGTTTCTAGTAAAAATATATAAAAACAAACTAGTTCTTATTATATTACTATTTTATATAAAAGGTAAAGCCGCTATCTAATTTACTAGCCTAAACCTATAGATTATATATATTATAGCTAGAGATATTTAGGAATAAATTATCTAACTAATTAGATATTTCTATACTAATGCCTCTAAAGCCCTCTTATAAGTAAATAAACTTATTTATATCTTTAGTAATAAAACTATAATTAATATTTATAAATATATTACTAAGAAATATAGCCTATATATTAAAGCCAGGAAAACTAATAAAGACCTTATAATTAGATAACTTTATAATAGTCTTGATTTTATACTAGCTATTATAATTACCCTATATCTCGTTTATAATATAATAAATAATTTTATAGCTAAGACCTATATTACCGAATCCCAAGCCTATAAATAATATAACTAGTTTTATATATATTTCTAGGTATAAGATAAGAAACTAAAGGAAATAAGGAAACTTCTAAATAATAAGTAATTATAAACCTTATTCTAGGTATTATAGACCTGGAACTTTCCTAATACCTAACTAGTATATTATACTATTCTAGCTATAATAGTAAAAGATACCTAACTTAATAAATTTATACTAGTAAACCTAATATTAGCTAAGCTAATAGAAATCCCGGAAATTATTATTCTAGTAATATATTATTTAATAATATTAAATATTATATCTAACTAGCTAGCTAATAATAAATAAAACCCTTAATTTAAGCTAGCCTAAATTATCTAAAACTATATATATACTAAGTATAATAGCTAGTCTTATAAGAATAATTAGTACTAATTTAATAATTAATAAGCTAATCCCTAAATATAATAAGTTAAAGCCTTTATTATAGATAAGAAAGAATATAATAAAGACTATATACTAGTTAATTATAATACTTGGGCCTAGTATTAGTAATATATTATATAAATCTAATTATAAAGTTTATACTAAAGTAATTAGATTTACTAACCGGGATATATTAAAATACTTTATTCGGAAAATAATTAGGTAAAAAACTTCTAGAATAGCCGTTTAGGAATTAAGTATTACTAGTATAATATACTTTATTCCTAGTATTACTACCTATAGCTTTATTAGAAAAGATATTTATTCTTATAAAATGTTACGTCATTCGATATAGCTAGCTAATACGACTACCTTTATAGTTAGTTCCTGCCTATAAGGGCCATGAATTAATTAACTTCTACGTACATTAACGTTTTACCGTAATAAATAGTAGTAATCGTCTTATTATCTATTTAATAACTCGACTAGGGACCCTCGGCAGACCCGAGCCCGTTTTCCGCCATTCAAACCCATCCAAAACCGTTTAATCGAGTCATTATTGACTATTATCCGTCTAGCCTATCCGCGACTAGAAGCACTTAATAACGACGCAGTCGCTACCAGACGACTTTATCAAGCTCGCATACTAGTTATATAGCTTCCGAATAACGAAGCACAAATATACCGAGAGAACGAAGATTATTAACGACGTTATTAATAAACTCGTTACCGTATACCCTTACTTCTCGGCTATATGACATACTTTAGAGGGCCGCCATAATCGTTCCTCGTCTATAGACCTAATTATATACGTTCCTCTACCGACCGATCTATACCCATCTAATTAGGCAATTAATAGATCGAAATTAGAAGAGGCAATACGAAGATTTAGCATATTCTGTAATAGATACCTACCAGACGTTTTGCAGGTACCGTCCAAAAGCGGAAGCGGCGTTTAGGGCACCTATCCCAGCGGTTAATGAGTCGAGTCCACATTACCGAACAACGTTATAGAGGAAATACCACAAAGGACTAACATGCCGGACGGGGTATAAGCAGGGGAGAATGCCGGTGTCCGGCGAGACAGGCAACCCTTACTATTACCCGAAATAGCATCCGAGATCGCAAGCTTAATTAATACCGCTCTGGATACCCGAGACAGATAGCAACGACGAGAACAAGCGGATACGGGAGTCGGCTCAGGAGAAGCCAATAGCCTTGGATTAAATAGACAAAGCTCTTTCGGTTAGAATAATAATAGTCAAAATAATCTCGGTCAGAATAACTTCGCTCTCGGATTCGGTAATGACTTTAACCAAGTAAATACCGGTGGCGTTTCTATATATTAGTTACCAGAAGATATCGGATTTTTTGACCCTATATTACTAGATGAGATCGACTATGAATATTAGGGCAAGGCTATAGTATGGAAAAACGTTTATCTTTTTATTAACTTATTCAAGTTTAATATATGAGAAGGAAGGGATATAATTATTTAAGGAAACCTATATTTCTGCCTCCGAGGTATTACATAATAGTAATATACGGAAGAAATTAAAGAGACCACTTGACTTGCATTTCGCTTTATATTAGAGAATATCAAAGTTTGGGCCAAGGCCCTTATTAACCGGTTTAAGGACTCTATACTAATAGTAATAAAAAAACTCTCCGTAGAGATTTATATACAGGATAATGCCATGAAAGGCCGAGATA